CCCCCCCATTGTTGAGCATCCACCCCAGAGGCAGCATTTCCAAGGTCGGATGTGCCATCTCTGAGATCGATGCTCGAGGAGACGAAGGACCCAAGAGAGGCTGTCGTCAAACGGTGGAATGAACGAGATGGAGGACGGCAGAGAGCGTTCAGAAGAAAGGCTTGCGGTCAATTTGAGGGCTACGGGCTGTATGGTGCCGGGGTTGTCGATGTTGGGGGAGCGGAACGAGTGTTGCGGTCGATGGTAACAAAAGAAGCCTGGGAGTGTTGGACAGTCGTTTTCAGAGGGCCTTACGAAAGCCTCAGCGCATACCTGACAGGGCATCGAGAGCCTCTCCTACCCAGGTGTCTCTAGCGGGAAACAGTTTCAAAGAGTGTTGATGCTCCCAGAGTTGTCCCACTTTCTCGCCATGATGGAGGATAACGCAGTTGTTGGACATTGATCGCTCACACGAGACAAGACCGCAAACCGAACCCCATTTCGGCCAGTAGATTAATAGCTGTACAACATACAATGAAAAAAGAGCGCAAGATGCAAAGACACGGTATGCACAAGGATGGAGGACATCCGCTCATTGAGTTTGCTCCGCGTAGACCTGGAGAAAAACGTTAGCAATGGAAAGGACGACCGAACGAGAAGGGGCAAGTAGCAGGGGACGAATGAACAACAACCGACGACGGCGACTCACCTTGATAGTCTTGTCAGCGCCGCCCGTAATGAGACGCGTTCCGGTCTGGTCGAAGGTAGAGCAGAAAACGCCTGCTTCTGCTTCGAGCGAGCCGGGTTGCGGTACGTCTTCCATGTTTTGGAATGGTGTGCCCGTCGCATAGTCCCAGAATGTCAATGTGCCATTGTCGCCTACAACAGGCGGAAACGTTAGAACAAAACGACGTTGAGGATGACAGGAGTCTGAACGCACCTCCAGAGAAAAACACTCCCTCCGAGTTGACCGCTAACGTGTTCACAATGGCCTCCTGCCCGCTGAAGTTGAACACAAAGTTTCCATCGGGGCACTTCCACTTCTTGATCCCATTCCCGCCCGCCGACGCTGACGCAAACGAGTACTCTGTCGGATGCACCACCACGGCCCGCACGCTCTTCTTGTGGTGCGTCAGCGTCACCCGCGTCTTGCCTGCAGCCAGATCCCACAGCCGCACAGTCGAATCCATCGACCCGGTAATCACCTGCGGCTCCGAGTCCTGGCACTGAACGGTGGCGACGGTGCCAGTGTGTCCTGCAAGGACGTGGATGGGTGCCTTGGTACGCATGTCCCAGACCCGGGCGGAGGCGTCGCGACCAGCAGTGACGAGGATGTCGAGAGTCGGATGCAGCGAGAGGGCGTACACGCCGGAGAGGTGCCCGTGGTAGTGCCGGATGACTTTGTTCGACTCGAGGTCCCAGCATTTCACCATCTGAAACACAGTTCAGCTGGAGACTAGGAAATTGGAAGATGAACGCACCTTGTCCTCTCCGCACGAAAACAGGTATGGATGACGCGCCGAGACTGCCAACCCTCTGACCGTCGAGATATGCCCCGTCAACGACAGTTTCAGCTCCCCACTCGCCAAATCCCATATCTTCACCACTCGATCGCCAGCACCCGTTGCAAACCACTTGTTCCCCGGCTCAACAGCAACACTCCGAACCCAGCCCAGGTGCCCTGAGATGACGCGCACGAGCTTCCAAGGAGGATGGTACGTTGGTTTCACCGTGCGCGTCGTTTTGTGTAGTGCAAGAGCTTGCGAAAGATTCGTGTTTGAAGAGAAAGTAGATGGTTGGGATACAGGAGTTTTGTCGATGGTTGCAATGATGCGGGTGTCGTTGGTTTCCCCTGCTGTTATCATTTTTCGCGACGGACCGCCTGGTTTCGAGGGCCCCACAGGACCCTGTTGGGACAGCAAAGCAGGTGGAAGTTCTTTGTAGTCACGGTATTCATCACGGATTTTAATGGCAAGGCGAACTCGTGAACTGAAAAAGCGATGAAGTTAGTTAGGAAAAGCGACGGTGAGGGGACATACCTCGACTCGTCCTCCTGAAGTAGATCGCCTGATTCAGAGGCAAATATGTCTCTTGTGCGCTTTGCGCAACGTCTATGCAGTGATTCAAGTGAAGGAAGGGCGGCGACTGACATAGCTGGTGTGGAGGTCAGAGAGGTGGTGTTCAACGTCGAGCTCAGGTGGTTCTTTGTTTGGAAGTGTTTATGTCAGCAATGATTGCCTTCCTTCAACAAACCACCAACTCCCGCGTTTCCCCCAAGTATGGCTGCCGACGATGCACGTACTGGCGCAGATGTACCGAAACCTGTGGTACGTACTCATTGACATCTCCTGTTACTGTCTTCCAATTCATACTGCTGTTAGCACCAGGACATCACAGCAATTTCGACGATAAGCATCCATGGACTTACCTTGTCTGACACGAAAGTGTCGTTATCGCGCGCTGAATCTTTCCCCTCCTTCCAATATGATGATTGCGAACCTCAAATATGCGATGATCCAAGCTGGGACCCGCTCCCCATACCACAGAATCTCGCTCACCTTGACCTTCGATTGACCGACCGGATAAACGAAGGACGCATTGGACTGGTGTACGGGGTCGACGTTCTGGGCAGCCGTGATCGTGCGCTGAAACTTCCGAGCAAGCTCTGCGTCAAGATTTTCAAGCCCAATTCCGCACGAACTGCAGCTCGAGAGTATTGGTTCTATGAGCAACTCGCTCGCTCAGGTCGACGTGCAGGGTCCGTCGCAGCGCGTTGCTTTGGCTTCTTCACTGCGAGCCTGAGTGATTTGGTGGACGAGAACGGGCTGCAGCTTACCGCCGATCGGATACTTCCTTGGGAGGAGGCGCTGATTGACGACCGAGGGAGGCCGTATCCCGAGAATCCTGTCAAGCGAGCGGCCAGGAAAGCAGCCTTGGCCACCAAACGAGATATCTTATTTGGAGACGACGAATTCTACTGGAAAAGCCAGGAAGGAGACACTTTCACCGAACGTCCTTCGCCTTGGGCTAGATGGAAATCTTCACCGACCCAGCCCCTGCTGGCTATCCTTCTTTTCGAGCGCCTTGGTGAACCTCTGACTCGTTTTAGTAACGCGCTCGAAAGGAGTGAGGCTCTCAAGTAAGGCTTCCTGTTCCTCATTGTTGACTCACACTAATCGGATTTGTCTTGTGTAGGGATATCCAGGAGCTCGTGGTCGATCTCGGGCGTACGGGTATCATGCATTGCGACATTCGTCTCCCCAATATCCTGCGCGTACCCGAGGGTACGAAACCGCCCATGTGTTCCTGCCACAAGTGTCGCCACTGGTGGAGGTTCGTGGACTTTGATCAGGGTGTGAAAACCGACTCCAGCGCGTTGGGCCGGTACTTTGCGATAACTATTCCAGTCATGACAGTTGCGAACCTGTCCTGGGATATCTAAGACTCCGAGAGGGAATAGATCTCAATACGAGGACTCGCAGCTTTTCCTCCTGAGCTCCTCCAATACCTTGCAACTCTACCTTGTGGTCTAAATTATATGCTTTCGTGCATGATCATAGCCTACTTCGCCACTTCGTACTTGACATGTATGGGTTAGTCAGGTACCAGACGTTGCATGCAGCTTAATACTCAACGCAACATCGAGTGCGGCGGCGGACAGGCCTCGAAAGTTTCTCGGCTCATCAGATCATCCGTCAAAGTCATGATTGTCCGACTCTGAGCGTCTCCTTTCCTTTTCCCGTTCGACTCGTGTGCCTCGGGGTCACATTAGATCGCGAACGCTCTAACACTCTTCCTAAGTTACAGTACCTGTTTTTGTGTCTTCATCTCCGCCGTTTGCATGACCGTGTCAGTAATACAACTCGTCTTCCCAGCTTCCAAGCCATCGTTTGTGATTGTTTGCTATTTACACCATGCATCGAAAGCGAGGACGCCGTGTGACACTTACTCTCGTACTCGTCGTACAGAACGCTGAAGGGGTTTTGCTGCCGCCATCCCAGCGAATTAGTATAAAAATCGCGTACCGTAGCGTCGTAGTCCTACTACAGTGTACACCCCATGTCCGAGGAAGTCGTGGAACTCAAAAAACTCGTGAAACAGTTGCAAGGCGCGGTTAATGATGCGGTGCGTCCTGTCTTCATTGCATGTCGAACCCGTTAATTTCGTTTTACTGACTTCTGGCTTGCTTGAGTAGGAAATCCTGTCGATTCTGAGCATCTTTAAGGAGAAAAAAGTGACAGAAACGCTCCTAAGGGTGGGTGTTGCTCGTCCGTTTTCTTGCTCCTCCTCCCCCTTTTCCTCGTGACCATCATTTTCCCATCCGCTCATCTGTCTCTCTCTCTAGGAGAGTAAAGCCGGTCTAGCAGTTGGCAAGTTACGCTCGCACAACTCGAAACCGGTGTCCGACCAGGCCAAGGAGATCGTCAAGCAGTGGAAGACCGCTGTCGACAAAGCGAAAGCGAGGGGTGGAGCATCGGGAGCATCGTCGCACAATGGGACAGCAGGTGTGTAGCTCGACTTCTCACATCGCCATCTACCACTAACGATGGTCCTGGTCGTGTGCAGGCAAGAAGGTCGCCACTCCAATAACGCCCAGTGCCGTCGGGGCAGCGAAGGACGTCACAGGCCTCCGCACATCGAAGGGCGACGGTGTCAAGGGCGGAACCGGCGATTCCACACGCGATAAGTGCGTAGAGCTCGTCTACGACGCCCTGGCATGCGACGCTACTGCCCGTACGTGTCTCACCCATTATCTGTGTGATCCAGCTGACCACCGCGTTGTCCATGCAGCTGTGGAACACGTTCTCAACAAGGCCCGTGCAGTCGAAGCTAGCGTGCACACCAACATCGGCAGCACAAACACTGAGTACAAATCTAAAATCCGGTCCCTGTTCGTCAATCTCAAGGACAAGGCCAACCCTGGGCTGAGAGCAAGCATTGTGGAAGGAAGCCTGGCTCCGGAGAAGTTCGCGAAGATGACGAGTCAAGTAGGTGCTGTCTTCTTTCTCTATGCTATTTCCTATCATTCTTGCCCTACCCCGTTATAATCCAACCTCTGCTCTCATACTAACACCCTCATTCTCTAGGAAATGGCCTCCGAAGAGCGCAAAGCTGCCGACAAGAAGATCCAGGAGGAGAACTTCCACAAATCGCTCTCTGCATCGGAGAAGCAGGCCGAGACGGACGCATTCCAGTGCTCGCGGTGCAAACAGCGCAAGTGCACGTACCGCCAGCAGCAGACGCGCAGCGCGGACGAGCCGATGACAACGTTCGTAACGTGTACAGTTTGTGGGAATAGGTGCGTATTTTTCGTTGCTTTTCTTTTTTGTGGCTTGCTGAGCAATAGTCATTGTGCAGGTGGAAGTTCTCATAAACACCTTGACCTTCACATCGAAGCTCTGTCCATATACTCGCCTCGTTTCATCATCTGTACCATCCATCCTGCCCATTGCGGCTCAAGTCTTCCTCCTATGTTTGGCTTCTCGTATGCAGTCATTGGAAAAACTTGGAGAATTCTTCTTGCCCTCTCACTATCGATCCACCAGGTTACAATTCCTCGCAGTACTTTAGCCACCCTCTACCGTACATTATATGTTCTTTTTTTGCCTCTTGACTCCATATTTATCCCGGCCGTCCGCTACTGTCTCCATCCTTTCTTATTCGTCTCGGTTTCTCAATGCCGTAGTTACTTGTACTCAGCTGCAGTTCAAGTTCTCAAATACCAGAATCTCACACAAGGTTGTTCGAATCCAATCAGCAAGAACAATGCATTGCACCATACATGAGCCTCTGGCGACTTGGTCAATTCCTACTGACTGTATACTATTTCCAAGAATCCCAATCCCAATCCAAAATCAAGAGAAACTCGCCCGCCCTTCCCGGACCTAAGCCCACTCCAGCCACTGCAGGCGCCTGCCCCCAAGGCCCGAAGACCAGGAAACGGAACGACCAACAACTGGAGGGGTGGGACTGACGATCGGGGGTGAGGGAGGCGTTGGCGAAGGTGAAGGTGGAAGGGCGCTTGATGGGCGCGTGCGAAGGAAAACAGGGGAGAAAGGTGGAAAGAGGAGAAAGGTGGAAGGGCTCGAGCGAAGAACCACCGCGGCCCCCAGCTACAGGCGAAGTGCCGAGGGGAACGCAAATGGGCCGTCGAGGTGCGAAAGAGAGAGCCAAGGTGGAAGTAGAGTAGTTAAGAGATGGAGGAGAGCCTCCAGGGAATAGAAGAAGTGGGGAAAAGAACAAAATGGGGAGATGGAGAAAGTGAAGACAAGACAGGACATCAGGAGGAGGAGGTCAGTGTTCTAGTTGTTTTCCGCTTGAAGCCTTGGCGAGCGACGGCGCGGTGAGGAAGGCGTCATCGAGGCGCCCGTTGCTGGGTCGTGCAACCTCACCCGAACGTGGTTCCCTGGCAAGCAGGTGGCGGGCGAGTCGAACTCGTCCGAAACAAGCGTCTTCTTCTTTGGGCGCTCCTCTTCACTGCCGAGGCCGCTGTCATCGTCCTCGTCGTCATCGCGAGCGCGCTTCTTCCCTTTATCATCGTCCGACCCGCTCGCCACAGGAACCGCGGTTCGAGGCATGTCGTGCAAGAAATGGGAGAAGGTGCTCTTTACTCCCTTTGGTTTCCTATATGCTCCCAACTCCGCCTGCGCATAGTTGTTCGAGACAAAGACGGGTCCGAACCGAGTGTGCACATGTGTCACTGCATCTTCGCGACGCAGGCGGCGGGGGGCGGCGGGTCTGGCTTGGGCGGCGGCAGGTGAAGAGGCGGGAGGGGCGGCGGCAGTGGTGGGTGCTGAGGAGGGGGCGGCAGGAGCGGCGACGGTGAATGTTGGAGGGGCTGAGGTGGCGCGAGCTGTGCGAGTGTAAGGGCTCGTGCGGCGGGACGAGCGGTCAGACGCGGACGTGGAAGCAGCCTTTCCAGAGCCGGAGGACGAGGACGAAACAGGGCCCGGAGACGTGGAATGCAGGAGGTCCTTGTCGAGATCTTCGACGCCTAGAGAACGCATATATTGAGCTTGCAAGATATTCGAGCGATGCAAAAGACAACGTACATGATCCAGCGGGAGGGGCGACAGAGTTCGTGAGGATATCGTAGTGCCACTTCTTGTACGTCCCTTGGCCAGTCAGTGAGGCGGAGACGGTGACGATTGCAGTTCCATCGATATGGACAGTTGTGGGGATCCCCGGATAGATGGCGCCTTGAATTGTCATTGGAGTTCGGGCGGCAGAGACGGGGGCAGCGACGGGAGCAGAAACGGAAACCGGGGCCGGGGGAGATGCTAATGGGGCGTCGAGATCGACTCCAGGTATCACTGGTTCTTTCCTGAAAGTGAGGAGAGACGGGTTGAGGACACTGCAGAGCGAGGAGTGAGGTACTGAAGGCGAACTCACTCGTAAACCTGGATTTCACTGGCCTCGAAAGTACTGGGAGTGCTCGCCGCCATCTGAGCGACAGTTGCAATAGTTGAAATGGCCGCGGACCACTTCGCATTGTAGGAGGCTTTGACGACCTCTAGTTGCTGTTCGAGCTGCGCAATAAGCGCAGCGTGCGCCTCCTTGGTTTCAGGGATGACAGGAGCAGCGATAGAGGAGGCGTTCTTGGTGTTCATGTTGGTGATTGGATGACTGGAGCTAGGGCTCGACAAGAGATAGAAGATTGGGTGGTAACGTTAGCTGGGCTGGGGGGCGAAAGCTGATGTTGGGGATTTTTCTGGCCTCCCCAGTGCGCTTTTATGCGTTTCCAACTCGTTCTGTGGCTCAGTGCTTATACACAGGCGTCGCGCTTGGTTGTCCATTTCAGGCGAAAGTGGCCCGCCTCGGGCGTATTCTGCCTCGTGGACATGTTGGCCCGCCGTCAAAGCTTCGCCACTCCAGTCAAAGCGAGTGCCTCGTGCGCGCGACTCCAGACAAAGGCCTACCTCAGTTGGGCATGAGCCGACGCTTTGATACTTGGGTGCTCGCAGAGCGCGTTTCCGGCCACACCATCCAGACTCGGATTGCAGTTCAAGAGAAAGACTCGCAGTACGAAATACCAGTCCAGAGACAACACAGAGCAGGTTTTCAGAGACGTAGCCATACGGCAAGGGGGCCAACGGTTTTCGGTGAAGTCGTTATTGTTCGACAATTCGAGTCAGGAAGCCAAGCACTGGTAACCTCGTGTCTGTCCATTACGTAATAGACACGCTCTTAGGGGCTCTGCGCCGCGAGAATGGGCTCAGCGTCCCTATATCACTTACTCATGTTCGACCTTCTGATAGAGGGTAGTTTCTCCTCTTGTAATGATCCTCGGCGGTCTCAAGGTCGCTGTCCACCTTGCTAAAGCATCAAAGTGCACCCTTCGTGAATCGTAGGCAAGGTTCCCGAGTTCTCCGGTAACTTGAAGACAGAGTGGCACAAAGACAACGCATTTCACAGAATGTTGAATAAAAAGCCGGGAAGTAGTTAGAAATGGAAGCGTGTGGGCGGAAACCGTGACCTGGGACTTGAAGCACGTGCGCCGCTATTGGAGGAGAGCAGAGGAGCAGGTATGTCGAGCGCTTTGAATAATGTAGATCAGGACCCCGGTTCTTTCTTTTTCTCGTTTCTGGGACATATAAGTTCTCACTCCTTTTCTCTATGTCTTGTTTAGTCCATATCTTTTTGCACTCACCGCTATTAAGCCCATTTTGTGTTCTTAGTGTTTTCACATTGATCTTGTCATTCAACTCCTCACTCGTTTCTCTTTCCGCGGCGGGAGCCCCCTCTTCCTATTTCAGTAGATACCCCTATAAGCGCACTAAGTTTGGTATGCCCAAATCTACCTCGTGACAGTGTGGCGCACTTTGATCGCCATCACTCACAGGATTGTCGGCATAGATCGAGCGCGACACTTCGGAATGACAGAAAATGCTAAAGGATACTGAGGATGACGACGAGACTTCGTAAAGTGACTTCTGAAAGGTGAAATGGAAGCCTGAGAACTCGGAAGCAGAACCTGGGAACGCGGAATACGTGTTTCTTTTGAGACAGTGGGTGGATGGGATACCAGGAATGAGCTGTCGAGTTGGCCCATTGTTGATGCTCATTAAAACCGCTATATTTCATTGAGGTATGGAAGTGTCCTTGTTTTGGGACCTGGACGTGTAGCCGAAGGTGCATTCAATCAATAATGAAGGGTCCTGTGTCGCCGTCCGTGGTGCTAAATTTACCCCCCAGGCTGCATCTTTCGTACAGTTCGAGCCTTCTTGCGCTTAGGTAGCTGAGGCGGCGAAGTTAGCATCGGAAGGCCTCCCATGGCAGCTGGAACTCAAACTTAGGACCGCAGCATCGTTGGACGTCGTTGTTTTCTTTCCTGTCCCGCTCCTTTCGCTGGGGCTTACAGTGCCCAATAACTAGTAGTTGATGCCCTTCTGTGTTTGGCCTACAAGTCTCTCAAATGCAAAACACCCGTCGGTTGAAGTCACAAGGGAAAAGAAGATATGTTCGGTAAAGAGATGCAATTGCGATAGACGAGCGTTATGTGACTAGGTATGTACTACTATTTCCATCGACACTACGACGCGGGTGAACTCTTCAAGGTCGTGAACCCGCTCTGATATGCCCCGTAACACGCTTCCCATCAGAACTCGGTCGTGAGGACTCGCTCTTGAATAAAGAACTGAGGGCACCCAGCGCTAGTAACGTCGCTGGTGTGCTGCAGCAGGAGTGGCTCCGAGTTTGTTCCTTGCTAGAGTGGCGGTGCGGTGCAGTGCGAGTTCTTCGGCGAGGCGAGCGATGATGCCATCTTCATGAGTACCTTCTTCAATTGCAGGGTAGGTAAGAGGCAGCGTTAGACAGCATAAGAAGAACAAGGTCGCGTTCGTGAGTGCGTGGGCGGTCGGAAACCCTCTGAAACGCGAGTCAGCCGTGCCGGCAGGCCTTCACTCCGTCGCTGGAGTGGTATACGTCGTCGATGACAGTCCCTCCGCACAAATCGTCCACGGAGATATCACCGAGCAGACCATCAACCTCACAATTCCACGCTACCAGGTGCCCGGAGCATCCCAGTGGAGGCCGGATTGGCGGGAACATGAACCCCAACGTCAACACCTGGACAGCGACCCTAGTCCCCAGTTGCCGTAGGCCCCGCAGGCGATAGATATCTCCTGCTTCGTTAGCTCGAGCCCATCATCCCAGGACACCGATGCTTTCCAGGTGGCATGAGCTTGGGGACCCTAAGGATTTGGCGGTGTTGGTGATCGGGAGGAACAGACGGCTCCTAGAAAGCAAGACGCGGACGCGTTGAGTAAGTATTCTGGTCCGTTGAGATTTCGCGTGAACAATGACGCACCATAAAGAGGCGCGCGTCGGTGAATCTCCACTTTAGCATGCTCTGGTGACTGTAGTCTTCACTGAGAGAGGAAAGAACACAGCAAGCTCAGAAGCAGGGGTGGAGATGGAAAAGGGGAGGGGGAAGGGATTGTGTTGGATCATGGCTCAAAGGCGAAGGATGAGCAGAAAGAAGAAAAAAGGCGAGGTAATAGCTGTGGTTCCAGGTGGGTAGGCAACCAATGGGAGGGGTTCGTTTGCACTTAGGACGGCTTCCCTCGCATCCGAGCACCCTTTTATGCAATTCCCGTCCTTTGTGGCCTCCCCTCGGCCACAAACCAGTTATCATCTATTTCTGGGAAACACCCTGGTGGCCCGTCGCGCTTTGCGTGGCCGATACCTCCCTGTGGCTGGGCCGCACCCTTGCCGACACTGTGCAGTGACCCAGCACATGCTTAAAGCAGAAATTTGCCTAATCAAGGCAGCATGCGCCACAATGCCCTGGCCACAATCGGCACTTGGCCGGATTCCTGCTGACGAACAATAAGCTGTCGTGTCTCGATTCGGAGTACAATGGCCAGTACTTTCTCTTCCGTCGTAGATCAGGCTCGTGTGGAACACTTGTGAATTCTTCACTACATTGGGGATAAATAAATTTATTTGAGCGGGATATACAATTGTTGAGCGGGATCCAACATAGAGTAGAAGTGGGCTGTGACTGTGGGCCGCCGCATGTAGGAAAGGGAAAGTGAGCGCCACCTTCCAAGTGTAAGATCTTTGGCACTCAGAGATTGGAAGTGACAGACAATGCGAAGTTTTTCCTCCCATCATGAATAGAGTAGCTGCACGCTCCAGTACACCCTTTACTTATTCTTGAACTCGCCCAAGCGACCAGCTTATTCGGACTTCCCAAGAATATTATCGGGCCCTCCGGCGGGGAATTTTTGGAAACGTACAGCGCCAAGTGTACCGAGAACGCCGAGAAGGTTCTTCCCCCAGCGTTTAGCTATAAGTAATACCAAGACCCTTCGGGGCCCTTGTGAGAGCATGTTAGGCGCCCGTGCTACAATCTACTTTCGGGCATCTTTATCGCCCTCCGCGCCGAGAACCATCTAGACCATTGCCATGTGCCCAGAGACATCCTGAATTGTTGTTCACTTTCGACGCGTACTTATATGGCATAAGCTGTCCGTCTAACGACCATGGGACAATTCCCAAACGTATCGGACTACAAGAACCGCGAACGTGGGGGTGCGAGCTTTGTCCGCAGGTCAAAGAAAAATCGCGAGGTTGGCTCCCGACAACGCCGAGCGGTCCTGCCGGTCCAATATCCAGGCTACGGAAGCTCAAGGGTGAGGTTGAGCCCTCGTTTCCCATACCTTCGACACCCAATTCCTCTTTCTGAATCACAATAATCCCCGAATTTCCGGAGGTATGCTCTGATCGAGTCTGGGAAAGGAAATGACAACGGTTAGATCAACACCCACACCCACGCTATGTGTTGAAGAACCCTCAGGCTCGCCCTCGGGAGTCGAGAAGCGACGGTCCCTCGGCTTCGCACCCTTTTCTAACCTCGGGACGTGGAATTTTCTGTTCACCTGCTTTTCCTTCCCTTGAGAGAGAGGAGCACTTGGGCAGACGTAGCCCATACTCGTCGACGTCCTAGACCTCGGAGAGTGTCCGACTCATTCGACCACAGGAATCCTCGTCATCCCAGCGTCGCACGCTTGCTCAAATTTGGTTCGTGAACAGACTCTCTGTGGAAAAAGAGGATCAATTCGAAGCACCCTCACGCTTCGAATTGGTTTTTACGGCCTTCCAAAATGAAGTTCGCGTGGGAGGCGCGAGCTGTAACGTTGGGCCGGCTCAAAGCGTTTCCGCCGCGTGAAGCTCGAGGACTCGGATTGTTCCAGCTGTCGGTTGTCAGTTGGTGGAAGTGCGAACCCTGCGAAAATCTGGAGCTATCTGGAGAGAGGAGGTGATTGAGTGCGAGGTGTGAGACTCGAGTTTCGGGTTGCGAGGTCGTGTTCGGAATTGAAGGGCTAGGATTCCGGGGTGTGGACCGCGGTCCCGCGGGACCTTGAACTACATACAGAGTCCAGAGATTTTCCGGAATGAGAGTAGTGGGCATCAAGGAATCGGTGTGAGTGCTCGAAGGCCGGTCTGGGGATGTTCGTAAGCCTGCAATTTAGGATTGTTCCCTTCAACCTCGTTTGCAATTGGATGAAGGGCGCCCAGTTGCAATGCAGTCGCGGCAGACAAACTTAGAGTATGTTTGCCGCAGAGAGCCGACCTCCACCAACGAGAACTGATTCGTAGGAATTCATTGAACAAATTCTCGAGCCTCTAATTAATTGGCCTCTTGAATTTGTAATTACCTATGCATTTAATTGTATACGCTTACCTCCGCTTTATTCGTGAACGACGCCTTCGGTCATTAGACATGTATCGAAGGGCCAACAATATGAATTTGACCTTTGAATGCACGAGGCATTGCAGCCTTGTTCACCGGTGTCCAATCGCAAAATCCCAGTCAAAAAACATTCAGATATGTATAGAAAATACAGCCGTCGAGCATGCATGTGCCGCTGAACAGCAAGCGACTCGCAAATTGCCATTCAATAATTATTCACCGACCACCGATTCAGCGCCGACGAGAACACTACCCAGTCATGAGATTTCTCAACTATCTTGCTCATGAATTTCAAGACGCCGGTCAGATCTACCAGTATGCTCTCCCTCTTACTCATTCTACCATATTCTCTACCCCTTCTTCCTCCAATCGTCTCTCAATATCTCCACAAACGAGCCATAAGGGACGTAGGAGCGTCCGTCGATCCCTCGCCGAATGCGTCGATCGAGGAGTGCTAGGCTCGAGGCGAAGCTTGACTGACAGTAGGGCTCTTAGCGATTGTAGGTTCCTGGTTTCCTGAAAGACGGCGATCGATCCCCCGACGTATGAGCGCTTCGTCACGGTTGCGAGGGAACCGTCCCTCCTGAGTGTCTGGTGGAGGCCGAGAGGAGATAAGGACGTCGCGTGGGCGCTTATCTCGGTTATATCCGTTCATGCACATACGCTCTAGGCTCCGTCTTCGATAACTTTGACCTGGCCGCTCAGACTATAAAAGGAAGAGTAGCAGGACGAGTCGATCCCACCCCGTTCCTCCGAGTCCGACAGCCTTCATTCCTTCAGGCCGGCCACTTCCAGACTTTCGGCATGAAACATGATGATCTAGGTGCAGTTGACTATAGCGTTGCGAGGACCAATCAGATCTCCCATTCTACGTACCTATATAGTGACAGCCAAACTACGTATCCTCATACGGGCACTTGTGTTAGGTTAGCGTAGAAGGGCGTTCTGTCATGTTACACCAAGGATTTGAAAGGCCAAGATCAGCGTCGATCCTGGCCCACTCTGCCAAATTGACTTCAACGTGCCATTTACTAGGTACCCCAGATGGACCAATCATCTCTCCCCTCCCTCCCAGAGCCCGAATCGCCTTCTTACTAGTCTCCTACAGGGCGCTCGTGTTGACTTATGAAATTTGAAAACCCACTCACCGCCGGTTGTACATAAGCACTCGTGTTCGGATCTTGTCCTATCCAGTCCTCCAATCCAATCCAAAACAAACCCAATACTTCAAGGGCATCATGCGCTGCTCGTTGGTTGACGTTGATTTGATAAGAAGCCAAAGATCACCGTCTGGTGGAGCTCATCCCGAATCGAAGCGTCAGTCCTGACAGAAGCCTGAAGCCTGAAGGGTCTCGTTGAAAGGTCAAAGGGAAGTGGTATAAATAGATCTGGGCTAATACTTACATAGATTATTGTATTGTTCTGTCCTGTTCTGTCCTGTATGAAAGTCACTATAGGTCGAGGTGATGGTGTATCATCATGAATCAGGAGATATAATCTATTACATTACTAATTATGGTAATAGGGACTGGAGATGGCACGCGTCGAGTGTCGAGTGGTTCTCCGCCGGCCCAATCCCAACTAGTTGTGTACTCAAGATGGCAAATTGGCAATAATGGATGGTTGTGGTAGGTTATGGAAACTCGAAGGGCGAGAGGTCGAGACTGAACGCCTAAAACCTTGAGAGCATTACCTGCAGAGGTGCGTCGTGTGCTGATGATCCGCGATTACATATAGTAATATGCGCGGTTTGAATGCAGAGGTCCTGAACGATGTGCATGCGAGAACGCGCGGAATCCGCGTTGTGATGCATGATCTATCTGTCGAGATGCCTGGACAATGGCATCAAGGCGCGACGAGCGCGCGTATGCAGATCGAAGTAATCCACTCGCGACGGTTTAGTGGGCACGCGTCCATCGCCCATCGCTAATTATTTCCATCATAGGCACAGAGTAGCAGTAGCGATGAAGTCATAATTCGTGCGCCTGGTCCCTTATTCCCAAATCCCTCGGAATTCGTCGACTTGAGTGGTAAAACAGTGCGTCATATGTCAAGTATTTATCTTGATTCTCGCATCAATCTTCCTTCCTTCTTTCGAGACTACTGAGACCATTGGCCACTGGCAGCCTACAAACTGCGGTATTAGTCGACCAGATGCGAAGCCGAACGTCGAAGATTCGATGCCTATGACCGAATACATTGATATTGGCACGTCCGAGTCGGACTCATCGTCGACGCGTTGTTGATACATGTATTCCGAAAGGTCGTGCAACACGAGGCTGACGGGAGGCACTCGGGATGGGATTGGGTGGCATGGTGTAGCGATACAGTCGGTACGTAGTTATCCGCGAACATGCGTCTAAGAAGAGGCGTACGAGCGAGGCACTCCTTAATATTTAGTTAATCGGCCGCAAGAGATAAATAAACCCTTTGGAAGCGTCTGGATACGATGAAGCGAATTCGAATCGGTTTCAGCGGTCCATGAGTTTCCTCATGGGGGTTGGCAGGCGCCTACTGTCCGGCTGCGCCCGACCGTAGCAGCCGTACCGTATGGAAGGGCGGTCACGCCGTCGGACCCGGCGAACTAACGGGACGGGTGGGTGTCGAAGTGTCGAATCTCTCGATAAAATGATGAACTCGAATGAATAAATGAAGGTTCTTGGGATGAATTGAATTTCATTGCGATGTCATGATCAATTATCGTGGAATGTGTCGATAAGGCCGGTATGAAAAGGGATGTCGACAATGCCAATGCGCGCTCGGCCTCAGAGCGCGGGGGAAGTGCAGATGGGGATCTGCCCTGGACGCCAAGACGTAAGCCGTGGACGCTACTGGACGGTCCCGCGAGACCTTGGCACGCCCGCGGAGGTCCCAAACCCTCTCTCTGAATTGCAGATAATCATTGCAATTGCAATTGTTGTATGTATTGTTGTTGGTCAACGCCTGACACGCGCGGCCGCGTTCCGCCATCAGAGCACTGCCCCGGAGCGTGTTTTCGCTACTTCGATCGCACACACCCAGAGGTTATTTTGAAATCAGCCCCGCACCTGGCGAGGTCGATCACATCCGCCTTGAGCTGCAATGCCTGGATGGTGCTGCCATTGTTGCGACTTGCTAGTGACTGTACAGAGCGAATAACGGCGAAAATTTCGGTCATCTGACGTGCGTACGGGATTCCTCGGGAGCGTCTGGGACTCTAGAGGGCGACATCGATGAAGAAATGGACGAGATTGGCAGGTGGTGGACCTGTGCCAAGTTGTGAGGGCACGTGGTGTTCTCGTGGGTCAGGCCTTCTGTTTGCGGAAATGCAGAGGAGAGACGGCCGGTTCCCAAAAACTCTATCCGTGTCGCCACTGCTGGCATATATAGCCAGCCCTCTGCTCGTCGGTATGTTCCTCTTCTCTCCTCGCGACAACGCTCACCCCATCCACCGCCAGCGACGACGGGGCTTGTCACTTTAGAAAGTCCGACGGGAGTCCCATACGGATCCACACTCCCAGTCCACCCCGTCCACCCTCTTCCGCTCTCCAATCATCCCCCGACGACCCTCCCACAATGGCGCACCATGCCTCAACAGTGTTCAAGTCCCCCGACCCACACCAGCCCATTGCCGTCCTTCTCCTCATCGAGAACTCAACGAACATGGCCGCGGTGTGGCCAGATCTGCGAGATCAATACCTAAGACGCCTGCTCGACAGCATCGTCGCCGCAAATCCAGGAGCTCCGGTGCGTGCCCACTTGGTTCGTCTGGAAGGCAGCTCACACGCATACAGGTGGCCGTCACCATTCTGGAGACCTCGGCATGTAATCACGGATCCCCTCGTTCCAGTCCTCGCCCATATCTTGATACCCACCAAGGATTATACACCGTAAACTTCGACCCCTCCCCCGAGAACTGCGTCTCTGCCGGCAAAATCGATGCCTGCATCAACGTGCGCCTTATCTCGCCCTATTGTCCGTCGCCACGCTCACAAGCCCTTTGTCCCCCAGTATCTCGACACCGCAAAGTACTCTGGCCAATTGTGCACCGCGCGTCACCTCATCGTGGCAGCGGCAACAGCCCCCTCCGATGATTCGACAGGAATGCTGATCCCCGAAAATTATTCCCCATGGTTTTCCCTTTCCAGCAAACTGGCCACTGTGAGATAAATTTAGTGGTCCAAACGATTATCAGCACAAGTGCTGATCCTTCGCTTCTCTGACCCCAGAAAAATGTCTATTTCCATATTGTTGTGAGTCCCCAACAAGACATGGGCCCACTAACAATACTGTTTGAAGATACTGTGAGTTTTAATGGTTTCTTTCCATTTCCTTTAGGACAGACTCGTCTTAGCTACGCCCAAACAAACTGAACGTCAATTAGCTCCGATTACAGAAAAACATCGAAGACGTACCGCCCTTTGCGGTTGATCCTTTACGAATGGTTTGTCGGCTCTCAGCCAGACCGAATTATTATCAGCCCTTTACGGAATCCGGTGAGTCACAGAATCCCCATTCGGTTTCCCACAACTGACCACCTCGGGCCCAACAACAGAGAGCTCTGCTTCCTTCGTACGTAACGTTTATCGTATACAAAAATCCAGCTAGCTTACCTACATTCTCTCGCCCCATCTGCCCCTTTGCCCCTTTTCCCAACCAGTCCCCACAGCGCATGTCAGGGCCTCCCCGCCGGAATTCCTACCCTGCGGACAATTTCTACGCAGAGTCCTTCGAGGACGGCATCCACGCGGGCGAGAGCGAGTCGCCCAGCCTCGTCACGCAGCTGCAGCAAGTCCACGGGCTCACCAAGAAGAAGGTCTACGGCGTCAAACCGCCCCGACAGCCCTTTGTCCGCGACGAACGAATCAACGTGAACGTGCGCGACAAGTACCGCTCTAAAGTTCCCCCGGCTCCCTTGACGATGCCACTCACGCTCTCGGACCAAATACCCTCGCCGACCGCGGGCGGGCGCACGATGTCTGCGTCCCGCGCGGACAGGATGAACCGACTGAGCCAGGGCGGCAGCCCGACGGACCTGCACTCGGCGGCCCCGGCGCGCGCGCGCCAGCTCGGGTGGCCTGCCAATGCTGCCCGCCGCGGCTCGCGATTGTCGACACCAGAGCCGGGGGAAGGCGTTCCGATGTCCTCCTCGCCGGCCAGCACGTCGACGACGTTCACAGACATGTCGCCGGGTAGCTCGTATGGCGGCGGGCCGTCGGACATCTCGAGCCCGGTCACGCCTGGGACGTCGGTCGAGGAGCTCTATGGGATGGCACCTGGCGGTGGTGTGCCCATGGTGGGTGTCTACCAAACTGGAGGGATGTCAGATCCTGGCTGGCCCCAGCAGCAGCACTCTCAACACCCACACGGTCCAGTCCACCCCTCGCCAGGATTCTCGTCGCACCCCCACGTACACCCCCACCACCCTCAGTACCACGGGGGCTACAGCACCGCAACGGCGACGTACTTCCCGCCCATGCCCCAGCAGTTCTACACGGAGACAAGTCACGTGGTAGGAACCGTCGAGACGGCGCCATCGCAGATGTCGACGATGGTGGGAGGAGGCCAGAGTCAAGGCCAAGGTCAGCAGACAGGGCCCCAGCATGCGGTGCCGGGCCCAGCAGGAGGGAGACCGGCAGGCGCGGCGGCGATGCAGAATGGGGTGATGCAGGCGGGCGCATATCCCGGTTCTGGCGGCCCGTACGCGAGCGTTTCTGTTTCTGGATCCCCCCCGCCGATTGTCCCGTCGCAGGCACCGCTAATGGCGGGCGTGGGTGGTGGTGCGTCGCCCGGGAGCGTGCCGGCGAGTGTGCCGGCCACGGCGAGCACGAGCATGCCGCCCCCGCCCGACCCGACGCACACACACGGGCACATTCACAAGTCCTCGCATTCACACTCGCACTCGCACCCTCACTCGCTCACACACTCCCACGCACACCCGAACGCCCACGCCCATCCCAACGCACACAACCACGGGACCCCACGCCCGCACGCCCACGCGCACAGTCACAGTCACAAAAGGGCGACCCCAGAGGAGGACGAGGAGCGCTTCACGTTCGGGAAGGACTTTGTCGCGGCGACGGCGGCGCTGTTCGAGGCGGAGGTCCTGCCAGCGTACCCCAACTTCCCTGGCATGCGCTCGGGGCTGTACGAGGCGCCCCTACCAGACAGCCTACCGGCGAGCGAGGCGGGCGAACTGTATGCGAGTAGGAGGAAAGTGGTTGAGATGCAGGGCCAGATGCCGAGTCAGGCGCAAATGAACGGGGCTCAGATGCAGCAACAGCTACAACAACAACATCAGCAACAGCAAGAGCTACAGCGCCAGCAGGCCATCACCTCGTACGAACTCGGCCACCCTCACCTTCCACACCCCAACGCATTCTCCCATCACCACCAAGCCGCACAGGCACCCCCAATGTCGATGTCGATGTCCGCGCCCATGTCAATAGCGCAGCAGCACCCACACCCGTATCCCCAGGGGTACTCTTCCCCTCCAGGCCACCCCGGGAGCATGAACGGTATGAACGCCCGAGCGGCCTCGTTCGCGAGCTACCCATCGCAGTCCTCTAGCTACCCACCGAATTATGGGTCTTCCCTAACCGGGTGGGCGGGGTGAGTTTTTTTGCCCTTGCCTGATGCGCGCGGTGATAACCGCGATGGCGCTGTCGGAGGTCGAAACCGCGAACGATGCTGGTTCCTCCCCTCCTCCATTTCATTTTGGATTATCCTCCTCCTCATACTAACGGTTGGCTTTCTGCTGTAACCTTATGCACCCATTCATCACGGACATTTTTTCGTTTCTTGCACATTACTGCTTTGCCCTCATGTTACCCCCCTCTTCCGTTGGCTCTGTATTTCTATCCGGTCCTCTGCTCGCTCTCCTGCTCTTCGAATCCTCTCCGCCCTGCACTCGTCATCGTTTCCATTTCCTCTTCCCTGTGCCTTTCGTGTCGAGCTATCTATGGGGTCTGTGGTGCTTTCCTCTTTTCGTTTTCTTTCTTCTTACTAGGTCGTGCTGTGTCGTGTAAACAAGTAGGCTAATGTAATTCTTATGGCTTTTTGGGTTCATTCTACGCGTATATAAGGGCTTTCTCTAGCACCAATCGTTGTACGTTCTCGAGGGTCTCTATGATGGGCTTAATCGACGAGCGAATTGTGACCCGGGGATGACAAACCCAAGAACTCGGGGTTCATTACCTTTGCCAATGAGCTACGCAATTCTGAGGTTCCAGCCTATCGGATGCGTGCGGGGAGTTGTCTGAACGGTATTGACGCAGTAATATTCAGTACGGTAATCCAACACTAAGTACCCGCCGCACATGAACAAGAGACCATGGTGACCGACTTCCTTCTCACTCTTCCAAAGTTGTACAGTCAACCTTGCCGGCAACTACATCGGGACTCGCGTGCAGTTAGCGTCCTCGAGGCTCAGCCTCAGCGCGACGTACGCTTGCTCCTCAAAAATCTCAATTCATTTACTTGAATAATTCGACTTTCGGGTACAGAATACTCAGCTGAAGAGCTGCCGACTCTTTCGCAGCTGAGCCAACATCATGACCATGCGGCCCTCCGTCTCCTGATTTCTCAATCCCCATTGTGTTGGATCGAAAGTTGGCGTCGCCCATAGACGAACAGCGGATGCCGAAGGAACAAAAATAGAGCAAAAATCACAAGGGTTAACGCCATAAACCCAGTACATGATACTTCCACTTGCCTCGGAATCCCTAAAGCGTAGCCACTGACGCCTCAATATTCCAGGCTTTAGCACAGTGGCGCATTCCCTGAGGTATGTACGTCGCCGGCGCTTACACCTCGTCATACGAGCGGCTATTTCGAAATGAAATCACGTCATCACTACCATTTGGTTGCCGAACATCGATGGTCCCCGAAGCGTGGGGGACTACTTCACCGAACTTCATCGTGTACTGTATTTATTTAACTATAGGATTGTTTCCGACCTCTATGTAGATCGAGGCCCTGGAACATGGAGAGTGACCAGCTGTTGAGATCCATACACCAGATTGTAGATAGGCTTTTGCCTTTGATGCCGGCCGTGTCGTACCATATGTCATTGTATGACCCTTGAACGCGCTGTTATCGGTCTGTAGCCGTCGATTTTATTGAGACGCTCTCTTCCGAGAGAGGACGTTTTGATGTAATATTCCTCGGATGGCTTCTAGAAAAAGGGGCTGGATTTCCAGACCAGTAGCGTCTCTGTAGAGAGCCTCGTTTTGGGGCGCTGGCTGTGCGAGAATCCAGATTCTCATAGCTTTACACTGGAGTCGAGCTGTTCGCCAAATATCAGATTTTCTTCGTGCTTCGTCACATAGACTTCGGTCTATTGATTGGATCCATTAATTCCTCTGGCAAGAACTTTATTGACGCGGTGAAATCAAGACTGTTTCTCGGACAGGGGAGTCATCACCAACGATCACGACGCCTTGTAAGTATGACATTTGCGTTGCGTTATAAGCCAGGCGGTTGCCAATATCTCCGAAAATGTCCAAGCGATACACTAGTTTCTTATCCTTCAAGTTGGGAAGACAAAACTTAGGCTTAAAACCGCACGGGTGAACATTTTTGCGTAGGTCTAATCCCGCGAAGGGACCTTGGGAGCAATCTTTGCACGAGATCTGCAAGAAAGGAAACGCCAATGACGACCGTGAGGACAAACTGAACACGAGCTGTCAGGGACTTGTTGGACAACGATTTGACAGTTCCTCAAGAAGGAAACCCATTCAAAGAGAGAAGCCGGCCACCGGAAGCAAATCGAGCAAAGAAGGAAAGAGACCACATAAGGCATGCAAGTGCATCAGGAGACTCGGGGCGAGAAGCAGGATATGAAATGATATGATATGATATTACAGGATGTTGTCGGACATGTCAAAGTGGCTCTTTCGGAGTCCAAAGTGGTCCAGACCCCATTTCAAGCAGAACGCGTGAGAGCCAAATGAGAGTGGGCAATGGGAGTACGAACGTGTGTCGAAAGATGATAGTTATTATCAGGTACGTCAACATGAATAAAGCTAAGTTGTCCATGCGGCCCGTTCAGCACGGAATTGGCGACATTTCCGACGCCTTTCGCTGGGTGTTGAATGGTAGGTCCAACTTCTAGCAACAGTCCTTTGGGGGGTGATTAACTTAACCCCCTGAAGGACAAAAGAATAACATAACATGATACTGAGTTTCTGAAGCAACAGTCAACTCCGCTACGCCATCCGTCTGAGGCTCACGCAATCAGAAGAGTAGCTTCAACCTATAGGATCTGGCCCATTTTTTTTTTTTTTTTTTTTTTTTGGAATGTTTTTATAGCCTGTCGGATCCCTTTCGGGTTCCATAGCGGCTTCGTACATGTGGACTGCTATGCTACTCTACTGGCCACCAGTACCAGTGCCAAATGGCTGATAGCATGGCATGTCTTTCATCGCTTCTTTGGGCGTTCGCTAATAGTGTGTTTCCATGTACATACCCGACCGCTTCTGGGGCTGGTAGGCACAAAGATTCGAGGTGTTCAGACATGAGGGTGACTTTGCTGCAGCATGTCTTGCAAATGAATGATAACTTGTCTTTGTGAGTCGTTTGTTGGGTCGAGTCAGTGTGATGCGGGTGAAGTATGTTTTTGGATTTATGTAGTGTTTGAGGGGGTAGGCGTTGGAGAGGTAGTGGGTACCCTCCGTTTCTTCCTTTCGCAGTAGCGGGAGACCCGGTGCCACGATCCAAGCAGGAAGATACCGTTCCGATGAAGGCGATCACAGACATGCTGGTCTTTGAACCTGACCAGCATTGACAGGTGCTCCTTCTCGAATTCCTCTCCATCTCGACACAGAACCCTGAGATTACCTCTGATGTCCTTACTTACCACGCCTCCCTCCTCCTCCAGCATCGTCCAGATGTCATCTTTTGAGTCAGCAGCGTCGAAGGATTGCCTGAGGGATACTGCAGGAAGATCGTGAATAACGATACCATGCCACGGAATGTCTATGTCTAGAACTGGGAGATAAGATGGGCAGCTGAAGTCAGGGATGACTCTGGCACAGTCGTGTATCATTTGGGGATGTGCTTGGAGCTCTGCTGCTACTGCATCATTGATAGTGTGAATAACCATGTTACCCGACTTTGTGATGTTGGCGGCAAGGATTTTCCTGGGTGTCTCCCCTCGGGATGCTGGGTTGCGTTCAAGGTTGAACACGCCGTTGAGGTGTCTAACAAACATGCTGAGTGATGACGATGTCTGGGGTACTGGGTGCCCATCCCATCTTGCAATGAGTCGACTGGTGGAGTGAGGGTGCGGACGACGAGGCCTCTGTTTGGCAACAGAGGGTCTGTGGTGTGCAGTGGCGCCAGCTGGTGACGATCTTGCATGGTTCGTTGGTCTCGAGGTGACTTCAGGTTGGCAGGATTTGGCCGCATCTGCGTATGACTGCTTGGGGTGGCTTGCTAGCTCTGGTGTAGGAGCTGGGGCGGTCAGGTTGTCTGTGGCGTGTGCTGGGTCCTCCAGTGGCAAGAGGGTGTCGAGCATTTTGAGTACTCGTTTCGAGTGGTCACTAAGAGTGACTGCGGTGTTGGTGGCAGCCCGTATGATGACGAGTGTTGCTAGGACAGAGTCCAGCAACGACTCGAGGTGCTTGACCTGGGCCGCAACAGGCTCGGGCTGCGTCCACGGTGGTGGTGCGTGGTGGGGTGACTCAGCGGGCAACCCTTCGAGTGGCAGTAATTGGGTGTGTGGTGGAAGGAAGGCTGGGGACGTTGGTCCATCCTCGGTTGCAGGTGTGTACTTAGTACGTCCTCTTTTCACGGTTCTCTTTGTGTGAGGAGACGTCTTCTGGTGGCTGGTCTTAGCCTCGTCGCTCTCCGACTCTGGGGGGGTCGTTTCCGGGGAGCGCGGTCGTCGTGTGCCCAGCGTCACGGACAGTGAGCTGGCTCGCTGGCGTTGATGGTGGTGGTTCGATCGTGAGAACATAGGATCCGGCCCATATCCGCCCATTCTGCTCGAACATGAGGTAGAGGCCTGAGGGAAGTTGACGAGATATCTGGCTGGTTCCAATATCTGTGTTGATCGAAGCGATGGGGGCAAACACCGTAGAAGTGAGGAAGGTGGAGAGCTTGGAGGAAGGTTTCATGAAAACAATAGTCATAAATGCAGGTTTTGGAACGTCGGATAACTAGTACCTTGTGGATTTGTCAACGCTCGCCGAACCTAAGAGTCGAGAGCTCAGTCTGTGGACCCTTATTCTTGGGCGTCCTTTACATAGCTATGATTTTGAGTTGCATTTGAGTCTAGCAGAGACGTTGGGCACAAGAAATCGGGACCAGCTAGCCTGACGGCTATCTCGGCTACCCCAAACGGCGAATATTTGAAAGAAGTTTGTTTTCGACCTGCCTGTGTTCCGCTTTTGGGTCTCAGGCTTCGATTCCACCTTTCACAAGTCGCCGAACAAAGTGTCAGCGCGAAGCCTAAACTTTCTTCGACATCTTCTGCCAGTCGAGAAAGTGCATTACCCTTGTCATTGGTTCGGTGATCGCGATCAACTTTTGCGCCACACTGCAACATACCCGATCTGGACTTATCAAGCTTGGGTCCTTGTGTCGCTCCCAAAGCGTGATGCGGTTAGTATATTTGGCCTGCGAGATGACTTCAACAGCACCACCGGCCGCAACCACAGCCACTGCAAGCGGCACCACTAGACCTGCAGCAGCACTAGTAATCCGGGCAAGCTTTCTTCCCTGGTATTCAGACGATGCAGGGCCTGCAACCCTCCTCAGACATCGCACTCGAGAAAGATTGTTTGCCGATTCTGAAAGAGGTTTGTACTAATTTGATCCGAGAAGGGAACTGGAAGGAGCAGAGACATTACTGTTTCCCCGGTGAATATGGCGAGTGTCAGGGACGCGGAGAGCCCCCCTTTACCCTATCATATCCGCTCAACGGGTTCGGGCATCCGCGCCATCACTTTTGTGAACTTTCGTAGATGGATGAATGAGTCTATTGGAATGCTAACTATACATGTATGATGTCGTGCAGAGAGGGAAAGAAAAAGCAGGAGGAGAGATAGACTAAACGATAGGAGACGAAGGGATAGTACATATGTGCAACTGCTGGGTCAATCACGGCAGCGCGGTGGGGGATGGAAAGAATGTCAGAGACAGTAGGATGAGAGTACGTGGAGAGGGGGTTAATATAGACAAGGATGTACGTATTCTGAGTGAGAAATTAGAAAACTGGACGGACACCTTCCTTGATGTCTGAAAAGTGGAAACTTCAAATAAGAGATGTGAAAACAAGTAGGGTGGACGGCGTTTTGTGGCTTTGTAGTACGATCCTGACAATTTAAACCATCCTTTTGGAAGGGATCTCAGCAACACCTCGAGAACACAAAAGGTAATATAATACGCACATACTACCGATCGCATCTCGGGCATCGTCTCCACCTCCACCTCCAATCCCTGATCGCGCAATTCAATCAAGCGTATCAGGAACTCATCGTCCAAATCCACAGACGGGCGCACGCGAACATGCTCGAGTCGCGCGAGACCTTCGAGTTCGTCGTCGCGCAGGCGGCTCTGAAGCATGTCAACGAACGTGTCGAGCTCTCGCAAGGCCGGTGAGCTGACGGTGAGCTCCAGGTTCCGCAGTTTCGGTAGGAGCATGCCGTCCATAGCGTCGTTCGAGAAGAAATTGCGCGTCAGAGCCTCTAGGAGGTACCGCGTCACCGTCACCTCTTCTTCTTGGTATCCATTCGCATCTCTGCTAATCCCCGCGTCCCTACTGCCAGAGCAACAGCACGCCGCTGCTGAGATCACGATCAGATGTGTGAGCGACGGTACATGCTTCAACCCTTCTACCAGCTCATCGTCCGGGAGCGCTGTCTTTCGCAGATGCAACGTCTTCAGCGTATGGAGGCTCGAGAGGAACTGAGTAAACTCGTTTCCGAATGCCGACTTGAGGTTGCATATGCTGAGCGTATCGAGGTGCGGAAATTTGAGGTGCGGGAAAAGTGGCCGGAGGTCGACGTGCTCATTCCACTGTGGCGTCATGATTGTGAAGCACGTTAGGTGATTATGATACACGGTCGGGTAGTGAGCCGGCAGACCAGGTGAATGAGGGAGGACGATCACTGCTCCGGTGCCGTTGACGACCGGAGGTGGTGGTGGGGCTTGAGGACCGCCCTCGACGAAGATAAAGGACACTTTGGAGAGGCTCCTGCCACGGTGTAGCATGTCTAGACATTCGCTAATATTCCCAGACAGCAACGGAATATCGTGCAGTTGCGCCCATGGGAACTTGAAGATGGTCGGCGAAAGATTGACGCATTCGATGGAGCGTAGGCGGGGTGCAACCTCAAACATGTCGAGATTCCTTGGGCGGGATTCTATTTCGTCGTCCGTCCCGAGGCTGAGGTCCGTCAGGACAGGCAGGCGTCCACGGACACTGGAAAACGACTGAAACGCTTGATAAGGCATGTAAAAGAACATTGTGTGCCAACGCTCTGAGTGTTGCATGAGCTTCTCCAGGACGACGTGCGTATCTGCGAACGGCGGCTCTTCCCAAAAGACATAGACGGTCAACGGGCACGCACCCGATCGGGCGAGCCAAGTGTCGATGAGTGTAGGATCTCTGTTCGATCCGGTGCCTCTGAGCTGAATGGAGAGACGGGACCATAACTGGTGGTTGCTGATCGCTGCCGCTCGCCATCGCGAGCAGATCTTGGAGAGAAGAAGTGGTGTATGGATGGTGTTGATATCGTCGATCCCATCATCCACACAAAAGAGAAAAATCTCTGACAAAAGCTCGATAGGGAGCCTCCCCGACGGTCCATACCTCGAAGATGACAACGAGAGAAGGTGAATAGGTGGGAGTGATATATCTGCCATGATTAATACTTATCCCAAGACGCTGTATGGGTCGGGTGACAAAAAGGCGATTGACGAGGAGAAGAAAGGGTGGCGCGACAAATGTCGGTCCGGGGGCTCTGAGTAGTGGATCAGAAGGGGTCGGGAGATCCGCGTATGCTCGAGGGCATGTGGCTATAGAACGGCTGGAACGCCAACCAGAAATCGCGATGACACCGTGATAAGCGGTGCTTCCTATGTGATAACAAATTAGTCTCTTGAATCGACTCGAGAGCAGAATCTAGAGTCTTACGACGAGGTCAAACGAATCTTGTAGAAGATCCAAGTACGTTTGAGAGCATATGGAAATAAATGACTCTCAGATGCCAGCCAAAATCGCAATGCTCCAAGATAATCGATCGATTATGATTACTGGATGTACGACCGAAAATATTTTGGCTCTTGCTACGCCCGGGGGTGAACTGTGGACTCTCCGGAGGGTTCTTTCAAGATCAGGCACAATCAGCTGCGATCGACGTGGCCTATAAGGCCAACAGAAGGTGACCTACAATGCTTGGTGCTTCAAGGTGATGGTCTTCAATACGATGGCGGTATGAGACGGGACGAGGAGGGAGACATGGTGGCCGTTGGAAGTGGAAGGAGTTTAAGTAAACCGTGATCGTTGTCGATGCCATCTCCCATCGTAATCTTATCACTTGTTTGGCTGTCCTTCTGTCACCAAATACTGCCCCTATTCCGCTACACGAGCCTCGCGGAATCCTGAAGGCGCTCAGAAACCCATTCACTATGAGGTGAGGGATTCTGAATACGGAAGTTGCAGACCCATTCATAGCACAGTCCGTTCATATCTCAAAGAGATTTCATATCGATTTCGGATCACCGTCAACTTTCGTGCCCCGCCTCGCACGACTTCGGCGGCGAGTCATCATGTGGTCCTCGCTTGCATTGATCTTCGTTTAGTCTCCGCGAAAATAGAATTTCGAGTCCCGAAAACTGGGGTAGATGGTTCTCTGAGTGGTCTTATCGCCATACCCAAATGAATCGAGGGCACGCCAAGCTTTCTGAATTCTTCCGGTTAATTTTTTCAGGACAATTGAGTGGTTAGTCGTCGCAAGAAAACGTGTTTTGTCGTACTGCAATTTCAACGATAATAATACACAGACTAGCGGAAGTCGTGATGTCGTAGTTTAGGCGGGGGTATAACATAAAGGAATCGAGTCGCGTGCCAACGAGTAAAGGTTTGTGTTGCGGAGATAGAAGAGTCTTCAATCTCGTTAGTAGCTCGACCTCCCAGCTCGACGTCTGCTCCTTCCTGAACGCATGCGCGACCTCCTTGACCCAAAACACCTGCAGCACAGGATGTCGGCTATTACGTCAAATATAGTGACGATGACCTTTAATGTGTCGTTGATTTAATCGACATGGCCCAGTGAATTAAAGTGAATGCTCACAGTTGTGATGGCGCCCACAATCGCCATAATTACCCCGGCAATTGCGGAGATGATGGAGTTAATTCCGCGACCGATTGCTGAGAATATTGATCCCTAAGGAGTCGTGGTTCAGCAAAGGGAACAAAAGGGGATTTAAGAGGCTCATACCATGGTTTAGTCGATTATTCGTTGCGAGGATCTAGGTGGATGTGCGTTTTGAATGAAGAGAATGGTCTTGGTACCCAGGTACCCACCTATATATGCAGCAGCCATACAGATGACGTCGATATTTCATGACGTCCGTGTACCATTCTTTCTCCGTCTGACGAGTGTGCGGTGCTTCACGGCGTCATAGTGTGGCGTAGGCTCCCCTCGATGCAGATCAGCCCCTGTCCCCTCGGTGACGTCAGCCTCGATGATCCGCTCAATTGACCGGCCCGTCATCTGCCGCTGCCTCTTTCCGGCTTTTCGACCTATTTTCGCAAAATGAACGAGTTGCATGAAAAGGATTATTCGCCGCTAGTCCTCGAGATTTAATCTAGTGAAATTGTGAAGCTACTCTAACTCCACATTATCAGTAGAGCACGTCGGCCCGCGTATATCGGCTATTCCCGAATGACTCAGAGAACATTTTCTGTGCACTGACGGAGGATATCGCTTTGTTCACGTCCTTCATCCATTTCATACTTATTCTCTGGAAAACTACCACTGCATTTGTTTCTGAATTACTTAAGTTAAGTATGACCAACGATATCGATTTGAATGGAAAGCCTACGGTGAGCCTGACGATTCTTCTGATCTGCTTTTGCTTCCGTCGTTGAATCTGTGCTCAAATCGAAACAGGTATCACAGGCTGCAAGCGCTGTTGATGGAGGACTGTATGATGTGAACTTTTGCTTCCTAGTACCAAAATCTATAGAGAGCGAACGCCTCGCCTTAACACCCTTCATCGTACGTCGTCGCTATGCTTCCAAACTACATCCAATAATCACCCCTAATTATCCTCATTTACAGCCGTCGCAACACGCCGAATTGTTCATGTCACAAGCACTTCTATATCCAGAAGTCTTCTCCTTCCTCCCATTCGGCCCCTTTGCCGACACTCACGACTTTATGACCAACCTCATCCAAGCGCGCGTCGAGAAAGACCCAGGTTACATTCTCTTCACGATCTACGACAAGACGCGTCCGACACTCGCCAAAGAGTGGCCCGGCGCAATTGCAGGCATAATCGGGCTCATAAACTCCTCCGCGCAGAACCTTCAGACGGAGATCGGATGTGTGATTATCCTCCCACCCTTCCAGCGCACGCACGTAGCGTCGAACGCCGTCGGGCTATTGTTGCACTATTGCCTGGACCTGCCAGACCCGGCCTCAACTCTCGTCGATAAGCCAGTGACAATTGTGGACGGCGCACCGCTGGGCTTGAGACGTGTTTGTTGGCAGGCGAATGCTAGGAATATGGAGAGCATCCGGCTTGCGGAGCGTATGGGGTTCCGGATGGAGGCGATTTTGCACTGGGATCGCGTCCTTCCTCCAGGGAAACAGGGAAACAGATCTGCGCTCAGGGAAGGAGAGGCTAGGGAAGGTTGTCCCGGACGCGACACCGCACTGCTAAGCCTATGCTGGGATGATTGGGAGCATGAGAGGGCGAAGGTGGATGCAATTATTAGAAGGATTAAGTAATCTCACGGAACTCGGGTACAATACGCATATTTAGAAGGTCTTGAATTGTGCTGCGGTTGACGGATGCGGACGCTCTCGTCGCCTGAGTCGGGTGAGGTTGTCTCGATCGAGTAAGTCGGCGTGTAGAACTGTGGCGCATTTGTGAACCACCTGCAATTATTTGAGCCCTCAGAAAAACTCGAAAGGAACACTAGTCACCTCAGGGTGTCATTCGTAATTGTAAGTTCTACAACATCCTAAGAAGGCTATCAATGCTCTGGAACAATAGCTCTTGCCGATACGTAAGCCGATCGCGGGTACTTGGGTCACGAACTGCGGGCTTGACTTCAGAAACTCTTCCAAGCTCCTCTGTAGTGCGACTTCGACGACCGAAGCGAGATAAAGGCTCCCTTGAAACCCGGTCGCCCGCACGGCAGGCGGATTTTTTGTTTTCCTGATGAGTCATGCCATCAATTGGTAAGCGCTCATGGTGAATTCCCCCGTAATTGAACATCTCTCCACGTAGCCATGCGACCATGTCCGCCGTGATTTGCACCGCAGTCTACGTATTCTACCTTCCTGAAAAGGAAATTAAATGGACCCGTGCGGCGTCCCTGTCGATCCCGCGGTAAGTTAGCGCGCGATTTCGAAGACCCCTTCTTGACCGTGCTTTGAGTCCTTGAGATCTGGTCGCCCCGTATTCACTCAAGTCGGAGACTCCGATGCTGAACGCACAGCGAATGCTTATGAGGCACAGGTATCGAGACGCACAAGCTTACGACTAAGTAATCTCTAGAGCAACCTTCGAAGGTTTGAACAAGCCTTTAGCTAAGGCCGTGCTTCTCGAACTTCAAATCTTTCACGCGACCGTTATTTCGGAGATTTTTTTTGGTTCGTCGCGAAGGCCACGAGCTCGAGCGGGCAGGGACGTCCTTCGTGTTACGTCCTCCGCGAGGACTTCGTCAGTCGAGGTGCCGCAAGTTACAAATCGTTGCTTCGAGAGCACATGGGCAGCCTTGTGTCCCTGTTCTCTGAACATATAAAAGCTCGAGGAATGTTCTGAAATTCCTCAGCAATCGCCGGTCGATTCTCTCACTTCCATCCTCATCTCTCGTCTACTTGGTGCTGGTCGCCCCTCGCTCACTCTATACGCCAACTTGCAACGACCTTTTCACGATATCCAAGATGTTCTCCTCTGCTTCCTTCACCGTTCTCCTCGTCGCTGCTCTTTCCATGCAAAGTGAGTCGGCCTCTGAGCTAGATAACGACGATTCCACTGACCGCGCGTTGTGGTGACAGCTCTTGCCGCTCCTCTCACTGCTAAGATCGGTTCCGATGGCTCTCAAGCTAACCGCCACGCCATTGAAAATGCCATGCCCGTTGGTATGTGCGCTCCATATACTTTGTCCTTGGACATTGTCTAATCGTCCTGAATAGCTAACCAGAAGATCAAGAACATGCAAGCAGTGATCGGTAGCTCGAACGCGAAGAGTCACCCGGCCGTCCGCAAGGCCTTTGGCAACGACGCGAACGTTGGCAAGATCAGGAAGACAGTGGACAAGCTGGCGAACGGCCGCATCGTCGTCCCTCACACGGATTCGGCCTCGGGTGTGACTGAGGGTGCGACTAACCCCAGGAACGGCCATGTAACGTTCGGGTCGACGTTCTACCAGAGCGGCAAGAGTGCCAACTCGCGTGCGGGGACGATCATTCATGAGGCGTCGCATGCCTTGGGAAAGACTGTCGACGCTTTCGACAGGAACGGAAAGCCTTACAAGTACGGCGAGTCGCTCCCTTCGGACAAGGTCAGGGCTGGTGTTCAGATTGGCTGTAAGTAAAATCCTGTCTGCTGTCCTCACTTGACCGATTCTTATATTGTGAGCAGACAAGGACAGCAACATGGATTCGCTGAAGGCTAGCTCTTCGAAGAAGATGCACCACAATGCTGACTCGTACCGAGTGTTCGCCGAAGAGTGTCCCGAGGCCAGGGAGGATCTCTTCGAACGGGCCATGCTCGAGGACGATGTCGAAATCGTACGTCACTTCTTGACTGCGTGCTCGTATGTGCTGACTACCTGCCACAGCGTGAATTCCTCTTCCGCCGTGCGTGCAAGCCCGGTGCCAAGGGTAGCAAAGCACCTGCTGGAAAGGCCGCACCGAAGCCCGCCGCTGCTAAGCCCGCCGCCGTCAAGGCCGGTCGCAAGTAAAGGTCTTGGATTAACAGAAGTACTCGCTGTAATTTTGGTGCATAAGTTTTCATGACGTGAATTAATATTGAAGAGATTTGATGAGAACGAACCGGTACTGAATCTGAGATCCTTGGAGGTTGTGTCTTAGATTTATGATGCGAGGTGACTCCTGAGCCAGATGGGCGAGACTGCATCTGGGGATTGCTGTGATGGGGGTAGCACCACTTCAGGTGGTAATAGTGACGAACAGCAAATTTCAAGTCGAAGTCTTTATATAAGAGCTCACTTACAGCTGACATGAGATCTGGGGTATGGCTTGAGCAAAGTTACACCCTTCCCGACCTCAATCCGAGCCTGTCATCACATTGACATCGTTTCTCCGCGTCTAGGATAATATCACCCGAAATCCAGCTACCAACTGTCTTCATAAGTGCCATGTCTGGATGCCGACCTTGGCATTCAGCCGTAGGGGTGATCCTGAGATACCGTAGGTTCCAGTGAGGATATTTGCGAGGTTTTGTGAGCTCCAAATGTCCATGCTAAAAGCCAATATCCCGTTAACGCCAACATTATCTTTAGTGACGCGATGAAGACCCTACAGTCATCAGCATTCTTCCCTCAGGATCCTCGCTTTTCGAAGGTGATAGCGCGGTGAACTTGATCTCGAGATGTTTAAGATGCGGCAATTTGACGTAGAAGTTATCAAACAGGTCTGGAGAGAGATTCTTCACCTGAATGGAAAGCTCCTCGAGCTCGTAGCAACCGTCTGAACCAGGCGACAAGGAATTGAGTATGGAGTAGATCCAAGCTTCAGAGAGAGGACCCGAAATCCGAAGGGACCTGAGGCCGGGTGTAAACTGCCTTAGATCTGAAAGAATATTCCTCCTGCTCATTCAATCTGCAGGACGTGTTGCCAAATATCGCAAGGCCGGCAAGACAAGGTGCGAAAGTCCGATCTGCAACGGCAATTTTACATCCCTTGAATCGGTACTCGTTATCCATTTGCTGTACGACTCCCCTGCAGGATGCCCGTCATCTTCACCCCACTCACGCATCATAGATGGTATTACTACCAATTGAGATTGTTGCGTGGAATATTTCCCAATGAATTCTGTAAGTTTCGTCATGTCGACCAGTGAGGAGGCATGGAATGGACAGCGGTACTCGAAATTTTGCAGACCTCGGAGGCGAGGAAGCGAAGTGAGATTAACGCTGAAGTCTATGTTTGGGTCTGCAGATGACAAGGACAAGGAACGCAAGGAAGCCCCAAGGAGGTTCATGAGTTTCGTCAGACTTGCATATACTTGATTTTTGTCGCTTGTCGTAGTGTAAGGCGATCGTCGAAGATGCAGGCTGATATGGGTGACGTTCTTCAGGACGGTACACCCGTATCGGAGCATAGACGTGATGAGGAACTGAAGGTCGAGTGGGGGTGCTTCGATAGAGATTTTCTGGACGTTGGGACCAATGCACTTCTTCTCCCACATAGTGTTATAGAAGTTGAAAAAGCTTTGACTTTGTAACCAGCTAGAGAGCGTAACCGTGAGTTCCTGGAGGTTGATGAGGCAGATGGGCGAGTCTGAAGTCGAAACATCCAGAAAACGTGTGGCCTGTCGGAATGAATTGCGAGGACTGCCAGCGAAATCACATCGCAGGTCCTCCAGGTGGCACAGGCAATTGAGAAATGTTATCTGGCGATTGGAGGATGTTGGTTTCAGCGAATCATTCAAGCGCGCCGGGAGGACGGTCAGTCTCCGAACATGGTTGGCGACATTCTGGTCCCTACTGGTTATGACGTCCAAAAGCGTTCGACAAGGATACGTACAATCAATACTCGCATGGCGATTTCGAACCTTTCCTTAATCATACTGTCGCCACTGTCCAGAATGATTTCTTCGTAGAGTTGATTCAGGCTGAGGTCGAAGAAGAGCTTGTTCAGAGTGCATGTTACAAGGAGGGATGTTCTGGGTAGATATGTTAGAATTTCGAGCCAGACTTCCACAGGACAGTTGGTAGACAGCATGGTGGTCGCGATGAATGCACTGGCCGTAGTGACAGGCAGGTTCCAAGTATTGCGGCGAAAGCTGATCGGCGAATTTCTTGAGATAAGATAAGATTTGCCCATAATGGGTACATCATCTGGTTAGCTGTCATTGCACTGACAAGCAATGTCTCTCGACGTATCAACAACTACTGAGTCAGGCAGACTCTTGGCAATACTTCTCGTAACGAACGTGTCAGGATGTGGAACTGTACAACTCGAGTACGAGGGCCTCGTCACCCGGAGATAGTGCAACTGCCAACTGTGGTACCTGCGAGCTTGGATGGCATTGTGAAAGAATGTCTAAAGGCGATGGAAGCGGAAAGTCAGTTGCAAAGTCAAAGCAAGGGTGTGAATGACTGACAGCATCGCGGAGAACGTACTCTCCGGTGGAGGATGAGATATCGATGTGATCAACAGTCAAGGAGCGCAGGTGCGGCAGCTCCGATGAGAAGAGGTCAAATAATTGGGGCGTAAGGACGTCGACGGAGACGTTCAACGATTCCAGGATGGCACCACCTTCTCGGCGTGTCAGGCTCTTGACCACCTCAAAAACACGGGTGAAAGTCAGGCGCACATCCTGCAGGGTGAGGTTCGTGATGTTCGGGGTGACCTGGGAAAGCGGAGGTAGTGGCGGTCGCTTGGGAGTGCTCTCCGAAGTGTATGGCCACATCCCCAGTTGGTCTGACTCGCGTAGGCCGACGTCGAGGGTGCGGAGAGCTGGCAGGACGAGCTGCGGAAAGCCATGTTGTTTGTCTGAGGTCGGTTTGCTGATTGGGTTGAGCCACTTGATGTAAATCTCGTCGGAACGTTCAATTGTTGCAGCTCGAGGGCGCGTCTTGACGACCAGGTGCTCGAGAATTGAAGCATGTTTCGAAAGGAGACGAGTGAGACTACCGGCATTGGGAAGGGTTTCGTTTCGGAAGATGGTGCGAAGGTCGAACTTTGTTAGCTTCGGTAGGATCGGAAAACCGTCGAAGAGCGAACTGAGGTCGACAATGAGTGAAGATGAAAGTGTTACAGATCTTATGGTGCCCTTAAACACAGTCAAAAAGGATTGTATGGCCAACTTTGCAAGACGATAATCTTCCTCGGATTGACGAAAGCGAGTCACCGACAACGTGATGTCTATTTCTTCCAGATTGGTTAGCTGGCCGGCACACCGAATTAACGGGTTCAGGAGGAGCGGAATCTTGACAAGGGTCGTATCAATGTTCAACTTGAGCAGGTTTGGAGCGACCGAGTCGAGGCTCCACATCGAGTTAAGAAATGCGGCAAATGCTGGAGTAAGAGCATGGTCGTAGAGGACAATGGTAATTTCGCGGAGGTTGGGACAGAGCTTGACAGCTTTGCTAGCTGCTTCAAGAATCTTTGAGGACGGGCTGGGCGCGATAACTTCAGGGGTCTCTGAACAAGAGGTTACCCCCAGGTGACTCTTGACATAGGTGAATCCCGAGGAGAGACTTTTACGAAAAGAACTTCTTGGTTGTTCATCCTCGTCCATGCCGGGAAGAAAGGCAGGTCGAATGAACAGGTGCTGGACCCGGTTGGCAATGTTCGTATGTCTGGTAAGTCGATTAGGCGGAACGTAGAAGAACAGTGAGAACCTCGACGCACTTGAGCTGCTTGAAGCTCTTCACCATCTCTTTGTCGTCGTTAATGAACCGAATTTCTTGGTAAATATCGTCCAGTGCGAGCTCGAAAAGTGTCCGATTGACCCCTATCATCTTGTGAAGCATGCTGCGTGGAAGAAGACCGAGGACTTCGAGCCACAGCTCGACTGGAAGATCTGGGGTGGGCATGCCAGTGCTAATGGATTAACAGCACACTATGACTGGGGACTGTAAGCTGTCAAAAGTGTGCCTTTAAATAAACCGGAACCCTGAGCAGGCCTGGACGTATGTAGTATGTGGCGCTGCTCGTTCCTTGACCGCCGTCTGTCATCCGAAACGAGGTTTACGCAGGTCTTCGACGGAATAGGGTCTTCTGAAGATAACACAGCATTCTGTTCAATGTTGACCTTTTTGCAGTGCGGGATGGCATAAGGGCGAAAAGAAAAATGCATTGGAATTATGTTCCCACGATCGTCCTCCGACTCCGGAAGAGAGCCGACCCTCATGAATACGACTCTTCAACAAACTTCCGCCTCCAATTTTCTCTCTTCTTCTCTGTATCATACATATCCAGACCTACCTAATACCTATTCCACATCTACACAAGCTCAAGGCTATCTATAAACGTCATGGGTGCCTACTACGACGAAATTGAAATCGAAGACATGGCCTGGGACGAGGAGAAGCGGGTGTACCACTACCCATGCCCATGCGGGGATCGCTTCGAGATATCTCGGAGCCAACTCGCAAACTACGAGGACATTGCTGCATGTCCTAGTTGTAGTCTTATAATCCGGGTGATATACGATCCAGTGCGTTTTTGGTATGTGCTCTCGTTCAGTCTGTGCTAACCTTCGGATCTCTATGTACAGCTCGACTTCGAGGACGAACCCCCGGATGACGACGACTCTGGAGAGGCGGAGGAAGAGGAGGACGATGAAGAGGATGAGAGTGATGACGATAAGTTCGAGGATGCCTTAGAGAAGCTCACCATTTCGGACGAGGCGCCAAACGTCCTGGCTGTCTCAGCGTAGGATTCGCGCTGGAGAATGCATTGTATACTACGTGCAAGTTCATTCTTTCCCGTCCTTAGAAGTGAACTGATCTTTCTTGACAGTCTGTATTTTTATCATCCCTAATCTCTGGCGGTGACGAACATCTTTTTTCGAAGCCCACATATATGAAAAGGGCTTTTTTTCTCAACCTGCAACCCAGCTATTCTCAGCTATCATCATTTCCCGTCTACCTCTACAGATTTCTCGGATTTATCATTTGACATTGGCTACGGCCCTGTGCTATGCACCTATCTTCGGTCCTGGCTGGTATTAAACATTCAGGAATCATTGTGATTCATCGTTGCTCTCAGGCAACGTCCACCTAGATCATGTTCATTCTGTTCCTATGCACTTTGGGGTGTCGAGTCTGGGGCAGATCCTTTGTTCGCTAGTTTTGTTCAGTTCGAGGGAAGCGTTGAACAGCTGAAGCTGAAATCAATCTCGTTTTGGCCAGGACTTGGAGCTAACGGCGTAGGTAGCAGAATCCATCTTATCAGATAAGAGATCCTCCCGTCATCCAGATTTGTGATGACGAATCGCGTCCGTTAGTAAAGCTCTTCACACCTTATCTGCAAAGAGATGCCCTTGCATCCAGGTTTAGCTTCTACCACCACGTTCTCACCCTGTTATGACAGCTGGAGGCCTGACCGACGAGCGGCAGCCGCTGCTTGGCCAAGTAAACCCACCTGAAGACGGCGTACTTCAAGAAGTCGAACACGGGAAGGTCGAAGAAGAGACCGTGGAGGTGGCAGAGCTTACCTGGAGGTGGTATGCGTTCTACGGGGCGCTGCTGGTAGCGGGACTCGTGGCCTTGACCTTGCTCATCAAGGGATTCATCGATGCAGGGGATAAGGATGTGAGTCGTTGCAGTGTTCAGTGTTTGTGAAAGAACTCATTGGAGAGCGTAGTTCGATCTGAAAGGGGCGTTGAAGAGTGCTCTTGGAGGTGGCCTCAGTGGTGCTGCAGGTACGTCTACCTTTATCCCATTCTGAGAGCAATGTTTAAACCAACGATGTCGAATAGCGATGGTTCTCCAAGTTCTGACCCTCATGGCAAGCACTAGTATACCCCCATTTCGCCACTTAAACTCATAGAGCCCATCGAAACAGCCTCTGCGCACCGTCATGAACTACCAATACCGCTTCGGTACCACACTTAGGCAGGCCACCCAAACCCTCTACGCGGACGGCGGCTGGACACGGTACTACCAAGGCCTCAGTGCTGCCCTCGTCCAAGGCCCTGTATCGCGGTTCGGGGACACCGCTGCCAACGCAGGGATTCTCGCCCTTCTCGCCTCGAACACATACATGAAGAAGCTTCCTTCCTTCGTCCAAACAGCCTTCGCCTCTCTCGCCGCTGCGGCGTACAGGATGATCCTGACCCCGATCGACACCGTGAAGACGACTCTGCAGACGCAGGGGAAACCCGGAATCAGGATCCTCCGGAGTAGGGTGAGTTTATTCTGCTGTGCCAGTCATCGTCCCACCCCCGATTCGACGGGATATTCGAGAAGGGATCTCCAGGAATGACTTGCCTAACTCTCGGACTTTAAACGTGGGGCCTTGGAGACCGTCTAGCCCCCGAGACTCACCCCAACCTTCCGACTCCGAGCCAACCTCTTTACCCACCCGTGGTTTGTGTTTTTCCGTATCTAACCAACCTTTTTTTATCGGTTTAGATCAAGAGGTACGGTATTGGCACTCTCTGGTATGGAGCACTCGCAACAGCCGCGGCTACTTTCGCTGGCCACTACCCAGTAAGTCCCATCCTTTCAAGGCATTTTACCTTCTAAATCCTTTCTCCAGTGGTTCGGCACCTACAACTATCTTGAGGAGAAGCTCCCAAAGGCCGATACGACGTTCGAGAAACTCTCTCGACGCGCTTTCATCGGGTTCGTCGCCTCTATCGCCTCTGACACGGTGTCCAACTCGCTCCGAGTCTTGAAGACGTACCGCCAGGTCAACGAGACGCGTATCGGGTACACTGCGGCAGCGCGGGCTGTCATTGCCGTGGATGGCGTGAAAGGGCTGTTTGGACGCGGTCTGAAGACGAGGATATTGGCCAATGGACTCCAGGGCCTGATGTTTTCCGTTCTTTGGCGGTTCTTCATGGATCTGTGAGTGGTTTCTTGCGGTTGTTGATATCACGAGTTGATCATTTCTTGCAGGTGGGAGGAGAGGTCCAAGGCCAAGATAGACTAGATGAATTTAGACGCGATAATGAAGAATGTTGTTTGTCCTGCTCCATGTACTGATACTCTTTCTATGCTGTAGAACCCTATCCAATTGTTTGACGATCTGACGATCGTCGTGTCGTGGTCGGCGAACTACTTCCGCCGCTGTCTTGTTCGAGAAGGGCAGCATTAAGTTATGTTTGTCTTTGAGATCCAATAGTGGCAACACTGGCGCTTATGCTTCAATCATATCCTCTCAAACAACGAACAGAGATTTTAAAGATATATGTTTCGCAATGTATGTTGCGTACATGAGGTTCGGGTGACTAGGTATGTACTATTTCTATCCAAGGAAATGTGCTAAATTGCTTTTATAGTGTTATTCACCGTGCTATGTCTACTTCATCAATTGCGCTGGGACTTCCTCCTCGTGAGCGAGGTTCTTAGGGAGGAGAGTGGCCTGGTACTTGCCCCAACCCTTGACATCTATGGACTCTAGAGTCAGATGGGTGAGATGGTTGAAGGGTAGATGAAAGTCCTTCAGGGCAATGGGGGCCCAAGAGCTGTTGAATGGTATAAGCAACTCTTGTTCGAACTGCCTGTATCCAAAGTACCGGCCACAGGAGCCTCTGGAGCTGGTATCCCATGCAGCAAATGAGAGAAGGTGCTCTTCACTAGTCCGAGGCATGTCGTGCAAGAAATGAGAGAAGGTGCTTTTCACTCCCTTTGGCTTTCTGTACACTTCCAACTCCGCCTGCGCATAGTTCTTCGAGACAAAGACGGGTCCGAACCAAGTCTGCACTTTGGTCACTGCGTCTTCGCGACGCAGGCGGTGCGGGCGGCGGGTCTGGCTTGAGCGCTGGCAGTTCCGTCGATATGGACAGGGGGATCCCCGGATAGATGGCGCCTTGGATAGTGATCGGGGCGGACGAGGCGGTGGTCGAGACAGCAGCTGGGGTAGTGAGGGGGCCCGGGGACAGCCGCGGCGTTGAGGTCAACTCCAGGGATAACAAGCTCGTGTCTAGAAAGAATGAGAGACACGTTGAGAACCTTTCATCAGGAGTGATAAAGGCGGAGAACTCACTCATATGCTTGGATTTGGGTTGCGTCGAATGCACTCGCGGTGCTGGCCGCCATCTCGATAGTCTCAACGCCTGAGGTGGCCCTCGACCACTTCGCAGAATAGGCGGCCTTGACGGCGGCTAGTTGCTCCTCGAGCTGCACAATAAGCGCCGCGTGCGCCTCCTTGGTTTCAGGGAGGACAGGGGCGGCGATAGACTTGGAGATGGCGTTGGTGTTCATGTTGGTGATTGGTATGGATGACTGGAGCTGGGGCTCGACAAGAGATAGAAGATTGGGTGGTAACGTTAGCTGGGCTGGGGGGCGGGCGGACCACGGAGGGGAACACAGCAATCTCAGAGGCAAAGGTTGCAGCCGCTGGCAGATTTGTCGGGAAGCCAGTCATAAGTTGATGTTTCCCTAGAATTCACAGATGGGAAGTAGGGGGTGAGTGGATGGGGAGGATGTAGGTGTGTCTGCTTGTAGGGAGAGGAGTTTCTGGAGGATGTCCCTCGTCCTAGCGGCTTATATATGTGTCGCGTTCTCCAGTGGCACACTTTCAAAGCGCATCATGTTTCCATTCTAGGGACCCCTTTGCGCGACCACATTGTGTTTTGCACGTTGTCTGCAGCCCGCTTTGACTGAGCGGCCCAGGTGACGACCAAGCGCGCCGACAACCGAAGGCACTGCCGAAATAGGCCATCGCGCCACACCCATATTTGGCAGTTGGGCCCCACTTCTTTCAGGCTAGCGGGTCATTGGACGTTGCCATCAATATTCGCCACCAATCTACTATTACCCCATAAAATGGAGTAAATCGCGTCCGAGACGAGCTCCTTGTTGTAGACGATTGAACCAAACGGCAAAGAAGAAATTCATGCTTTTAGTGTACATTCTTTACAAGAACAATAAATTGTCGATCAAGTTTCCGGCCATGGATTCCACGCCATGACAGATAATTATTCCCCAACGCACCATATAAAGTGCCATCCGCTCCATACGCAGCCGTTTCCTATTAGTCGAGAATGTTGTAGGTAAAGAACACTCCCGCCTGCCTGCGTAACGCGGGGAGACAGGAATGCGGGACAGACCTGAGCAATGAGACAAGACCAGTGATATCTACCTCACTAAGAGGGGTATCTCCACTAATTTCTCGACAGTAGAAGTAACCTAATGTGAGGCTCTCTGGGGCATCATATAGGCAGATTTTCTTGATTGCTTCGTCCAACACTGTCGAGCAGGGTGAGTCGAACGAAGAGGTGCACGGAGAAGGAGGTGTGCATCAGACGGATCAATTGTGTTGAGGACAAGAGTCCTCAATGTCTTGCTGCAACACTGGCGACACTGGAAGATCCTGAGCTGATCCCCTAGTTCTCCACACCCTATTGGTGTATATATCCTGTAGTGGCGGAGGCTTTCCACCGAAATATTTGCGTGCTGCTGTTGTTTTTCATCTTGCTTGTCCCACCTTAGCAATTCGGGCACCGCGTTCGAGGACATGCATGAGTCGAGCTGGTCCAAAAGGATTGGTTGTGTCAATAAACTCTCGTATGGCAATCGTATGTGCGCAGACGGTCCCACAAACACGGCGATGAGGAATAGATCTGTAATCTTCCGGCAGCTCTGCATAAATACTGACTGGAGCAAGAGTGCAGGGTCGATGATGAGAGTGTTGATGTGCGGGGCGACGAAAGGAAGCCAAAACTGGGAAAATACAAGTCTACCCTCCGACGTCAGGAACTGCATGTTCGTAATCTCGAAGGTCCAAAAAGATTTTTCTGTCTTACGAAAAGTACCCATAAGTTTATGCAAGCCTTGATATTTGTGAGCCACAAGATACTGCCCATCTCGAGGGCACATTGTATGTGGACATGCTGTACGAGCTCTGCAATCTGAGGGCGTTCTATGAGAATGGTGAGGATTAATTTAATCCTTTGAGTGCGGCGCTTATTTTCTGGGGAAACTTTCTCGTTATCTTCATCGCTTCTGATGACGAGTTTGTGGAATATGTGTTTTTGACACTAGGGAAGGAATGCTTGACAGACGAGGGAATACGCGAGTACCGAATCTAAGGCGCGCTCTTCTTGTGCAATGCCGTCAGTGATGTCGTCGACGAGGGCTGTCATGGTTTACGTTAAGAAACTGCACTGTGCAGATGACGCCAATAAAAATGATCCGATAAGATGAACAGAATGGACCCACAAGTGGGTAATAGGTATACAACATCCGCGTTCTCGAGGCCAAAGTACTGAGTGCATTCGTGAATTGGAAACTACGGCGATCACTACGGCGGCATCTGCCGGCAGTGACAGGCAAGTTCGCCCCACCTCCGTATTCTACGCCTTCCTCCATTGTATATACCCTATTCAACACGGAAACGTACATCAAGATTCTCGCCTGATAAAAGTGCCATCGCGCGTTGTCGCTCAAGCCTCTCGCAAAGACAGGCAACTGGCCCCATTGGATTCGCGAGGTGTCCTGCTCGAACACAAGGGGCCCTACTCGACCTACAAAATATAAACGGAGGCGAAGAACTGAAAAAACAACGCAGGATCGATAGGACAACTCGTATGATGAAGATCGAGATCGAACACATCGACGGCGGAGGTGGGCGATGACTCGCACTCTCACCGCGCTTCCTCAGTGCCCTCGACCAAGACACCCCTACCACACCCAGCGGCGGCGACGATGGACAAGAAGCTCACGACGAGGGCCAACACACGTTCTATCCCTGAGATGCTGGACATAATCACACCCAACCCGTCGTGAGTGCCTCACCTCACCATCGACGATTAACACGAACTTACTGTGTTCTTAGGTGCTCGATAGGGCATTTCGACGACAGCGAGGCTAGCGAGAGCATCGATGGTACTGGAGGACGTTGGACCGAGATCGGTGTGGAAGATGGTGGGCCAACACGAAGATGGGCGGAGAACGTCCGCATAAAGGTGAGTTTCTCGTTGTCATGCACGTTCGCGATGGTCTTACCTTGTTTCTAGGATCCGTACAATGTGTTGGACCATGAGAGCGATGATGCCGGGTTTAGGCGGGTTTCGCCCTTGCGAAGGGGCTCGTCAGAGGGCTTAACCGCTGCCCTAACCCGACGTTGATAGCGTTCCGTTACCCAAGCTTAGGTTACAGAGGGGGAGTATGGACCAGGCCTGGAACGCATCCGCGGACCGCGATCTACCGGATCAGCTGAGTGCTGAGTTGCTCCCGGGACCCCGAACTGGTGGGTATTCGTGGGGGGAGGGGCCTGGAGCGTGTGGCGCCACCTGCCACTTTTGGTCGCTCCACGAGGACCGCCATCACCACGCCCGATGACGACGGCCGACCACGTGCACCCTCGCTAAAGCGAGCGCGACTTTGCACGGGACTATCTGTGCGGTCTGGGTCCCCTGGCTCGCTCAGTCGGCCGTCTCCGAAGATAGGGCCGAAAACAGCGTAAACCATGTCTGGGGATTGAACCCAGAGTGTAGAGTGCCTAGACATCTGAGCGAGAAGGGAATGGCTGGGATGAGGTGAATACAGGGTCACCGAAAGCATAAACGAAGATTTACCTTCTAGTGCCTCCCACCCTCCCACTCACCCCAAATGCCTAATCTCGAGTCTCTACGTACCAGGACTCTTACAGTACAACCCCGGCATGCACAGCGCGACCAGAATAAGGTCTGTCAGCGGCATTCTCGTGTATAGGTGAAAGACTCACCTCCGGCATTAGACCTCGCCTCAAGGTCTCCTTTCTATCTCCGCGGACAACGACGTTGTGGGCGGATGAGTAGCATGACTATAGGGTCAGTTTACCAAGTGTTTCACTCAGAGGAGGGAGAACCTTACTTTTTCGTCGTAGATATGGCGCCGGGAATTATGCTGCCAAGCTGAGACAAACGGTGATGAGACGAGTGGATTTTCCGGTGCTTTGTCAAAACTATACTCTCCTCGATTGATTGTAGCTCCAATATGTCCTTCTTATTATTTCTGGGGTGGTATGGGCGTCTTAGGACTACGCTACGGGAGTCTCTAACGGGCCACGTTACCGTTCGGCGGGAGTTGCCGCCGTAGTGATCGCCGTAGTCTGGCGCCGTAGTTTCCAATTCAGAGATTTTCTGAAAGTACTCTCCTTGTCAAGGCCCTGTGGCTTGAACCGGTATCGAATGGATATCGTACCTGCAACCTCTGTCAATGGGACATTGTTGATTCCACATTTTCTATTTGCTTGGGTTCCTGAAACCTAGAAATAGAGTCGTAAGAACGTCTGGGGTGAGTCGGTACTATCCCGCCGGCCCGGAGAACCTGGTAAACTTCGGCATGATCCGGCAGTGACGGGGCCACGTGGTGGATACATGGTGCCAAGCACAACCAAACAACCATTGTTGCCACCCGCCTTTGTTCGGGATTGCAGAACAATGCAAAACGGCCACAATGGGCACTGCCGACAACATTGTCGTCGTCTTCAGGCTAGAAACTTCATCCATTATGCCCTCTTATAAATATGAATCCGGCTTCCGAAGAGTTCTCCAACAGGTTCTCTCCTGAACAGCTCTCCTCCACACTCAGACTCGCACTTCGTTGGCCCCTCTCATCTACGCCCTAATACATCTGATATCTCAGGAGGTGTGTGTCTTCTTTTCTTCTTCACTTCACTGCCACTGACTTCGTTCATTTCAGATAATTTCCATTTGAACGACCTTAAGTTTCATACGACTAAACTTGATCGCATTTCGAATCGCCGGGCGATATCCACGCACATACTTCCCATTTACGACTTCATATTCGACTCTTTACTACTTTTACGACTCCAATGGCCTACACCACCTCCACCCGTGCCGTCGCCGCAGTTCCCGCCTGCATTAATCAGGCTATCAACTTCCTGACCCGCCCTCTTATTCTCACCGAGACGCCTGACTTAGTCATTTCGCTCCAGTCGATCCTTCGTTCGACCCTCCAACCCGCCTTCCAACACAGTCGCGACTCGCGCCTTATTCTTTCGCTCACACCCACCTCTCTTCCTCCTCGCCCTCTCTACGCGGCATGCATTGCCTGCGGCTTTCAATGGTCCGATTGGATCAGACTCCTCGGTGCTCGTGAATTCGATCTCATCATCGACGCTAATACCGTCTCAGTTACCTACCATGGCGCGAAACCGCAGACCATCATCTTCTGGTCTGAGCCCAGCCGCACCCCGGCCAAGCGGGCCCTGCTGGCTCGGCTCAACTTCGAGGAGGCGCGAGTCCCAATCAGCAAGTTAGGCCAACAATCGGCGATGCAGGCCTCCCTTAAAGCAACGGTCAACTCTGCCATTGCCCGTGCCCACACCCGCACACTCGCCCAGCAGCTGCTCGAGTCCGACCACAAGCAGGAGGCCGACGAGATCTTCGCGATGATCTCGAAGACCGCGATCATGTCGCCTACGCCCACCCGCGAGCACTTCTCGCTCGACCTGCCCACGTCGATCATGCCCACTTCGTTGAACGCCTTCCCTTCGCCCCTCTCCTCACCCGAGGTCTTCTCGCCCGACAGCTCCAGGCCGAGCTCGCGCTCCTCGGGCACCTTTTCGACCTTCTCCGACGATGAAGAGAGTGTTACCTCCGCGTCGTCTGTCTCCTCTTACGACTTCTTCGCCTCCGCCAAGCCTGCACCCGCGCCTGCCGCACCCATCAGCAAGCCTACCCTTGCCGCGTTCAACGGGCACGCCCCCGCCTTCGTTCCACGCCAGCCCCAGCAGCCCTCGCGTGTCATCGTCGACAGCGAGAAGAAGGATGTCACCAAATACCTCTACCAGGGTGGCGTCAGCACCGTCCTCACTGGCGGTGTCATGCTCGGTGCGGCCAAGCCTGCCGCCCCGAAAGCCGACAACGTGGTGCCCAAGTACCGCGCCCCCATTGGCGGCAGGAAGCAGCCTTTCGCTGCGGCCAAAAACACCGCGAGCACCGCAGCTTCATGGAGGCGCGCTGTTGCTCCCTGCGTCTAAACCTTTTAATCTTCAAACGTATCGCCTTTGCCGAACAACGACGAACACCCTCCCAACGATGACGACACCAACGACGCGCCAGCTAGTCTGCCTCCCCCCCAAAAAATGCCAACGATTTTGTACGACCATGCCTTGGACACTTCTCTCCATCCCTCTCAACTTGACTCTTTCTCTTGTATCTCAACTGTATTTCTAACTCACCCAACCTGTTTCCTAGAACCTCTTATCTGTAGCGCTATTCGTCGTTGTCGCTATCCTTCGATCGCTTTCCGTTCTCACTTTCCTTACCTACTTCAAACAAACCTAATCTCCACTCTCCCCATTGGTTCTGGACTTTCGGGTCAGTCCTTTTGTATCATCATCTCGACCCTTTACTGGCCGTCCTTTCTTGTATCATCCTTACAGTTTTACTGAGTACGCAATGTGAATAATCTTATTTGGTTTTTAATGGCCAGTTGATCTTCTCATCGTCTGTTTGCAAGATGTCTACGTCTTCTTCTCTGGGCTTCAAGATCCAAGATTCATTATGCTGATCACTGGAAGAGCTTTTCGTCTTCGATATTCTCCGTGAGTTTGCTTGCTTTTTCACGTTCTCGTCGAGACTGACCAGTGGATTTGTTGGTACAGACAGGCATTAAAAAGTATTATCTCCGAATCGAAAAATCGAGCAGCCAGGATTCTTTCGTGCGTGCTTCTAGCCTTGATTAGAGTTAACCTCTCGGGATCAGCTACGCTCGTGTTCTTCATGCTGGTCGACACTTGCTGGATCTAGATGTTCTACAACGTCGATCCGAGATATGATACTTGTTCGATACAGTCCTCTTCGCCTCCAGTCCTCGCCTCCGATTCCCTAGCGCTTCTCAGCTAGAGCGTTTCATCCTGGATCTAGTCTTTTCCATCAAGAACGTCATTGTTCTTCCCCTCTCCTGCCGTTGGAACCTTCTGGCCCATCATCCTCAACGTCTGCATCTGCAGTTCCACCATGTCCAGCTGGAGCGCGATCCGCATCTCCATCTGCTCTATCAGCTTGGCCCGTGTGGCTTTATGGGCCTGCCGCTCGTTCTCCAGCGTCCTTTGCTGCAACGGTTGGCGTCAATGACAAGTACTCATCCACAACAACCTGGTGCGTGGCTAGAAGGTCTATACCAGAACTGTTATATGCTCCAGGAGCTTAGCCATGACGGTGTTTGACTCTTTGAGTGAGTTGCAAGCTGCTTGAGCCAACTTGGGGGCAGGAGGCTTGTCTTCGTTGAAGGAGGAGGGTGTGGTGTCCTTTCCGTCCAGCTGAGGCATTGCAGTCGATGGCAGTGTGAGCTAGTGTGAGGGTTTGAGCAGAGCAGTTGCAGTGAGCCTCATGGTATACGCAGCACACAATGTCAGGTTCAAACATGTACATTCTCATTTCACCTCATCACCCTCTAAATATAAGTGCTGTCCTGCCACTACTAACAGTGCTGTAGACCGCTCCTTACGACTCTGCTCGAAACATGTGCATACCCTAGCAAGAGACGAGCACAGCACGACGGTCGTCGCCGTAGAAGCACCTCATATTGGAGGTATGATAACAGTAATAAAAACCCTATGATACATCTAGTATACCGAGAGATGAACGTAAATTAAACAAATCTTTAAAGATATGAATACATACACCGCTGCAAGCTGCGATCAACACCACCTCCCTGTCCCCAGCCGCTGGCCAAAATGCGCACCAAGCCCGTTCAATTAAGGTCAGCTGTGGCCCGCTGTGTCATCGCCAACAGCCAAAACCCAGCCCGCAGCCCGCAACCCGTCTCCTAAGCCAGCCTCAGGCCCGTACCTATGTCCGTGCAACGAGGAAACCGACCATACGGACGTACGGTCCCAAACGTTCTCTGAGCCTCAAGCAATGATGCAACACCCGCTATCATGCGACGAGGAGACCGTATACACCTCCTTCCTCGGCTTTGCGTGTTTCGTGTCATCGATGGGCCGCCTGACGGGTTGGAACCGCGTTGTGGCCTTCTCGTCCGATGAGCTCCCTGCGCTCCCGCTCGTGTTCGTCACCGTAACGGCCACTGCAACCGGGCTAGGTTCAGGCAAGGCTACGGGCACAGGTTTTGGTGCGGGTTCGGGTTCGAGTTCGGGTTCGGGTACAGGTACATTCTTCGAGCCCTTCTTCTTGGGCTTCTTGGGCACCTTCCGACGCTGCTCCTCCTGTTCGACCTCCTTCGCAATCATTGCTTGCATCTCTTGGACGAGGAGCAGGGCATCCGTTGACGGTTCCTGCTGCGATGGTTGAGGGAGTGACGGAGGAGGCGGTGTCGGCGTTGGGATGGATGTAGGTGTGGGGGGTGAGAGGAATGTCAGGCTGTACCTGCGCTGCGGGTCGTTCGAAGGGTCGTATTCCCAGTAGAATTCAGTAGGCAGTGGTCCACGGCCACCGGACATGAAGCATGGAGTGTTGGCCAAGGTGTTGGCCAGGTACGTCTGGAATGGAATGAGTGACAGTCCGTGGGTTGGAAATGTGCAGAAACAGACTTTGCAGTTCCCGTTCTTGTTCTCTCGGAAGTAAGAAAACTGGGATACGGCGCTGAGTACGAAGAGAAGGCTGGGAAACGGTGTGACGCACTCGTCGTTCAATCCCCTCAATGATCTCGTCCGCCGTCAGCGGCCTATTCGATGATCCTTCAATAGCACATCTAACGAAAGAGAACGAGAAGTGTTAGTTCATGTTGCAATTTGAGACAAACGAGACGCACCGAACAAGGGTATGATAAGAGTAGATGGGTTTACTCCCCTTCGGGTACTCGTCGGGAAGATCCTCGAGACTCTGAACCTCCTTCAACATAGCAGAATGGTTTTCCTTGAGCGAAAGACGAAGGAAAGGTTAAGAAGAAGGAATATGAAGCACCACCGTCAACGTGGGTGCAGGACAAGGTCGGGTAGGGGCACACGGCTTTTTTCATACTAGAACTGAGATTACCACGCGACGGACTGGGCAGGGATGAACGCTTACCGACAGTGTCAGAGGTGGGCGTCGAATGATCACCTATTGATTAAACAAAATCCGCCAAAACGCCGTTTGCAGGCTCAGAACCATGGGGTGTGCGGGCGGTCCTTATGACGCGTTTGAGGTTGTTTTTGAGCAGCTCCGGTGTGCTAATCCTGTGACGAAGAACGCCCGGGAGTGCCCTCGCGGATATTCGAATACTTATCATCGATACAATGCCCATAACAACGGATGGTCTTCGCCGGAGTCCCTGGAGGATGAGTCGATGATGTTTCAGAAGATTTGATGAGAGGCTGTGACGTTGATGGGCGCTGTCAAATTAGCATCTTGTTTTGGTAGGTGGCTCCCGCGGCCCAGCGCTTAATCGAGTCTGCGAAAGTGCTGTCCTCCTTGCTCTGTCAGGTCGTAAATATATGAATAGTTCAGTGCTTGTGCGTACTCGGTAGTGAGACTCAGGGCACTTATCTTACACATCAAGCCGCCGAGGTATTCAGCGCCGCTGAAAAGGCTTTGGGACATTGGAGCGGCTGCTAGTAGCGGATGAGGAATACTGCTTCCAATACTAGCGCATATTTTGCTAGTCCTGGGTTCTTGGCCCAGATATATTGAACGATCGGGATGTTCATTTTCAGCCCTCGACTCGCACCGATGAGGGTACAGAGTTTCTATACTTGTCAGCAGAATCTCCATGCATGACCCCACTGGGAGTGTGGATTTCTCAGCATCATAGTCTCGAAAAACCCTGTTCTCGCCGTGAACATTGCTGTGCATAGTGCTGCTTAAGGTTGAAGGAAACAACCGTGACTTCGCATCCGCAGACCTTTTCTCAAACCTGAACATCCTCACTCGTTAGACATCACCCTATGCTTCTCGATCTTGTACATAGTTAAAATGTCTAGAGATATTTTAAGCCTCCAAGCGCACAGCCGGAAAGCCGGGGCAGCCTGAGGACTTCGAATAATCCGAAAAAGTGTGGGCCGGCCGGGCCGGGCCGGGATGATGCCATTTCACACGCATACGAGTGGGGTAGTAACGGTCTCGTCTCTTCGTTACAGTGTTCTATGATCTCTTTTCATTGCCCTCACACCATTTGCTACTTCACTTTGCCTTCTATAAGTTCATGGTAAGTTTTCTGTTTGAAAGCCCATACTATGTCCTGACTTCTGACTTTGTCTTTGCCGCAGTTGAACACAGCCACTCGACGAGACAATAACTTCGTACGACGTTGACCTATGGGTTTTCATATCCCAAAGTCTATGGAAAAGGCTCAGGTTACGCCTTGTATCAAGAATCCCGAATCTTGCGGATTGATTCGCGCGGAAGAGATCGGCGGAGTATCGATCCTGGTGAGCATGCTCGTGCAATGACATCCATGCTCTGTCCGTGTTCTGATGTTCATGCAAGGGCGATGGAGACCCGAGTACTCCACAATCGCCCCCATCAATTGCAGCAGAAACCGAAGAGAATATACCAACTACAAGCACGAAGCCTCCTCACTGTAAATCACAGACGACCATGCTTCGGGAGACGCTCGCGCAGAGTCCACTGCACGCGACCCACGCCACTGCATCCCCGCCAGAAATACACACAAAGTCGACCGTGGTGAGTTATTTCATGCCGAATCGCCACGGATATCCTGACGTTACTTGCAGGTCAAGCATGCTTTAACATATGACCCCTCAGTTGTACCTCCACCTCCGCCTCATATCGAGGGCAAGCTCTTCACCAACCACATCCCAACTGCGGTGGAAATCCGCGATATCAAGCAGTATGTCTCCACGATAAACAAGAAACTATCCGACTACGACACGCAGATTGCCAATCTCGAAGCCACTCTGCTTGACCTCCAGAAGAAACGCAACGACCTGCAGCAGGTCGGCCAAGCGCACGAAGCTCTTATTTCTCCTGTCCGTCGCCTGCCTACCGAAATCCTGCAAATGATATTTGAGTGGTGCCTTCCCACCAACCGGAATGCCGTCATGCACGCCTCCGAAGCCCCTGTGCTGCTCGGCCGAGTGTGCGCTGAGTGGCGACGAATATCACTCTCTACTCCCCAACTCTGGGCGTCGCTCCACATTGTGCCGCCCAACGTCAACTTCGCCAAGCCAGTATCATCGACATCCCGCTTCCAGCGCAAGCGAGAGCTGATCGAGATGTGGCTTTCCCGTTCAGGGGATTGCCCATTGAACATCTCATTCGTGTGGTTCGCGAGCGACTCGGACGACGAGGTCAAGCTATGCGGGTCGCTGATGGAGGTGCTAGTGCCAATGTGCGGGCGGTGGAAGGTGCTGGATTTCCAGGCCCCGCTGAAGATGTTCAAGCCATTCGTGGGGCTGACGGTGGAGGATGTGCCGCTCTTAGAGGGTCTGTCTCTGATGGACAATCGAACGTCGGTTGACCCAGAAGCCATCGATAGTTGGCCCGAGAGCCTGCTGTTTGCGGAGAGGTCGCCAAGGTTGCGGACCTTCAACCTCACATTCTTCAGTGGCGGCATCCGCCTGCCATCCATCCTGTGGTCGCAGCTTACGACCCTCTACCTCGAGTCGAACATTGCCTTCTTTTTCTTAGATTCACAGGAGATGCTGTCCGTCCTCGAGCAATGCTCGAGCCTCGTCGGGTGCACGCTCAAATTTCCTTTATCCCACACTGCGACACTACCCCGGTACGAGAAGCTCGACTTACCCGTTACGCTACCCAAGCTCGAGACACTCTGCCTCGACGGCGACCAGCATCTGCACAACACGTTCCACATGTGCAATACACTCATGAACCTCCGCACGCCACGCCTGCGGCGGCTCGAGATCCTCGGGCGTTCGGGGAGACCAGAAGGGAGTGTTGCTCCCGAGCCTCTGTCTGCGATCAGGCAGCTCCTGCAGATGAGCAGGTGCCCCCTCGAGACCCTCAACGTGGAGTCGATGGCTATCCTCCCCGACGAGTTCATTGCGTGTCTGCGGTTGGTGCCCACTTTGGTCGAGTTAGTGGTGCACAACTGGGCTGTGAAGTTGCATTCACTGCCGTTGGACGACGAGCACCATCAGGCTACGGCTACGGCTACGGCTGTTGATTCAACCCCGCAAGATGGAGCTGAAGCTCCGGAAAACGTTATCTTGAAAGCTCTCACAGTTCCCTCGAAACCAGCAAACCAAGTGCCAGAAGACGCACCAGAGGCCGTCCTGACTGCGGCGGAGAATTTATCGCTCTTAGATGCCGAACTACCGACTCTTTCCTCAGATCCGTTGCAAGATTCTCCAACAGCCTCAACATCAACCCTGTCTCCCGATGACGGTCCCCTATGCCCCAAGCTCGAGCGGTTCGACTTCATGCTGTGTGACGCCTCGCAAGATCTTCTTTGCGACTTTGTCGCCTCGCGTTGGATGGCTTCCTCGGAGGGTGTGGCACGGGTCAAGTTCGTCAAGTGCAACTTCACGTCGTTCGAGGAGGAAGGCCCGAAGAAGCGTCTGCAGCAGCTCCGCCAGGAGGGGTTGGATGCGTTCGTGACGTACCAAGTGTCGATGAATGAGGAGTTAAACCCGTCACCGTGGATGGGCCTTGACGCTGCACCATAGCTCGATGAGTTGAGCATGCATTTCTTTTCCTCGTGATGAACGATGTAGGGAGAAGTACACTCTCCATGGCCGTTATGAAGTCTAACGCGTTAACGTTGTATGAATCGTATGATTTATTTTGATCTGCTTGTTGGACCACAATGTCCTGACGTTGAATAGTCTTCTTGCTAGATACCCTATCGCAGTAATTTGGACAATCGACCTGTAATAGTGCCATTCCCGTAATGCAGTTTCTTGGACGATTGCATGCCGTGTAAATGGTCGGGCATGCCTTACGTCCTGAAAAACTGGCTCGTCAGCACCGTTCCTAGATCAACCTTTGAGAAGTCAGGCGTTGAACGTTGAACGTTGGACGTTGATGGGTGGCAAGAGTCTGATTTACTTCTCTCGGGTCATGACTATAAATTGCCGAGTGGGTTCGAGTGTCTCCAGCTCGAGTGTCTCCAGCCCGTCTCTTCCCCCACATGATCCGACTCCTATCCCTTGCATTTCTTGCTGTCGCCACGCCATCCCTGTTGGCGTATAGACCCTCAGGCTGAGCGACGAAAGATGGGGGGATTTGAGAGGCAAGTAGGTCCACGATCTCCAATGTGATATCCCACAAGCAGATACTGAGAGCTATTCCTTGATCCTATGTGCGCCAAAGGGGTAATCATCCGCTCCACATGCTTTGAGTAAGACAAGATTTGGCGCGAGGAGGGCGAAGCTGGGCAGGAAGATACTGCTAAGTGAAGTTGTAGAGTGGAGGATCCAGGCCAGGTCGGTTTCACGATCGATTTTTTGAAGTTTTGGGAGAGATAGGGGATTCTGGATGGGGTCTTCAGCCAAGGAGCCCTATAACCGATGGAATGCGTCGTGGTATCGCGGGCTGTGTCGGAGCATGTATTTTCTGGGCTTGACGACAAGGTGTTCCAGTTTGTGCCTCTGCAAAAGGCCCACGAGGTTTTCAACGTGTAGAATATGAACCAGGTGAAATTCTGAGACGGGTTCGAATCGCGTGAGGTTGGGAAAGTGTTCCTCGCCTGTGAAGAAGGTGAGGAAATGGTCAATGTGAGCCATGGACAGCGTCAAGGACGTTAACGTGCTGTGTGGGGTGGAGACGAAAGACTTGCAAGTGAGGACATTTCCACTGTGGTCACAATTACTTGCTCCCAACGGGTTGAGGGAAAGAGATACGTCTTTAAGATGTTGATATGGTTCTGGGTTACGAGAGGCCGAGGAAAAGGCCGAAACTATATTCGAAGATGGGTGCAACCCTTCAAGCTTCAAGATTGATTTGATTTTCTCAATCTTCACGCAGAGTTATAGGCCGCATGTGAGATGGCGCAAAGCGTCGTGATCCGAGATTATCAGCTCTTGAGGCAGAGCCCTCGAGACGCGGGCAGATTGCGAGGCCCTTGTCTGCAGTAATTCTGGGGAAGCGTGCAAGCAACGTGCTCGTTCTGCAACATGCTTATGTCTGTCGATCAGCGAGTAAGAGTTCGATGAGGAAAGGCAGAGATAGACGGGAATGAACGGACTTCACTTGCTTGAACCTGTGCCGCTTCTTCTTATCGGTTTTAACGAGATAGAGAGTCTCATGGATATCGCCCAGTGCCAGCTCGTACAGGACACGGCTCTACACCCACCGTCGGACAAGGCTTCGATCAGGGAGGTGTGCAACGATCTCAATCCAAGTTTCAGGAGGCAAATATGATACGGCCATTGATGTCGCAGCGAATGATAAGGGTTCGTGAAGTCAACGAGTGGAGGGTGTTGACGTTGAACGTCGCAAGTTGCAGATGCAGAGCCTTGTGGGAAACAGCTTCCAGATATGGAACGTCGCTTGAACCTAAGTCCACGGCTCTGAAGCAATTTCCTAGCCATAGTTGGCTGTCTAGAGTGTCCTTCAATTTTTAGAGGAAAATATGAGCTCATCGAACATTGGATGACTTTCCTTAACGTTTAGAGCCCATTCTAAACACTAAATCTCGTTTCAAATGGTGAGGCCGATGCATGCCGTTGTCACCTGTCAGGACCCCGGAAAACATTCCGCTCTCCGCTCTCTTCAAAGGCTGTTTCAAACGAAAAATCTAGGAGGAGGGTAAGTACCCCCTTCCCAGTTCTAAAGCCTCATTCTAGGTGTAAAAGCTCTCGTTTAGGTATGTTCCTGACCACGGCAGCCTTCGGCATTCCTCGTTCGTGCCTCATTGCCCTTTCAACCTTCCCTGCGATTCCAAACCCCAACGTCTATAAACTCCCATCTTCCATTTTAATCCCCGACGCTGGCACCCCGTCATTTGCTTTAGAGCCTCAAATCCGTTAAGGAAAGTCATCCATTACTTATTGAAGTTTGAAATTTGAAATTTGATCCCTGACAATATTTATTATAGGGATGCAGCATTCATTTTCTTCTACCACCCATCTCTGTTGCTTTACATACTCCGCATAATAACGTCTTGATACAGAACTCGAGGGTAAAATAACCGAGTTGGAGTGCTTTAATTGTGTACTTGGGCGCAGACTGAGAAGTAACTGACGTAGGGAACGAATTTCTTCACCTTAAGGTAGACAACGAACACGTCGGGTGTTTGCCTAATCATCGGATGCAGTAACCATAAAGTTGTTATACAGTTGTTCCTCTAATTAATTTCTTATTGGTGCAATGATTGTCCTGGGCAGACGTGAAGGGGGTGGGTCCCAATTGCTAAATATAGGTGTTGCGGCGTGATAGCCTAATTCGGCTTCGCTTCGGTCGTCAGCGCGCTGGGTCGTTGTGGGGAACAGACAACAAACAAAGTGCAATGCGATTTCATCAAGGATACCTGGAATAGGAACGAAATTGGCTGTGAGGTTATATCACCGGACAATGTGACACACGTATAAGTCGCCTGCACAAGGGCATCTCAGCAGGTGCATCCTCTCCCCAAGAGCAGACAACTCCTACTTCTCTCTATCCATTCCTCCATTTTTAGTCTCGAGTTTAGCCGTCTCAGTGAAGTAATTTTTGAGAGGGGGAGGGAGTTACTTATCAAGAAGCAATTCCGTCCCTCACAAAAAAATTGCGCGCCTGTACTCTAGACTAACTCCGAGTCTACGTATTTGCCGCCTAAGGAAACAGGAATTCAAGATGACTAGCTCCAAAATGACCCCACCGGTGGCTAAGGCCTTTGGCTTTGGCTTTGTGGTGCAATCCGTCCGCTGCAGTGTCAGAAAACCATTTCCCCTTCTAATAGAAGATAAACATCATCATAGTATAGGAGAACAGACAGGATAGATCCATGGGTCTACCCAAAAACCGACACTGAACGAGAAGTACAATTCCCAGCCTGTCGCGCCCAAGGCGCTCTTCAGCTACTGGAGTCTCGGCCCGTTGTTCGAGAAGACTCCCAGTCCTTCGGTTCCCTCTCCTCCATCTCAACCTGAGAAGCATCACGGGCGCGAACTGCCCAATTTTTATATGACGCCTATCCCTCCCGTCTTGCAAGAGAGGGCAAATGAACGAGCAGAAACGCAAATTAGTAAATTTAGGTAATGAGAGAGAAATCCCTTGTCCTAATTCCTGGGGAAACTGGCCTTAGCAGCTTGAGACCCTGAGTTAAATTTTTAGGAACATATTGATGTGCGTAATTTCCACCTGCAAGGATTTGTGGTGACAAGTTGAATTACGAATCTAGGAGGATGAAAAGAAATGCCGTTCAAAAGAGTCTCCGCATGTGAATTCCCCCCTTCGAAACCCGCAGAAATCCAGGACACGAAACGTCGTCCCTGTACATACCTGTGCATGCTCGATCTGCTGCATCCTTTCGTTGTGTCTGTCAGCATTCCATCTCCCTGCAGCTCATTCCATTCGGAAATATACCATGGAGTTATCCATAATCCTGGAAATCATTTCTTGAAGGCGCCGACATGGGCGGTTTTGTTCCAAACTTCATATTGACGCCGCGATCGACAGAAACGACGTGAACGAACTCGGTGAAGCACCTGTCATGATCCAAAATCCTGTTTTCGGCAGATAGTCTTATCACATCAAGGTTAACCCCGCTGGGCATTGTGCCGACGGGGACCGCGTCAATGTCGATTCACTCGTGCTTGAGTTGACCCCTGTTTCGCGATAACCTCGACCCACGAGACTCTGGGGAAAGCATGCTTCCATACTTTCATTTCCGCGTAGGATCGACGGCGAAGGCGAGCATATCTGATAGAGCCGGGAGGCCCTACCTTCTGGGGTACGCGAAAGTTCGTTTCCTAGGGTGGGCTTGAATCACCAGTATCTGGGGTCAGTGAGAAGACTGGTCTGATCTATGTAGTACTATTGACCGGTTTCTTCATTTCCGCAGGAGCTTCAAGTTCCCCACCCTGTACCCCACAATTGACGGCCCGGACCAGACCATGCGCCAGCAATCCCCACCCCGAATCTCTGATATGCGTTGAATAAATTGCACGCCCAATGCACTCCTATGGCAGAAGGACTGCCGTTATCGAGGTTAACAATCCTCGCCGTTGTTTCACGTGCAGACGGAAACGAGGGCTTTGAGGGCGCTTTTGACAGTGGAGACAGTGGTCATACCACGGTTCCAGTGGACCTCCGTTGTATTATTCTTCTATTCAGTCTCGGAGACATCAGTGGGGGCACTTGTAGCTCGCGGGTTAGCTTAACCCGAGTGAGTGTGTCAAGTAAATGTGTTCATTAGCGTCATTCAGTCGTAAAGGGTAATAGATACCGTATTAAATTCCAGCATTTATACGAGTAGCCACGCTATATGGTCTTCGAAAAGTGAATCCGGAAGTGCGTTAGAGTTCTCATGTCGCACCCTTCAAACTCTGTACAATTCCGAGCGCGATACCATGGTTTTAACTTCAGAGGCGTGGTCTCGAATCCTCAAGGTGCGTTTGATACCTTCTTTCCTGCTTAGAAAGATAAGAATTTCCCATCCAATCCCGACCCAGTCTTCAGCGGGGGGTCCCTTTCCGTTTTTGTCGATGCCGTTACCCGATTTGGGAAATTTCTAAACCGAAATTGGCGGCGCAATGCGCCAGAAGCGGATAGGAAGCGGGACATGTCATGTTTCCGCCAATACAAACGCCGGGCCTGTTATCGAAATTAGTTTATAGTGAGTTGAGTCAATAGCGTGTGCCCGGCGACCGAGGACCGAGTAGATTATTTTGAGATGTGGTACGTCAAGTGACCATTGGCGTGGGTCCATATGAATAGCCCTATCAACGAACGAGAGCTCGGGATTTCAGAGTCCGGGTTCGATAAAGATGCAAGGAAAGCCTCAGTTGCATCATTACTTGGTAATTCAAGTTCGAGTTGGAGCGCGACGAGCAAGTCGACGAAGTGTATCTTTTTCTCTCCGTAGGATGGGTCCTTCCATGTGTCAGGGGTCCGTGTCAAAACAAATTCCAAGAGAGATCCAGAATGACGTTTTCCACTGATGTGAACAGCCTAAAAGCAGAAAGAAAGCAAAGAATAATAGGATCAGTCAATCTATTCTGACACTAGGCGTATCTATACACATTTCTCGAAATCGAAGCCTACTATCACCATTCGTTCAAGTTTCAAAGTGCCTTTACTGAGACTTGGTCTTGAGCTTATACTGGTCAGCAGGGCGACGGAGTGCCTCGCCCTTCTTGTCGCGGTAAAAGAGGACGTCGCCCTCATTTTCGACGAATTGGCACTTGTTATAGCTTTCCCACAGTGCCTGGAAGACCGGCTTGTCGGAGTATGCATAATGATCGCCAATGAATGCCTTCAAGTGCTGGGTGGCTTCGGGTCCATGGTCTAAAACGATGTCGAGTATGAATGATCTGGCCAAAACTGTTTAGTGATGAACAAGAAGGAACTCACAGAAAGGCATCTTCGGGAAGAACTGTCAAAGGGAAGAGAAAATCCGGACGTGAGCATGGACAGGAGCGTGGACGGAGAAAGTTCCTGCAGAAAAGAGGTGCTCACGTGGTGAATAACATGGAAGTGGGCGACATCGTGCAGGAAGAAGCGGCCTTGCCATCCGAGGAAATTCCTGTCGACAGTCGCAGCCGCACCGCGCTGGAAGTTCCATTCCTTGCCACGGTAGTGGGGAAGCATTGGGTCAGTGTGATGGAGGTAGGTGATCATAATGACTGCAAATCAGATAATAGGGACGATCAGTTTCTATCATCGACGTTGATAGATGTGGACTTACACCAGTGGGAGACGAGCAGCCAGGGAATGCCATAGAACTTGAGCACATTGGCGGCACCAAAGAGAGACGATGCGTAGGTGACACCCCAGACCATGCTGGCGATACCGATGTTCGAGATAATGACGGCATTTCGCTGTTCCTTAGTGAAGAGGATCGAATTGGCTATAGAAATCGCCGCGTCAACACAAAAGAATTGCGCCGTGGGTCCACTGAGAACACTCACGATCAAAGTGGTTAGTCCACTTCGGATAAGTCTTCTGTCCGGAAACGTTGAAAACTGGAAACCGGGTCAGAAATGTGGGGAGCATAAGTGAGAGTGAGTGAAGCGCGTACGAAGGTAGGCCGGGAAAGCCAAAAACTGCTGGCGGATCAGCATGTACAGAGTGTAGATGGGGGTGTCGCCGAAGATCTCGTCCCAATCAATTTCATGGTTGGGCTTATCGGGGATGTTCAGGTCCTCGCGGGTCTTGGGGACATAGACTTCATCGCGTTCCATAGAAGCATGATTCGAGTGGTGGCGGTGGTGAGAGATCCTCCAGGAGAAGTACGGAGTCCAAAGGAACGTGTGAGTGATCTTCAAGAGCGGAACGAAGGGAACGGGGGTTCTGATGAGCTGCGCTAACCGACGAGCTGACTTTCGGTACTCACAAAGCCTAGAACGTCATTGACGATCTTGTGGTCGGAAAAGGCACCATGGCCGCACTAATCCGAACTCCATGAGCAACGGACATTCCTGCGCCACGAGATGAAGGGGTTCATACCTCGTGTCCAATAACCCAGATGCCAGTGAAGACGAGACCCTGGAACCACCAGCTATAGCGGGGTGTCAGTGATAGGCTTTGCACGTTATAGGGACAATCACTCACTAGACGCCCCAGGCAGCCCAACGAGCAACTTGAGCACCGAGTGGGGTAAGAAGATCCTTGGTGGCGTTGCTCTGGAAATACGGGTCGATGTAGGTCCCAATAGTCCAAATGGCAGCGGCCATTAGGACATCGCGGGCAAAGTAAAGTAAGCCGCGAGGCGTGTCTCTGATGAAGAACTCAGGTGGGACCGCTGCACGAATTTCTTTGAGAGACCTTGTGAAGCGGATCCCTTTAGCTCCTCATAACTTTAGAGACCCGAAAAGGGACTTACCAAGGCATGGGAGTGAACTCAGGGAGATCATCCTCGCTGTATTTCTGGACTTCAGTGCTGGTGCCCATGTTGAAGAAGCGTTCTTAAACAGGGTGACGTCGAAACCAATCCGTGTCCTTGGTGAGAAGGAAGAATGAGATACGGTCTTTGCCTTCGAGTGAGCCAGTATTTAAACCTTTAGATCCGTCGCATCTGAAAAGAACATGTGGGCGGGTTCAGAAAAATGGAGTAAGTAACGGCATATTGCTAGACAGCCTACCCCGCCACTAAATCTGTCGTGATATCCTTGAAGAATCCCAAGAAAACGGTGACTAAGCTTCGGGTTTCTTATCTCAGAAGGTAAATGTCCAAGCTGGGCGGGAGCCCTGTAAGGCGTCAATTCGATTTGGGACAAGAACGCGACGTACCGTGATGCAGAGTAAAACCACTCCGGACAGTGCTTCGCAGCACATCCAGAGCGTAAAATTTAGAAGTATCATTGATTGGAATCTTGTCATTTTCAACGAAAGGGTTTGATCATGAAAGCAGAGGCATGATCATCAGGGGTGGTTCTTCTCGTCGATGACAGGCTGAAGGAGATAGAACGGTTATCCATCGAATCCAAGTCGTTGCGTGAAATCGCTCCGTGCAAGTCACTAGGTCCAAATCCGTAGGGTTCAGAGGCTTTTCTCCCAGCGAATATGGTATAATCTGATCGCACCGCAACAAGAAGAGCAGCAGTGGATCACCGCAAGCGGAAGCGGCGAGACGAACCAAGGAAAGTTTGAGCATGCATCCGATAGTCCCGTAGTCCCGTTTCCGCCATCAGCCCTGCTGAGCCGTCCACTGACAAAATGAATTGCACCAGCATGCTCGAGCGATAGCTTACCGTGGGTTGCTTTTGCTGCCGATTAGGATCCTTGTTTGACGGCGCATAGGGTGCTGCCACGAGATGGGAGTTGGCGGGAGAAAGCCTCGCTAATCCCGATTAGGCATGCGGCTTACCCGGTGTCACCTGTTCCGGGGTCCCTGTCCATGTTCTCTTGTGAAATCCGACAACACTCGTATCCGAACGTTCACGAGTAAAATGCTATTCACGCCACTCTGAATCTGGAGCGGGTCTTCGAATCTTCAAATTGATGGAGGACGCACATTTTTCTATTTATGCCTTGGATATCATGCGCCAGAGGGTGTACCTAAAAGCCTGCCCCCTCTTCGGAGCCTCCTTTGGATGACCTCCTTTCTCTTGTAAATCGCTACTAGGGACTTTTTCTCTCTTAAAAATGTTCTCTATTTTCAAGGACGGTCCAGAGTACCTAAAGCGTACTCAGACGCCGTTCAAGCCAACGACGGTGCGCCATACTTCTTCCCTTTAACCCATACCTCGTTTACAAGGAAATGTTAGGCAACCCTTTCGGAAATTCATTCGATCGTACCAAAGCACCTGCACGAGAGGAGCACGCTCAAGGCACTCCCATATGTTTTTCGCGATGTCTTCTGCGCATTCGTCGTGTATAAACTGGGAGCGTTGATCGACCCCTTCACCCGGTCTCTAGTCCAGAACTATGGTCTTCCGCCGATCGTTGGAACGGTAGCCAAATGGCCTCTTTGGGCCTTGTACTGGCACTGGCAAGGAGTCATCCTCGCCGGGTGGTGGTGCATGGCTCATGAGGCTGGCCATGGAAGTCTGTCGCCATACGGTTGGGTCAATCACTTGATTGGGTTTTCCTTGCATACGGTGAATCATTCTCCTCTTCTCTTAAATGAGCGGTTATTTACCCACCTTTAAATATAGTCTATCCTAGTGCCCTATTATGCCTGGAGGTCGACACACCATGCGCACCACAAAGCAACCATGTCAATCGAGCGCGACGAGAACTTTGTCCCGCGCACCCGCTCCGACTACGGCCTGCCCGCCGAATCCGTAGCCCACATCGCCGACTACCACGAAATATTCGAGGAGACGCCTATCTACACTCTCGGACGTATGATATTCATGCAGCTGCTAGGATGGCAATACTACCTGTTGACTAACGCCATGGGGTCGCCGATGTATCCCCCCGGTACAAATGTGCGTCAGGCTTATCACCGTTCCGGTTAGTTTAAATTCCCTGACGTACCTTCGACCCAAATTACTAGCACTTCCAACCATCGTCGCCATTATTCAAGCCCCATGAGCGAAACGGGATTATCGCGTCGAACATTGGACTGACTGTGATGTCTTGCGTTCTCTACCTGTGGACGAAGGAGGTCGGGCTCAGCAATTTTGCGAAACTCTACTTCGTCCCTTACCTTGTGGGTCCAACTACTCTCTATATTTTGCCCTTCCTGACAAAAATTATCTCTTGGTGGTGTAGCTGGCAAATCACTGGATCGTCATGTTGACTTACCTCCACCATTCGGACCCTTCCATCCCCCATTATCGTAACAAGCAGTGGTCTTTCCTCCGCGGTGCGATCTCCACTGTCGACAGACCCCTGCTCGGTTGGGCTGGCCGTTTCTTCCTGCACAACGTCTCGCATGACCACGTTCGTCCCACAATGCCTCGCACTATGGATCCCTAATGCTAACTTGACCACTAATTGCAGGTCGCCCACCACCTTTTCTCTTCCATTCCCTTCTGTAAGTCTGCATCAACCTATTCTAATACCTTAAATCTGATCAAAACCTCCACATGTTAAAGATAACCAACCTCAGGTTACCGAAGCCATAAAGAAGGTCCTCAAGGACGACCACAACTATGATTCAACCGTCAGTCTTTCTTCTTTCTCTTGCCCATATTCAAAGTGGTTGCCGTGTGTCTTACCTCGGGTATTCGTTGACTAGAACACCTTCCGGGCGCTCTACCGCACATTCACGCAATGCTGCTTCATTGAAGACGATGGCGACATTGTGTTCTACAAGAACAAAGATGGAAAGGCGTCGCGTGTCCTCGCTCCTGAGGCCTTGGATTCTCCTCCGAAGAAGCTTGTTTGAGAGGATGCGACATCACCGCCATGGTGATCGTGAAGCTTGACAAGTGAGAGTGGGGAGACATAAGAATGATCAACGGAGCAAGAGATTGATAGAAAGCCCCCTCATTGATGTACAATATAGAGTGAAGGATCTCAAGTTATAAGTCATCAGTGTTCGTAGAATCTGAGCTCTGATTGCTGCGGTCTAGGATATGTCGTCACTGGAAATTGCCGATAATGGACTGATATTGCGATCCTGCAGATCTATGTATAGCCCCATACCTGACACTTGACATCTTTGATCATATTCCGCGGAAGCTGCAACAGACTACTGATTGTAGGTGGTTGACGGCTGTATATATGGAGTGGGATCGTGATAAATATGACCATGCGCTAGGTAAGTATATTCGACTTCCATGGTTCTCCACTCTCTATGAAATCTATGAATCCCGCTTCTTCGAGTTCTTACTTCCCGGAAAATTAAAAATGCTTCAATTAATACTCGGGACCATCGCCCGCGAGGGCCGCTGGGCGACGCCTCTGAAATCTTCTGTCGAGATACGACAGTTGGAGACTCGGACTCGTGTTGTGCGGTGTTCTTGGCGTTTTCGGACAAGACAGCACGACGTTGCATACGGGCGTATAACCTCCGGGTGCTTGATCTCGATGACCATTCTACAAATCAAGGAACATGCACAAACATGGCAAGGAGATGACTCCGAACAGCCCACCCTTGGGATTTCTCATTCAACCCACCTCCGTGCGGACATCAGAACATCAAATTACGTCCACAGGATACTGTGACCGGCACTGTGTGGGACTCCCTGTCCCTCATCTTCGTGGAACACGGAATCTCAGAGGTGACGAGGAGTGGCGGAAGACCCCTCAAGACTTGTCCAAGTTACAACGGGATTCGCCAAGACGGCGGCGATCCCGAGCCGGGGACCCCTGGCACTTCTGGGCGCCTAATTATAGAACGTAAGCATCCTTTACTCAACAAAGCAACGCCTTCGTGCGGGATTTCGATGTTCATTGCTGGTCCAACTATATTGATGAGTACTCGGTGCAGGCTGTATGAGAGAAATTCTAGGCCCAGCAATAAATACGCCGCGGGATTGTTGAAGGAGAGATGTATTTTGGGTCGCCCACGAGAGATGTTCTTGCTTTCCGAACACATTTTGTGATAAGATAAGGACGAAATATGGACTTCGCGCGGGAGGGAGAAGTACTGATTTGATGGCATCATAAATGAGGACCCAATAGCACTGTTCCCGTCGTGGATGAGCGGGTTCGGGTCAGGTGTCGGGCAGGGATCAGGGATCCCGAACCTCCGAGGAACTTGAGAGTTGTGAGTACTTGAGTGGGATTGGAGATGGGAAGAACCTCAATACAATCTGAACGGAGAAATTGGAGCTTCATTCAGGTGTCGGGGTGTGCCTAAAGCTCGCAAAAGTGGCCAATATGGAGGCAAATATAAAACCTGAGCCGAGCAAAACGGTTTGATTACCCGGAATCAGGATATGACTGAGGATGGGAAGGGGTTGGCCCTAAGGTCGTACGTTCAAGGTAACGAAAGGGACGGAAAGGCTAAGATTGGGATGGAGAAAGCGATTATATTTCTATATTCATTGCATTGTACATGAGGCATCTCCAAGCGTGCTTGTCCCCCAAATTGGGGCAATAAGTTATGCGTAATGTGAGACACCTGCTATGCCGGTCAGCTCATCGAGGAGAAGGCTCACTTGCTGTGGTGCAGACCTTAAGAGTGTCAAAGCTTGGAGTGGTGGAAAACCAGAGTCTAAGTTGACGCCTTAAACTTTGCTCTAGAATAGAGAAGGTTTCATGCATTTGAGAGGCAGAAGGGGAAGCATCAGAGGGGTGCACTCACAGCGTAACATAAGTAGCAATGAAAGGAATGCTGAAACCCGTGCCCATGTAGGCGAACATCTTGAGTGCTAGCGCCCTCCTATTCTTCATCGAGAATGGCATTGGTTCGTGCTGGACTCCATCAGCACGAAAGGCCTACGAGCACGAGGCCGTGGAACCCACCGCATCATGCAACTGGCGCCTGAGAACAGGTTGTCTGACGATTTGCCTCGAAACAGGCAGGCGTGCCGCGCGCATGATGAAAGGGGCTGAGGACATTGTGAGAGATATTCGCGAGTAAGGATGCGGGCAATTTGTGGGGTACCAGAAACGACCGCCCACATTTATAGGGAGAAGGCGAAAGGGACCACCCTGCGTCCAAGCGCTTCGGGACCAGCCCAGTTCTTGCTCAGGTGAGCCAATTCACCGCAGCTGAGTGGTCGAGAATGTTGTCTGGGCACCTGCATGAGAACAATCAGTGTTCTAAAGCTGTCATCACAATACAGTCGGGGTCACCTGTGTAGAGTTCTCTGGATCCTGTAAGTCAATGGACGGGATCAGTCTAGGTGAGAGGAGACCATATTTGGGATAAGATAAGATAAAACATATCCAATCTCCGTCAGCTGATTTGTCAACTGACAAATGCGATTGTGACCAGTTACCATCGCGCTCATCGCCAACCACGATGTCGAAGATATTTGAACTCCCAGCGTCTGCGCGTCCTGCGGAAAAAGTCCCACTGAAGTATGGGGTTGTCCTGTACCCCGGATTCCAAGCGCTCGACGTTTTCGGACCGTTGGACGCTCTGAATTCGTTGTCGCTGGCATACCCTTTGCAACTCTACATTATCGCGGAGACGCTCAACCCCGTATCGACCAAGCCACCCGACCATCTAAACCCTGCAGGGTCAAATTTTGCTCAATCGATCGTACCAACACACACCTTCGACTCTGTACCACCTATTGACGTCCTCATCGTCCCGGGAGGTGTCGGAAATCGTGCCCCAGCAAACATGGATAGCGTCCTGGCATATATCGCGAAGATCTACCCAAGTCTGCAATATTTGATCACCGTCTGCACTGGATCGGGCCTGGCTGCGCGTGCGGGAGTGTTGGACGGGAAGAGGGCCACCACGAACAAACGCGCTTGGGCACGAACGGTTGACTTGCGAACCCAGGTGACCTGGATCCCACACGCCCGATGGGTGGTCGATGGAAACATCTGGACGTCATCAGGGGTTAGCGCAGGGATCGACATCATATTCGCATTTATAGGCGAAACATACGGGCGGGAGGTGGCACCGATGATTGCTGATTTTCTCGAGTACGAGAGGCACACGGATTCAACTTGGGACCCGTACGCAGAGAAGTATGGCTTGTGAAATGCAACTCGGGTTTCGATGTTCTTGTATTGATGTTTTTGAGCAACATAGTCACCCTACAGGTGTTGGACGAAGCAAGCACGCGATGGTTTACCGGCGGCACCCGGAGTATGCAGGGCCTTCAACATTTGTGAACCTCCACTGCGACTAGCCACCTCAGACAGCGTTCCTCAGCGTTCACCGCAGCTGTCGGTGACCTCATCCGTTCACAGGCTCCGTTCTCACTGTCCAGCGTCGGGCTAACGTCTCGTTTTCTCATGCTGAAGAGATCGAAGTTCTTCTAGTGATAGTTTAATCGCGTCAACCCTTTCCGCTTTCCATGGACAGCCTAATTGGTTTTCTTCCGTATGTCTTCATCCCCCCTTCTATTACGAGATTGCCAAAGGCTCTCACAATCATACCAGGCGTCGAAAGGCGTCGAAACTCCTGCTCGAGGTCGATCCGCGTTAACTCCGTCGATGTTAATCTCAATTGCATCGGTTGTCCAGCAGTGTCCTCTCGACCTGTATGTTTCTTATTGGGGCCGAGTACTGCTGGGATGCCGGGTAAAGAGACCGTGAGGCTGCCTCTCTATGCCAAAAAGCCTATTCGGTTTTTCACATACCTCGTAAAGGGATCTACAGGTCCGTTTTTCCGGCCGAGTATAGCCCATGGGACAAATTCAACCCTTTCGTATGCGTTCAAACGCCCAATTCACCCTTACCATTCGGTGATCATCGTACCATCGGCCTGGTCTAGGGTTCCTTGCAAGTCTCTAACCCGTCTGGGACCAGCGTATGTGGAGTATCAGGGCCATAATCTCTCACAGAAGTGGCGATTCAGTGTGAGAACGCTTCCAGATTTTATTCAGATAGCCCAAGACCTTTCGAGGCGTCGAAAACACGAGGACGACGAAAGCCGAAGTATGTGAATTCTATTCTTCGTGTTCGTGTGTTTTTCTGCAACCTAACGAGTCCTGGAAGTTCTTCGTTGCTATTAATAAGACTTGGAGTTGAAGGACCTTGTTCCAGAGCATGAAATGCAGAGATAACTCCTCTTTTCATCCCGAAGATGGCGAATTTCCACTTATTCTAGTCCTCTCTTCTGCCTAGACTCCCACGAAGGCAAAGCTGAACAGTTTCTCTTCGCTCCGAAACGAAGGTTCTGCCATCGCAGTCTATTATGCAACAAATGGGTGTCGACAGGCTAAGGGTTCCTCCAGAGTGCATGCGCTCGCTAGTTTAATTTCCTGGTAAGTCCAGACAGTGGCTCTACCTCATCGTTTCGCCTTGCGTCTTGTATTCAAAATGGATATTCAGCTTCCGTCTACCCGTTTACTTCGTTGGTTGCTCGATTCCAAGAACAGAAATAGCCTTTCTCCGACACGTGTTCCCAGAAGAGGGTTGACCCTGACACCGTGCCTTCCCTCCGAGCACGCTGTGTTTCGCCACGGCTTTCGCTCCTTCAACTCAACTTCGACTCCGACGACATTCTTCTCATCATCAATGAAAGATGTTGCGGACAGCTGCAACCAGATGATCGAGTGCCAGCATCTCACGCCCTCATGCGAAGGTTCTGCACTCAAGAATCTATGACCAAGAACACAGCTCTTATCGAGGTCCTCCGACGCAGGATACATGGCCCAACCGTCTCCCACGTGGACCTACGAAAGTAGGATTTAAAGCGAGCACCCCGTAGCCGGATGTGTATTCCCCACCCACTCAACCACCCAAAGCCCGCCCCAGGACTCTCTCCGACCATGGCTGCCCCAACTATATCGACTATTGTCACGTTATCCAACCTTCCAAAGGTCATCCACATCCGAGCTGACGATCCCGCAACACAATACCACCCTCTATTCTCTTTACCAGATGCAGACGTCGTCCTTCGTTCCCTCCAAGGAACGCTGTATCGCATCCACTCGTTCACCCTGCGCATGACCTCCGGCTTCTTCGAGACAATGTTCAGCCTACCCCAACCCAAAACCCATCGACCACGCCGCGACGATCTCGACACTGCCAAAACAGAACTCCATCCTGATGTTTTGGATGTGTACGAAAATGATTTCCCGCTAGAACGCCTGCTTAGACTTATTTCCGGGCTTCCTGTCCCCCGATGGGAAACGATGGACGAGATCGAACGCGTCTTGACCCTCGCCGAGAAGTGGGATACACCAGGACCTATCGCAAGTATCCGATCCGCGTTGAATTCGCATCGGTTTCTTCACGACCACCCCCTCCGATGCTACGTCCTCGCTACACATTTCGGCTGGAAGCAGGAAGCCAAGCTAGCCTCGACACACACGTTGACTCTCAATTTGTATGACCCGGCACACTCCTCGATTATTGACCGGCTGTCATCAAAGGATCTTCTGTCGCTTCTGAACCTCCATCGCAGACGGAGAGATATGTTCCGAGAACTTCTGAATAGTCCCGAGAGATTTGCTGCTGGAAATAGGTGCGTCGCTCTATTTCCATGATTTCCGCTTTTCACACAACCAATGCAAATCCTCTCCGTTGCAGCTCGCCATACCATTGCAATCGATGTGGTGTGACCGAACTCGATAATCACACGTGGAGGGTGTTTAAGAGCGCGATGTTTATAGAGATGGAGAGGCGACCGTTGGGGGATACGCTGGGCCTTGCGGTCGGCGAAACCGCTGGGTGGCCAGAGGCCATCGCGTGTTGGGAAGCTCAGTGCACGAAGGAGGGTTGTGGGGGACTCAACTACGACCGCATTGCGACCTTGCGGCAGATTCGAGCCTGCATTTCATTGCTTCCGCTAACGATCGAAGACTAGCCACCAGACGTGTTTTTGTCAGCACGTAATTGTGGTGTGTCCTGTCATTGTGCACTTAATTATCCGGTCCCTTGACATCCCCTGCTTCCTAGTCTCGAGCCGATGTCACTCTCGTTTCGTGTTGCTACTCGAAACTTCTCCAGAAATCCTATGACCCAACCATTAGTGCGTTCGATGTGTGCCCTCGAGGCGCCAAGTGATCGATGTCCTTCACTGCTCCTTTGTTCCAGACTTAAGGTTTCCACAACGTTGGCTGTTCTAAGGTTAATCTTGGGAGTGGGGTGCAGAATTGCCTCCGGGCGTGTTCTCAAGGTTTTGAGTTCAGACACCCACTATTGATGTCTTCTTGGCTATACTTGTACCGGAGTGACGATGGTCGCCACAAATAGCACGCATTTTCATCCTTCCAGAAGGAAAAAATTGTCGCCAGGTTCGACAAGCGTTCCCGTAGGCCGGTAGCAAGCCCGAAGTAGAATGTTCAGGCTCTTTTGACCCAGAGCTGAATACGGGGTTGTCCGAAAAGCCCCTGCAATGTGGGGTGTGAGGGGAAAACGTGTTTGGATTCGGCCGAGTTCTCCAAAATGCGAAATGCGAAGAGCGGACGGTCTTTCATTTAGGGCCTAAGTAAAAACGAACACTCTCTGAACACCTTGTATAAGGCTCTTGGGTCTCGGCCCCTCTTTAGCTGAGTCCGCAGGATTGCGCCACACTGAACTTAAATGGTATTGGGGACCATCCAGCTCTTTCGTCTAATTGGTGCTCTTGTTTAACCATGCCTAGAGCACAGAGTGATCACGTATTTCTTGTTGAATTTGTACCTAGTACTCGAAGTCGTAATCCGATTGCTCAATGGAATCCGGGAGTGAATAATATTTTTAGGGTGCTATTGGTTGAGGGTAAGCCCTCGGCATCTCTGCTATGGGATAACCCGTCGGGGTCATGCATCTCTTTAGAGAGCCTGGATCTGGTGGGGCAATCCAAACTTCCATACTGCGGGAGTATCACATCACAAGATCCCGAAGACAAAGTTTTCCTGATCAAAAACACCAGGGAATACCTCTGTAAAACAACAACCTTCCTCCGCCGACGTAGCTTAGTGCAACAGCCTTAAGTATGACATGGATGGTTTACCAATTATCGTGTGAAGAAAACGTTGCAATATTTTTCCGAATGGATATTTCAACTTGGAGGGCATGCGCATTAAATCCTCCGTTTATACCGTTGGTTTAAGCCTCTCCTCATTCTGGTATAAGTAGAGCTGGCGACAGCACTTGGCAGGGTGTAAACGCCGTTTTCTCTCCAGGCATTCGCCACTGATGGCGGCGGCATTAGTTGGGAAGGTTGGTAAACTGCTATCTCCTATCTAATTGCATTTACTTATCCCTGAGACGACCGTGGATGATATCAATCACATCGACCTCACAAAAAAGATGTGCTCGTCCACTTCACCGTGAAGAGAGCCTGAGAAGCGCGAAAGGCACCCTGGTACGAAGAGACAGGGACAAAAGGCAGATCCCCCCACTTCACGGGCGCTTCTTTCGTGGTCATGGCCGTCGGAAGACAGAAACGTCCGCTTGATCTTCCCGAATATTACGGGCGCTACTCTGATGTATACTACCGTGGCTCAACTGCACTTATTGCGAATGAATTTCTTGGCACCCTCGACACCCCTATTTGATGGATTGTGCTAAATATATTATCCAATGGGCGCCAATCAGCCGCTGAGGTCGGAACAGGACGCTTCGTAACCCCATATCTTCATACGTCACCATCTTATCCCAGAAATCGTATATAACATACCTTTCAATCACCACTTTTCTCCATCACGAACGCCGAAGTAACTCCCTTCCGACACCTTGTTTGCCCTGCCTCGGTGATTAGGGGTAATTTGAATCAACCCTTTACCACTTCCTTTCTCGGTCCGTCACAGAAAGTTCACTGCAGTGTCCTTGGGAAGATGGTAGCAGAGCAAGGCGACCTCAACGAGCGAATGGCCGTTGCGCGGCGCGACGCGGATGGTCTAGTAAAGAAACTCAAATCCATAAAAGGGTCGGAATCATTGGTCGACACTAGTCGTAAGTTTATGTTGCCACGTTTCCAAACTTGTGCTTATTCGCCTGGTTTTGAGTGCGTGCAATGGCTGCAGACGTTGGTGCCCTACCTCGTATTGTCATGCGGCCGCGTCGGGTTCTTAGAGGCCACCTTTCAAAGATATACGCTATGCAGTGGGCTGCAGACGGGAGGCACCTTGTTTCAGCGTCACAAGACGGCAAGCTCATCGTCTGGGACGCTTATACGACCAATAAAGTTCACGCTGTACCCTTGCGGTCAAGTTGGGTGATGACCTGTGCTTATTCGCCTTCTGGAGGTTTCATTGCCTGCGGGGGCCTCGACAACACATGCTCCATCTATAGCTTGAACAACACCGACACCAGCCAGGGAATGGGTGTTCAAGAACTGAGTGCTCACTCCGGGTATCTCAGTTGTTGCCGGTTCATTGATGATCGTCAAATCCTCACTTCGTCCGGCGACATGAGTTGCATGTTGTGGGACATCGAGACGGGGACCAGAGTGGTGGAATTTAATGACCACGTTGGAGACGTGATGAGGTACGGCGTTGTACTAAAAACTCTGAGGAAGTGCCCTGACATAACCTGCCAGCCTCTCTCTTGGACCGGACCCCAATCTATTCGTGTCTGGTGCCTGTGATGCAATGGCAAAGCTCTGCGATATCCGAACAGGACGCGCTGTGCAAACCTTCACTGGCCATGACTCCGATATCAATGCTGTATGGTGCGAATTCGCCCCTTTCACGACCTCACAGCGGTCTTAGCCCTCCTACAGCTTCTTCCCCAACGGGGATGCGTTCGCAACTGGGTCCAACGACGCATCGTGTCGCCTCTTCGACATTCGCGCCGATCGCGAACTGAACAGCTTCGCGCACGCGAATCTTTTCTGCGGGATTACGTCTGTCGCTTTCTCTATTTCCGGGCGTATTTTGTTTGGCGGCTATGACGACTGGACGTGCAATGCCTGGGATACACTGAAAGGGGATCGGGTGGGTGTGCTCACTGGTCATGAAAACCGTGTCAGTAGCTTGGGGATCAGTGCCGATGGGATGGCGCTTTGTACTGGGAGCTGGGATAGCATCCTTAAGGTAAATATATCTTGACACCATTAGTTTCTTTTCTGATCTATCTTAGGTCTGGGCATAAGGCAAGTTGCAGGCGGCTCGTTATGGCAGCCGTTTAACCAGCAACCCCAAGAGCTGTTTCGAAAGGTTCAGAATAACCCGACTCTGACATTGATGCATGGGTGGATTATATACAAAGTACCAGGTTTGGGGTGCACTCTAAAATACGACGTCCTTTTAATCGGCGAGGTGGAAGAAGTAAGGTAGAGGTTCTCGAATTTCTGGCTCGTGATTGAAAAGTCTCAACATAGAAACTGTCTAGAGACTAGTGATCTTATTTTCGGACTTCATACTCGGATGATCAATACATAAGAACCAAAACAGGATCACGACGGGCCGCGGAAGATGTTACTACGTAGTCTTATTCTCTCGTAAGAGTCGATGCGTCGGGAATTGAACGTCAAGAAGGTTCATTATACAAGTAGTCATCGGCCGAAGTTGGCACTAAGTCAGGGATATTAAAACAGAGAGGAGTACATATATCAAGTCGCATTAAGACTTCGTTGGGCCGGCTCGACTTGTGGCCCCTCAGCAGCCCAGCTCAAATATCCCCCCATTTTCGATAATCACTTGTTCGAGTTCCAAGCTTAACCATTAGACCTGGCTACTAGTACTTTTGGGACACAGAAATAATTAACTTCATGCTGAAGTTTTATCTTGGCGATATTTTCCCTGCTCCAAGGATTGCGCCGTTGCACCCTTGATAGGGGCTAAAGCCGACGCGACGCGTGCCACTGTTACTTACAGCTATTGCACGTGATCGTAACATCTGTCACTTCCAACTTGAGTCGCGACTTGAGGTCGACACCGTTCTTCCACTGGCTCTGACGTCTGTTTCACTTCCTTTTTTCTCATCTAATTGAAATCCAGAACTTACGGGAAAGGGAGGACATCATGTGGATCATTTCGGGTCCGTTCGACGGGGAGTCGGGAGGTGACTTGAGCTTCCAAAGTACGTGTCTATAACACATCCGTTTGGAGCTGGAAGCAAGGGTTTGGTGACACCCTATTGGGTTCAACCTGATCCCAAGAGGCCACGAATTGCTAGTGTCGGAAGGCTTGCGGCGGAATGCTCCTGCAAGCGACATGGTGGCAGCTTCCTCGATTTGACTCATTTTCCATCTCCAATGTTTTTACTGAAGCTACATATGATGATATCAGAGGTCAAGCTCCTGAAGCCCAAGAGCTCGTATACCCTGGGAAGAAAGTCTCAACCTCTGCTTGTCAATAACAAGAAGGTTTCTGCCGCCCTCTGTCAGTTTGAAGTTGGGGAACACACTGTTGACGACATCGTAAGCGATTCTTCCCAATGCGTTTCTTTCATTAACTATGTACCAGAGTGACCCGTCATCTAGGCCCTCGCTACGTATTGTCAACCTGAACAAGAAGGACAAGGGCGTTATCATCTCTCGCGACGGCGACCGGATTGAAGTCGCTCCTGCAACTGAACATGCCCTTCAAGATGGTGATGTCATATCTCTCGTTTCTGGAGCTGATGCTTCGTAAGTTTCCCTCAACTAGTCTCATGCGTCTCTGTCCTAATGGTTGCCTGAAGAGTACATTGGAAACCCCTTTGTGTGTATGCTCCGTCATCGTCATTCCCGTCAGACCAGTGTGCCAGCCTAGGTGAGTGAGTTTGCATGCAGACGCGCCTTTCCTTCGCTATCGTATTCATGTCATTGCCGTATAAGATTTTGCTGACCCTACACTTGCAGGAATCAAGATAGTTCATACACCCCATGCAGAGGTTACACATCATATTACATCCGATTTTGTTGCAAATCTGTCATCAATGTCATCCCTCCTGTCTCTCTGCCAGTTCGTGAAGCCTGAATGGCTGCAAGAAGTCATCAAGCTCGGCACCGACCTCAAGCATGCCCAACCTTTCGGACTATCCTCTTTGGAGGAGCACTTCGTCTTGCCCTTCGAGAGCAAATATCGACCCGCGTTCTCGCCATCCTTGTCGTCCGCACAAAAAGTCCTCCGTCTATGGGAGCCGAATGAAGAAAGAGTCAATTTGTTTCAAGCCTGCCGGTTCATCTGCTTGCACGAGAAGATTCGAGACTCGGATACGGAGCTTCGAGAGGCGATTCATCGAGGAGGAGGATCGTTGGAGAACTTTGATATTCATTCTGGCATAGTAAAGTTCCGGAGGGCCTTGACACGTGCACAGGTGAAAGAAGGCAAGAAAACGGTCATAGTTGGGGATGAGGAGTCGATGAAAGCAGCGGTCGGAAAGGAGACCTGGGAGGAGTACGTTGCTGAGGCACGAAGGTACGCATTTCAACTCGTGCTGAATTTTCTCCTTTCTTATCACCCAGTTAGCTCCTCTCTGGAAATATTTCCTCCTTCGAAGTTCATTCAAGCAATTCTTGATGTCAATGTCGATATTCTTTTTGAATCAAACACCATAGATATCGATGACAGCTCCACTCACGGTGGGTCTGGCCCAGCCCCTCCCCACAACATACTCATTTATTCCAGCTCGTACCACCTCTCTGTTGGCAAACACGCTGTCCAAAGGGCAGTCCGCGAAGTCCTCTCAACCTACAACAACCCCTGCTCCCAAAAGGCTCATTCGCAGAGCCACGTCGCGAGAGCCCTCTGCGGCCCGTGAACCACCTCCTGAACAAGCTAGCGAAGAACCTCCAAAGCCACCAAAGAAGGTTCGTCCTTCACCTCGCCGAATGACAAGCAGCTAACATCAAACTGCAGACTCTGACGAGACGTGCCGTACCCAAAAAGCCACCAGTCATCACTGGCATAGATGACCCCTCTGAGATTATCGACGCCGTTCCGGAACTGTCATCAGCAAGGGAAAAGACCCCACCCCCGCCTACCCCCGCACGCGAATCAACCGGGGCAACGGCACCGACCCCAGGACGACCCAAGAATCTCAAGCGCCGTTTCGCGGGCAAAGACAAGAACTCGGCCTTGCCACAGATGTCAATGCTGTCAAGCATTGGAGAGACCGTTCCTGAGGAACCCCCGCTGAAGAAATTCAAGGCCCTCTTCGAGGCGAGCGGTGCCGAGGCTGATGCGCCTGCTATGGACTTCGAATCGTTCAACCCTGAAGAGAGTATCCCGCAGTTCAGTGTTGGCTTGAGTTCTCAGACGCAGACGCAGACGCAGGCCGAAACTGAACCTGGGAGGTTTGGACGTGGTTTCCCTTCGTCCAGTCTCGCGGTGCTCAGAGAAGAGGAAGAAGAGACGCAGGGGTCATCTTCTCAGCGAGGCACGAAGAGGAGAGCGGATGACGAAGAGGAGGATGTGGAGATGCAGCTCGTACAAGATCGTCAGCCTTCAGAGGCATCGTCCGGGCCTCCAATGTCAAAACGGCGCGCAGTCGAGAACGTCAACGCCGTCGAGAACGTTGCTAGAGGTGCCAGCAAGCCGCCATCGACTGTCGGTACCGTTACACTTACTGGCAAGGAAGGGCATGGTGCTGCTCCCGGCAAGCCAGACACGGATGCTGCATTCCTCAAGGCAATTGCATCGACCAAGCGAGGCAAGAAAGGCGAAGACGATTTCGATAGGGAGTTCAACAAGCTCAAGATCTCTAAACCCCAGCTCAACAAGCCGGCCGAGCCCGAGGAAGAGTGGGCTGTTCTGGCTGAATTTGGTGACGATTCAGGCCTGAGGGGAAACTTCATGGTCGTTGTCGAAATTGATGTGTACAAGAAGAACCCAAAGGACAAGGAAAATCAGGTCTCGAACCAAGCTTGGAATGGGAAGCCGAATTTCAAGAAATTCAAGAAGGTTTGTCATTCGTGATTTTTGCTTTGTAGATGTCAGCTTGCTAGAGCTGATGAATTTCCCTCTTATCTAGAAGGTGAACAATTCGTCGCGGGCAAAGATCGATCTTTTCGTCAACGATGACAACGACTACGACACATGGGCCGCGGGCGACTCGCAAGGCCGAACTCAGACTCAGACCCAGGTTCGCCTTCCTGATAGCCAGATAGAACTGGAGGTGCAACCGTTGAGAACGCAAACCCAACACAAGACAAGGAATGGAAGGAGTCAGATTGCTATTCCTTCGGACGACAGCGACGTGGAGGAGGCGCGACCAGCACCGTCACGAAAAACGAGGAAAGCGCCATCCAGAGCTGGATCCGCTACTCCTGGCCCTTCTCGGACGACATCGAGGAGCAAGGCACCTGCGAGAGCAAAGGCCAAAGCGCAGCTGTTCCTGGACTCGGACAACGACGATGAGGTCTATGAGATTCCTGGGCACGATGATGATGACGTCGTTGAGGAAGAGACCCTCAAATCAAGTCCTGAGGAGCTACGCGCCGGCTCGCGTCGAACAACGAGCAGGACGACGGCTGCGGCGAAGTCGAAGTCGAAGAAGGCGGCACCTATCATTCTCGACGATGGTTCAGATGACGACGCAGTGTTCAAGGGTTTCGGAGCCAGGCGAGGGGGAAGGTAAAATCTGGTTGCCTGGTGCCTATATTCGCATCTATCCTCTCATTTGTGGCCTTTTTTATTACTCTGCTAAAGCTATACTAATTGTTACAACCACGGGTTTGCATTTGACAAGACACCTCGAACTGCGGGGCTACTTGAGGGATTGTCTCGAATCTTTGGCACCTGACTGGAGGGATGCGCAGTTCATCCCGTGCCTACCGGCATCCATCTGATTTTTCTAGACATTGCCTATAGAGTAAGTATATTCACATCGTGGGACACCGAGTAGCTCAGCCTCCGCTACTGGGTGGAGTCAACGAGCGCTTTCTTGATTCCAATTCACATCGACTTCTCTTCAGGTTGCTATGCAACTCACTGGGCACAATGGACAAAGGTGCGAGGCAATTGACGTTCTTTGCTCCTTTACTCTGCTATGCTCATACGGGTCCACACTTAGGGACGAGAATGCCCCAATCTATCATATCAGTAGGAGCCTATGGTGTTACTTTCACAAGATCTGCTCTGATTAGTGAATGTTCTTAGTCCGTCTCTTAGACGGCCTTCGTATTCAAGATGCTGTACCCCTCATACCAGCAAGGGCAACCCCGCAAACTCGTCCACTTCCACTGCCACCACCGCCACCATATCACGGCGATTATCCTGCACACATACTTGAGACATACGGGCAAATCCCATTATCACGGCCGTATATCGTCACAGATGATACACCATTCATACCCCTGTGGCGGCAGGTCCTTGCCTACTGGTTTCCCTGCTTGGAAGGATTCACTCTAGAGGAGAATTGGTACTTGAGAAGCGAACGACTGCCATTCCTCCCAGCTACCGAGCCAGCGTCCTTCGCGATCCTTCTACATGGGCAGCCTATCCTTCTGCTGCGGCTGCACGGCGTGACCGAGTTCGAGTCACTCCCCGCGCGGGCCTCGCTGCGCTCGGGCGCTAATCGAATGTTCGATTCAGTGGCATTGTGGAGTGGCCATCCGGCGCTTTGTGTGGTATCAGCAATTGGTGCGAAGTGGAATGCTTTCTTACGACCGACGGATATGACCAGTGCAGAGGCAGAGAACGTGCTAGGCTATGATTGGTACGGAGAGTGGAAAGGAGATGTGGTCTCGGCTGAATCACATCGGGCGCTGGGGCAGTACTTTAAGGTTTTGAAGGCCTCGCGTGAGTTATTCATACCTCCGTTGGCTGGTGGTGACTAATGGTCCTGTTGATGAATAGTATTAGGCTTGTCGTGAACAGGTGCGAAGATATCATGCTGTTAGGCCCTAGAAGTTGGAAGGACTGAGAGAGTGCAGTCGAAATCCAACACCACGAAGGATTCAGGCAAACGGTTATTATACATATCGTTTTCCAGAGCACAATGCGCTACGATATAAATGAGATAAAGTTCAAAATACACATACATTGCCCAACAAACCTAAAAAGCAGGGTTTGGACTAAGTTAAAGTCCAGAAACCAACAAGTAATTGTACAAGAGAAGAAAAGGGAAGAGTTAATAGGGAAAAGAGTCACTAAGCACTCAAATGACGCGAAACTGAACCTCGCAAAGCTGCTCCTCCAGACCTATAAGGAGGCGGTAACTCTCTGACCGCCGCCGCATCTTCATGCTGGAACACACCACCAGCCCTGTCCGATCCTTCTTCTCTCACCGTCGCTATTCTCAGCCTATTAAGACTTGTTGAAGGCAGCCCAGTCTGCGTTGTGCCGTCCGTACCTGTCGACGTATTCCTCCCGAGAACGTGGCTGTGGGACTCTGACAGTGCTGATTCTTGGTGTTGTGTCGCGGGCGAGCCTTCCAATGACAACACCCCCGCCTCGATTGCCTTCACGGAGCGTCGGATGGAAGTGGACGGGAAGCTTGTGAAACTCGGGCGCGAAGACGAGCGCCCCGAATCTCGATTGTGCGCGTGTGGGGGCAAGATGGGACTGTTGCTGTCGTCGCCCAGCGCTCTACCAACTGGCGGATCCACAGGGGAAGTTTGTAGCGGAGATTCGATTCCATGCAATGGCGAAGAAGTGCCGTAGCGTCCTCCAAGAAAGCTCGCTTTACTGAGCGGAGGCGGTGCTAGGGGTAGCGCCTTGGGTTCTGGCGTGCTGAGGAAATTGTTGATGGAGAGGACCTGGCCAGGGCTGGCACTGTTCTCTATCTGAGTGTATGGCAAGGGAAACTGGTGCGGGAGGGTGTTGGCCTCCTCGAGCTGCCATAACCTCTTGCGCTTGCGAATGTAGAAGAAGACCCCGATGCCCGAGCCGATGAGGAAAAGGAGGACGATTGTAACTGCGACACCAGTAACTGTTGCCCTTTGACGCTTCGCTGCTTCTGCCTCGGTGTTCGCTGCTGCAATATTCGCTGCAATTTCGGTAGAATTACCACTCGAGCTGACAAGCCCAACACAATCGACGTTGGAAGATCCTAATTTGAAAACTCGAATGAGCCTTCGCGGACAGTGGCTAATCGACAAGCGTAGCTACCTTTCGTATTCACCATTGGCGTCCTCGTTGCCCATCGTCCTGTCCTGAGAGCAGAAACATGTCAATAACGCCCGTGGATCAAAAAAAACGAAGGGAAACCCACAAGTCGCTGATTGCAGCTAGGAAAGTAAGGGTTCATCATGATCCTGTCAGCGCCAAGGCCCAAGGAGAAAAGAAACACAAAGGCTCACCAATGAGCTGCCCGTTCGGTGTTGCACGATTGATGTACGTGTAATGATTGTCACCAAAACCAATTGTCACGTTGGTGACTATTGGCGAATTGGGTTGGACGAGTGTGATGTTGTACGGAGGTACGCCGCCCTTGATTGCCAACCCCCACGGCTGGCATGTAGTGAGATCGCCCGTAACGTTGGCGGTTACTTTGAACTCGGGCGTCTGAATGGTGCCTGTAACGCACTGTGTCGTGGAGCCGGCTTGAAGTCGACAGGATCAGGTCAACGGGGCTCAATAGGCTTCTGATACAAAGGAGTCAAGGCTCACCAATTACTTCGTATATCGTCGGCGGCAAGCCTCCGGCGCTGCCATTGGCATCAACGACGCTCAATGCCAGCCGAGATCCTGTCGCCATTCAAGACAATTGTCCAAGGGCACTGATGAAACACTCACCAACTGGCGCGGTCACTGTCCAACTCAGACTGTCTTCGTCCGTGCCAATGAGGGTGGTAATAGGTGCGCCACCGATGAGGAAAGCTATCATGTAATAAGGAGCCGTCCCACGGGCGTTGTCGAGGGTAGGATTGGCAGGATCGAACAAGGAGATGGCGAGGGGGAAACAAGTCGGCAATTTGTTGGAAAGGGTCTGAAGACAAAGCAAGTACTCTTCATCCCTCCGTGCTATCAGGAAACGAAAGTTGGACGTACGAAGTCTCTGAATTTCCACTGGAAAAGCCCGCTCGTCTGCCCCAGACACGTATTGAAGGCGCATGACAGTAACCATATAAGACTGAAGATCACAGAAAGGGAGGCCATCGGAGAGGTTAGAAGGGATTTGAGAGTCGAAATGAGTGTAGTGTAAAAGAAAGACGCCCAGCGTGAACGCCCAAGTTACAGGCTACGAAAGCAGGGACTTCCTGGCAATAACGCCGGAGCCCTGGACTGAAAGAGCGTAAAACAAGTGAGCAAGCGACGAACAGCAGTGTAATTGGGGACATACCGCGAGTAAAAGAGGTACCAGCCTTGGAAACCAGAATCAAGTGAGGGAACGAAGGGAAGAGGCACTGGCAGATCATGGACTTGGATTCCGAGGTGACAGATCGCTTCCAGATCACATGACCACTCGGAGGTCGCGATACCCAGAATAGCATAGACCGAAATAGACGCAGGTAAAACAAGTTCTCTGATGCATGGAGAGGTTAAAGAGCGGGGAAAGAACACAGTGAGGCCATTCTTGCTGTCATTTTCCGGGAAGAGTCCCTTCGCGTCATCGGTCTTCAATGAGCCATGTTGTGGCTAGTCAACGCTTGAATTCGAGGCCGCCTAATAAACTCGTTTCAAGTTACTATTTGTTCGGTTAGTCCTGGTGGCAGTCACTGTTCACAGCTGTCCAAGTCTGACATAGCGAACATCTAAGAACCTGGCAGATACAAGATCATCCAATCGAAGACCGAAGTGATCACCCACCATCAACGTTTTATTCAAAGCTGTGCCAGATGTGTCTGCGACTTCTGTTCGTATCTTCACCATCCCAGAATCTTTGGGGCGTTATAGTAGGTGAAGGTAGAGGCCAAGTAACGACTCTGGCTCCAGTAGAAGTCTTTTTCCATGGGAGCGATGTTTATTTATATTTATGGATGATTTACAGTGCAGACGCACATCCCAGGAAAGGGGCTACAGATTTGCAACCTTGGGGTGAACAGAAGTTCGTGATCAAACGTTATGAAAAATATGGCGTCTTAAGAGCCCCACCGGAGGATTGAAGCTATGAAAGGCTTACAACCTCGCGGTCTGAGTTCTGACCCTTGAATATGGCGAGAGGGTCATGCCCTATGTAATTACTATCGCTTGAATAATTGCGTTGCCCGGAGACACGGTCTAGAGTTTCGAAGATGACATCTTACCTCCTATTTTAAAACGACGACACAAAGCGTGTGTGGTATTTTACTAGCAAAACATGAGGAAGAATGGGTATTAGGCGGTAACGTCCGGACCATGAGCGTGTAACTAAGGTTGGGGTGTTTGATACAACTAACGGTGCAAATCATGCACGAGATTAAATGAATTGGCGGGGAAAGAAAGATGATGCTCAGGAGTGGATGGATACAGTTGAGAGTTAAGAGAAACGCGAGTCCGAAAAATGCCCGACAAATTGCAATGCTACAAACTCCAAGCGAGGCGAAATGAGTTTACATTAGCCCTCTAGATCTTCTATCGGCGTACGGTGGGGGCGGCTCGTCCGCAAGCTGGAGACCGGCACCAGTCTTCGGACATGCTCCTACCTCACCGGTCTCGGGGTTTGCATATAACACACTCGACTCCGGGTACTCCCTGACCGTTGGCATTTGCGAGGGCCTTCCACGCATCGAGTCCGCAGCCGTCGACGTCGACGTTATCCGGCCGAGAACGTTGCTCGAATCGGGCAGCGCTGACTCTGGATACTCCAACTCTGGCGAGCGCGAGTGGTAAACGCCCGCCTCAGCCGCCTTTGCTGACGGTCGCACTGAGGACGTCGCGGTTGTCGACACGCTAGGCCGCGAGTACAGAGTCGGTCGCGTGCGCTCGCCGGGGCTTGTGATGTCGCTACCAGCGGCCGCACTCATCTGGGATGCGGACGCAGTAGACGAAGAGGCGACCGCAGGTGATTCTGGAAGAGGGGGAATGTAGAGCGAGCGCGGCTGCATGAGACGGGTCTTCGACGATGTTGATGTCTGGGTAGGTAGCGAACTGATGGAGGTGTTGAAAGAGTATCCTATGCTACCCGAGTACTGGGTGGGGGGATAAGGCGATGGCTCCGCGATGAACTGTCGCGGGACGGTGCTGGCCTCCTCCTCTTGCACCATACGTCGTCGCCGCTTGCGCATAGCGAAGCAGACAGCGACGCCGAGGGCTCCAATGAGCAAGAGGAACGCCGATACAGCTGTGATCGCAATGATGAGAATTGACCTGCGACGCCTCGACGCAGCTTCCGCCTCGGTGGCAGCAGTATCGCTCGCCATGACTGCGGTAGAGTTGATACTTGTGCTTAAGAGCCCAGGGCACGTAACATTGGTCGATCCTGAAATTCGTATTAGCCGACACAATAGGAGGGTGAGAAGGACATGTCTAACCCTTCGTGTTGACGATCGGGGTTCCGGCAGCCCATCGCCCAGTTCTGAGAAAAGGAATGAAAAGCGTCAGATCCTGCCCTACGTGAAGACAAAACTGCTACCCACGAGTCGCTGACCGCCGCTTGATCCAAGAAAGACAGCTTCATCAGTCCAATTATCAACATAATTAGTGAGCAAGCACCTACCGAGAAGCTGAGTATCTGGAGCCCCCCGATTTATGTAGGTAAAACGATCAGTGCCAGCAGGCATCGACAAATTGGTGACGGTAAACGAGTTGGGTTGGGCGATGGACACGGTGTACGGAGGAACGCCGCCAGTTATTGACAAACCCCACGGTTGACATGTGGTCAAATCGCCGGTAACATTCGCAGAAAACCGGAACTGAGGGTTTTGTGGGGGCGTAGCGATACATGACGTTGTGTTGCCAGCTGGAAGACGAGTTGGAGCCGTCGTAAAGAGATACATGAACGAAGGATACTCACCTATGATCGTGTATGTCAGAGGCGCCACACCACCAGTGCTCCTTGTCGCATCAACCACACTAAGAACCACTCGGGAACCTGTCCCAATTCAAAAAATTGTAAGGACTAAGAGCAAAACGCAACTCACCAACTGGGACATTCACCGTCCAGCTCAAAGCATCCTCATCCGTCCCAATCAAAGTCGTTACTGGCGTTCCACCCAACACGTACGCAGTCATGTAGTAAGGGGCGACGCCCTCGTCGTCATCGTCAGCAGCATTCCGGGACATCACGACGATCGGGAGTGGTGCGCATGCTGGCAGCTCGGCGGTCAGTGACTGTCGAAGAAACTGCGTTAAGGCGTCTCCAAAGAAAGATAGTGGATTGTACGCACTGAGTCCGTAAACCCCCACTGAAAGAGGCTGGTCGCCTGCCCCAAGCAAGGCAGGACGACGCATGACAGAAACCACAGACAGAGCAAGTTCAGAGAAAGGAACGACATCTCCGAACTCGCCCAGGCTCTGGAGGGAAGAAGGAGTTAAAAGGAAAGAAAGACGTCCAGCGTAGGCGCAATCGCAGTCGGAATGAAGGAGAAAGGAACGAAGGAGCGTCTAAGTAGGGTGGGCGAAGCACAGAGAGGTGCCGCAGGTCTAGGCGAATGAGATTCGCTGGATACCAACGGAACCAGTTTCTAAGCAGACATATGACCAGGGACTTCACCAGGTGAGGTCGCCCGCCGCGAGATAGTTAAGGTAGAGTAGTAGCGAGTGAACGGTTCCTGTGTCGCGTGAAGGGTGCAACCGTGAAAAAAGTGAGGCTGTCGATGGATTTAACCCAGCTTACGGCCAGCAGGGAAGCCCTTCGAGGTGCCCCAGGATAATTTCATGGTGGATTCTGACAGGGGCCAGTGTCGTTATCCGGCGGAGTGCTGACATACGACGCCAACGAAGTTACCAAATTTGTCAATCCTTCCTCGCTGTCGCCATCAGGATCGCCGAAATCAATTCCTCCTTCAAGCCGATACACGGCGGTCCAGAATCCGAGGTGGAGGATTACCCTCGTTCCCCTCAAACCAGCAAAAGGTAAGCCCGTAATTCAGGTAAGAGACAGAGCAGAACAGGTATAATGCGGGTGTAGACCAACGATGGCAACGGTCCTTCTCCGACGTTCCGCAGAAGCAACTGACCGAAGCCTACCGAAGCACACAATTGAATTGAGGATTTCATGAAAGCATGCGAGGAAGATAACACCCGTGCCTCGTATCCACGTGCCCGAGTCGCGCAGGGCGATCATTCCGTCAGACAAATTGAGCATGTGTGGCCAGGTGTGGCCTCCTGTCTTTTCTATAAGTACACAAACGTACTACGCACTGTTCTCATATGATTCGGATATCTATTCTCCTTGAACCGCTGCTTCTCGTCGAAATTTGCCCGCCTTGACGTATTCACGGTGATTGCGGACGGTGAGTCGAGAGCGATATGGAGGGCAGCCTCGTAAGCACGCCGTCTGTTTCGCTCAGGGCTGGTTCTATGGGTACGTCTTGCGACGGTAGGTGGAAGGTCCCTTGTATCTGTCTCCGGTACGCTGGGGACAAGAAACTGTTGTCGCTAAGCCTCGGCGATGGACCGAACGTGAACGGGGGCAACTCGGGCGGAGGAGACGATATTCGAGACGATATTCGAGATATCGTCCTCTGGGATGACGATGAAGGCGGTCGCTCGGTTTCTTCGATGTATTGATCGTCTTGACGTATTCCTGGGTCTACATCCACGTTGCGGATGTTTCGCATTGTTCTATCGCTGTGGTATGTAGTCCGTGGAGATGTAAGAAACCGATTATTCTGACGCGTGGTGTTATCTGTCGTTGGCCGTCCGACGGGCTTTAATTCCAGAGATCGAGTGCATTCGGAGGGCCGAGGGGGTGCATCTTGTGCCTCAGTGGACGTCTCCGCGCCTTTTCGAAGATGCTTCTTGTAGGCAACGAAGAGGCCAACTAGAAACAAGACCAAGGCAAGCGGCAAAGATATTCCTAGCCCAATGCTCAGCCGGGTTATCAACGATATTGGGTTGACCCCAACAAGACGTATTGAAGGACCCGCGGAAAATCCTTGAGCACTTGTTACGAGTCCAGAAAATCGAGGGCGTACCCCATGTGCGAACAAGCGGTGCAGATGTTGCAAGTGTATTAGTCCTGTTCGTAGAAAAGGCACGGACGTCTTGAGCCCCAGAATAGAGTTGAAGGGCAGGAGGAGTCGACGAAATGCACTAACGCGTCTGCAACGACCACTATATCAGCGACGAAAATAGAATGAGTATTCACACTTGCGCCGCTTGAATAAAATAAAATCACTGTAACATACCCAACAAAGTAGATCCAGGATCTGCACGATTGACATAAATATAGCGGGTCAATCCTGCTTCAAGCGTGTCATGAAAGTCTAGCTGAGATTCTCCTGAAGACAGGGAGAAGAAATCGAACGAGTATGGAGGTGTTCCGCCGTCAACGGTGAGAGCCCATGCGTCGCATGTTCGTAGGAAGTCTGTGACGTTGGCGTTGACGGTAAAGGCAGAAGAAGGTCGGAGGAATAGGAAAGGAAATATAGGGAGGGTAAGTCCAGTTGAAAAACAGTAGTGGGTGGAAGCAAGGAGCCTCATATCTAGTTAAACGGCCCGCGTCGACAAAATTAAGCGCCGGCTGCGCGAAAGCGAAAGTCTATAAAATTGAAGCTGGATGACACGACGCACCTGTCTCCTTTGAATGGAATACTCCTACCCGGCACGGAGGTTGAAAGGAAAAGGGGGAGGAGGTGTCAGTCTTCAAGTAATCAAGTGGTGATATAATATCCTGTCCAGCCTTCTATGATTCGGTGCACTGGAAACAGACTACAGCAATATCTCGCCTCTGATTATGGAACTGGATTGGTTACCCTTCCTTCGATGATGGCAATATCCATCCTGCCTCATGGAAAGACAAATCGTTAGTGCCTTTCGAGAAGAACAGTGTCCACTCCAGATACGAGCAATCGGCGACCTTCACTCTATAGAATCGGGGATGAAACGGGGCGCTCGAGGAGAAATTTCGTGTCGACTCGAAAAAGCTGGTATCCGCACATAAGACGTAGGAGGCCAAAAATAAACGCCAACCGCTGTTCCGATGAAACCCTCTGTGGCTGTAGCCTGATGCCTTGTTGTCTTCACTAGTTTGATCCCTCTTCGTTGATATCTCGACCGTGATGGCGGCCCCGACTGACTCGGACTGAGGCCGTGAGGCAAGGTGGTAGCACAGCAGAAGCTATCGCCGTTGTCAAATTAAAAGTTCGAAGTTACTCAACGGAATAGGTATCTCGTCTGAGAACCCAGAGCAGTCCAACATCACTCCCTTACGCCTTCGCCGCAGCCTTCTGTTCCTCCTCAACAATCTTCTTCCCGAGCTGCTTGATCCTTTTTGGGGCGTCAACTGCCGGGTTGTGTCGCTCGTAGCTTCGGACCACGGCCGACCCGATACCCAGCGGCACCCGGTCCCACGTCGTCACACGCATGCCGACACCAGCCAGCGCATGTGCCCGCAAATACCGCACCCAGCGCTCAATGACCTCCGGGTCCGCATCCCAAGCCTTGATTGCGCGTTTGTGCACCCTTCGCTCGAAGTTCTCTTGACTCTTCTTATGCGCGAAGGGACTGCGGAGGACGGTCCACAGCGTTCGCTTCGTGGGCAGAGCGACGACACGCGAGCAAGGGATGCCAAGCGAGGAGGCCGCGTGCGTGGCGAAGTGAGTGAAGAGGTTGAGCAGCTCGATGTGGTGTGACCGGAAGTGGATGTTCGCGACGGGAATGTCATGTGTTCGTTGGTGGAAGTAAGGCGCGTTGACGCTCCGCCCATGCACGAGTGTCATGGCGTACTCCTCTTCTGTGTATGGCCTATTGAAGGGGTCGAGCTGCTGGCGTAGAGGGAGAGTCGTCGGGTCGTATCTGAGCCCCAGTGATTCGAAGTTGGGTAGGCTTCTGGTGTTCGTTAGATAGATAGATGCCCCTACAAAAAGCCACGTACTCTGAACCAAAAAGTTCTGCCTCGTTCTGTGCCACTCTGCAAGATGAATCCATATGTGAGAAGAGGAAACACTCCTCACAATCACACGAACTTTGGGACCACGTCAGATGCCTCCACTTCCGTCAGGCTGCGGTCAATGTCAGTGAAGAGCCCCAAGGAAATTGTACTGCCACATACTCGGCTACCTGCTCCAGGACCTCTCCTTCTGTTCTCTGCAGGTTTGCCATTTCGGTCAGACGACGAAGGGTATTGCCATGGCTGCGGTTGGAGATGCATAAGATGCTTATATTTCACACAGAAACACATACAACAACTCTTCCGCCTGCTGACTTGATGTTCTGAGAAAGTATTCGTCAATGCGCTGGCTAATGTTAGGATATGACACCTTACGAGCTTTCCGGCTTCGAAGGTCTGTGATTGAAAGTTGTTCTCAGTCCTCAAATTCAATCGTATGAAAAATTGAACATACATTGGCCCACCACTCTTCCATCTACTCCATCTTATGACTTTGGGAACAATTGGACGCGTCGCACGGACCAGGGATAGCCGCAGCATGGTGGGGAACAGGAAAATGGGAACTCACCAGTTTTCTCCGCGTCGCACGTGTCAAGAGGTGGCTGTGCCGCCTGACCCCAAACCTTTATCCACAACCACCACTAACACTATTGTCGAGGCAATGCAGACATTCAGAACCTTCACTTAGGGCCTTTAAGGCGTAGAGAAACGAGGTAGACAACTGCCATCATCCGTATGCAGTCTCTCTTATCTCCCCCAACGAGATGTCAACCCGAAAAACCTACAATTGCAGGCACAACACGACCAAATCTAGACATCATCACCGCCCTCAATTTCGGCCAATCAGCTGAATGGGCCAGGGACGAGCGCCTAATTCTTGTCAAAGAACTTCCATCTCCTGGAAGCCGTCTTCTCCTTGAACGTCATCGACTTCGTGATCTGTACAGCTCGTCATGATCCATGCCGCCCTCGATCCATCAGGACATGTCCACATTCACTCATGCACGACAACTCCTGTGGTAAGCGGCCATCTCAGCTAGAAGGCATTGCCTTCCACGATATGGCGCTAATGCAGAGATCATGTCCGCAGAACCTGATATCCGTGCCCTCGAGCGATCCAGAGTATCAGCATAGTGGGTGTAGTTGTTTTGATCAAGCCGACAAAGGCTCAACTGCGCGCATTGCACGAAGTGGCGAAGGCATTCTACGATGGCTGGCAGCACCCCAACAGACCCAGGCCAACGATTCGAGCAATCTTTTACGCCACATATTCGTCGGTGGAAGGATTGTCCCACCTCGCGAAGTTCAGCGATTACGCGTCAGTGCGCAACTCAGCCGAATCTTCCTTGAGCTACTTATGTATCAGTCAGTTGACAATCTGCATGTTTAGGAACAAAGTGGGGAATACTCAGATGCTGTTCCATGGGACGAAAAGGGCCTGCGACATCGGAGAGAATTCTCAGAAGGTTTCCGTATGCAGCCGCTCCAACTGTGCTTTGTGCTGCATCATGAAGGGATCCTATGATCTGGAACGAGCTAAAGGAGGTAAGTTGCACCGAAGAATTTGGATGATCTCTCGGTTGTCCTAATACCCCCTTCAATTTATAGCACGAATGTTCGGCCCTGGGATATATTCGACGAAGATATCTTCGAAGGCTGACATTTATACTGGAAACATAAGCCCCAGCAGTCTGCGAACAAAGGCTATGATCGTCAATCTTGTTGCCCTCGGACGCACAAAGATTATGCTCGAGGCGTGCCATGATATGCATCATGCACCGCATATGTATAATTCGGTTCGTTTCTGCACTGCTTCTTGAGGGTGTTGCCACTTACTGGATCTAATAAGGTTACAGCGGCTACCTTTCCTGAAGGGGGCCAGGTTCAATATCATGAGGCGGTTGTCTATCGGGACGATGCTATATGCGCGAATGCGGTCATTTTGTATGTGTAGATAGATGTTTTTTGTTCGGCATAGAAGACAGCCATGCACACACCATGCACCAGCCAGCTCCGTTAAACACTTTGGAGTGGTGTTTTCTATTCGAGAAATCCGTAATGTAGTCGTTCATTGATTATGATCACTGACCGACCAATGGTGCCACTAGTCCTTGCGAGAAATAGTATGGATCTAGAGACTTGTATTCCATCCTCTCATGTACAATATTTATTCAAACTGTTTCTCGAGGTGCTGGCGAATGAGAGCGGATATCTCGCGTTTGACGGCCAAAGGAATGGAGTCTGGAGGTGCATTGAGCCAAGTCAACCGAAATAAGGAGAATCTTAACACGAACTTGTCGCACGAGCTAAAGTGTCCGTTAGCAGCGCGTGGAAAGAGAGTGGCTCCATGTTTCTCCCTGTCTCTACAAAAAAGCATTCAAATCAGCTAGGTTGCTTTTGGGGTATGTACAATACTACCTTTGGCCTTATGATGAACCTCATCAGTCCAGCCACTCTCGTTCAATTTCGCGCTCATCACAGACCGTATACTGTTGATGACGTCAGAAGCAGCATCTTGCGAGGACCGACCGACGACACGTACTGATCCCATTCTCCACTTTCAATGAGACGACGACGGACTTGGACATACAGCGAATTCACGTCCGCAGCTGGCATATCGAGCAAGGAGCTGTGGAAATTGGCCTAAGGAAAAACCATGGGAAAGTAGATGGTTCCACGCACCTTTACGCGTACAACAGAGTTTGTTTCCTCTTAGAATAGGTAAAACGGTCTCAAAATGCGCAGACCCTTGCTCCGCGGCCCAACAGACGCGTGTCTCTCGAGTCAAGACGGCCAACCAACGCGGGCGCTTGACGGAGAACGATCCTGATGCTAAAGGTGCCACAGGTGAGTACTCTTCGAGATTCAAACCAAGAATACACGTACCAAATCCTTAAACCAACATCCAGACACCAACCTGCCTCCAAGTGCGCCCAATGGTGAGGTCGACGAGCTAGCTCTTTCGCCACTGGTGGTGGTTCGCGATGAGCGGGTGCAATTGGTGACCCTGAACCGTGGGAGTATATTTCAACTCCGACAACACGAGTTCAGTCAGTATAATTTGCTTCCTTCTTCCTTCCGCCACCTTTCACCTTGAATACGGCCATGTCCCTCGACAACGATCCTTTCTATCTGAGGTACGTCTGTGATTCATCTTCTGAATGGTATGACCCTGATATGTTACAGATACTAGTAAGCGAACACACTAATTTGACGACGACAAACACCAACGTTGATTTTCAGCACAGGACACTCTGGCAAGCACGGGCACGAGTTCCTCGAATTCGAGTACTCGCATGGTCGTCTGCGCTACGCCAACAACTCGAACTACCGAAATGATAGTTTGATTCGGAAAGAGAGTAAGTCATGCCCATCCTTCATTTCCCAAATGCATTGAACTCAACGCGATCGTGAATAGTGTGGGTCGGGCCTCTCGTGGTCAAGGAGCTTAAGCGCATCGTGGAGGCCAGTGAGATCACCAAGTAAGTTGCATGTGGCTTGTCAAGCATCTCTCAGAAGTGCTCATTGGAACCAGAGAGGACGACACGAACTGGCCAAAGAAGAACATCGTTGGAAAGCAGGAACTCGAAATCAAAATTGGGAACGATCACATCGCATTCGAGGTGAGTTTTATCATCGCCTGCCCTATCAAAACACGTTCTGACCTACCTCATTTTCAGACCGCCAAAATCGGGTCCCTCGTTGACATCCAAGACAGCGAGGATCCCGAAGGCCTCCGCATCTTCTACTACCTCGTCCAAGATCTGAGAGTACGTTCTCTCAAATGCCGCCCATTGTCGTGAACGTGTAGCTGACGGTTTGCGTCTGCAGTGCTTGATCTTCTCCTTGATTTCTCTCCACTTCAAGATCAAGCCTATTTAAACGTCTTAGCTATGATGCCATTGTCTTTGGAGGTGTCGTTGCATTGGCCCTGTTCGTGAGAGGGCCGGCGCGACGGCTCGTTGCAAAGTGGGTAGCTTCTGCTTCGTTCAATGCAATTGCGATTGATCACCTGAGTTCCTTCAGTAACCCTCCAGTCACACCAAACTCTGTCAAGAAAGCCTGCATGTTTTGTCGCAGGTATGGGCTATTTTATTCCTCTCTTCGTGAAACGGAGGGATTGACTGTTATTCATAGCACTCGAATGCAATGTTTCTGTTGTTTTTGTATGAATCCGTCAGAAGCAGCTCGTGGTTCTTGTAGTCTCGAAGTGAAGTAACCATCCGCAGCTTTAGACCCAGAGCGAACCAGGATCTTCACGTCTAGAATTTTCCGATGAATTTTGTTTTCCTGAGCGAGTCCGGCTTCCGCAATAACGCCCACTCGGGGCTTTTAGTCGGATACACCACGGTCTGCATAAGCTTGAGACTTTCAACCATCATGGTTACATACTTCCGTCTTCCGTCACAACCTCCACAGGAGGAAGATTCTTGTCTCGCCTCGTCTCCCGCGACGGGCTGATGCCCATCATCTTCCAACATCCACCGACTTAAACTGACCCCATACGCCAGCTGCCTCTCTCAAACCAACACCACCACTCTCATCGACCCAGCGGACATCCCAGACATGTCAGGCGCACCCCGCACCCAGCCGCTGTCTACCTCTGACTCAAGCCCGAGCTCGAGCTCAAGAACCGAGTCAAGCTTACCCACGACGCGCAACACGACACCGGCGAACTATCAGGAAGAGGCTGACTCGAGGCCGTCGCCCACGTTCCTCGCAGAGGTCGACGAGTGGTTAAACCAGATCAGCAAGCAGGTGGACGAGCTGGAGAGGCGTCATCGGGCACACCTTTCGATTGAGATAAAGTGGACGCCGGAGATGAAAGCCGCTTGGAACGGCCGGAAGCAGGAAAAGGAGAGGAGAAAAGGGGGACATGGTGCGCTCGCTACCGCCTTTATCGCCCACGTTGGTTCTAATCCATGTTCTCTGCAGATGTGAAGATCCACAAAGCCTGAGGCGTTGTTTGTTGTACTTCCTTTGGACAACTGTACTTCTATGATCTTACTGCTGTGCGTGTGTTGTGCCTGTTCTCCTCGCTTAGCCTGACTGATCAGCAGCATATAGACTGATTTACATACTTAATATGCACAAACGCGTGTACCACCAGCCTACGATGCCCGTGCTATTTATGCCTAACTTTATGCTCGTCTTTTCGTGGTGCTATCGGTCCTCAAAACCTCCAACCTGATACTGAGAACGCAAACCTCTTCTTGGCGGGTTTCATGGAAAACAAAAGCACTCCTGGATGAGATGGGGATCAACGTCTTCAGTGAGTCCAGCGCGAAATCATCCACCATCGTCTTCTACCCTGTCGATGATACCAACATCTTCTGTACATCACTTGTTGGTTCATAGCATTTCCTTCATTCAGTTACATATAATGGCGTTCTTATCGACAGCCAACCACATTGCTCATCTATTCCGCCATGGGCCTTCCAACAACCCCAAGACCTTCTCCTCTTTCTGGCTTATCTCGACGCTTCCTCCGTCGCTTCTCTAATAATAGCAACTTCTCGTTCAACACTATTCGCACTACCCTCCCGCAATATTCAGAGGCCTTCCAGTCCATCAATGGCATCATTGACATTTCTAATCCAGCATCGGGCACCGACAATGTTCAAGCTGCTGACATTCTTCGTGAGTGATGTTGATCACCTCGCTTTTTAAAGGATTCAGATTAGTTAACGTATTAGGAATATCCAATCAAGACAACAATCCCTCAGGCTTTCTGATAAACACGACATCGGGCGTGATTCCGCACTTCGAATACGTCTTTCCAATCCGTAGAAAGAAACCATGGGTCACCTTGATCTTGTTCACCTGGAAGGATGATCCTATCCCTCTGAGCACTCCGTCCCCGCCAACCCTCGGTTCCCAAGTTCTGGTCAGGAGATGAGATTAGGGTCTCCTGGAGCTCGATTGCAGCAGCCCACAGACGGTTCAAAGCATCACAATCCGGGTGTGTGCATTCGTTAGCCATCTCGGCCTCTGTTCTAACTGAACCTATATTTTCTCTATAGATCCGTGATAAACTTTTCATAAACAGCATCCAGACAACAGGGTCGGTCTTCTTCGAGGATATAAGGCTTCTCTGGCGGAGGAAGATGAACCGCCTCGAACAAGAGGTGCGACGGTGCCGCCCAGCAGCCAGTCGAACTTCAATGGAAAGCTTCTGGGCAGCTATTATTTTCCCTTCGCCTACCAGTTAACGACGTTCAGCAGCAGCGATGAGATGGAGGTCGAATTCCGGCATGGCAGGTTCATCCCCAACTCGGTGTAAATCTGTTGCCGATCTCGTGACTTCCGCAGGATCTGAACCAAGACTTAGATAGCATACACCCCATCCGTGGTGCCGCCATCGATGTCTACCATACGGCAGTAGGCATATCGAGAGCCCTCTTCTCTTCCTCTGCCTTTGAGAGACCCCAGTGGATGGGCCGAACTCCCGACGGCCATATCGGGAAATCATGGACTTGGCTACCAAGACCCTCGGAAGGAAGTGCGCGTGGAGGTCAAGGTGCATCTTGCACTAAAGGATACTATCAAAGCTAGCTGAACACCGTCTTTCAGTTGCATCTTTCCACCCCAGTACGTTACATGGCTCTTATCGCTTCCTGGGAGTAAGAATGTTCATCTATCCAGCTTACATACACTTGTGGAAGCGTCATCCCTTGCCATTTGACGATGTCCAACCAAGATGCATCAATTCTTGACACCTTTGCCTGTCCCAAAGCACCATACATTCGTCTCATTCGCAGCTTGCAATATTTTCAGACCGATTATATGGAACCACGACAACTAATTAAAGCGGGGAAGGGAACCCGGAGCAAAGTAACCAATGCCACCATCATGCCCATAGGACAAGTGCCCGACGAAAGATCCAAGAAGCATCAGAGAAGGTCAGGCCTATGTCGCTCGTCGACAAGGAGTGTAATAGTGCAGTATGGTGAGCAGTTCCTCAAGAGAAGCTGCTGATGCGGGTTTGAGGCGCCTGGAACCGAAGGACCTCACTCCGAGCTGCGAGTTGGACGCATTTTCTATTAAGGCAAATTATTTCGCTGCACGGCGATGGTGATGATAGACTGATGATGATGTTCTCAGTATTTTGTCGAGGTCCTTGCTTCAGTCATTTCTCACCTCACTCACTTGCCGCCTGACCCACAACAAGGCACGAAATGGGGCAGCCTGAAAGTGGAGGAAGTCTTGTCCTCGCAGCCAGTACGGCTTGCGACTTTGTTTGCAAGCGGAGAACCCATTCCCAGACCGTTCACGAAACCTGTCAGAGTCAGGAGGAACAGATCGGGATGTATATGACATCGAAGTTCTGTATTCTTAGGAAAAACCTACGATGAGTGGCAAGATGAATTATCAGTCGACTAGATTCGCTTGTCGTTTCCCTTCGCAAACTAGAGAAGAGCAAAGGTGTGTTACGCCGGTGTATCACTTTTGATGGACCTATCTGACAAGTCTTTTCGTTCTTTGAAGATTGAGTTGCTAAAACCGGTACGCAACGCCTAACGATTTCGTGTCGGGCCTTTCGCCAAAGGTAACCAGTTAGTGTAAACCTTTGTGCATCTATCGTTCTCCTAGCTCAGTCTGACGGTTAGTCGCGTACAGTATCGATGCGTAGCATGATCGATGTAACACGAGTCCATCGACGCTGGAACAAGAAGCAAGATTTCGAACAACCAACCCCCCGATGTGCATCAGCAGCAGTCTCCGCAGTTGTTCCTCTCGTCGGAAATCGAATCAAACTAAGGCTCCTTTGGACTGTGTCAGCTTATAAGTAACCCCTACCCATGAGATCGGACAGATGCTCTCTGCAGTCGCCCATGGATCTGTCACGGTCTCTGGTCCCTGTGTCAACTCGCTTACCCCTCACTAACCTACCCATTCGCTACTTACGTCGTTTCTCAGCAGCTTCCAATACCAGCACCTTTTCGTCCAACAGTGTTGGCACTGCTCTGCCCGAATATTCAGAGACATCGTCTGATAGTATCATTTACTACAACACGGTTCCGCCACCGCACTTTGACGACGAGACCAGTGCAGCCCTTCGTGAGTGTGATATAGACAGTTGCACTCCACCACTGTCTCATACATATTATTTCCTCACTTCACGGGTTGTAACAGACGGGCTTGCTTTCGCTCTGCCGACTTCGGTCCCTCTCGCAGTTCTTCACTTTCAATACGTCTTTCCGTAGAGGAAAGACAAGTCATGGGCGACTCTGATTCTGTTTACTCGAAATTTTGACGCGTATACCCTGGAGATTGAAGGTGCCAATTGCCTTTTGCTTCCTCACTTCTGGTCAGGAGACGAGATCAGAGGACTCCTGGAGCTTAATTGCTCGAGTCCACGGACGATCCAAAGCAAGTACGTGCCTTCATTGCTCAATTTAGGCTCTAGGTGACATCCGATGAGACAGATCAAAGGTGGCACGCCAGTCACAAGCAGCTTCCAGACTGGGAACTTGTTTTTCGAGCATTCCAAGATCCTCTGGAGAAATGATGATGTCCCGCCCGGAACAAGGCTGACGTTGCTTCACAACACGAGAGACTCGAAGTTTACCGGGAAGCTTTCAGGAAATCATAACTTTCCTTTCTGCTATCAGTTCCCAACATACGGTGCAAAAATTGAGACACCTGCGGAAAGCTCAACGGCTGGGGAGACGACCAGACTACTGTGCCAGACCGTCATTTCTCAAGCGAATCAAGTTAAAATCCACCTTCGACTTTCGCAGAAAGTGGAAACGAGGTTGAAGTTCGGTATGAGCTTGAGGTAGAACTCCAGCACGGCAGGTTCACTCCCAACACCTGGTGAGGGATCTTTACAATAGAAGATCCCTCGGGAGCGTCCTTTGCCGTTTAGGTCCTCTTAGACACATACGCCGTCCCAGGTTATTAGGAGAATTACGAATACCAGTTCCACTTCCATCAGACTTAATGTATTAATATTTAGACCCTCTTTACATAACTATTTCTCTGGTATTTCGCTTTTTGAATGTGGCCCCTATGTATCTGGCCCAGGAGTGTCTGCTGATGCCGCCTGACGGCCGGAAATAGCCGAAGCCGATCGCTCGTAATTACTACTTCAACTTGCTCTTGGCTTCGTCTCTTATTCCCTCCACTACTTTACTTCTCACTGGCCGCCAATTCCTCTATCGACGCCAGTATTGGCGGCGAGCGTTTCAGTGCTCACCGCGGGACTACACTTAGCACGGAGCTCGTCAGGATATCGCCAGGTGCCCAGGACGCCATGTCGAGGGACGATTGGATTTGGTCGATGTGAGTGCTTTCTTCCCTTCGAAGTCGAGGACGCGTCGCTCACGCCTCTGTCTCACTGAAAGAGATGACTAGGGACTTGCCGACCTCCATCGACGAATTCAATATGCTGACATAAGAGAGTCGGAATGAAAGGGGATCAAACATTTATGTACATTTGACAGTTGCCAAACGACCCAGGACTCGGAGTCAAGAGTCAGGTCGTCCCAAACGCTTAGCCTTCAAGAACAACAATGGGCGGCCGCCTCTCGAAAGCGGACCGCCTAGCAAAGAGGCGCTCAGCAATGATCGACAAGCAAATAGAGGAGGACTTTAGACAGCGTAAACGAGAATGCACCGTTCTCTTGCTAGGTATGTGCAGTCCTGGCTTTCCAGCTGCATCCCTCGCTCATATACAGCAGGTTCCAGTGGGTCAGGAAAGAGCACTATCATGAGGCAAATGGTGATAGCCAATCAAGGTGGTTTCTCAGCCTGCGAACGAGTAGAATGGCGTCCTGTTATATACTGGAACGTGCTCGAGTCTGCGCAAGCGGTTCTCGTTTACCTGCGGAAGATAGGGTTGGGTTCTCATTGTGAGGTCTTGAATCAAGTACGTTCTTCCATTTCTGAACCTTTTCTCGCTTATCCTCATTCAGTATACCCCAAGGCTTTACTAAATAATCTTCCCAAGTTTCAACTAGAAATGTTGAAGGGTCCTGCCGTTCTTCCAGCGGAGATCACAGAGGCCATACATTGGGTTTGGAAGACAACGGGCGACCATTTTGGCGACCTCTACCCCCAAGACTCGACAAGATAGTAAGTTATAGCCCTGCACATCTTTCCTTCCCTCACTGCCCGCCACGGAAACTCAGCTCATGCCTCTCTGTCTCGCAGCTTCCTTGATGAAGTCCTACGGATCGGACAGGGAGGGTATCTACCCAGCGAGACGGACGTGCTAAAGGCGCGGTGGAAAGCCTCGGCAATTCAAGAGGTGAAGCTAACCATGGGCCTTTTATCGTGAGTTGCTTTTCATGTGCCCTTCGCCGTTTAATCGCCCTACAAACGAATATGGATCTCTTTTCGCAGAATACGCATGGTTGGTGTCAGTGGTCAATTTTCGGAGAGAAAAAGGTGGATCCACTGTTTCGAGTCCGCGACGTCGATCGTATTCTGCACGGCGATGAGTGATTACGACCAGGTTCTGCTGGCGGAGAGAACACAGGTATAGTCCTTTTCCTGCTACCATCACCGTGGCTGACATGCGTTTTTTATAGAACCGCATGCTGGAGTCGCTGGTGCTCTTTGAATCAGTTATCAACTCCAGGTGGTTTCGACGAACTTCGATAGTCCTTCTCTTAACCAAGATAGATGTATTCAAGAATAAGCTGCCGAAGGTACGAACTTAAGAATGTTAGTGCTTTTACGGCGTGCTGACCTTCCTCGCGACGGCAGGTGCCATTGGAGTTCTATTTCCCTGAATATACTGGAGGGTCAGATATCAACAAAGCCGTGAAGTTCATCCTTTGGAAGTTTATGCAGGCTAATAGGGCACGGTTAAGTGTCTACCCGCAGTACGTCTCTTTCGTCGTGGCGGGGGCCTTTTCTGACAGTCTCCTCATGCAGCATAGCATCTTTGCACGACCTAACAACCATCCGCCTAATCTTCGCCGCCGTGAAGGAGACAATTTTGCAAAACGCCTTGAAGGATTCAGGTATCCTGTGACGCAAGCCTCAACTTCTGCTACTTCTGTTGTTTATTGCCCTCTACTTTTCATTTGTCCTCTTGTTTTCTTTTTTGTGCACATGTAACGTAGAGTGTTTCATCTCCTGCTCACCCACCGTGTTTCGTTATCGTCTATTTGGCTTGCTTTGGCGTATTGGTGTTTTCTAACTGGTTGTGGTGGTCGGCCAATTGGCGACAAGATTTAGAATGTTATTGAGGGTCCTACTGCATCATCTGAATCGCGATTTTATATGCATCCGTCAAGCAATATTGACAGTGAGTGTATAGCCTCTTCTTATTGTCTTTGCTTCAATTATAGGTTGACATCCAGGTCGACCCTGCAAACCCAGGTCTATAAATACAAATTCATCAACAGTGTTGGAGAGCAGCTGCATTCATGGAATCGCCCTTACCATCTCAAGCTCAAGCGTCTCCTCCGACATTCACGAGCCGGACTCGCCGTCTGTTTTCGCCTTCGGGCAGCCGGCGACTCTCCACGGCCTCTCTCAGCAGCACATTTTCGTTCAGTAGCATTCGTACTGCCCTCCCAGAATATTCTGAGACGGCGAGCCGCATTGATAACCATATTTTTGACGACCTCAGAGATCCCCCACCAAGCATTGACGTCTCATCTTCTACGATCAGCACTTCCACCAACCATAAATATGCGCCACGTAAGTTCAATCATGGTAATATCAACAAATGGCCGACTGCTTACAGCATCCTTAGCGATTCCTCCGGCCACGAATCGATCGGAATCGGCGCCTAATCCAACAGCCGGCATAGTTCCTCACTTTGAATATGCCTTTCCAATGCGAAGAGACAGGCCATGGGCTACTCTTGTCCTGTTCACGCGCAAGTTTGATCCTCACACCACCGACGCCCAGCGTCCACCGATCCCACAGTTTTGGTCTGCGGATCAAGTCAGAGGTTTAGTAGAGCTTGACTTCACAAGCCCTCAGACCATCCACAATATATCGATCAGGGCAAGTGTGCTTTGTGCAGCTGTTTAGAACCGTCAGTGGCTGACCCACCGGACTACGAGTAACTGTCGGCCTTCGGCCGACGGACGCTCGCTGCGCGGTGTTCACCATCCCAGCTGGAAGGACATTCGAATTTCGCAAGAATGATTATCATGAATGGACCATAGTTTGTATCTACGTGCATACTCTTCTAATCTAATGAATAAGATTTGACTCATGAAAGGGTGACAAAAGTTAAGCCTATCAATCAAGTCATTAAATAATATTTTGGCCATAGAACAACGCGTGTGGCTTTCAGACCGTGACGCGGCTACTGCGGGCTGTAATGTGGCACCCCCTGAAGACCAGTTTTTCAGGTCTTTCGCAGTTGCAAAGACAAAGATTGTACATTGAAATTAGCACGAATATAAGACACTAATGTGAGTAGTTGTATGCAGAATTTGATACGCGCAATATCAAGGAAGAGACGTGTTTAGGGGTGTCATTTACAGTTAGAAAAGTGGCATCCCTCTAAAACCTTCAAATCTCGACGTGAAACCACGGTTTTTTCTTGACCATCACACTTATTCATGAGTAAATACCACATTTATGCAATATCATAGGAATTGAGTGTGATTTGAGCGAGATTTTTAGCATTCTATGTTTCTCGGGGGCAATAATGCTGATCAACATGCTTGGTTTTGTTTACTGCATTTTTCATCCCTTTAGTCGGAATTGCTCGCTTCGCTCGCAACTAGGTTCAAGGAAAGCTGATCACCAGCAGCTTCAAGGCCACAAACTACACCTTCTTCGAACACTCCAAGCTTCTCTGGAGGAAGGAGGACAGGACGCCCCCACGACCAGGGGATACGACAGCTCTGCCTGCGAATGACGTGAACTTCAACGGGAGGCTTTCAGGGAGATATGCGATTCCTTTCTCATACGCGTTCCCAATATCCAGCTCAACTGATGGACCATGGACTCCTTCGCCATTTCCTCCTCCAACCATGCCTGAGTCAAACTGGACTGCGACACGAAGTGAGAAAACTGGAAACCAGATCCAGCGAGCCTTTCTGTGACGGACCGCTCTCGCCGGATCGGACTTAGACACTTTGCGGACTCTCGTACTTATGTTTACTCTATTTTGATTACGCTATCGTTATCTACGGTATATAAGGGACTCGAGTACTACGTAGGTAGATCGACCTTGAATCCACCGCTTTAGCCTGTCTTTCGAGGTTCGACCGTGTGCCGGGACTCGTGTTAACAGCACGCCCCGTCACATATTTTTGACAGTAACTTGCATTCTACCAACTCTACTCGACTACCCCCCTCACACTCTACAACCCCTCGTCGTCGCCGACATCGCGGACCACCCTTGGCTTGATCACCCAAGTCGTCCAGGTGCGTTGACGACCACTTTACCCCGTTACTAATTCTTTTGTTATAGTATGTCGGGCGTTACAACCCGCAACCAGAGCAAGGCACGGGCAAACGAGAGTCAGCAGGGTAACCCCCCAACGACTGCTCAGACGCCGGCCTACGAGTCGGGAGGCACCGCCTCTGGCTCGCCTGCCGTACGGAATACCGCTTCCGTGCAGGATGAGAATCCCCCCGCCGTTGGCCACGCGGGCGAGGGACCGGTCTCAAACCCCCGAGAGGGTGATGAGATGATCATGCGAGACCATGCTGGTACACGCAATGATAGGAACACGCGCCGCGTGCGCACCGTAGACCACCGCCCTCGTGCGGTCAGTAGGCAGTTGCCTCCACACCTCGATAGAACCACTCTCGACGAGCTCGACGAGCTCGACGAGGATGAAAACATGGATGATAGCATGAGAATAAAATATGCTTTAGACATTGCAAAAAGCACTCGGAGGACAACGGACTTACTCATGCCCATTCTACATGAAATCTTCAAGAAAGTGGACAGCCTGGAATTCCGCCAAGGGAACCAAGAAACTCCAGAAAGAGATCCCGGGTATGAGGAACCCGAGGAGGAGGACTTCGAGCCTGGACCGTCGAAAGGAAAAGGCATTGACCCTCGAAACTGGGGAAACCTCGGTATTCCAGACAAGGAAGTCGATCCCGATGTCCAAGAAGCCCTTCTCAACGAAGCCCGAGAGAGGAGACACGAACCCGGTCCATCTAATCAGCAGGACATGTCTAATAATAGAATGACAGAACCTGAGAACACACCCGAGTTCGACGCTGAACAGGCATTCAACGAGCATCGGGCGCGACTCAAGCGCATGGAAGAAGCACTAGCGAAGGAAAAAGAAGCCTTTGAAGAGCTTTTTCGTGAGCGATTAGTTGGGGCACAAAGTGCAGGACATACCGCACAGAATATTAGAATCTCCTCAACCCCCATGTCAAGAGACATTGAAATGCTCATCAACCGAACTCCTGGCAATAATACTTCAGTCCGTAAACCCGCGAACGCGCTGAAGCCGAGCAATCAGCTACCGTTCGACACGTTGATGGGTCGATACTTCCATTCTGAGAATAATGGCGGGTTACACAGAGGCGACCGTACCGAGATGAGGGATGACTCAACGGGAGTTACCTCTCGATTCAAGCCTTTGGCACCCACGCCCCCTGAAAAGTACAATGGGGAGGCAGACATTATGAAGTTTCAGAAGTATGTGACCGATTGTCAAAGGTTTTGTGAAGAAGCTGGCCTCGGAAAAAGAACTGAAGTCGGAAAGTGCGCATATTACCTCGGTGGGAAGGCGTACCGTTTCTATCAGAACACTGTGGCGTTTGACGAGCAAAATTGGACGTTAAAGGACTTCTTGAAGGATCTTTTCGATCATTGCTTCCCGCCGGACTTCCGGCTGAAACAGCGCCAGAAGCTCGATAATTTCGTACAGGGATCGCGCTCTGTTACAGACTATGCGAACGAGCTGCTTAATTTGTTCCGCCTCGTTGGAACAAGTGATCTGCAGCAGCGCGTAGATAAACTATGGAATGGATTGCGCTATGAGCTACAAACTGCCTTGTGGAAAGAAAACCTTGACTACCATACCTCATCATGGGCCGAAGTCATTGAAGTTGCACAACGTCACGAAATGGCTGATCGTATGGAAGCGAGCAACCGTAAGCACCAGAAGACTGATGGTGAGAAGAATGGTCACCAAGAGAAGAAGCCAGAATCGTCCCACCGATTCAATAAACCTGGAGATCGACCTCAGCGTTCGGAGCCTCGGAAAGATGGATATCAAAAGGATAATTACCAAAAGGACCGCACGAATGACTCCCGCTCGGGAAGAGACAACAGGGACAACAAGGGCGGCCGTGGTTTCAATAACCACCCGTGTCGAGAATTTTCATCACAGATGAAGTGCCATCGATGTGGCGACCCTGGCCATTTCGAGAAACATTGCCCGAAGGGGCAGTCAGTTAAGTCGGATTCAAAGAATAAACCGCCCGGCGCTAAAAGTTTCAATATAGAAGTCGCCGTCGCAAATGAGGAAAGACTTAATTTACTTGAAAGCACCACTGAAGGTGCTGCAGCAGTTAGCGCCCATTACATTGAAATCGAGAATGCTGCTTGTGGCGTGAATGGCCTAGAAGATTTGGATGATGATGAATTGCCAGGAATCACATTTGCTGAAGGTGCCCGTGAGTTATTTGATCCCGCGAAGATGCCAGACGCAGAAGGGAAACTAGGTTCACCATTGTGTGCTGCCGTAAAACGAATGCTCGAGGTCATGAGGCCATATCCCGGTGACCCGAGCAACGAAGCACGCGAATTTGACCGTTTCACAGTCTACGAGACTTCTGGAGGGAAGGAACTCGTTGTTATGGATTCGGTTACCGACGAAGTGGAACTTCTTGACACCCATAGAGCCGCAGAGCCCGATTTCTTGATCGGAAGATGGTATGCTATCAAATGTACCCAACGCACTCGCGTTCGGGTTAAGCCTGTGAGACGTTGGTACAAGAAGACACCATACGTCGATATTCATGCCAAAAATGCAGCCTGGAGGCTGAATACTGGAAGGGACTTCTATCAGTACCTCGCATGCTCGAAGAAACGAAGGGAAAAACTTTCCTCTCGCTTTGACATCTACTGGGATGATGCTGTACACCAGTATCGAGTGTTTGACTTCGGAATAGGCCTTCATTTCGAAATACCTGCTTGTAAAGTGCGAAATCAACGACTAGATATTCGTAACTGGTATTTTAAACGCCTTACTCATTTCATAAAGGAAGAGTTCTTCGAATTCTATCATGCATTAGATTATTATGATATTTCAAGCCTTTTCGGCGACGAAAAGCTGGAGGGTGAGAAGGACGAGCCAAGCGACGAATGCCTCGAAGAAATCATCGAGTATTACAGTTCTGACGAGTCAGAATTCGATTACTGCGAACCAGAACAAACCAACGAGCAAAACTTGTTTAAAGATGAGGTTAACGACGAAATCCAGTCAGATGTTGACTCTTGGGAAGATTTTTACGGATCAGAAGCTCCTGCAGATGACCCAACCGAGACTTACAAGCTAGAAGACATAGAAAGTGACTCCCTCGACAATTTTTATGGATCCGAAACGTCTGAATGGCTGGACGACGAATCCTTCGAAATAAGCGCCCAAGAACTCAAACTGGACGAAGACTTTCACAGTGCAGGAGTGTCCAACTGCTCGGAAGCAGATTTCGTCGAATTAGGCGCCCAGCAGCCGGCAGAGGACGTCCTACCTGCTGCACAACAAAATGCAGCCATGGTAAAGGATCCATCTTGTGTGGTTCCTAACCCTATCACTGTAGTGGTTCATGTTAATGGAAAGCCAGCTCGAGCACTCATAGATTCTGGCTCACTATGCGATTTCATGTCGTCTACTCTTGCTGATCAACTTAAGCTGCATAAGGAAGAGCTGAAAACACCTTTAATTGTTCAGCTAGCTGTTCTAGGATCGCGTTCTAAAGTTAACTATAAAGTAACAACTGATTTTACCTACCAGGGTATTCAGGAAAAGAGGGCATTTGACATAATTAACCTCTCAAGTTATGACATAATTCTAGGCACTCCATTTCCGTATCAACACTCTGTAATGATTGGATTCAATCAGATGAGAGTTGTCATTGGGAGCAACGAGGCGTTACCTGTCAAAGGTTCTACTGTAAGGACTCTCTCGTCTAGTCTTTCCCAGCTCCGGGAAGAAAACCTCGATACAGTGCGAGCATATCTTCGAGAATGCGCCATGCCATTGTGCAAAACAGCCGAAGAAACAGAGCTCCCGCCTTTACGAGCCATTAACCATCGAATCGAGCTCATAGACGAGAATGCCACTTATCCTTGGCGTCCGGCACGATGCCCCGAGGCTTTCCTAAATCAGTGGGTCGATAAACGAAACGCCTACTTAAAGTCGCAACGCTGGGAGGTTACAAACTCACGAAACACAGTACCCATGTTGTTCATACCGAAACCCTCGAAGAAACCCGGCGATCCACCACGACTCCGCACGGTGAACGACCTACGAGCCCGCAATGCAAACACTAAAAAGATGACAAGTCCACTCCCTGACATCGATGGGATTATGCGCCGCGTGGCCTCCAAAAAATACAGGACAATCCTGGACCTCAAGGATGCATATGAGCAGGTGAGGATCGACCCTTCTGACGTCTGGAAGACGGCTTTCTCAACACCTAATGGTAATATGGTTAGCAACGTACTCCAAATGGGAGACTGTAATGCACCGGTGACGTATCAAGCCTTAATGAACCATATTTTTTCGCCCTACATTGGGAAGTTCATGGATGTGTACTTGGATGACATCATTATCTATTCAGACTCGTTGGCAGAGCACGTTGAGCATGTTAAAATCATTCTAGGTGTCTTAGAAAGAGAGAAATTCTACTTATCTGAAGGAAAACTCGATTTTTTGTGCTCGAAAGTAAAGATCCTCGGACGAATTGTTGATGATGAGGGCATCCAAATGGACCCCCATAAAGTTGATGCACTCCTTCGTTGGAAGGTCCCAACAAATCGGGATCTCCTGCGTGGATTTCTTGGAGCTGCGAGCTATCTAGCAGATGATATTGATCGTGTTAGGATCCCTATGGGTGTTCTACACACTCTGACTAGTAATGCAGTGCCTTTCCGATGGGATTTTACGCACCAGAGGGCTTTCGAAGAAATAAAAGAACTCGCTAATAGGCGCCGTGACCACCATAGGCGCCCAATTGATCATTCGCCCGGTGCGCCGCCCATTAATTTAATCACGGATGGATGTATCACTGGTGTTGCGGGTGTCATTAGTCAGGGAGAAGACTGGAAAACAGCACCTGTGGCGGCCTTCTATTCGGCAAAACTCTCTCCTGCGCAACAGAACTATCTGGTTCACAAGATTGAACTTCTTGCTGGACTTGAAACAATGATGCGCTATCGCGACGTGCTTCTCGGCGTTCATTTCCGCTGGTACACAGATCACAAGGGTCTCATGACCCTGTGGAATCATCGTGAATTGACTGGCCGGAGGGCGCGATGGATTGAGACGCTCAGCATGTTCGATTTCGAAGTGATCTATGTGCCGGGTGAAGATAATGTGTTGAGTGATGCCCTATCAAGGATTTACTCAAACGACGCACCAGGAACCGTCCGTGCCCCGAGCGAGTACACGGAGTATGATAACACTGCTCCTTCCATGAAAGTTGCATGTGCCATGATCGAGGCTCCCATTCTTGTTGGGATGGAGGCAGTGTGCGCAACTGCAAACGTAAATTATGTCGGTCGCAGATCCAAACGAGTCTGTGAGCGCGAAGGTGCCGAGACGGGAAGGCCGGAAACTTCGGATGAGTTCGCCGCAAGGGTAAAGGATTCTTTCACCCTTCATGGTCCAGAGCGACTAGTGATACGGGTACCACCACGTGCGAGCCCTTCGAGTGCACAGACCGAGGAAACAGACGCTAGCCAAGACGAGGATAACATTGCACCCGAGAAGCTCGGCTCCACGAGCAGAGACACACGTGCACCTAATGATGACATCAACAATGATGTCATTCATGATCTGTCTCCGCTGGACCTTGCGCGGGACCTCGATGGCATTGATGTACTCAAGGAGATTCGCGGCAACTACAGGAATGACCCATCTTTCAAGTCCATTGTGGACAACCCGAATGAATACAAAAATTTTGAGTTTGATAAGCAGAAGGGCCTCCTGTACTTGATACAGGACAGTAGGCGACTCTTGTGTGTACCCGATGTAAAGACGGGTGGACGGAAAATTAGGGAAATCATCATTTCGGAAGGTCATACACTTCTTGCTCATTTGGGATACCGAAAGACATACTCTTACTTACGTGATTACGTCTGGTGGAAGTCCATGGCAGACGATATCGAGAAGTTCTGTGCCTCGTGCACAATCTGTAAGCAGAGCAAGGCTAACAATTCAAAGCCGTATGGCTTCCTCAACCCGTTGGACGTTCAGACGCAACCTTGGGATTCTATTGGGATTGATTTCGTCGGACCATTTCCCGAATCGACAAACCGCGATGGTATCTTCGACGAAATCACTGTGATCATTGATCTATTTTCGGGCATGGTTCATCTCGTGCCCAGCCGTTCCACCTATTCGGCGCGTGAAGTTGCTGAATTAGTCTTCGAGAATGTCTACAAGTTGCATGGACTACCTTCCTCAATAGTGAGTGATCGTGACCCACTTTTTACAAGTCATTTCTGGCGGGAATTGCATAAGCTTATCGGGACTAAACTCCGAATGTCGAGTGCTTATCACCCCGAAACAGACGGCACAACCGAAAGGGCAAACAAAACGATTGGTCAAATGTTGCGCCATTGTGTTGGGACAACTCAGAAAGACTGGGTACAGAAGCTTCCCGCGATTGAATTCGCGATCAATGCTGCTCGTTCAGAGAGCACCGGTTATGCCCCGTTTTTTCTCAACAGTGGGCGGATGCCTCGCTCATTAATTTGGGATTCAAACAAACCGAGTGAATATCCGGGTGTCCGGGCTTTTGCCAAAAAGATGAAGACAGCGATAATGCGAGCACATGACAGCTTGATCGCGTCGCGTGTCAAATCAGTCCGTGACGCCAATAGGAAACGCCGAAATGCTCCATTCAAGGAGAAAGATTTTGTATACGTATCCACAAAGAACATTTCACTCCCCAAGGGTTTAAGTCGAAAATTGGCCCCTAAATTCGTCGGGCCATACCAGATTGTGGAAGATTTTGGAAACAATTCATTCCGAGTAAATATCTCTGCCTCTCTGCGGAAAAGAGGTGTCCACGATGTTTTTCATTCATCTTTGCTACGGATTCATGTACCAAACGATGATAGGTTATTCCCAGGTCGAACAGATACTCAAGTCTTCAATCTTGAAGACCTGGAGGGCGAGTGGGCAGTGGAAAAAATTCTATCCCATAAGGGTGAAGGGAAAAACTCCGCATTTGAAATTCTATGGAAATCAGGAGATATTAGCTGGCTACCTTACCATCAAGTGAGCCATCTGAACGAACTGAACCAATATCTCGAAGCCATGGGGGCCAAGACAATTGCAGAACTTTCTAGAGGGAAAGAAACGTGGTTTAATGCCGATGAACAAGTCCTTTTGGGTGCCATGACCCTAGACTCCGAAATTGGAATCATATATAAAGAGGGCTTCACCTCGAACGACCTCTTTGACGATTCTTTCCCATACCCAACTCCAAATCAACAACCTATATCACCTACCATGTCTTCTACTTCTTCTTCCACTTCCACTTCAGTTCTTACTTCTTCTTCTTCTTCTCCCCCTTCTCTTCACTCTTCCACCGAGAAATCGGTTTATACATCGTCCAACACCATATCCAACTCTCTCGCCAATCTTCACTTCAAAAAGAAGCCAGTCCCCGACCCCAGCGCGACCACCACGACCACTTCCGCCGCTAACGACGATTCCACAGCCGCCAGCACAGCCACCAACGAGCGCTCGTCCGTCGATCAGTCTACCACGGTCCACACAGCACAGAATACTGGCGAACCCGCGGCCATCACCAATGCACATGCCATTCCATCCGACCAAGATGTTGATATGGCTGAGGCTGAGCCCGTTGCGCTCCCGGAGACTTTCGGTGCGAACGCGCACTTCACTACACTCTTGCCCGCTGCAGAGCTCGATCCCCATCACTTCGAAGCCACCTTGCCCTTCAGCGACCTCATCTCCGAGGCCGGGACTACCTTCGCCGACCACACACTCGCCACCACTCGCATCGACACGACCCGCCTGGTCACTTCCCTTCGCAAGCCATGGCCTTACCGTCGTCTTGGATCCATTATGCCCGGAGGATTTTCCCGCATCTTCCAAGGCCGAAACGGGTACTTCTCCATTATCAGCGAGCACGGCGTTGTGTACACCATCACCGCCTTCCAGCTGAAGGACATACTCCGCTTCGCGACCGACCTCAACAAGACCAAGCACGACGAGGCCAAGAAGAAGCTGCTCATTGAGCCGATTGGTTACCGAGAAGTGGCACAGATGCTCAACGCCGACGACGCGCAGGATCGCCGACTCCCCACCATCAACGCCGACGGTTCCGTGAACTACACCAAGTGGCACCACGGGCGCTACCCTCTTCAGGTGGACGCAGCTGAACCAGATCAGATCGAGTTCGGCATAAAGTATCAGCGTCTGTTCAACAACGTCGACCCCAGCTCGATCAGCGCCGCCCTCATTCACGCGAACACCGCCTTCGCGAGCTCGTCCAAGCGTGGGAATTCGGACTCCGGGGACAAGGCGCATCGCTCCAAGAAGTCGCGCTATTAGGACTTGGAGCTATTCTCGCAGAATAGCTGGAGGGCGTATGTGACGGACCGCTCTCGCCGGATCGGACTTAGACACTTTGCGGACTCTCGTACTTATGTTTACTCTATTTTGATTACGCTATCGTTATCTACGGTATATAAGGGACTCGAGTACTACGTAGGTAGATCGACCTTGAATCCACCGCTTTAGCCTGTCTTTCGAGGTTCGACCGTGTGCCGGGACTCGTGTTAACAGCACGCCCCGTCACACTTTCCACCCGCCTCCGAAGATTCGAATTTACCGCAGACTTTCTCGGAGCGCGAACTCCCAGTCACGATCCAGTACGAGATGGAAGTTGAGTTCCAGCAAGGGAGATTCACTCCCAACTCACGGTTGGCCGACATAATTCTCTTACCCCACAAGACTTCTCCCTCCCGTATGACAGGATCTCTGCCCAAATGACCTATTCCTCGTCTGTTGCTCCTCCTTATATGTCCTTCATGCGTCGACAAGCGTACAAGGAAGGGGCTCTTCTCTCCGGCCCAACGCGGGATCCATCTGGATGGACGAAGTTTCCAACTGCCGTCATGCTGGGTACATATGGGTCAGAGGCCGAGAAGGACCAGAAACGAATGAGAGTAGACTCTACGGTAGGTCTTCCACTTTTTTTCTCCCTGGAAGCATCACATTGATGGCAATGGTATTGGCCCAGTTATACATCGCAAATCCCGTACGTCGTAGTCATGTGTTGCTTCACCTTTCGTCGAGAGCCTAACTGGTGACTGCAGCTCGTATACACCCGTGGCACCGTGATACCCTGCTATTTGGCACTTTCAAGCCAAGATATCTCGATGCTCGATGTGTTCGCCTCGCCTAAGGCACCATACGTGCGCCTCGTACGTCGGCTACGGTACTTCAAAATTTCTGACCCAGGAGAAGCCCAAAGAATTGAGTCATTTGGTCCCGACTTCGGAGCTGCCGCGACAATGATTAATTCGGTCGACATGGGTGCTGATCGCAGTCAAAAATTAATTAGATACGAAGGCAAGGTCGGGTACATGGATCTCGTCGAGATGGAATGTAACACAGCCGTTTGGTGGAAACCTCCTAAAGACATGCAGCAGGAGGAAGGCGTCCGGTGGTTAGAGGGTGAAATCCATCTCCCGAAGGACCTTGCTCCCAATTGCGATCTGGAGATCTTTCATCTCAACGTGAGTTCTTCCCTCTGCTCATTCGAGCAAGACTCGAGTGATGAATTGATGAGATATGCATGATCTAGTACTTCATCGAGGTTCTTCCTCCCTCTCTACCTTATTTCAATACTTTGCCACCTTTTGGAGTCCAAAAGAATGCAAAACGATCCAGCAAGGCAATGACAAGGACTTCACGACAAGAGACTCTCGTCTCGGTGCCCATAAAGATAGCTACTCTATTTGCAAGTGGAGACCCCATTCCTTCGCCGTTCACGGAGCCTGTGAGAGTAAGGAGAAAATAATAGGTTATGTCATGGTACTAGCACTTTTGTATGAATGAGCGTCGATTTGCGTTGCTGGTGTCTGGCTTTTTGCTGATCCGGATCGTGGACAATGTGGGCAGCAATACTCAGTTCAGGGCTGAACGAGTCCTTCCAAGCGAACGGACCGTCATCTATCAACGGATCGACGACTGAGCCTGTCTTGGCTCCATGACAACGCTGAAAGCGCTCTTCCTGGTTCAAAGTCTGGATGCCGCAACCTCACTTGTCGCCTTTTTTGTTGAATTGCAGTGTATATGAAAGAATATCATGAATTTCTCTTTGACCTTCCTTTTCCTCCAAATGCTTCACGGGCGCTAATTTGCGTACATAACTCCAAAATATTCTGTTCTCCGCCGCGGACTACAGCCACTGATCAATTGATCATTCCAGTGATGGCGACGTTCCGATTCCTCACCCGACGTGACACTGCAAATCTTCGTGGTCTTCATTGTCAATACTTATAGGCCTCCTCACTCCATCAAGTCGAACAATGTCTTTCGAAGGCGTTTGCGCAGGCGCAGTGATGTCTTTCGTTCCAGCTCCTATGTCGGCGAGGCGCCCTGGTCCCGCATTGAGCCAGATGGGGTATATCGGGCATCCCGTTCTGCACGGGACGTTGGAAATGATGCGATGTTTCACGATTTTCGCAAGGTGAAGACGGAGCACGAAAGACCCAGATGGCTTTCTTCCTCTGCACCACATCTCCTGCGCTTTTGACCACGTCCGACTTGCGGACCGTCGAACCCTCTCCTTCTTCCTCGTAAGTACGCGCGTTCAAGTGTCGACCTCGGCTGATTTAGACCTATATAGACTCTTCTAGTGTAACGATGAGGTCTTTCGCCGCGTACAGCTTCTCGACTTGCCTTCTCCTCTCGACACTCTTTTCTTGTCCCACCTTCGTTTCTGCGCAGACGAGTTTCTTGTACAAGTGGGCTTTCCAGGATACGGTGTGTAGCGTCATTTGAGTGGATAAAAGCTCCTCACTCATTTTGGCTTGTAGTCGATACAAACGACAATCCCGACATGCACAAGACTGCCAATTGTGATCACCTCTTTCGACACAACGACGAATAGTACGAGGGGCTCTCCACCCTATTACATGATTGCGTTCCCCGATGGAGGCACGCCGACGACGACGTTGATTGGGACGAGTGATCAGGACGCGAGCTACACAGTTAGGCACCCTGTCGGTCAGTGGTTGAAGAGTTGTCTCCTGTGCAAAGACGCTGACGATGGTTTCACGTATGAAGGGACACGCATACTTTTGAGCGTCGTCGATTCAGATGGGAACCCTGGAGGAACGTTTGCCCCCCAGATGGTCATTGGTACGTTCCAGCTCCCTTCAGACTTCAGACCAAAGTTGACCGCAGTGCCGTGCACAGCTGGCTCCAACGAGGACTGCGTCGTCAACCCGACCAACACCTTCACGATGGTTTCAAACGTCACCTCCGAGCTATCAACGTGCGAGCAACTTGGAATAGGAATTTCCGGTGGCACGGCACCATATCAGATATCCCTTGTAGCAGCGAATGCGCCGTCGGTTACAAACGACACGCTTGGGGCCGGCCACAACGTGTATACCTATGTCAATAGGGCCGCGCCTGGTGGTCAACTGCTGGGTAAGAGATAGCTCAATGTCTCCTTTGGAGCTCTACTCATTTGATCTCCACAGCTGCTATTAGCGACGCGTGAGTGAAGTGACTCAAGATGCACCGCGTTATTGACATTACTGCGTAGAGATGGACGATGGGCTTCAGGTTCTGTATTGCTCAGCACGAAAGGTGATGTTTTCTTTAGTAACTCTGAGAGGAACTTCATCATTCTAACATGCCCTTTAGGCTCGACTGATACGTCTTGTCCGGGACTTCTGAGTTCGAGCAGTCAAGGCGCCGTCACCCCACCTTCCAGTCCCAATAGCTCCACCGGCGTCTCCGGCCAATCCAGTTCCACAGGCAATCCGGGCTCAAGCGCCTCTCAAACTTCCACGTCCCCACCATCCTCTTCGCAAACCAACGGGACCGGAAACGACGGGCAGAATTCGAACCAGACGGGTGGATCGCTGCTCGGGAAAGATACTAACATCGTAATGGGTGCCATAGTGTGGTTGCTTGTTGGCGCTGTATTGCCTCTCTTGTAGGTGTTGCTAGACGGACAAGGAGAACCCTGTCGGTAGGACATTGATTTGGCAGGCAGTCCTATCTGTGCAAAACATGTCATATTCTATCTTACGACTCTGGCAATAATGATAATATAAACGCAGCCCTTGAGTCTTTTGAGTCTTTTCTTCGCCGTCTCTGAACGCTGACGAAGACCTAAGTCCTGTAGGTCCACCCGCCTATATTTGGTGATTGTGTTATGTAACCGGGGTCGAAGCAGGTCGAAGCAGGTCGAAACCATCTTGATGAGAAACTCTCACTATCAACCCACTATCTGCGATAATTCAGCACTCAGGCTGCCATTCCCCCCCTTCATTTTCATTACCAGCTACGAGCATCCTCTAAAACTGCTGCGATTTCGCGATAACAAAGTCGCCTTCAAGCTTCTGTGCTTTTGAACTCTAGGATGCACCCTGCTCTCCAGATCCCCGAAATCCTCAACGAAATCTTCGATTGCTTTCTGCCCGTCATTTCATATGACGATTACGCGAACCATTACAAATATATACCCGATGAACCTAGCGATAAATTGTCGCTGCTGAGCGCTGCGCTAACTTGCAGTGCGTTTCTGCAACCTGCACTGGATCACCTGTGGTGGGACATGGATGATCTGACTCCTCTCTTCAACACCATTCCTGGGTTCCAGTCATCGAATGACACCGGAACGGTGCGTATCCTTTTTGATTATCGCACTTCCTTTTGTTTACACATCCCAAAGCTTGGGAAAATCCAGGAACCGATCGCGCGCGAGACTATGCAACGTCTGAACGCATATCGCAAACGAATACACGTGTACGAAGAATGTGGAAAGGAAAGGATAGAAATTTCTGCGTATGAGCACATTCTGCAAGACTCCACTCATGATACCCTCCTTCCATCGTTGAGAATCCTCTCAATCACGAACAGCATACCCCAACTTCCGCTTCTTCTTGCACATCCAGAAGAAATTCGCACCCTCCGCATCTCGCAAAATCAAATCCAGAGTGTTGATGCCTATATTGCTGCCTCCCTAAAGCTGCTGTCGGGACGGGTTCAGACCCTTGTCCATTTACGGCTCGAAACCTTCCTAACACGGGAATTCCTTGCATCTGCGTTCGAGTTGCGCGGACTGCGATCCCTCTATCTAGGACACACCAATGAAAATACCTCATTCGAATTCGACGTCGATACTTTGCTCGACATATGCTCGATGCCAGACCTTCAGCGCATTTATGTAGATGGTGACGTCCGTCTCACCCCAAATGAATGATCCTCCAGACAAAATACTAATTGCCCAGCCCTGGAAGATCTCCAATTTGCACCCAGATCTAGAACCCCATTCAAGCAAATTCTCCGTTTCCTCTCCTCCGCCAGTCTTCCTCGCCTCAAATGTCTTGCCTTGCGTACTGCATGCGAGGCAGACGATGTCCAATATTGGAACTATCTCTTCCAAGCCCTCGTTGAAAAGACATCACCTATGTTTGAAGACCTGGATCTCGGAGAGACAAGCAGCATAAGCTGGCAGGATTATAATTTGACGCTACGCGACGTCCCAGAGCTATTGAAGCTCCAGCTCAGAAGTTTCACGTCCTCCGGCGGAGTCTTCTCCATTTCCAGTGTAGATATTCTCTCTCTCATTTCTGGGTGGCCCAATCTCAGGGCCCTCACATTATTTACCTGTCCACCGACATCATTCAAATTCCAGACGCTGGTCGACATAGCCAAGGGTCTGCCTCATCTCGGGTTGCTCGCCCTAGCCGAGATGGATATGTATGACTTTCCCCCTGCTGATTCTATCCCCATCTTGGAGGACCATGACCTTTTCCAACTCTTGATTGACCCTGGAGAATCGGGGTGGAAGATACGGAGAAGTTGGCGCGATTGCTGGATAGGTTGTTTCCATGTCTGCACACCTTCGGCTTCATGGGCCCAAAGTATCTTGAGGAGCGTGAAAAAGAGGTAACATCGCTCTTGCGCGGGATGCAGAAAATACGTCACTCTGAGACTTGCACTTGCTCGGAGAGGTAAATATGTGAGGGTGTTTTCGGTGTACTGGATAGGTTAATTAAGTTCTCTCGTTATGTCGGTATGTGAGGGAGGGAGGGAGGATAGAGCATGTCATTCCTCACGGAATAAGCTCGCGAATTACTTGGATCAAGGCAAAACAGATATTTCAGCAACGACATACCTGGGAATACCAGACGGTGAATGCTTCCCATAATTTCACCAATAGTTTCAAATGGGCTACGTAATTGGAGGCATGACCGGAAGATGTTGCATTTTTACGCGGGTTGATCCTCTTGAGGGTGTTGACCGGTTACATAAGAGCAAGTTGAGGTTGAAATCAAGCCCAGTGAAAAGTCCGTCGAGAGGAATCGAGTGTGATCGAAGTGAGGTTTGATGAATCGAGTCGAATCAAGGCTGGTCGAGCGAGGAGCAAAATTTGATGGAAATTTGATGGGCGTCGGATACAAGTAGTTGTTAGACCTAATCGAATCGAGAGAAATCGAGGGAGATCGCTAGCTGAATGTCTTCGTCTAAGATGCTTAAGCTGTAAGTTGTTTCTTTGCCTTGGTCTTGCTTACATAAATTGATGAACTTGACTACGTTGGACTTAGGGAATTTCAACTTACTTTCAACCACAACGACGATATGCGCTACCGCTTCTTCCCTCCGAGTTCCTCTCTCCTTCTGTGCTCTTGGTCGTGACATAGCGTCGAAGACTCGAAGCCCTCTGTACGTCTTCTCATGCCTAATAATCACTCCTGGTCATCCCATCTGCCCTTTCTCCTGTAGACAGGCTTCATCACGGTCTACCGCCGTAGTCCACCCACATTTCCAATTGCCGAAGGGGATGGTGAAGATCACTTTGGTCAGTAGATTGGCCTCGGATCTGCTCAGCATGGTTGCTCATCGTATCAATATTATCCATGCAACGCGTCGTCCGAGCACCCACCTTGTCGTTCATCAAATCTATTTTCGAAAGAGGGCAGGGGGAGAGAAAGTGTTTTGCAAAATGGAAGGTATGTCTTGATTCTTACACGACTCCTAGTTGTATGCTCCAGGTGTTGATGACATTGACAGTGCAAACCGTGGGTGCCAACGTCGCAGTTCCAGTGATGCAATGGTGAACGAGGCTGGGCAAAAGGAGAGGTGGTAAGCAAACCACCAACTAATCTGTAGATAAGTTGCTCACCTCTATCCGAGTCTAGAGCCTGCACGACAAACCCGCCACACGAAAAGCTGAATCCCTACCCCGCGGCGAAACTCCAAAGGAAACACGCGGCCTGGCGCCACTGTCGCGAGGCAACACCAAACATACACCATGATAGGACCTGCCGTCGAAGACGACCGTGGTCCGTGAGCACATGCAAACGATGGTGCGAGCAAGGATGGTGCGTTCCCCCGATGTTTGTCTTACTGTGTTGCTAACGCTTGTCGCAGCCGCCCGTCTGCCAGGGTGCGAATGTCTACCCGACCCAGGGCGGGTCATTCTGAAGGGTATTGATGACCATGTAACAGTGTGTCCCACTCATCCTCCCCCTTCCTCGTCCTTTCCCTCAATGCCATGTGCCCGTTACGGTACGAGAATGTGAGGGAGCGGCGCAGGCTGTCACGTCTATATAGAACCACACACTCCGCCATGTATATTACTACGAGATTCTAATGAATATGTATATATGTATAACCATTCTCTATGTACAAGCTAGAATGAGGGATATCAAGAGAAATTGAATGCCTGGACAAGCGGGTAGCATAATATTACCGGCACATTGATGGCTCATATGGGCTTCGAGCCGACTCGATCAGTCTCAATGATGGGTTCACATTTTCGAGAGAGATCAAGACGGATCGAGTATGACCGAAGCTCCTTGTTTCTCTTGATCTCTCTTGATCCCTCTCGACGGACTTTTCACTGGGAATCAAGCTCCGACAGATGACGTAATCCATCTCGCGCAGAAGTTTGAACTGATAACGTAACCTCTTATAACTCTTGTTCCACTCCTGCAGTGGTATAGTGAGATTCATCCATTGGTTCCACTAATATGCATCGCGCACTTCAAGTCCCAGAGATTCTTCTTGAAGTTCTTGATGCCTTGTCACAACAATGGTGGACTGTAAAAGGGAAACAGACGGCAATGTTACAGCTGTTTCGGAAAACCTTGTCCATCACAACTTCTTTTTTTTTGAGCCGCGAGACATCATGTGAGCCTGGGGAGCTTTCGTGGGAGCCATCAACACTACCGTATTTAGACAACAGAGATTCAAGCTGGCCATTTGAGCATCTACGGGACGTCCTGGCACTTGAAATCTGGGCGCGTTATAGCTGAGGAGCTCTTCTGAGAGCATGTGCCAAATTTGAGGTGAAACAGTATATTTTTGGGTCCAAGCGTGCCACCCAACCTCTTCCTCAGGCGCGGAAACACGCTGTGGGAAGTTCAGGCTCCGAACGCCCACGGGACGAGCCCCACCAGGTAGACGCAACATTGGGCGTCGACAATAACCCTATCTGTAAAGTTTAAATGACGATATTTGGGCCAGGAGGCAGGGAATCGCTCAACAATGCTCGCGCGGCTCACGGAGCTCGTCATTGATGCGTAGCCCAAAACGGCAGCCATCAGCACATGACCGGTCGCAGCCCAAAAAAATAAAAAAAGTGATGGACAAGGTTTTCCGAAACAGCTGTAAGCGTTGCCCTGGTTTGTCGCGCCTTCAAAAACCCCGGGTTGGATCAGCTATGGAAAAACATGGGGAGTATCATACCTCTCTTCAAGTTGCTGTCACATTTCGAGCCTGCATTTGAAGACGAGGAGGGTGTTGTTACAGTAAGTCTTACGTCGGCCTCGTGAGCATTGTCCTGATACCGATATCTGCAGCTTGGAAACATCCATGGCCCAATCTCGAAGTCAGAACGCACGTCCTTCGTCACCTACGCCAGTCGAGTTCACTCGTATGATGGATTGGGCGAAGAACGGATTGCCCTTTCTTCTTACATCCAAGCCTTACAGCTCACAAATCGCACTTGCCTGCTGCCTAATCTAAGGACTCTGCGCGTGTATGGAGGCCCTTGGGAGCCTGAGGTTTATTTCTTCTTTTCTCCCTCGCTGCGGACAGTCGCCCTTCGTGAAACAGATTCAGAATACCATCCCGACTCCAGTTCCGTCCTCCATTCTCTCCAGAGAGTAACAGCGAACCTCACTAGCATCGACGTTTCAGCATCATGGAGTACGGTCGGTCTAGGCGCAATATCCAGCATCCATTTCCTGAAGAACCTTCACCTCTCTCATGACCATAGTACAGAAGGACCAAAAGGACCAGAAGGACCTTTCCGACTCGACGTTAATTTCCTGCTGGACCTTCCTTGCTCAGAGTCTCTTTCAACTCTCTCAATCGCATATTTCGACCTGTTTGCTGACCAGTCAACGCGCCATCAGCAAGCAACAGCATTCCCGGTCCTTAAGCGCCTTCGCCTCCTCTTAAGTCTCACATCTATGGGACCACTCACCAAACTCCTCCAGAATGCAAAAATGTCGAGTCTTCAGGAGGTGGATATTAGCATCTCACCCAGGAGAATGGACGAAAGTGAAATCGCTCATTGGAAGAACCTTTTCCGCGCCCTCCCTGTTACTACGTCTAATCTGCAGCACTTTGTCTTGAGTGCCACGTCCGAGCCGAGTGGTGCCTTCTGGTCAAACCTTAACCTGTCAATCAAAGACTTCGAACATTTATCGCAGTGCAACCTGGCTACATTTACCGTCTACCCTCCTATTTTTTCAACACTTTCGTTGGGCGACATCTCGAGTCTGCTCTCGCGTGGGGGGGATTTGAATTTGTTGACCTTGAGGACACCAGGTTTAGGGTTTGAGGTGCTTGTCATCATCGCCCAGACGCTCCCAAAGCTCACGTTTCTCAGTGCTGGCATTGATGGGCGCCAGCTCCTGGCTGCAGACTCAATCCCCATTCTTGAACACCGCTTGGGCACTCTTATAGTGACTGGCCGCTTGGAGCGTCCTTTGACCCTTGCACGATTGATCGACAGAATTTTCCCTCATCTTTTCTACACGTTATTCTCTCCCTCCCAAGACCCTGACAACGAGGAGTGGGTCCAGGTGGAGTCGTTGCTCAAGGTATTGAGGGAAGCCAGAAGTGACGAAAGGGCAAGATCCTCACGCAACGTATAGCTGACTCAAAAGAACACGAACTTGTTCCGAGTCGTCCTTACAACCTTACTTACGGTATGTGCCACATTCGAAACCCAAAAGCATACTGCCACGTTTGCTGCTTGCTCACTTTCTAATTGCTAGGTTTTAATTGGGGTTTCGAAGTACCGAATATCGCCATTCGGGTGGTCTATATGGAGGTCCATAGGTTGTTATTGTTGAAACTTTCTTCAAAAAAAGTGGTTGGTGATTGCTAATTTCTTGGCAAATAAATTGCTTACATAACCTATCGTCCGAATTTGGCTCGTCATTCTGTCAGACCTTTCGCTGGCCACAGATATGGACATTCTATCGTATATCGTACTCCACCTGTTCAAATCGCGATGCGCGCGTCGGTCCCTCCTCATTCAAGCCTTCTTCGCGACCCTGGTACTTCCGCCTGCTAATTAATTGAAATAGTCGCCCACGACTGGAGTCTGCTTGCCTATCCATGATCTCCATCCCACAAACGATTACACACAACTGCGAAGCACGCGTATACGTACACCATAGAACGTGGCACGGATGTTCCTCCCGCCTCCACGATCAGAAATAAGCATACGTAGTGGGCATTGAACTACGTCATCGTGTCATCAGTGGCCACTCCTCGAAGTCTCGCATGCACCAAACACCCGACTATATAACGCCCAACCCTCTGTCTTCCTTTCGAAAAAGTCTTTTTCTTTTACATCAGACCAACCATGGACAAAACTACCTCCGTGCTTGCCGCTTTCGAGGCTGGGAAGCTTCCATCGACTCAACAGGTCAACCAATTTATCGATTGGCTCAACGATGTCGGTATTGCGCAAATCGAACCGACTGAGAACACGGAGCTCAGCGCCCAAGGGCGAGTACTTGCGAACGACTTTCGGGGCGTCCTCGAGGCTTATAAGCAGCTAGGAACGCACAAAAATTGTGAGTCTCAAGTCTATTTGATCATTTACGAGACTTTCTGACCACAACTCATCCTAGCCGACAACGCTCTCCAAGAGGCCATCTGGCATTTGACAGAGGGCGACCTCCATGTTACGCCCGAAGCAGAAGCCGACAAGGACCAAGCTCTCGATGACCTCAACGCCATTCGTCGTTCTTTACGTGCACTACTCTCTATCGTTTGGTCGAGTGCCTCATCTGAGGGCACTTCGATCGTCCAGGATCTTCTCTCTATTATGCGCCTCTCCCTCGCAGACGCAGCTGAGGTTATTGAGGACAAAGCCGGGCTGGCGAAGGAGAGCCTTCGTCATATCGAAGACGAGGTTCAGGAGGGCAAGCGTGATTCGCTAGGGCGGGACAAACAGCGTTTGGAGGAGGAGCAAGACGCGAAGATCGCATGGCAGCATGGCATGGACACCGTTAAGAATGCGGGAACAACCGCGATCGGAGCTGCGCAGAGCGGGTCGGCTACGGTCGAGGAGAAGAAGGAACAGACGACGACCCGGATCCAGGATGCTTACTACAAAGTAAGACATTGTTTAGCATTTCATATATGCGACGTTGACCCTCCATGTAGATTTTCGACCGCGCCCAATCCGACGAAGATTACCGTCAAGCACTCGATACGATCTTCGACATCATTCAGAGACGACTCAACCGAACCATCGACGCCGCTTCAGATCCCCAGGTTACCCTCTCAAGCTTCATCGCTGATCCCTCTCCTGAGCAGCACATCCCGAAGGCTCTCGCTCTTGTGCGAAGCCTCGTCGAACGGCTGGCAGGTACTTCACTTGAGCCACTCATCCAATGCGCACGCGGATGCGCTAACACCGTTGTGCGGGATGACGAACTCAAGGCGTGGTTCGATGACTTCATTGGAACGACGAGGAAGAACCTCGCCGAGCCTGGATATGCTCGTTCTGACGAGGCACAGGCGAAACGTCGCGAGCTTCGTGTGCGCTGGCGTACTTCGTTGGAGAAGGACGAGAAGTGGAAAGCTGCAGTGGATAGTGCCAAGGCGGAACTGAGCAAGATTGATGAAGGTCTCCGAAACGATGAGGACCTCAACAGGTTGAAAGCGTCTCATCAGAAGCTCGGCGACGATATCGAGCAGGGTTTGGTCGAGGCGGGGAAGGAGGCACAGACCGGCATGCAGGCTGCTATCGAGCAGGCCACTTGGTTCTGGCAGGATTTGTTCAAGGTCTACATCCCAAGAGTTCTGACGAAGATGCGCGACCTGCCTATCCCGAGGTTAGTTCGGTTGGATTTTATTATATAATGACTGAGTATTGATGAGCGCTGAACTAGGACGGAATACAAAGATTCGGACATCGAATTCGTCCTCGAAAATCTCGACATCTCTTCCTTCAATATTCTTCCGTCCCACGTATACATTCGCAATATAACCGACGTCGACATCCAAACCTCTGCCAAACCAGCGACTCCCTCCCACACCAAAGTGGGCACGCTTACCCACATCCAAATCCAAGCCTTACAGCTCTCCCTCAAAGACGTTTCATTCTGGTACAAAGCCAAGAACGCTTCCGCTCTCGAGCCGGGCGAGCTCACAGGCCTTCTCGGTTTAAAACTGCCCGAGAAAGGCATCGACGTCGACCTCAAGGTCCGGCTCATCCCCGAACACACCAAGGGTCCCCACTCGCGCGAAGCGCTCAAACACTTCAACATCATCGAGCGCGCTGTCGTCACCATCTCGAACGACGTCGGCATCGAGGTGCGCGAGAGCAACCACGCGCTGCTCACGACGCTCTTCCGCCCGGTCGTGGTCTCGCGTGTGCGGGAGGCCCTCGAACGCACGCTCAGCGAAACGCTGCACGCGCTCGTGGACTACGCGGATGGGATCGCGTATGATGTGCGTAGGCGCCGGCAAGTCTTCGAGGACACGGGTCTTGGTGGTGGTGGGTCGCTCATGGCGGCGATCTGGAGCGAGGTTGGGCGCCTCGAGCGCGAGTCCCGCGCTGGGCCTGTCGAGGTGGACTGGAAGGCGACTGGGACGGGTGTTGTTCTTGAGCACCGCACGGCGGTTGGTGGCGACGAGTTTGGAGAAGGCGCGGAGGTCAAGACGAAGGCTTTTGCAATGGGCGCCGAGCCGCAGATCCTCAGCGGTGAGAAACGCGGCCCGTTGGGCACCGGCTCCGAGAAGATTGCGGACAAACTTGGTCGCGCCGGCGAGGAGCTTGGCCTCACCCCGGAGATGCAGGAAAACATTCGAGAATCGAGCATGGAGGTGGATATTGGCGAGACCGCTCGAGATGCTGCGGATGAACTTGGAGCCAAGGCGAAGGGTGTCTTGAAGGAGGGTAAGAAACAGATCACTGACTTCAGAAGGAGCGTAGAGAGGAAGAGCCAGATGGAGCAGAGTCGGCAGGGATGGCAGAGCGCCAACTTCGATCTTTAGTCATTCACGCGTCACTTTGGTATTACGATATTTTTTGTAAACTAGTTTTATAATTTCACTCTACACTTGACTCCGGCTTAGTTTCAGTCTTTCAGAGCACACGTAAACCACGTGCTGAGAAAGTTGAATACAAGATGGTATGGCGCTCAGAGTAAATTACTTATTAGGCCCGCAACTTGACCTCTTTTTCAATGCTTCAACCCTTCGAAAATCCCTCTTATGGATCCGGGTTTGTGTTGAAGGATTCAGAACTGTTTCACAAGAGTGGCCACCTCTTTTCTTAGTTCTATACCAACGTTCTACGGCCGCTCGGAAATTTCACGGCGATTATGCACAGACACAACGCCGTCTAGATCTCCCTTTATCGTCAGCGGATCGTTATATATCCTCTGAGCAATCCGACTCCGACTCCGTTTTCATCGCAATATCTACGTTCAGATTCATCCGGCCCCGGGCGTCCATTCCTTCTTTTCATGATCTGGCTCGTGCTCACCCTCCGACTCAGAACTCGAGTAATCCAGCTCGTCTTCGTGCTTGGGGTCAATTTCATCTTGTCTTGGGGGGCAGATGTATTTCTTCTTTGGAGGTGTGTCGAACCTCTGGCGGAGGAGCATGTCTTTTGGCGATACATCTGCAAGTGCCTTGTTATCCCTGCAATTTTGTTGAGTTATATACACTTTGGCCTTATTCTCGAGGAAATGAAAAAACGAAGGCTCATGTTTGTACCAGACGATAGCGACCAAGTTGTCCTCAAGGCTCTGGTCTTGTTTGTGAGGACTTCATTTATTCGCCCGTCGATGTTCTGTCCGCTGATTGTCCATATTTCCTCGGTTTCGTTACTCACTAATAAGTCTTGAACGGCCTCGTGGGCGCCGGGTGCGTGCGAGCACAAGTGGATCGCGTCGCTCCAGGTAGAAGTCGCTCCTTGAGGATTTGTTGATTCGTCAAAATATATTTTTGTCTCAAGGTCGTCAAGATCAACGAATGAGTCATGAATCGGAGGTGGGGAAGTGTCTTGCCATATATGTCACCATATATGTCACGCATGGGACATGAAATCTCCTAATGGTAGGTATTGCTCGCTTATTCTCTCAGCCGAAATCTACCTTCGGCGCATATACTCGGAGAGTCGGAGTGCTTGTGCCGCTCGAAGTCGACTCGACTTGGTCAAGTTGAGTGTGCGCCGTCTACCAGAAACCGCACCCATTTTAATTTTTTTCCCTGTTAACAGAGGAGGCCGAAGCGTGTGTTCAAGCTTTCCTTATCTTCGAGATAAAACTCGTGATCACGCATAGCTTCTGTCAGTCCGCCGGCGCCGAGATTTGCTTCTCTGGAAAATCATGGAAGGCAGGAAGATAGAATTGCTGGGGAGGTCCTAATGAGGGTACGGCCATCCCACAGGTACAAGCGACATACAATTACTTCTATACGTAACCCCAGGTTTTATACATTACTCCTAACCGTTGCTAGATTTTTCCCATCTGCAGAGCACTGCAAACAGGTCTGGTGGTCATTGACGGATATTGTTGGTGTTTAGACGGTCTATCGGACCGGATCTCTGGAGTGCCCAAAGCGCCCAAAGCGCACGCCAAGACTACCACATATGGCAGCTAGTCGTTTAAGTTATCAAAGTTCCGTCCAGCGTGTCACGGGTCGCACCCCCAGACGGAAGCAGTACGGGGGGAACAGGGCAGGTTCTCCCGCGAACTCCTAGAGAGTGTCGAATGACGCCTACTGAGTCAACCAGTGTCGTGTTTGGCACAGGCTTCTCAGGCTGTCATCGCATGCTTTATCTAGCATGCTGGGGCGCGCTGTTCATCGTGATGGGTGTACTCTGGGTGCGTTATTATCGTAAAGACCGGAAGTGTCTCCAAAGTGTCCCCAACGTGTCCTGCCTTTATGCAAATCTATTCAACCGAGGCTCATCCTCAGCAAACCATATCATCTTCCAATTAACACCTTTCAAAGTATTACAAATGGCACAGAACGATTTCAATGTAAACGAGTTCATTCCTTCTGCAGTAGTCTGAGTACGACGTCGACCGTTGATCGACGTAAATGCGGGTTCCAAGGGAAAGGAGCAATTTCGGAGGCCTCTGGCCTCTTGGATCTATATCCTCTCTTACCTCTCTCTCCTTCCCTGGTCCATTTGCGTGTCGTTGCAGCTTGGTGCCATTGTTTTGGCGGATGCTAGACTTGTGACGGTATGGCACGTGAGTGTGACCACGGTTGACACCTGCACTGCGCCCCCTCTCTTTCTTTCTTATCAACCACCATCTCTGCAGTGCAGGTAAGCCCTCCTCTCTCTCGCTCTTACGGGCATCCTAAGCTCACAATCTGGATAGTGAATCCCTCCTGTCATCTTGTTTATCTTATTCTCATCTATTCACTATCCTATTGTGAGTTTCCACTCTCTCCTCTCTCGTCTTGAGCCTTACTGTCCCTCAGCTCGCTCGTGGCTCCGCCATCTGGGCTCCTATCTATTTCACAGTAAGGCTCTGCACCCTTCCTGGCTCCGCCATCCCTCGCTCATCATCTGACAACATCCATTGATTAGATTTTGATCTAATCCATACCCTCGTTACCCTCTTTTTTCATCACCCGCCCTCCTCTCCCTTTTCTTTTAATGGACAATTTAAGTAGTTTATTGGTACATATACAGTTGTAGCCCTCTCGCTCTGTCACCAATGCAAGCTGGAGGCACATGGTCGTGTGCCTCCGTTTATGGCTAATACCCGTCTGATCAGTCAGCAGAGGCCACAGTGACTTGTCACAGATGTTCAGCGCTTAGATATAGACATGCCTGGTTGTAATGTGCGAGCCATCACTCTTCTTGAAATTGACCGTGACGTGGTTGGGTTCATTGGGGTTCCAGGTTCCATCTGGCCTGGCTGTTCCCGCATGTTCAGTGCCTCTACCTGCCCAGTAAGAATATGCAGTGACTGGCATAAAGAATTTTTGAAACGTACCGGACCTCGGCGGACCCGTCTACTGCCCCACGGGCATCGATGCCATTATCGGCAGCATACTTGACGATGGCTTCTTCGATGGCTGACTTGCGCTGGAGATTATTGTTATACGCTCCGCTCACGATCCACTTGATAGCACTCTTCGAAAGCGATCGTTTGAATATAGTAGACGCCAACATATTGAAAGAAGGATGAGTACTGAGCGCTGATCAAGAGGTGGGGTCACTGAGAAGGATTGACGAAGGCTCGACGACAAGCGGAGCAGGATCCAAGTCTGAGTTTGTTTTAGATTCTTCCAGGCTTTTATATGGCCCCCAGAGAGCTAAGAGTAATGCTCACTTGTGATAACGATTCAAGACAATAGAGCGAAATTTACCCCCAAGGACACAAGAAGACTCGAAAGGCGGCTGGTTCGCAGCGCCCACAGACAGCTTCCAGACAATATAATGGTGAAGGGAAACATGTGGTGTGTACCAATGTTTCCCTTCACTTCTGAGTCAGTCAGAGAAACTCGCACCAAGCGGGGAGACGCTAGTCTCCTTTCACTATTATGTAGTTCTATCTGACTCGGTGCGTGAAGATGACCCGGCTACTAGTACTCATTTCATCTGATGAGGGTAGGTCACCTTGGCCTGCTTGGCAAACCGCGCTCTAAGGTGGTTCGCGCCCTTCCGTATTGAATACTGGGATTGGTCACTCACACCCATTTCCCAGCTGTCTGTCGTTGTCACAGATGACAAGAATGTTTCCGTTGACGTCGAAGAAGCGCCTCCCAATGACACCGTTCCAGGTGCTGAGGCCACGGCGCTTTGGGACGGGAGAGTGGTCAAAATTGAATGTCAGATTGCACTCGGAGGCCAAGAATAGAGTTCACTCCACTGTGTAGTAATTTGTCTCTAGATTTTTTGGGAAAGGAAAGGCCGGACTTCGAGTATTGCGGTGCATGCCTAACATTCATCAATAGCAGTGATTTCTTCAAACGCACGAAACCATAACAATTATTGTAGCATAACCTACAAAAAGGTCGCTTGAAGCGGAATCCAGAATTTCAACGCCGAACTAGGTATTGTGTACGGGTCTTGCGACCTAGCACTGACTTGACGTAGATCAAGGACCTAATATTCTATCCTCCGTCGTACTTACTCCTCCTCATGCAAGTACAATAAATTGCACATGCCATGTCTTAAACACTAATATCATCTTCGGCAGGTCCTCAGACAAATAGTTACCCAGCAAAGGGGGCGCCAACTGGATCCTTGGATAGCCAGGCTAAGCCAGTCCCCAGCACAATGGTGTTGTGTATGCCCGACTGTAATACATATGCAACAAAGAGAATTTGGGTACACAGGGTGAGCGCTGATGCAGGTGAGTTATACAAGAGGATTACCGCTCAGTGCACTGTGTATAAAAAGAAGGAAAAGAAACAGGAAATGAAAAAAGAAACCAGACCTTAAGCTTGCCGGGCTCGCTCCGTTCCGGCCTTGATCCGGCGGTGGTGTCGGGCCGCCTAAACAACGCGAACTCAAACCAGGTGAAACGCGGGAAAGAAAGAGAAGAGTAATAGAGGACGACAAGGAAAGATCAATCGAGGGATCTGCTTCGTAGAGGATGAGGCCCGTGAGGCATCCCCTTCCTTTTGAGGACTCCAGAGTCGGCTGAGTCATTCTGCAGAGGCATCACAAAGTCAGGTGATCGAAACGGACCCACAGCGCCTTAGGCTTTTGTTCTGTAACCACCATGAGGGCTGTTGCACGGCTGGCCGCTCGAGCGGCTGCTGCTTTTAAGAAAACGCCTCGCGAACCTTCTCATCTTCGTCTAGAGCCTCAACACGTCCTCAACTCGCGCTATGAGATCCTAAAACAGATCGGCAGTGGCCAACACTCCACAGTCTGGCTTGCTGAGGAGTCTACGTCTCCGTGTGTCACTTCAACTGGTATCAATGCTATTCCTAACTAATGTTCGTGCAGCATTCGTAAAAAGGTCGCAATCAAGGTGCTTACTGACTACGTCACATCGCTGCAGGGCATACATGCCTTCGAGCTGGATGTTCTCAAGAAGATTGCTTCAAACCAGACGGCTGCTCAAGAGAGCCACTTACTGCACTTATACGACCACTTCTTTACTGACGGAGATCGTGGTCAACACCTTTGTCTCGTCAACGACGCTCTGGGACCTTCAGTACTTGACATCCGGGCGAGTACACCCCATGGAGTTTTACCAGTTCCCTTGGTCCAACACATTACACGTCAATTGCTTCAAGGGCTAGAGATTTTGCACGAAAAATGCAAGACGGTGCACACTGGTGTGCCCCTCGCGTTTCCCTCTCCGCTCGACAATGTCTCAATCATGATGCAGACATTAAATTTGACAACATTTTGTTCACCTCATATGCAGAAAGTGCCGATACCAATGCTTACTGTGCAGTTGATACGGTGCTCATCGACTTCGGTACCGGTAGGTCAATTACTCCTCCGTGAGACCCAACGGCTAATCTTACCAACTGCAGCCATGCCCGAGGGTACAGACCGCAACCGCCTTATCCAACCAGAAGCTTTGCGCTCCCCAGAGGTTCTTCTTGGTTGCACTTGGGATGTAAAAGCAGACATCTGGAACGTTGGCTGCATCGTGAGGGCTTTCCCCTTCGTTTCGAGATTGTGATTAATTCTTTGTGCCAGGTTTTTGAACTTCTTACAGGCCAAAGATTGTTCAAACCCAGAGCAGGTGCCTCATGGACCTCTGAACAATACCATATGGCTCGCATCTATTCCACTCTCCTTGATGACAATGATCGCAGACGTCTCGTTGAATTCTTCCGCCATGGTGCAAAGTTTACTACCTTCTTCGATGGGGATAGTGAGTAGTATTCTAGCTCCCCACGTATGATGGACTGAGACTTCCACTATCAGATTTACGCGTCAAAGCTACAGACTGCGAGTCTATCGAAGTAATTCTGCGACACTACGGGATTTATACGCCGGAGTTAAATGAATTCCTGGCGGCAATGCTTCAGATTCATCCCCACGACCGGCTCTCTGCTCGACAGTTGTTGTTGTTGCCTTGGCTTACTAAGTGAGCAAGATGTATACTTATGAGTCAATCTGTCTGTCATTCGTTCGCTTGGTATGTACTATCTTCTCATATTGACTGAATATTTATAGTATCAGGAATTTGACGAAACTAATTGTGCACTTCCGTTGAAAAGACTGCGTCCATCTGCATATTCTTGCAGCCCGGATCCACCTCCGTTTCCGTCCCGCTAGTATCGCAGGCTAGATGGTTAATGCCCTCCATCTTCATGTTTGACCTGCCTTTATCTTCCTAGCGAGGCGTTTTCTCGTGATCGCGCGAGGTTTCTGGTGGTTGATCGAAGCATATTTTGATTCAGATTTGGTCCTCTGGTAGACGATGGAGTAGGCTCTTTATGCGGATCAAGACAATTGACTGGTTGTAGTCAATACAAGGTCGATAATAAAACAAGTCGTACACAATACCTGGTATTGTTCGTTGGAGGAGGAGGAGGAGGATTAATTAACTGGGGAGGTCCCATTAAGGAACGACCGGCCTGTGTACCTAGAGCTACAAGCTACAACAACTCTACAGTTACACTAGGAGTACATGCATGCCCTTTACCGCTGTGTTATTCCAACCACTACCTACTGATAGCCCAGGAAGACTCACGGTCTCAGGTGCAAGGTACGTTAAATGATAAGAAGAAAAAAATGGGGGACCACAGGTTCTGCATTATTTCCTCAATGCTACTTTTAGAGTTCCAGTTTTGTGCGTTTGGATAATAACTGTTGTTGATCCCTTCAAGGAACAAAGCTGACAACACCATTCTATGTAGAATTGTTAAGTGCACAGCGCTTAGCATACAAGGATTGGGAACAACACTCGAAGTCGACCTTTTCTTTTTTCCAACAAATACGGAAACAAAATATTATACAACGGAATTATGTTTTATTCGCGCGACTGCAACCTGACGGTCCATTTTGACCACTCTCCCTCCCTAAAGTGTGCCGAGGACGGCTTCAGCGCCTGTGACGGTGACGTTGGGAGGTGCTTCTTCGACGGCAACAGAGACGACCTTGTCGCCATCTGTGACAATGGCGAATCTCTGAGAAGTGCATATGAGCATGAGTTACAAGCATGAAATGTGAATGAACAGGCTCTACCTTGGAACGAGGTCCGCCAAGCAAGCCGGACGCGTCGAAGATCAGGCCGAGAGAACCAACGAAAGCACCCTTGTCGTCAGCGATGAAGTGAATAGCTGGGAGATCGTCCTATGGATTACCACAAGAACATCAACAATATAAAATGAGACTCACGCGTTCCGCTTGGTGCAAGTTTTTCCTTCCATGCCCTGAATACGAGGATTGCGGATTTTAGCGCTCATGATCACCCCTAGATGAGATTTAAACTCATTTCATGACAAACACATCGTTAACGCCAAACAGATAGATCTCGTTAACACCCTTTGCCTTGAACGCCTCGTAGTTCTCGATATAGGCTGGGAGATGTGTGTTACACGGGGTAGTGAAAGCTCCTGGGACGCCGATCTACTCGATCAGTCCATATCAGATAACCCAATCTCCCCAGATCCAGACCCAGGTGCGCCACACTAATGCGACCACGGGTCAAAGTTTGCACTCACCAAGACATTCTTCCCAGTCAAAGTAAGAACTTTCGCCGCATCAGGTGCGTCCTCCTTGACCTCAGCAGCAGGGATCGTGGCCCCAGGTTGGATCTGGGCGTGCGCGAGGAGCGAGGCGGCGACACTGTGTGCGGCTTGGGCAGCGGTGGCGATGGCAGAAGTCATTGTTGTATGTGGATGGGAGAAAGAAGGAAAAGTGAGGCAAATGCGGAGAAATATTGGGTCGCTCCAAGTCCGCTTCGGTGATTGCCATGTCCACGCCTGGGTGTGGCGTCCGCGCGCCATAAATAAAGACAAGATTCCTTTACAGACGAAATAATCCCATGAACCAAATCATGAGGGAAAGAAGTACGAGCATGGAGACAATAGACCTTTCTAGTGGAGTTCGAGCGCCTCCAACCAATGGAGTCGTGACGCAGAATTCGTCGATGTGAGAAAACAACACTATCAAAGTGAAACCAATTCCATACACAGATCGATTCATCAGTGTTCACATATGAAGCCATGGCAATAGCAACAATTGTCGAGCAGAGAGCCGGTCATTGGGATGAATCCGAAGCATTGCCAGCAAGAACTCGTTTAGGGCCTGTTCGGATCCCCGGCCTTCTCCAAGGCTGCCTGCCAAATTGAAGGCCTACGTACGGAAAGGCAACTTCGCACGCTTCACGGAGCCAAGACTCTTCCATCAAATTGTCACAAGGTTCGTTGCCATGGGACACGATGCCTGACACCATCCATCCGTTGCCCGCCCTTGCCTCCCGCCGCCCGCCCAACGTCCCGCCGAAATCTGGCGGCCCAAGTTGCGCAGGACAGGAGAGTGCATTTCGAAATTTAGTTAATATGAATATATTACAACATAAAAGCAAGAAGTGCGCCCAATTTTGGGTGCACAATGTCTCAATCACTCTGCTCAACGTCAACGGCGAGGACGACGAGGGAGGGCGATGTTGAGCAAAGGATGACAAATCCAGAAATGATGATGTTACTGACGGTGACGGGTGACAACACAGCCACCCCAAGCCTGGTTTCGGAATCAAGCTGGGGATCCGAACAGGCCCTTAACTCCGGTGTACAAATCCCGTAATGTCCCAGAATTACTTGAATAGACTCGCGTTCTGTCGCCTTGACGCGTAAGTCTGAGGCAGGAAGTTTCAGTTCACCATACGTGCGGTGCTCGAATAACTCGTGCACTTACTATCCCCGTCGAAGAAGGTAGCAAACTTCGCGCCATGGCGGAAGAATTCAAGGAGACGCCTGCGATCATTGTCATCTAGGAGAGTGGAATAGATGCGAGCCATATGATATTGTTCAGAGGACCATGAAGGACCTGCTCTGGGTTTGAACAATCTTTGGCCAGTAAGGAGTTCAAAAATCTGGCACAAAGAATCAATCACAATCTTGAAACGAAACAGAAAGTACTCACAATGCAGCCAACGTTCCAGATGTCTACTTTTACATCCCAAGTGCAACCAAGAAGAACCTCTGGCGGACGTAGAGCCTCTGGCTGGATCAGACGGTTGTGGTCTGTACCCTCAGGGATCGCTGTAATTGCTTAGATGAGTTAATTAGCACAGCGAAAGAATAGCTGGCTTACCGGTACCAAAATCAATGAGCACTGAATCAACTGCACAATAGGTATTGACATCGGGACCCTCCGCATACGACGCAAACAAGATGTTGTCAAATTTAATGTCTGCGTTGTCCCATTTTAGACATTATCTGACGAACAGGAAACGAAACAAGCCTACCTGTATGCACTGTCTTGCACTTTTCGTGCAAAATTTCAAGCCCTTGAAGCAGTTGACGTGTAATGTGTTGGACCAAGGGAGCTGATAGCGCTCCATTGCGTGTGCGGGATCGGATGTCGAGCACTGAAGGTCCCAGAGCCGCGCTGACAAGACAAAGGTGGTCTCCATGATCTCCGCGAGCAAGGAAGTGGTCGTATAAGTGCAACAGGCGTCCTCGTGAAGAGCCGTCTGGACTAAGGCGATCTTCTTGAGAACGTCCAGCTCGAAGGCGTGCACGCCTTGCAGCGACGTGACGTATCAGTAAGCACCTTGATGGCGACCTTCCGACGTATGCTGCACGGAAATCAATTATAAGCAGCATCAATAATCGGTCGAAGTGACTCGGACTTGCAGAGATGTAGACTCCTCAGCAAGCCAGACGGTAGAGTGTTGGCCACTGCCGATCTGTTCAAGGATCTCGTAGCGCGAGTTAAGGACCCGTTTGGGCTCTATATGAAGATGAGAAGGTGTGCGAGGTTCCTTCTTGAAGACAGCAGCCGCTCGAGCGATCAAACGCCCCAGGGCCCTCATGGTTGGCGGAAGAAGAACGAAAACCAACATCACTAGAGACTTTGAGCCGGCCCAGGTGCCTGCCGGCCCATCCCGATCACCGCCACCTTCACGACAGTCCACGACTCCTTTCAACCCGTTACTTACCAGTACTTACCACTATCAGACAGCCCAATCTCTAGATACAGACCCATGACCACCACATAAGTATAGCCCTGGGTCAAATATTCGGGGAGTCGCAATACAGAGACATGACTGAAAGGTCAAGGTGCCGTTTCGACCAAAGAAGCGGAGTTGTGGGTCCATATGGAGTCGAAGCTCAGTATGGTGGCACACCCGACTGGATATGAAAGGATCTGAGAATAATACATAGTACACACGGGACACGACTACAAAGAAATGAATGTTCGCCCGGGGAGGGTTCCGCTGTGCTCAATTCTAGAGATACGAAAAGCATAGCGGGCTCCGAAAAAGGACGTTAGAGTTAACGTTCGAGGTTCACCCGATCAGCTCACTTAGAGTGAAATGAATAACGGATGGTCCTGGGTTTTGTCGTTCTGGTGTGTTCACATGAAGTGTCTCGCCAGGTGGCCCCGTTTAAGGGGCCTCGGGGCTCTCCGAAGTTCTTTTTGGCTTTAACTTGGCTCAGATGCGACCTCGTGAGCTCAAAAATTTCGACTCGTTCCAGATGTATCTGCCTCATATCTACTAGCAGAACCGTGACTTAAGTAGTTGCTGAGCGTAGTGGACGAGGTCAGAAGTCAGAAGTACAAGGACGGCAAAATACGTGATTGTTTGGGAGTAAGTTGTCAGACATAGAAGTACCCTTCGAAGCCACATTCTATATCAACGTACTTGAGTTGGTTCCAACCTCCCTGTAAGTGGCCGACGGTTGGCCGACGGCGTGTTTCTCATTACTAGTTTCCAGAAAAGGAAATGCTGAACACCTTGTCGCCCCTGGCGATCACCGAGTTGCGGCTTGGCTTCAACCCGGATTGGACCCGCACTTCAGCACAGCGTTGTCGATCCTGAGCGCCTCCTGAGTTCCATGGCGATGCCATGTGGGCTGAACTCGTGGGTTCCTTCTTCTCTTGCTTCGCTCTCCTGAATACTTGGACCGCTGCTCAACGCTGCTCCCGTTCGTGACGATCGATAGCCCATGTCGTGTTTGAACCTGTTGGTGGTACTAGGTGCAACGGGCACCTGAAGTTGAGTCTTTGAAACCTCGAAATATCTATCCAACTCGGCGTCAACGATGAGGGGCTATTTCTTGTAACTTGCCAACAAATAGGCGACGGCGCCCCGATTTACGTGTTGAAACAGGTTCGAAGTCGCGGACCAGTGCTTCCAGAGCACATGGACAATGGATCGTCTCCTTGTCGGTGAAGGTATAAAAAGATGAGGGTCTGCTCGACAATTCTTCAGCAATCGCAGGTCGATTCTCCTACTCTTACACTCATCTCTCTTGCACCTGGTACAAGCCCCCCCTTCGTTTTCGGGTTGAGTTCTTGCTCACTGGCACCCTCTGTCTTCTACAGGTGCTGGCCGCCTCGAATTCACCTTTCACGTCAACTTGTAACGACTTTTCCTACGACCAAGATGTTCTCGTCCACTTCCTTCACCGTTCTGCTTGTCGCTGCCCTTTCCATGCAGAGTAAGCCTCCGATTTAGTAGTCGCATTGTAGCGTAACCGACAAAGTGGTCTTATTGTAGCACTCGCCGCACCTCTCACTGCCAAGATCGGTTCTGACGGTTCTCAAGCGAACCGCAAGGCCATCCAGGACGCTCTGCCTGTCGGTATGTGCGCTTCGCATTTTCTCCCCGGGCGTTTTCTGACGGCCCCCAACAGCGAACCAGAAAATCAAGAACATGCAAGCCGTGGTCGGTGGCTCGAATGCGAAGAATCACCCAGCGGTCGTCAAAGCTTTCGGTAAAGACGCCAACGTCGGTGAGATCAAAAAGACCGTAGGCAAGCTCGCGGACGGCCGCATCGTCGTCCCTCACACTGACGCCGCTCCGGGCGTCACCGAGGGTGCGACCAACCCGAAGAACGGCCATGTCACGTTCGGATCGACGTTCTACCAGAGCGGTAAGAGCGCTAACTCGCGCGCGGGGACGATCATCCACGAGGCGTCGCACGCCTTGGGAAAGACCGTCGACGCGTTCGACAAGAAGGGCAAGCCTTACAAGTACGGCGAGTCATTGCCGGCAGACAAGGTGAAGGCTGGTGTCCAGATTGGTTGTGAGTTCTCCTAGCTTGTCTAATAATTGTCTTCGCCGGGTACTCATTTCTCTGGAAAGACAAGGACAGCAACATGGACAAGCTCAAGGCTACTTCGTCCAGCCAGATGCACCACAACGCCGACTCTTACCGCGTATTCGCCGATGAGTGCCCTCAGGCTAAGCGAGAGCTCGTCGAACGGGCTATGGACGTCGAGGATCTCGAAATTGTACGTGCTTTTCTGGTTCCTCTTCTTTTATATTATTATACTGACTAATTCGTCAACAGCGTGAATTCCTCCTCAGACGCGCGTGCGCTAAAGGTAAGGCCGGTGCTGCTGCGAAGTCCGGCGCAAAGCCTGCCCAAAAGCCCGCCGCTGCTGCTCCCAAGAAGATTGGACGCAAGTGAGGGAGTTACCTTGCGATAATTCTACACTACTGCCTTGTATAATTAACCGCATACCGTTGACGTGAATTAATGAACAAGAGACGATTACTGTGGTGGGAGAAACTAAGTATATGACGAGCATGCAATGAGATTCAATGAAATCAAATCAGAATCTCCTTAGGCATCACACAACTGGGGCTGTTCTCGAAAAATGGCTTCTCCTGAAAAAACTACATCGCAAAGAAGATCGAAGGGTAATAATAATAGATCAAAAGCACCCTAAACTGGTGCCCATCCCTCCTTCGTCGCTAGTGCTAGTGCTTGATGAAGATGGCGATGAAAAAGGGTGATGGTGATCTGCTCATCGAAGGACTTGTAAGTGAACCGTTAAGAGAAAAATAAAGTGAAGAAGCGTACATTGATGATGAGCAAGTGGTGTTGTCGCGGGTGCTCCTTTAGCACTCAAGCGACGACGCAGTAGGCGTTGTTGCCGCTTCCACCGGTCTCCTCGTTGGTGGGGACAGAAGTGGGGAGGGAGACGTTGGAGAAGGAATCCATTTGAAGTGATTGGTTTGGTAGTTGCGAGTGAGTGCGACTGAAGAATCCCCGCCTTCCTTGCCCTCCTTTTATACCCGCCAGGACCACCCAAGCTCGTGCCCTTCCTTCCAAGGACAGCGAGTACGAAGCCGGCAAAGCGTACAGGCAGTGTCTGACCTCATCGTCGATCAAAAAGGCAATGACCAAGAACGTCTAATTTGTGGGCAACAATAAGGCTCAACAATAAGACAATTGTTTTTTCCGAAGAACAGAGGAGAGAGCTAGCTCTGAAGGACAATAAAAACCCTAACTTTCAAATCCTACATGGCCCGAGCAGCAAAATACACAAGGTGTGTAGGAGGTTGTTCCGGTGCCGACAAGGGGAGTTTGTGTGCACTGGCCGCATGATCGGTCTGCTCGGACGAGAAGGATACGGCCAGGAAGAAAAGACAAAAAGAAATGTCAAACATGCCTCGAAGGCCCCTCGGGGCCCGAAAATATAGGGGAAAATGATAAGGCGATGGTTAGAACGAACAACATTCCAACGACAGCTACGCCCAAATACCACCGTCCAGTGTTGCATTACCCCACAAGATCCTTTTCCACAGCAAAAGAGGTGCAGATACCAAATCACTTTCGAACTGGTGCATCAGTCTTGAGTTCCCTGCCCACTCATCGAGTACCGGCCGCGGCCCGAAGGCCGTTCTTCAACAATAAACGAGAAAGAACCCGAGCACAAACAGTCTGCACCCTCAAAGCAAAGCGCTCTAACCTCCTTCTGTGGTACTCATCTCGCAATTCAATTGTAAACAAAAACATTCCGGAAATTAATCTCCCCACTGCATGAGCGTTCGGCGTCCTTGCGATCCACTTCAGCCGGTTCCGCTTGCAGCAGTGGGGGCTGCAGGCAGGGGTTGAATGTCGGCCGTCAGAGCATTGCCGTTTGATCAGGCGCATATTGAGGAGCAGGGGACCACGCAGCAAGAGGGCTCCAGATAGTCGGCAAACATTATGGAAACTAGAAGAGAGTCAATGTCCAAGCACTTTAGCAAGCGAACCTCTCGAAAGACTTGAGGGGACCCGAATCAAAAAAGGAATCAAAAAGCACACAGAAAAAGTCTTGAACAAAACAATGCAGTTGGGTACAATACAAGGCAAAATGGGAAGAAGAGGAAATGGAACAGATGAACGGAATCAAGATCTCGAGACATTCTGGTATTGCGCCGGTTGGTCTTCGTAGGTGACCTGGAATATCCGGTCTTTCTCTTCCACCATGTACCTGTCAGCAGCACGCGTCAGTAATTGAGAGAGGAAGCAAGGAAAAGGCCTGAGACGTACGCCATGAGCTCGTTTGAATAGTCGCGAATGAGGTTAATCGAATCTGGGTCCAGCGAGGTGCTCGCAATCATTTGTGGGAGGCTCACTGCCACCGAGGGGAGGAATGCAGTCAGCAAACATTCTAAAGCCGACCCAAGGGAGAATTCACTCACCCAGCATCCGTAGCAAGTGCTCCGCGCCATAAATCAAACTCATCTCCTTCTCCTGCCCAACAATTACCTTGGGGCCTGTCCAGTACTGCCTTCTGATGCCAGCATATTGTACCCGCTCAAAACGGTAGAGAAGGTTGCTACCCAGCGCACGATCGAAGTACGCTTGTACGCCATCGACGTATGTTTGGATGACGTGGTCGGGCTCTTTCAGGCTGGACGGGCGGACGAGTGCGATGTCAGAAGTCGAGGAAGGCAGGAGGAGCATGCAAGCGCAAAGGGACGCACTGGGCTGGTTTGGTCCTCCTGACGTGGTCGGCGAATTGTTGAAGGACTTCGGCGACATTAGGTGTACGTGGCAGAATCAGAAGCTGAGATAAATCGCGGATTAGTGTCACTCGTCGTTCACTGTGTGGAGGCAAGGAAGGGAGCGATGCCTGAAGTAGGATGCACCTGGTTGTTTTTCGTCACAGCCTCCCAATCATCCACCAGCTTGACTTTCAGGATCTCAGGAATGTTCAGTTTCATCTCCGGCTTTTTGCTGCTTTCATCCTGCCAGCCAAGACATCCAACGAGAAACCGTCAGCAGCGACGGACAAAGAGCCAGACATCTAAGCAGAACATACCTCCTCTCTCGCCCGCTTCGTGCCCCTCGTCCCATCTTTCCTTGCCCCCGCTCTCGTGCTGACGCTATCCTTCACCCCAGCCGTGCTCTTGTTCGTCGCCTTTGATGCAGCCCCACCGGTATGCGACGCAGGGGCGTTCGTCAGCGCAAGCTGCTTCTGCAAGCCCAGGTTCTGCTCCGTCATCTTCAAGAGGCGCGCCGGGGGCACCCATTCGTCCCATCTGCAAGAGCGAACCGTTAGCAAATGAGCACCAACGTAAAAGAGGTTGGTTGGAGGATGCAGAACGGCGATGGGGAGACCCAGAACCGCCTACAGGCAGATGAGCAGACGAGCAAAGCGCCGAAACTCGAGCGCCAGCAAAGAGTGAATATGAACAGAAAAGTGCGACAAAGACTCACGTCTGCTTCCACCCCTTGTAATGAACCAAGTAGTGTGGACCAGTGTAGCCCGTAATCGGGTGCGGGTCTTCGAATATCTTCGTCTTCATCACCTTCGCCTCGTAGATGAGCGGTCCGTGGAAGCACAAAACGCGCTCCTGGGCAACGTAGGTCGGATAGTTCGTTGATGAGGCGGCTGCTGCCATTTTTTGCGGGTTCGCGGTTACTCTTGCGGTGATGTTTGGAGTTCTGCTTGCTAGGACGGCTCGGGGCCGGCGAGAAGATGATGGTGCAAGAGCAAGCCTGGTGCAAGCGAGCAGCAGGCGCAGGTCAGGTTCGCGCCACAAGTTCTGGCCGCCGTTCAAACGGAGGCAGCCACAAACAAAAGTTTAAACCTGATGAAAAAAGGGTTTGTGTCAGTCTGAGGGTCAATATATGCGCCTTTTTTGACGTACGAGAAGCTATCAACACGCTATCTGGCGTGACAGGAGAGAAAATCCAAGCAGCTGAGGGATGGAGGTGGTGATGGCGGAAGACAAGAGCGATTCTGTCGGAGTTTTTTGCGCTCGAGGTTCACTTGCTTTCATGATCTTGATACTAGAGTCTTACGCACAAGCACAAGAGAACGAACATATGGGACATATATATACATCATAGATGATCATAGGAGGGGCATATGTGGAGTATCGAACTCAAACCGCGCTGGCGCAAACTTCAACAAGAAATTCATCTAAACGAACACCCAGAAGTCAAAAAGGACTCGATGAAAGAGAGAATGAACGAAAAATGGATTTCTATAAGACATCAATAGCATATACATAGTACAACGACTACACCCAAAATGAAGAGAGAAAAGAGAGTTAGAGTACCTGAATGCAACTTGAAGAGTGCCTGTGGATAATGGAAGAACGGAATGCAAATGCAAGAGCGTATGATAAATGGATGAATGGTTCGATGATTATAGGTAGGATGGCGACAGCAATAAGCAAAGCAACGACATAGCGAAGGGAATAATTGTGTGGTGGTATTGAATGCGAGAAGTGTCAAATGCTAGAATGAGCATGGAAGAGAGAAATTGGAAGAAAGATGCGAACGTCCTCAGCAGAAGGGTTTGGAAGACGAAGGACCACGAAAGGATGGGCGCGCCCTACATCTGTGAAACTGTCGTCAGAACATCGAACCCAGCCGCATGGGAGAGGAAAGATCATACCAGCCAACAAAAAGCAAAGGAGGCCAGAAGAACCAACACTCTTCAGGGCCATCCTCAACAACACAAACACAACGTTGTCACACGAGGAGGCAACTCGGAGGGACGGGTCAAGACAAATAGCGCGCAAACGCGGGAAGAAAAACAATTGCAAGCCGCCCCAGAAAGCACCTTCCCGCCAGAACGCCAGGACGTAGGCTGCGCGTCATGGTCATGGGGTACGTGGGTTTTCTCGGCTGCGTGCATACACACGAGCCTAAGGTGGGGGGATGACAAGGTACGCATGTATACTGCAATGCCGTGTCGAGTCGTGGGTCGCGCTTATTCATAAGCGGTTCGTCAATCGTCGACGGGGACGTCAACGTTTTGCCGGCATGAGGACGATCTGCAGGGTGCCTTATCCGAAGGAAAAGAGAAAAAAAAGGAAAATCAACATCTTAATAAAGGAACCAGGGAAAGGAAGCCGACCCACCAATCGGTCCATCCGCCTGGCTACCCAATCCTTACCTCCTCCTCGCGTTGCACGCCTCACAGTACCTCCTGCCGCCAGTGCCGCTGCCCTCACTGATGCTCCGCCGTCCTCGGCTTCCATGAGCATGGCCACCCGCATTTTTCGGCTGTTCGACGGTCCAATCATAGTCGCCATCATACTCGACCCCAACACGCTCCGCAAGCCCTCTAAACAGTTTTCGCAAGCCCTCATAATCCGGAAGGTCGTCGAACTCCAGCGACCGTGCATAGCGGTAGAGGACGTCGAATTCCGGCGGCAGACCGAGAGTAAGGAGGTCTTCGTTCGCGATCTTCGCGTCGCGGATCAGGTCCCAAGTCGCAGAGACCGGGTTGTAATGCTGCCGGAGGTGTTCTTGTTCGGAGGGTGACACAGAAGGGTGGGAAGGCGGTTCTTGTGGTGCTCGGATTTTCCGCCACGGTAGCGTGCCGCGGAGGAAGTAAATAAGCATGTAGGCTAACGACTCGAGGTCGTCGCGCCGCGAGGATTCTGTGGCACAAAGGGGCGTGTCAGTCGTGATTGGATTCTGTCTCCACCGCAGGCCGGTCTAGACCGACCGAACGTGAAGAGACAGAGCAGAAGGGCAGCAAGACTCACCGACACCCAAATGCGTGTTGATAGCAGCAAAGAGCGACGTGCCGACGCCGTGAAAGTCATCTTGTTTGTACGGGATGTGCATCGACGTCTTTGAGTCGCGAAATTTCTTCGCGAGCCCGAAGTCGATGACATTAACCATGTGCGCGGCCTTGCCAGTGCCCATGACGAAGTTTGCGGGTTTAATGTCGCGGTGGACGATCGAATTTGAGTGGATGAACTCTATACGCGATATCTGATGAAAAGGTACGATCACATCAGTACCTCGTCACACGAGAACACACGAGTAGGACGCGAGTAGGACGCGATGCCATCAACCGCCTCTAATGTCGCGGAGAAAGAAGGAGAATTTGTCGCAGAATTGGCGCGCAGGTACTCACCAGTTGATCAGCTAACAGCAATACCGTCTTCAGGGAAAAGTGGCGATTGCATCTTTTGAAGAGATCCTCAAGGGATGGGCCCAGGAGGTCGATTATCATGACATTATAGTCTCCCTTCCTCCCTGACCACATAATCCAAGGCACACCAGTGCCGCCCATAAGGGTCTTGTAGATCTTCGACTCCTGCTTGAGGGGAGAGTGCTTCGCCACGGCCGGCTCTAGCTTGATGGCGACCTCTTTGCCAGCCACCGTGTGCACCCCAAGGAATACAGAGCCTATACAGCCAACCCGGCGGTGTCAGGACGAGGTGAATGAAAAACGTGTAGTGGCCATAAACGACGCACCACAACCCCCATTGGCAATCTCCTCTTCAAGGCGGTACTTCCCGCCAAATGTCGTGTAGTCCGTCGAGTGCATCGAGCTCGCCGGTCGGTAGATGTCGTCGGGGCTGGTCGGGGACGCAAGCGAGGCGTGTCCAGCGTGATGAAGGGGGGTGAAGGACAAAAGGGAGCCGGAAATAGGCCACCAGGTTAAAGGGAAAATGAACCACCAATTCGTCCAAAAGCAGACGCCTCTCGGTGATTAGTCAGCCTTCGGCATCTCGGCATTTCTGTTCTGGGGATAATCTTGTGACGGCATGTCACCTTCTTCACGACAGAAGTCACACAGAATTTACGTCACACGTGCTGCAATCCTTTTCTCTCGAACTTCTATCCCCTTCCAAGTCATTCATGTCTGACGTTTTGCAGACAGACTGCATACGCAGCCGGTTTGGGATTGCATTCTCAACGGCTCAACGGCAGCCTGGTCTGGATGATTTGGCGCTAAAATTCCTTGTCATCGGACCCACAGAAGGTTCTGATCGTTCATCTCAGGTGCCCTGAACCCATTACGACTCCGAGCTTCCCTTCAAGACCTGTATTGCACCTGTATGACGCACTTGGGCGCAGAAACGGAACTTCTGCCCGTCAAGTGGGAACTTTCGACATCGATCCCCAGAGTCTCTTTGACAGCTAGGAAGTGTGATAATCTCACACTAGCCCCTCAAATTCCGCGACTTTGCGCCCCGGATCTTCTCTCGACAGATAATCGTGCAAGCCACGAGGCGCGCGGAAATAGACGAATGAAGAGTCTGCACTACGAAATACACAAAATGCCCATCAAACGGTGTCGAGAAATTCGTGAAGACGAAATTTGCGACTTGCGTTAGTAAGAAGAAACACCATCTCAAGAGTGACATCTGAGCGGGAGTCTTCCTTTTTGGCACTGAACACGGAAAACTTCCCGTGTAGATAGGCCGCTTTTCAGGTATGGGAAGTCAACAAATATGGAATTTCTGGCCTGATGTAACTCCACTTTCATCAGTTCCCAAGTCCTGAATTTCCAAAACTAAGAAATTATGAGACAGGCAAGGTCATCTTTATTCTCACTTACATACCTGATTTCAAAATAGTACACTATGTTAGTCATTTTGCTGGGTCGTTGGAACAGTGATCCCGAGCCTCGATGCTATGTGTGCAATCCATGACGCCTGGTCCGCAGCTTCCTTTTCTGAGTCGTCGTGAAGCCGACGATACGATTCACGGTCGGTCTCCGAGACGATGCCCAAAGAGTCAGGCCAGGCTGCACCACAAGTATACGAACACAGATCACCATCCGCGCCTATGTATACCAGCTGCAGGCCATATATGTCATTCAGCTCTGACATATCTTCCTGCTGATAAAGGAGGCCGATGTCCAGAACAGGAGGTGCCTGTCCTCGCTGCATCCTGGCCACGTAAAACCTTTTGGCAAAAGTGGAGAAAAACTTCCACTGGCAGTCCTGCAGCATTATTCGGCGCAGCGAAGGTAAAAACACTCCTTCGTTAGAGGACTCTGACTCGGCCAGGCGGTGGAGGCCTGACATCGCGAACCCATCCTGCCGGATCACGTTTACCCTGCTGAGCGCCCGGAGGAGGAGATGCAAGGCGGTCAGTGATTCAGGCCAGGCTTGGGACAAAGAGAAGAGCTTCGGCAGAACCAAGCATCGCGTCTGGCTGAAGTTCCCTTGCGCGAAGATGCGAAACAACTCTTCAACGAACCCATCTCGCATCTGGTCGGGGACACCGGTGAATGGCATACCGAAGTGATGGTCCATGAAAAGTCGGAAAACTGTGTTCCCTGTCGGGTCGTTACTGACGATATCAAATTTTCCTGTAGAAAAGGAGACGTCTAGTGATAGGTACTTTCCGAACTGACGGTTGGCGGCGAATTTTTGAACTACGTTCCGAAAGGCACGTAGGTCGGCTTCAGATTCAGGATAAGAAGTATCCACATGGAGGCGGCAAACGTCTATGGGGACGAAGGCTTCGAGTATGGCCGTGCAGTTCGCAGCACTAAAATGCAGCAGCGTTACGTCGTTGAGATGGAGGTGTTTGGCTGCAGGATGCGTCTTGAGGATGCTGTCGCCAACACGGTCGTCGTCTTTCCAATACACCCCCAGGTAAAGCTTCTTCAGATCCTGCATCGACTGGAGAACTACGATGAATTCGGATATCGACCACAGGGGGTAAAAGGTGTCGAGTTTCAACGTGTGCAGCGTGGCTACCCAAGGCGCATGGAGCGAGAAGGTGGCGCCGGACGAGTAAAAATGGCGAATCTTCGCAGCTGAATGGGTAAATGAGACGTCGACGTTTTCGAGCTTCAGCTTGAAATATTCCAGCACGTCCGTCGGATTTCGAACAACAGCTGCCCTGGTGCTAAACCTTCGACGGTCGGCCCTGACGCTCATCCACTTTTTGTTGCAGTCAACGTCAAGCTTCCGGATTCTTCCCCAGTTCTTCTGGATAATCTTCGATATGAAGCGGAGATATCTTGACACCAGCTCTGGGTTGCTCTCCAGTATCTGGCATGGTAATAGGCGATGTCCTTCGCGCCGCGCCCGAATGTGAAGGAGAGCATCCTGCGTTCGGGAGAGGACCTCGGCGGACCAGTCCTGGTGAGATACGAATAAAATGTCAATGTCGACGATGCGACCCCAGAGAACAGGTGCTGATAGGATGACCCCACGCCACACCGAGCAAACTTGCGAAGCTCGTCGAAGAACCGATAGCGGGTGAGCAAGCAGATATTCGGACCTGAAATTGCCTTGCTCAGATATTGAGAAGGAACTAGGCGAAGGGGAAGTCATACCGCGATTGCATCGTTGACGTTTGTATCGGCGAAGAACTGCGATTCAGAGGCTTCAAATAAGGCGTGTGTTCCTCTTGTTCATCTTCTGTATCCTCATCTTCATAGAGGGCTGGGTACTTAGAGAACCCTTCAACGTCATCCTCATTAATCCCGTAGTATTGGTCTAGATCAGCATTGAGAGAGAATATCGAGTACAAGAGGTCTTGAGAAAGGGACGAAATTGGGGAGAGACTCAGAAGCATGTGGCACGTGATTTATAAATACCTGTTCTTTGGGCGAACGCAACTAATATGGCGGGCATCAAGAGACGGCCAAGATAATTTGAAGTGAAGACGTTCGGTGTGGTTCATGGCTGTCATTGGCTGGTTCATGGCAATGGTGCACCCGGTCCGGTGTACCGGACTTTCGACGAATTACGTCAGCATCTCTGAATACGCGTCCCGCTTGCGCGTCCATCTTCAGCTCTTCGTAACTTCTACTTAACCATGGACCACTTTCCGACAAACTGGGGCAGGCCTGTGAGTTATTACTTAGATGGCATATCGAATTGATACATGTTGCCTTGCAGAGAAACGATGCCTTTGACGCGTACGGGACGTACCCTATCCACCAACGACCGCAGAACGGGCCCAAAGATGCGTTTGTAGATGGTGTTCAGCGTACTCAGTGCGTGGATCTTAGAGAAATCTGGTTTAATTGGTCCTTGATTACGATTTAATTGACCTCGCAGACAACCCATCGTAACAGGAACGAGCGTGCTCGCTATCAAGTTCAAAGACGGAATCATGATGGCAGCGGACACCCTCGGTTTGTCTCCCGTCGTTCTTATCCAATCTCTTCTCAATGCTTCCCTATACACCTATCAGCATCCTACGGCTCCCTCGCCCGCTTCAAAGATGTCCAGCGCCTGTTCCCTGTGGGCGACAACACCGTTATCGGTGCAGGCGGGGACATGTCCGACTTCCAATACATCCAGACACTGCTCGACGGGCTCACGATCGACGAGTTCACAGCGCAGGATGGGCACACGCTTGGGCCCGCTGAGATCCACGAGTACCTCGCGCAGGTGATGTATGCGCGCAGGAGCAAGATGAACCCCCTCTGGAATGCGCTGCTTGTGGGGGGTGTGAAGGACGGGAAGAAGTACGTCATTGATTTATTTGAATGTGTTAATGGGTTGATGAGGGTAATGTGCAGGTTTTTGGCGTTTGTTGACCTGTTGGGCACGACGTACTCGGCGTCGACGCTCGCGACGGGGTATGGAGCACATATCGCGCAGCCCCTCCTGAGGAAGGCGGTTGAGGGATATGAGAACGTGTTGACGGAGGAGCAGGCACTCAAGATCATCGAGACGAACATGAAGGTACTGTTCTATCGCGATGCGAGGAGTTTGAATAAAGTACGTCCTTTTTCTGCGACGCGTTATCTCTGTTGCTCATTCTACGGATACTTTCAGTACCAAGTAGCTATCATCACTGAACAAGGCGTCAGGATTTCGGAATCCAAGACCCTCGACACTCACTGGTCGTTCGCAGAGGGTATTAGGGGGTACGGAGCGCAGACGCAGTGATTCATTTCTTTTGACAATGTTAAATATGGCCTCAATTCTGATTCGCCAACCACCTTGTCCGTCAATTGAAAGCAAGCCGTCATATATCAAGCTGTCGCCCCTGGCAAAAGTTCTGGGAAGAACGAGCAATTGAGATAGAGAAAATCGACTACATATGATAGATATGATCAAAAATCGCTTGACGCTCGACGTCCTACGACCCACGACGATCCTGCAACTTCCGGATGTAAGCCTCGTTCGTTTTACTATACTCTTCCGCCCTCTGGAGGAGTCCCTCTGCGTTTAGTCTCTCAGCCAGGGCCCGAACTGAAAAAAGGAAATATGATCAGCAACAAGTTTGCGGAGGAAAATGGTGACCAGGGAGACATACTTCGCTCCAGAGTATCAGGATTGATGAGCTTACGATTGACGATTTGCCTCTGCACATCCTCGAACAAGTCCGTGACGCGCCAGTAATGCGAGAGCTCCAGGATGCTGAGGAGCAGATCCAGTGAGAAGTTGTCGACTACAAACCTGTTGGTGTAAATAAAATCTAAAATCTAAATTAGTAACCGCTATTTTGAGACGGGCAAAGTCAGACATACCTAACACCAAGCGAACACACTTGCGAGAGTGTCCGGAAACATTCAGCGGGATAGGACTTTCCGGCGATCCATCCAACGATTCCTCAAACCCAGAGGAGAAGGTATCCGCAAAATAGTCGCTCGACACAGCGAGGAACACCCGATGCGCAACCAACGATTCGTCCTCGTCCTCGTCCTGCTCATAACCAATAAACACAACATCAACGAGCACTTTCTTCCTCCTGAGCTCTTGGAAGCCATTGTACATCCCCCGAAGCTTGCGTGAACTGTCATCCGCCGCATTTTCGTTCTTCGGCATCGGCACCGGGTGGTGAACCTTGACCACGCCTGACGCAAGGAGGATTTTCTCAAACGGCTTCAGGAACTCCCTGACAGATCGGATCGAGCTGTGCTCATCGTCTGCATCGACGAACGCCAGAGAGTCGGCATTGTCCCACAGCCAGTTGGACGTCGTGGCAGGGTCGTCGACGTTGAGGAAGAGCTTCTCCTCACGCAGCCTCTCAATGACGCTCGCGGTCTCCTGGGGATTTTCTTGGAGGAAGCCGGCGTTGTCGTTCATAAAGCGATAGGTAGCTTCCAGGTCGTGCAGAAGGACCCGCCTCTGAGCACTGGAGACCTCGCGAAGGGATGCAAGGTAACAAAGGTGCGCCAACTAGCATCACATAACAGTCAGCCTCGTCCTTGCTTCGAGGGATAGGCAGGCACTCACCACTTCCGTGAAAGAAGGTTTGCCTAAACCGGGATGTGCCACCAGCACCCTCTGATGTGGCTGTTCGAGGAAGGATGCCCTCTGGCTCCAGGCTATCGCTTCAAACTCTTGTCTCACAAGCTCGTTCGGTGATACAATCTCCTCTAAATCCGTAACAGTATCCGGAATTTCCAAGCCAGGTTGATTAGCACCCTGCTCGAGGCGGCGAGAGTCCTCCATTCGCCTTGGAACAAATGCGAGGTCGTCTAGCAGGCGCCAAGAGGTCTGGTCGTCGGCCGCAACGCGCAACGGGAGTTGGGTGCAATATGTATCGAAAAGAACAACGGCGCGAGCGACTCGGTCCTCACCTTGGGTTAAATCGCGTGAAGCCACGCAATCCTGGAATATCATCGCGTCCAAGTCGTTCTCGTTTCTAAGTCCATGACCAGATAGCTTCGGCTCAAGGTCTCGGAAATCAGGATGGACGAAGTTGGGCGAAGCGTCACCAAACGCGGCTAGGAAGAGCTGATGTCGAGCGTAGAGGTCGTTGGAATACCTAATCGTGAGGTCCGGTGTGGGAATTTGTATCGGATCCGTGCTCGAGTTGGGCAGATTGATGAGCCAGATCTCGAGGAACCGTTTGTAGGAAGTGAGCTGTTCTTCGTTCAACGAGGCGGGCAGGGCTAGGTAGTTTTGAATTTCGGAGAACGAGATGCTCGGCCCTTTCAGGTGTTTCAGACTCGGCGAGCTAGAAACAGGGACATTCAAGAACTCGGCAGCAACCTCTCGACTCAAGGCGTCTGGCAGACAATGGACTGCAGAAGCAGAGCGGAGTTCTGTTCCACTTCCAGAGAGGGCAGACATCCAGATGGGAAGCTCTTGTGCGACCGAGAGAAGGTCGTCCTGGATGTTGGGAGCAACCTCATTTCGGGCCCAAGTGGCAAATGCATCTGCTAAGCCCGGTTCCAACTGGCTGAATTTGTCCGGGATAAGATCTTGGAAAGAGGAAATCCTGGACAAGAACGTTTCGAACTTCAGTGGAGGAAACTCTGGCAACTGAAGGATCGAGCGAAGGGCAGGCGGCGTAGGATCATCGTCTGGTCGGATAACATCCACGCCAAGAGCGTTCAGAATGACGCGCACTGCGACCTTCTCTCTCGCGGTGCCAGCAACGATTAACACGGCACCACTTTTGCATTGTTCAAGGGAGACGCAACGACCTTGCTGGAGCGTCGGCACTACAGCATACTGTGAAATGTCAGCATACTTCAGCCCAAGTCGTTCGTATTCCTCCCACGAGGTCCAGAACTCGTCGACCCATTCATCTGCGTTAATGGAGCTAATAATATCCCCCACGTCCCCGAATGATAAGTTAAAGAAACGTTCTTCGAAAAACTGCTTCATGCCTGCGGGGTCAAGAGGGCCAACATTGAGATCCAATTTCAAGAGGTCTTTAGCCTTGAACTTGGGATGGACAAAATGTCGCGGATCGAAGTTGTGAGGCTTTCCTGTAGTTTTGGGTTTCCAAACAAAGTAGCGCGACTGCCAATTCTTGTCTCCAATCGTACCGAAAGTCCCATCTTCCAGAGGAATAAGCTGCAACCCTAAGACATGCCCTGCCGATTGTCCCTTATCCGTAAGATATTCCACGATATCTTCGATAATTTTGAAATCTTCACTGAGTTCGTCGGTTATCCAAGTAGTTCCTCCGCGCAAAATCTCCTCTTTAACGAAAGCAGGATCCACCCGCGCGAGTCCCGCCTTTATCGCGAGCTCGCGGATTGGACCGGGCAGGGTGACAATGTTCGACGATCCAAGGAGGGAAAGGGCTCGTTTGACGCTGGGCGGTTCATGTTCCGAGAGCACAGTGATTTGCGGGGTAAGAATGACCAACGGACCTATCGCACTGGAAAAGATAGAGCGAGTCGATGTCTTCAATTTTGAATAAAACCCATCTACAACCAAGCGAGAGAATGTGTCTTCCTTGCCTCTATCCAAGCCCGGAAATAAGGGCCTGACATCTCGTATTTTGATAAGTTGCTCCAACGCGAAGAAATACAGGTCCGGTACAACGTGTGAGAGGAGCCAAATGTTGTATTCGGACTCTGGATTGCCGTACTCGTCATGTCGAATTCCCCTACGATCAGGAGATAGGATGAACGGCGCGGAAATATGCATTGGCAAAGACGTTGTCATCCCAAGTGGTAAAATGGCGAAAAACTGGAAGGGTGTGTTGGAAACAGGGACATTGCACGGGATCGCCATTTGTACGACTAGCATCCTCTTCGTGTCTTGAATCGCTAGTACTTCGCTGGGTATCTGGTCTCTTGCAACAGACCTACTAACGACCTTCCACGAGGTTGTGCTTGATAGACCTCTGATGTTCACATCAATTCGGCGGTGCATTCCTTCTGCTGATTGTTCAGTGCGCGTAGCGTGAAACTGCCACGAGACATCCTCTATGCCGCCTGCATTGCGCAATCGAGCATCGATGACCTCTATCTTTGTGAAAAAGAGACAATTCGGTGCCAGGTCGCGGAAATAGTCGTGTACCTCGTGTTCAATCTTGCCAACATCCCAGAAGTCTGTGAAGATGACCGAGTCTACAGCCCCTGCGCAATGCTCCATTTGTCGAAGCGGAAGGATGAAAATTGTCTATCGAGTGAGAATGTGAGCCTCGTAGCATCAATAAGATGGATAGAAGAGGGGAGAGACTTGCGCCATTGTATTCATCGGTGGAGTTCAAGTCGAACCCGAATAAACCATCTATACAAGCAAAATGAGCGGGATAAAACCTAAGAGCATGTCTGGGTTTTAGATGACTTTCTGAAACGCGACAGGTTGACACTTACTTCCGAACATAACTCAGACTCAGTAGCATGGCATGCTCGGATATTGGGAGATGCGCCTTCGATGGATTGATGAAAAGAACCTGCAACCCTGATACTATGATGGCCAACTGGGGGTAGATTTGTCAGGATCGGATAGAGCAGAATGTACAAGCACTCACCTCCGTGAAGTAAAACATGGTCAGGGCACCAAGACCGAACCGGCCAATAGTGTCTGCCTGGCTAGCTTTGCCCCCTATGCTGGTCTCACAGATCCCCTCGAAGTCCTTTGCCGAGAACATTGCGTTGTTGTAGACAATGAGCGAAGGGCAAGTACAGAACGAAGCCATTTTTTGCGAAAGGGCGTGCTGACCTTCGAGATGTCGCGGATAACAATCGTTCGCAAGGAGCGCAAATTGTGTCGCGTGGGCGTCAGCGGCATTCGCCAGGAATTCGGTGGGAAACTGCTTAATATTGTAATGTTGGTTGAGGTTCTTACGGACTGTAGTGACAGGAGTTTCGCCCATCCTACGGCCTAGAGGTATCTGAAGGTCGGCGTATTTTAGACCAAGGCGCTTTATGCCGAGTCTCTGCGCAAGTGATTCATCAATGTCCGGATGAGCGATTGAATCAGCATCTGGAGGGAGTAGCTTGGTGTTTTCTCCTATATCATTGTACAGGACACTTGCAAGGGAGCGCAGGCAGCCCCTGGAATCAGGGATGAGGATCGTGGATCGTTCTTCATCTGGAATTTCCTTAGGCAGAGACCGCAGAAGGTTGCAGACAACTTTCAGCACTACTGGCGACAGATGCTCGCCCTGCTTGGATTCATATGATCTCAATCTTGCGTTGATGGCTGTGACCGAAGGTCTAAATTTCTGTTATTAGAGACTCCATAGAAGAAGAAAAAAAATGTTTCGCCCACCGATCTTGACACCCCAATTTTCGCAGAAGTTGTTCAGCATTAGGGCTGATATCAAGGATATGACTGAATCCCGAATCGGGGATCGGGTCCATGAAAGTAGCGTACATCGCGTCGGAAAGCTCCTTGCCACGGTTCGTAGTCGGCACCCACTTCCTGTCTTTCGTGACCGCCTTTAGAATCTCGATATGCTCATCGTAGTTGCGAAGGCTGAGCTCTTTGATGACCTCGACAACACAGTCAAAGGTATCTCCGCACTCGCCGAGCACCTTGTCAAGTTGGCGGATCAGGACATCGGTTTCGACGAATTGGTCCCAACCAAGTGCTGACTTCAGCGACGCTGGAATTGAGTATCCTTCCACGAGGGCGAGGACGCGATCGAAGAGGTAGCGAGAATGCTGGATCGCATCGCGGCATTCCTTGGGAGAACGAACGCCATGGGCAGTCGGCAGCCAACATTCCTCTCTGTCCAGGGCCAACTTCGAGAAATCCAGATTCGTTTTGGCAATGAGAGACAGCAGGGCATGTGACAGGGCCAATGCATCAGCTGAAGAATGGTTTGCTGAAAGGTATCCGATGCGCTCTTTGACGACCTCGAGAGTCAACTTGGCCTTCATAAGATCCAAAGACGCAAGGGATTTGACAATGGCCTCCTCAGATCGGCTCTCCATTCGAGGTCGATCTTTGCGTCCGTCGAACAGAGACGCGATCGTTGACTGTGGATTGACAACCTCGTCAGGCCGACGCAGAGAGCCGTCGAGGACCCGTACGAACTCTGTACATTTGATGTTATCAAGTAAGTAAGGAGGGATTTTTGACTTATTCTGGACGACGAAAGCCAGTGCGGCTGCCTGAAGTTGAGGTGATTGGGAGGTGAAATCATTGATTGCCAACTCGAGGAGTTCGATGTTGGTGAAGGACGCAGGTTTTTCGGGTTCGAGATGCTTCAGGAGGTTGGGTGCGATGCTATTCAAGCCCACGAAGATGAGGCCGTCAATGATGGGAACGAAGGGTGGCCTGTCACTGATCGACTTGACTACTCGGCCTTCCGGGATGCTTGTCCACACGGTTTCAAGGTCAGGAGCGACGTTACGTCCAGTAGACAGCCCGAGGACAGGGTATATGGGCAGTTGCCTCAACTTTCGACGTTGGGCATCGCTGAATTGGCCACGCGCATCGTATGATGAATTGACCGACTGGGCGAGGAGTTTGAGGATCATAGTACAGTCGTTTGCTGAGAACACGGGGCTTCGGTCCAAAGGAATGGAATTGAGGAGGGCGTGGATGTCGATAATACGCGTCAAGAGTCCGTAATGCATAAGCACGCTGTACGCGCTGATGTCGAAGGCCTCATCCAGGAAAGGAACTCCCAAGGACGAAAGGGGTTTCACGAAAAGCGGACTTTCGTTTCTCGCTTGGAACAGAGGTGCTTCTGCCTTTCTGAGGCCATGCATTGAGGGAAGCAAGAACAGGTGGCATATCTGGGGAAACAACTCCATCTTGCCCGGATACTTGTTCATCCACACCCAAAAGTTGGAAAGCCACTTGGACGCACGAGGATCCGTTCGCGCGACCGACAAATCGAGGCCGAGTCGATTGGGGTACAATGTCAGGTAGTGGATGATGCGTGGAACTTGGAGTGCTTCGACGTTGAGCTTCTCTGGTGCGGTGTGGAACGTCGATCGTGCAACCATAGGTATCTTTTCGAGCGGAATGGCTTCGTCGTCGCATGAACCGAAGGCGTCGAATTCTTGACGCGTCAGGATGGTGTAGATCTTGCTTGCTTGAGGACCGGCTAGCTCCAGAGACACTCGGATACCGCTGGCAAGCGGCACAAGCGGAAGGCCGACTAAATTCAGGACCTCTCTAGTGGAGAGTAAGTACTCTAAGATAGTGTTGAGTTCCTTTTCGGAAGCTTGAGCGAGCACATCCAGATGTTTCTAAAATCTCGTCAGCGCGAATTCATCAGGAAAAAGCATAATCACGTACTCGTAAATAGGTATTGGCGACTTCCGGAGTTAAAACAGCGTTTCTACCATGAGCTTTGATGAGATCGAAAACATATCGAGGTGGGCATGTCAGCTGCAACCCGATCTTGGTCAAGGACCGGAGAACTGTATCCAACGTGCCAGGCTCCACTGTTATCAACTGGTCCAAGCTTTCATAGACAAGAGGCATCTCATGGTTCTGCCGAAAGACTGGCCAAACAGACGCCTGCGTGTCGAGAACAGACCTAAGGAAGTCCTTCGCGAATAAAGGCGCATATAGGCCAATGTTCCCGCTAGCAGCTTGGGATGGCGGCCACAGCGTAAACACATTCGCCACATTATCCAAACAAATGGCGGTTTCCATAAATATCTTCCATGCCTCAGGTATGTATCTGTTGAACAGCAGCTTGTTCCACTCAATCAAGATGCTGCAGGGCCAAATCAGATGACAGAAAAATGTAAGACGGTCGCAAGCTGACTTACTGGTCGGTGGTGCCAGGATTGACTCCGATCTCGCGAGGATTGCGAAGTTCGTTCCGCTGGCGATTGATCGCGAACAAAGCATGGATGTGCACAGGGTATCTCGTGAATACGGGTAGCGGAAGGTAGGTAAACAACCTCGTCGATACCGAGTCGGGACGTTGAGCGCTGACGTCCGCGGCAATTCCAATTTCTGGAAGTAGTTTGTGCTCCTGGAGAACGCGGTCCAACACGCCGTCTGTGTTTCCGGAGGATGTTGCGGATAACCGTTGCACGGCTTCGGCTTGAGAAAACGTGGATCGCGATATACGCCATGTCTTTTCATGCGTAACACCCTTGTGTATCGTCATTGTCGTCGCCTTATGTGTATGCATCCCAGGCGTCGAAGTTGCTTCTGATCTTGCCATGGACAGTTTGGCTAGACAGGTGGCTTTGCCGGAAGAGTCGACGTCGTGAATTTCGATCTCCTTGATGTGGGATAGGAAGAGCAACAAAATGTCGAGTTCGCGTTCGATGAAATCAGTGAAAAGTTTGTGGATCTGAGCGGGAGAAACGACTTGATTGCTAATGCGGCTTGGAGTCTTTCTCAGTGGGCATCTGACGACGGTCCCCTTGAAACAGGTTCCTGTCCAGTTTGGCTCCCAAAACCATTCAAAGGGGGCCAACTGCCCATGGAAGTTCGCAGCAACTTCCATGACATTGAACTTTGCGCCTGGTCGATCCATATGGGCGTACAAGGGGTCGAAGACAGCCAAGAACTTGTCCGAGAGGACTTGGGGACAATCTGTGATCTAAAGACATTTTCAATCGCTTCTCATCACAAGTAGAAGAACATGAACGTACATGAAAAACTGAACGAAACCCGACACCATATTTCCCTATTTTTCTGCGACGAGTTGGCTGTGGGTCCCAAAAATGAACCATGAACCAGGACTTACGAGGAATCATCAACTTTGGAGGATTCGTACTGGTTCTTCAGCGCTTCCCAATCCTCCGGCTTGAAGACAGCATCGTTAAACGCCAGGAGCGCAGGTCCTTGGGCGTCTGCGAGTTTCGGGTGATACAACCTCTCACTCGAGTGCGTACGACGATCCAGAACAAAAATCTGAGGGGACTTTCGGACTCCGTTGGACCGCAGTAGTTGGGTTCAGACACACCTGCTTCGATGCCCCAGCATCATCTGAATTCTGCAACAACTCGCGAAATATCCCAACAGAAAATATGTAGTCGTGCAGAATAGCACGGAGTGAGGCGATAGGGGATGTCCCCTGAGCGTAGGGCTCATCCGTTTGGGCCATCAGAGTCGAATCAGGGTCAACCTCGAGTATAGGAGCCACGGCACGCGTTATCTATCGATATCTTCTTGTGTTCGTACCGAAATGCCACAGGCGCTAAAACGCAAAACAGCCCGCAGATGGCGTTTGGGTTACTGCAGTTGTGTTTGGACAGAGGAGATGGATTCTGGAAGTTGGAACAGTCGAAATCTGGACGAATGGTGAGTACTTGAGTATTGGTAGATGAGGTCCGTGGAGAGATGTCTCTGAGGTGAGGATTCGCAACCTGAGTCCCATTACAGCACGACGGTGATTCTTCCACGATGGACACACTGTTTTTGGATTTAAGCTTCTGTACGGCCTCGGATTCGGAGGCAACGGAAATTAGACAAGATAATGCTGGTTTCCATCTGGGATAGAGAGTGCTGCGATTCTCGTCTGGCTTGGATGCATATCCCGAATCGATGGTCAAGTTGAGGAGCAACAACTCTGGCGAACTGACCACAACCAGAGGGGAACGTCGGGACTTTTAGGCGGAGATCGAAATCGGCATGCACTTCATCCGGACCGCTTTTCCCTCTCTTCACCCGCATCCCCTTCACTTCTCTATTTCTTCCCCTAGTCTGCTGGTAGACTGAACTACAACGCGTCCCAGCTCAATGTCATTCCGCCAAACATATCCTCTCCTCTCCCAAAAGTCCAAATCCAAATCCGCCGCCTGGGCCGCGCGCCAGCACCGTGACCCCTTCGTCAAGAAACGCGTCTCCGACCCGCTGGCCTTCCGCGCGCGCTCCGCATTCAAACTCCTGGATATCAACGACAGGTGGGGGCATTTCCTCGACCAGCCGGACGTGCGCTCTGTTGTTGACCTCGGTGCAGCCCCAGGCGGATGGAGCCAGGTCGTCGCGAGCAAGTTTGGGTGGACGCCGACGGCGCTTGAGGTTGCATACTTGGTGGGTCGGGGACTGAAGGAAGAGGCTCAGGGTAAAGAAGGAGAAACTGAGGGGGATTCCTCTGAAGAAATCTCCGATCCCGAGAATGAGGAGCCAAACCGGGCTCTAAGGAAACGGTGGAAGAAAAACAGACGAGCCAAAAAGTCAGAACCGGAATCCCTCATCCACTACGACCCTCTCAACATCGACGACTTCGCCTCCTTTTCCCCCTCCACCGGCCGCGGCAAGATCGTCGCGGTCGACCTCCTCCCCATAACCCCCATCCCTGGTGTGCAGACCCTCAAAGCCGACTTCCTCCTCTCGTCGACGACGACGCAAATTCAGCAACTCCTGGCAACCCCAGAGAACCCGCGCGGCAAGGCGGATGTTATCCTGTCTGACATGGCTGCGAACTCATCGGGGAACGTCACGCATGATATCCAGTCGAGCCTTGAGATCTGCGAGGCGGTGTTTGAGTTTGCTCGGTTTAACCTGAGATCGGCGGATAGTATTGGGAGGAGGAAAGGTGGGGTGCTGCTGTAAGTGTCCCTACCTTCTATACGGTGACTGCATCGATACTCACATCTTGTCTGCAGCATGAAGTTCTTTTCCCACCCTCTGCTCGAGAAGTTCCGCGTCGAAACCCTGGAGAGCTGCTTCAGCTATGTCTACTACGTGAAGCCGGAATCCAGCCGTTCAGAATCGCGCGAAGGCTACTTCTTGTGTCAGGGCTGGAACCCTTGAAGCATTCGTCACTGCTGCTTCGGTTCATTCTCCAAATCGACCCGATGTTGAACCAACAATTATCGCGACGGAACTTGGGCTGACTATCCATATGGCACCCTTCGTCCTTGAGCTGCTCCCAGCAGTCAGTTGGATACGGCCAGCTTCCCTTTCGAATTCTCTGTCAGAACCGATCGATTAGGCCGGGATACACCTTTGATGTGCTCCTTTGGACCAACGACACCTACTTCGATGGTGCTGCACGTTGTCCTTTGTACTAGTAGAGGGTGTAGACCCTCAACAAGCAGCTACCCACTGTTGCTATGCCTCCAATGCATGCAGTCCTCACCTACCACCTGAGCTCGGACAATCTCAATTGTGGATGTGACTTTCAGTGGCATGAGCTTCCTACCGAGACGACAGAATGGCCTCATCCCCCATGCCCACTCAATTACTCAATACGGTCACAACATAAGCTAGGAGGCAATATATCGTATTCGAGCAATATGAGCATACATGTTACACATCGAAAATAGCGAGCAGAGAAGATCCATAAACATAAAATGGGACAAGAACACAATGCACTAGAAGACATCCCGATCAGCCACATCCAACTCCGCGTCAATACAAAAGCATCACTTACTCCGCTTAAGCACCAAAACCATAGAGGGTGCGGCCAGAGCGCTTGAGGGCGTAGACGACATCGAGGGCAGTCACAGTTTTGCTGTCAAAGAATCTCGGTATCAGCCAAATACTCCCACACACCATGCCACGCCCCGCCACACACGCACGAGTGGCATGGACGAGGCTAGGTAACAACAAGGGTGCAAAGGGGACTCACCGCTTGGCATGCTCCGTGTAGGTGACCGAGTCGCGAATGACGTTCTCGAGGAAGATCTTAAGAACACCGCGGGTCTCTTCGTAGATGAGGCCTGAGATACGCTTGACACCACCACGACGGGCGAGACGGCGGATGGCGGGCTTGGTGATACCTATACGTCCCAAGAAGGGTCTTTAGCACATGGAAAGCCTGAGGTTGGGACCTAAAGACACGCACCCTGGATGTTATCACGCAAAATCTTGCGGTGACGCTTCGCACCGCCCTTTCCGAGACCCTAGACAAACGATCACACGCACGCCGACAACGACGGGGCACCTCTTGTCAACATCACCGCCAACTTCTCATTTAGCACCAAGTACCCACCTTGCCACCTTTGCCGCGTCCAGACATGCCTTGTTAAGTAACTTGAGGGGGTGTCGAGGGGTGTTGAGGAAGTGGTGGGGCTCGAGGAGCACGGAAGGTTGTGGAGATGATGGTGGTTGAGGAGAAAGCAGTTTGTTGATCAGCTTCGCTCTTAATTACCCTTGTTGCGCGTGTATTTGGCTTTGTTGACGCGTTGGCACGCGCTGCTGGTCAACGCGGTTAGGGGTCATATTGCAAGGTCTTTGGCCCCTGGGATGGCGCGTCGTATGTAAGGTCTTGTAATAAATGGGGATGAGGGACTTGGATATGAGGTGTATTCTCTTTCCTTTACGCCAGACGCGCTCGGGTTTTATTTCCAGTTCTTTTGCGATTTTTGACCGAGGCCACTCTGGTGCTCGTTTGCCGTCTATCGAGAGGCAGTTACCCAGGCTCTGAGTTGGCAGACGTCAGCATGATTCGATTGCGGCACCGAATACTGAGTCACTTGCATGCTGTAGTGGCGGCGATTGCGCCGCGTCCAGCGCCCCAGAAGTGCTCTCTGTCTCCTTCAAGGTCACGCCCAACCATATTCTAGAGGTAGATGTCCATTCATAACTTGTAGCTACGATAAGGTGTAGGAGGTAATATGTCCTACGTACGCTGGGAGGAGCAAGCCCAGAAGCTTGTAGTACCGAGGTCTGTTGTGTCAAACAACGGAGCAGTCGCGTCCAATCCAGCCTAGCATAGCCCGCCATGCCTTTCGTTCCTCGAGATAGTTAGCCTTTCGTTCCTCGAGATAGTTAGCCTACGCTCGTGTCGTAGGTCGAGCTGCTGGGTAACGTTCGACTTTCATCACTCGAAGCATAGTGGTGAAGGTTATGCTGGTGCATGAGGATGGTCTTGCTATGGTTCCAAAGCTGCAATCCCTTGGCCATGCTAATTTGCTAAGAGTAAAGCACTTTCTTCAAGTCCCATCCTTGGCACAAGAAGTAGCCTTCGTGTTCGTGTAGTCTGCTGCTCTGCGCCTGGATGAAATAGACACTGCCAAAGTTCGGCTTCAGGTATTCCATACGAAACCTGAACATCCTAGGGTGCTGGAACGCCTTGAACCTACCCACGCGGCCATCAATCAGTTCTCAAGAAATTTCCGGTCAATCGAAGGAGAATAAACCAGACGTACAAAAGGACACCTCCCCTCGGCTGCCCAACCGTCCTCCCCGACAACAAATGCCTCCTCGCAAACTCAAACAACTTCTTACAATGGAGGATCGTCGGGACCGGATCCTCCACGAACTCCTCGTACGTCTGTACCGTGCAGTCCGAGAGTATGACGTCCGCCTTTCCCTGCTTGTTCACGCCGGCAAGCAGTCCTTCAACGAGTGTGCTCGTCTCTGGCAGAGTCCAGTCCGCTCGGACGGTCTGCACGCCGCGGATGGACTGGATCTTTTTGGTGTCGATAGCGATGACGATTCCATGTCCTGTGCGGAGCGGTTTGGAAGTAGAAAAGTCGTTGGATTCCGTGTCGACTGTGGGTGATGATACAGCCGGTTCGGAGGGTGCTGGATCCGTTGTTGTTGCGTGCATGATGTCCGGCTTGAAAAAAAGAGGGGGCAAGTGTGGGTTGCCTCTCTCCTGTTCTTCTGTAGCCATAGGTTGGGTGGTGTCGTTCGACGGCAGCAGCACGGATGTATGCGTGTTCTGCTTTTCTCCAACCACTTTCAACGAAGGAAACTGTGTTGGAACTGACTCGCTCCAGGACACACCTTCCTCCTCCTTCCCCTTCTTCCCCTCCGCCGCCTTCTCGCCCGATTCTCTAGATATGGCGCCTTCGGCGGCTCAGGGCACCATCCGAGCTTACCAGCCACGACCTGGCTCCACGTGCCAGGGTGCGCTCCCAGGTCAATAACCGCGGTGATATGTTTCTTGTCCAGAAACCTCTCGTAATTGTGGTTCAGCTGCAGGAGCGTGTATGCCCCGCGCCCGCGATACGCCGTCTTGAGGCCTAGGTGTTTCCGCACCTCGGGGTCGCGATACTGGCGCAAGAGCCATTTGTCGAGTTTCGGGGGTGCGAGCCTCGCGAGTGTGTGTCGGAAGGCCATAGAGGTAGGTTATCTGTGTTGTAGCATCGATACGAGAAGGCGCGGATGTGGTTCGCTGAGACTAAGGATGGTGATGAACCAATAGAAGTCCGGCCCGGGACCAGGCTATCACACATGAGCAAATAAAGCAACCCAAATTGGGCGACGCGTCTTGTGGTCTCGCCCACCACAACATGAATGCTCCCCAATCGCTCTGCCCAGGCTACAAGCACGTAGAAGCTTTCGGTCCTGACGAAGAGTACGAAGAAGAAGAGGAAGTCTGCTATGTAACTCTCGACGTGGGTAATGTCGAACCGAAGCTTGTGCCGAGCTCGACAGCGTACCGTCTGATAGTAAGTCCCACCCGAGTTTCGCTTCGTCCAAAACTAAATGCAAAAAAGTACTCAGGGACTTGACACACCAACGCCGTTCCTCCAACTGCAAGGAACGATTCTCCAGGGTCGACACGACCTGCTACTGGGCACCGAGCTTCTCTTCACAGACGACAAAGGTGCTTCTCATTCATCCCATCCCTGCGTTTACTCACAACCAACCACACAGACACCCACGGAAGCAAACGTTCCGTAACCCACGTCGGCACCACCGAGCAACGCATCGCCTTCCAAGAAGTTACTGTTACCCCCAAGAAATCGCCGGGACCAGAAATCACCGTTGACTTCGAGCCTCCGCCGCCTGAAGACCTCGAACAGAAGATCGACCGTATGACAGGCCTAAATGCCCCGCCAACGAGGGGAGCGAGGAAGAAGAAGACGGGGCCAAATGCGAAGGGGAAGGAGAAGGCTACGCCAGGCAAGTCAACGAGGGGAAGAAAGGCAAAGGGCAAAGGGAAGGAGAAAGAGAAGGAGCCGACTCCTCCTCCTCCTCCTCCTCCTCCTCCGCCACCGCCGCATCCGGAAGGCATCCGGATGGACGAAGACGCACTTGGAGGTGATGACGACGACGACATGTATGTGGATGAGCCCCAATCATAATTTTTGGTTACCCTCGCTCGCTTTCTTGGATACCCCCTCATGCGGTGATTTCATCGTCATCGTCTCCACGACTCTCCTGACAGCATGGCCAACCAACTTTGTGGAATTACTGCAAGAAATGAAGATCAACTCCTGTCATGTTCAAGTTCACATAAGCAACCAGCTGCGACGTCGATTCATTGGACAGTTCGCGGCGCATTTCCCGGTTCGATGGTGACTTGAAATAACTATTTATTGCATAAAAAGTGTGTACTCAACCCAGAATATGTAGGATAATGAGACTGATGGCAAATCCAAACGTGAAAAGTTAGCCGAAATGGAAGACTCACATGGCAGTCATCCGACGTCTATCTGCCTCACGTTCCCTTCGCCGTTCCTCTCTGTCTGCCTCATGTTCCACCTCGCTCCTCTCTCTCACTCTAGCCAACACCTCGACAATCTTTTTTGTGTGCTTGCTTTCCCCTTTTGCTTCTTCTTGAGCTACGAAGTTCATGTGAGGTGGAGTGGTGGCAGGTCAATTATACACTCAAAGTGTCTCTCTGGAGCTCTTCAGCGTGCAAATCCACTGCTGCCATCCGCGTTCAAGGTGAGTGACCCCCATTTTGCGTTGGCCCAGACGAATTTGCCGCTGTCACCGAAAGCCTCCCCCTGGACCTTCACGTCAGGCCGATAGTTGGCGACGAGGATTCCTGCGATGGTTCTGCAGTACCAGTAGCACTGGCCAAGGGAAACAGCGTCATTATGGCCGCTCTTCGACGTGAGAGCAGCACATCGTGCGGCCTCGGGGAGCGTGAGGCGTCGACCGAAGTTGGAGTAAGCCGCTACGAGGCGTGCGGGTTGCTGGTGCTCGTCGCCGACCAGCTGGCCCATCTCGCTCACTGTTTCTGTAACTGTATCACAGCCTCTGACGGCAAAAGCTTCATTGAAGAGGCCCTGTTCCTCTTCACGAGCCTGGCGGCGAGTCAGCATGTCAACCTCTTGCCGAAGAGCAGTTCGCAGGAGCCTGCATTGCTTGAACGTTATGTGCTAGAGAACGGCGTGAACACCACCTTGTAGATAAGGAATTGGACAAGTCTTACACGATTCGAGTTCCCAACAACGAACCGTTTGCGCAATTCCCTTTTCTCCTGTGGGCGGCGCTCCAACCGGAGCCAGCGAGTCTGAGACCCCTCACTGTGTCGGATGTGCAGGACCAGATACTCGTGCTGCACGCCTTGGGACGCTTTCCACCATTCGACGCGGACGACTTCCCATTTTTCGACGTCTTCGATGAGGAGGTAGGCGTTGATGCGGACCCAGTTCGCCCATATATTGACGTCTAAGGGTCTCGAGTCGGTTTGGCTTTGAGGGTACAACCAGGGCAGTTCCGAGCCGAGGTAATCAGAGACGGTCACCGTGCGCGGTTGGGGAAGCGGGACGGTGAAGTAAGCAATGTACTGAGAGAGCTTCATTGTCGGTTGGAAGCTATAGTGAAGTGGAAAAAGTTTTGATAGGTGTCCTGTAGTAGTAGTAGTCTCTGATGTCAAACAAAGGTTCTGAATCAGCGTGGGGCGTGAAATGTTCTCGATCGTAGCTCCACCGTCTCAAGTCACAGTAAGGAAGCGACCACGAAAGTTGGACCGCGAAGATTGTTAAAATGTGCGGCGCCGTTAAGATTAGAAGACTTCTGGTGTTCACTTTGTGTCTTACCGTGGTCCGCAGCAAAGCCTGCTGTCGTGGATGGGCGCTTATCTGCATTGGTCGGAGGAAATTGAGGACAAGTTTCTCGCTTTAGAATCGGTGTCGGCATTTTATAGCTGTGCTACAAGTTGTCGTGAAAGATATCAAAGGGCCTTCTGGCTCCTATTTAGGGACCTTCCTTCCTTCCATCATGAGCAGTAGGCAGCGACGTCTATCTGGACCCAACTATCTATTGTATAACTAATGTTGAATGTGTAGGACGATGAAACTGATGGCAGCAAACATCAAGAAAAGGCAGACTTGCATGGCGACACGATGCTGGCGCCGTTCCTCCTTGTCCACCTCGCGCTCCTGACACCGTTCCTCCCTGTCCTCTTGGAGACCTTGGAGCCATGTCCCCAAGGCTGCCTCGTGCTCTCGGCGCCTCTGCGCCTCTGCCTCGCGCTCAAGACGCCGTTCCTCCCTGTCCTCTTTGAGCCTCCGGTCCCATGTCCCCAGGGCCGCCTCGTGCTCTCGGCGCCTCTGCGCCTCTGCCTCGCGCTCAAGACGTCGTTCCTCCTTGTCTTCCTCACGCTCCCGGCGCCGTTCCTCCTTGTCCCCTTGGCGCTCCTGACGTCGTTCCTCCCTGTCTGCCTCGCGCTCTATTTGGAGCTCCTCTTTCACCGTCACTAATAGCCGCTGGACATTCTCCTCGCATACTTGCCTCTCCCTCTCTTGCTTCCTCTTGAACTGTGAATTCTTGTCAGGTGGAATGATGGCAGGTCAAGAATAGGTAGACTTACACTCAAAGAATCCTTCTCGACCACTTCAGAGAGCCGACGTGCCAAGAGCTCAATTTCGCCGGCGGCATCCTTGTTCAATGTAAGGGAACCCCATTCTGCCCGTCCCCAGACAAATTTGCCTCTGTTGTCGAACGCCTCTCCATGGTCCTCCTGGCTGGGCCCATAGTTGAAAACGATGACCCCCGCAATCGTTCGACAGAACCAGTAACACTGGTCAAGGAGGACGTGGTAGTTCGGTGCTCTCATCGATACAATAGCGGCGCATCGGGCAGCTTCGGGGAGAGTGAGATGTTCAGCAAAATTAGAATAGGCTGCAACAAGCTGTGGGGGTTGCGGGTCGTCAACTAGCTGGCCAGTCTCGCTCACAGTTTCGACAACGGTGTCCCAAGCCTTGATGGTCACAGCTGAGTCGGAGAACCTCTGCCCCAGTACCCGGGCCCCTTGCGTCGCGAGGCGATTGTGTTCCTGACGGAGAGCAGCCCCTAACTTCTTTCGTCGGCCCCTGCCATGTACGCTCTGAAAAAACAGCGTCAATCACGATCGCGAGTATCGCCCATAGGCAAGACAATGGGAAAATCACCTGAGTTAGATTTGTCGTTGCGAATCGCAAATCCTCGTGAGTCTGAGGGCGGCGATCCAGCCGAAGTCGACGAGTATGAGACCCCTCGCTGCCAGTGCGTTGCAGGTGAAGGACAAGGAATTCGTGTTGCAATTCCCGCAAATATTTCCACCATTCCACTCGGACGACCTCCCACTCTGCGACATCTTCGACGAGCAAGTAGGCGTTGACGTGTACTCGATCCGCCCAATGGATGACTTCTATCGGACTCGAGTCTTGTTGTTGGTCGGGGTCCAACCAAGGGAGTGGCAAGCCAAAGGTATCAAGGAGACTCTCCATGTGCGGCTGGGGAACAGGAACAGTGAAATAGGCAAGGTAGCGAGAGAGTGCCATCGTCGGTTCAAATGACTTGAGAATTGTGAGGCGTCCTGGTGGGCTGTTCTGTGATGGGGAAGGTCTCAGTCTCCCCTAACCCGTAGAGGCGTGAAATATTCTCGATCGTGGCCCCACCGGTATGAAAATCGGAAAAATTAGTAATTAGTGGTGCCATTTCTCATGACATACATGACGTGCACTTTGCTTGCGAGGTGTCTTTGACGGGCGCTTATTGGATTTGAGCAGAGATTGAGGCTTGGAAACATTATAATACGCTCGAGATCAGCGACAAGGTTTCTCGTATAAGACTTGTAGCAGCGTTTTTTATCACTGGCAAGCACAGTATGCATCTATCCAAGCTTTTGTAAAATAAATGTCCTTTGGCATAACAGGCAACAAACTGTGTTTCAGGGCCGGCTTTTCTGGGATTCTCCCTCCCTCCCGCTCTGTCAGAAAAATTATAAGTATTCTCAAGGTCATAATTACTGCACATACACACAGAACACCTACCTGGAGTCTTTGTCGGTCTTCGGCCTTCCATGGAGTAGGGCAACACTCGCACTGTTTCTCGATCCCCGACAATTAGAAGTCAGTCGCGCATCTCAACTCTGGACTGCCCTCTTACGAGTTAACAGAGCTACCTACAAGCATGATACGTTACCTTCAACATCTCTGTAGTCCTTGGAAGTCCCATGAAATTTGGCACCATGGCCGCCAGAGTCAGGCCAGAGTCCAGACCCTCTTCACCCACTGGGGCAGACCTCTCCGGGACATCTCTTCCACTCTGGGGTACACAGTACTCCATGTAGGGGCTCATCGGGATGGATTTTTTCCGCCACGGATGGTGAACACCGAAGGAGATGCATGAGTACAGAGATCCTTTTGCATGTGCCACTAAACAGTCCGAGTCAGCGATCACCGAACACAAAAATTACCAAATTCGGCGTGCGCCTCTCTCTTCGGCACTCCCATGAGCGCTAGGCGCCAGTGTTAGGAAATAGCACCCTAAACGGCCAAAATTATAAGTAGGTCATAGCGGGGAACTGCCTCCACACCGTGTCATCTCGGTTCCTGCAGCAAAGCCGACTCGGATTGTCTCCCCAGGTCACTGGGCCTTAACGGTCAGTCGTCAATTTGAATCGTAACCACATAAGACAAGCGGACAATAGCGCTTGAGAAAAAGAGCCTTAAAACAAAGGAAACCCCTCGGGAGTGTGAACAAGACCGCCGGACGGTCTCGAGGAGACCACCAGATTCCCGGGTCCGGACTTGAGCTTGATAAGTATCCTAAATTCCCCCACGGCTGAAGGCATTCTCTTTTCGTAACAGTCAAAGGCGATGTCTTGAAGCTTCTGGTTACATCGCGAACATTGTCACTCTAGAGCACTATCAAGTGAATAGTACTGTGCTACTAAGTACTTGAAATCAGGGATCAGGACCGAAGTTACGAAATCAATATACCAGAAGGACTTTCTCAAACGCCTTCGTTTAGCAAATTTTAGGACGTTATCCGCATTTTCAGGCCAAGATGAATGCCTACTGATTTGCGTCACCCATAGATCGATCGCTTTTCCCCGCGCGGATGGAAACCGAGTCGCGGAGCCCACTGCTTGGACTTGAAAAACGTACGCTTTTGTTCTCCTCTCGTATTTAACGTACAGTAGAAGTTCTCATAATGCATAACGCCGGTATCGGACCAAAATCTATGCATTAGTAGAATTATGCAAGACGAACAAGGCGTGATTTTTGTGACAAGATGTGACCACGTGACATAACTTCGGTTGAACCCAGCCGCTCGGCGTCGTTTGAACAGCTTTCGCGGACTCTGCCTGGTGCAGGTGGATCCTGAAGCTGAAGCTTTGAAGCCTCTCAGCTGGCGAGTGAGCTCGAGAGACGCATCTGTGTTGTTGTATTTGATACAGACGCGCTCCAGCTGCTCGCATAGACGTATCACCTCTCCGATCGAGATTCGACATCTTGTCCTCGGCCTCCTCCTCCTCCTCGTCTGACTCAATTTCCACAATCTTCCCCGCCTTAACTGCCTCCTCGTATCTCACCTTCTCCACGATTGCATCGTCGTTCTCAAACCTGAAGTCCATCTCGCCAAACTCTTGCTCCTCAATGGGGTTCAGCATCTGTTCCAATGAGAGGGGAGTGCTTGGTGCAAACCTTCCGTTTACATTCGGTGGGCTCGTTTTGACATTCACTGGCGGAGGCGACGGCTTCCATCGTGATTTACACCCAATTTTCCGCTGATTTCAGGAATGTTCTAGCAACAGATCTTGTAGATACCAGGGAAGATTAGATAAAATGACCTTATGATAATGCATAATCGACCCAAAAGGGCTATGCATTATGCACTATGCAATTTGCCCGCTTCCCGAGTTGGTTTTGACCCAAAAGCGATGCATTATGACAATTATGCAGCATGAGACCATGCATTATGAGAACTTCTACTGTAATACTTTGATATCGCCTCTGATGAAGGGACCCACAGCCTTGTGACCTTTCTATAGGTTTCTGTACACCCGTTGGCAACGTAGCTGTGGGCTCGTAGCGCTGTTCATCTGCTACACAAAGGTTATTTATCCGAATTTGCATTGGTGGCGTCGTCTGTCATCTCTGAGGTGCTGAATGTTGCCACACGAAGAGCCCCCAGAAGCGTCGTTGCATTGCCATAAGGAACACGGGTTCGATTGGTTGGCGTCATTTAATCGTGTTCATGAGGACAATAACCACTAGTGCTAAGAAGGTCGTGGTATTGCTGGGGTCCCTTTAAGTATGAATTGCACCTTCCTTCGCCAATGGGCGATGCTCCGGCCAACATCGGTGATCACATTCCCGCGACGTGGTACAACACGCGAACGGAGTTTCCATCCACTGAGTCCTTTCACAATGGCGTCGAAACGCTTCACTACCTCGTCCATAGTCGGACGTTTCGCAGGGTCTTCTTGTACCATATCGTTGATCAGAGGTTTGAGGAAGTCGAACCCGTAGTATCCCCGTATCCAGGTAAGTTTCGAGTGGCCCTGACGAAAGTAATGAGCATTTGGAAAACAAGGAAGAATCCAACCTACCTCGATGAAGTGTTGTCTTATGACGTTGCCAGCGTAGTAGACGTCGGTACGGAAAGGATTCTGAGGAATTGTGATGTCCTTGAATTCTGGCACGGATTTATCACCCCCGATGATGACAGGTTCTAGAGCAGATGTCCGAGAGTCGGACTCATACCGACTCGATATCCCAAAATCCGTGATATAGTACTTCGTGGGCCGTTCACTTCTTGTAAGATGAGGAGCTCGCCCGCTCAGGTCAGGTTTGAGGACATCATGTACGAAGTGATACTTTTCGGGGAAGAGATGAACACCATGCATCATGAAATTATTCCCATTTATATCACTGTCGTCGACGATCAGAGACACGGAAGTGGTCGAAAGCGATTTACTCACCGGTGAGCTACATGGTGTTCGTGCATAAATTGTAGGCCCTGGTTCATGTCAAATCATGACTGCTTGAGAGGGGAGGAATGCTACCTCAAATAGCTGTCGAAAACATTCCAGGGCTTCGCCAAAGGTATCAAAGGGAGGGGAATCGAAGCGTCGCAGCATTGGCATAACTAGGATAATGTTTCTCGAATCCTCGGGAGGGTATAGCACATCCAATAGAGGGGCGCAGTGGTTGCGCGGGTCAGAAGAGAGTGGCTCAGAAGATAGATATCGGAAGATTTCTTCCTCGTAGGGATGGTATGATTTATCTGTTCTCTTCAGGGCAACAGAAGAACCGTCTGGGGTGTAGATAGCGTCGATGACCTGACCGGGCTTCGAAACGGATTGATATCAGAGTCACTTAAACTACCTAAGAAACGTCTCACCATCAATGCAGGACCGTCCTCGCAGAACATATAATACTTCTTCGTCGACACCCAGGAAGGAACCCAATCTGGAGAAAAGCGAGGGCGTAGTTGGTAGCCTTTGCTTTGGAGCCATTCGTAGTGTTTTCGCCAGAACTTTTCGCCCGGTGAGAGCCCACCTTCTTCCACAGGTAGTTTGGAGTAGTCCTTGCAGCTATTCATGAATGGAGGGAAGACGAAGCGACGACACAGTGGTGAACGTAGATGCTAAAGAATCAACCATAGCTGTTTGCACTTGTTTTGGCGAGTGTTACGTTACTGTAAGTTGTGGGCAATGCAATCTCACGTCAAGATGTCAGGGATGCTTTGCACCCTCAGCCGTACGAAAACCGTGTGGAACAAAAACAATAACGTTCTTGTTCACCTTGATCTGCTTATCGTTGTCAGGGAACTCTGCGCCCACATTACCAGAGATGCCTCTGCCTCACGCGTTTCAACCGTAGGCAACGAGATGCCGTACGAGAGTAGGCCCAGCTACGTATAAAGCAGTCGAGATGATTCTGGCGGCAGTCGAATACCAGCAACATCTTTCACTTTTATCTCTACCCTCAATTCATCACCGAACCCGATTCGAGTGCCAGCGAGCGTTGAACCATGGAGCCAGCATCCCAGATCGCCACCATAGCTGCCGTTCCGCTCGCGATGTTTCCACCAGCTGCAGCTTTCTACGTCTGGATTACCAAAAAGGATCCGGGCTCTCGAATTGCAAAGTGGAGTCCTAGACTTCTTCCGGCCCTCCGTGAGGTGAATAATGCAAAGCTTTCCATCGCCAACCAGGAGCTCGGCGAGTTTCTTCAAGCTATGAAGCGGTAAGTTGAATGATGGGCTCCGCTCGTCAGCCAGACATTTGACTTACTGGACTTGTCGTTAGAGCTGTAGCGCACAGGAAGAGCCTCGAAGGGAAGTTGCAAGAAAGGTCGGCAACTTGGCTCGAGAAGAAGAGGATGGCCGACCTATTTGCATCTCATGCACGTAGAACGGTACAACTTGGGGAGGTCAGGGCAAGCTTCCAGCATATTGTCGTTACATTTCTCATTTTTTTCTCAGGAACTATCGTCCTTTGGGCACGGTATCGCGGTACAGTGCACAAAGCAGAAACACCCTGCCGATGCGAAGGATGAACACGGTCGATGCTTAGTGTGCTTCCCTCCTGGTTCTGAGGACCAGGACACCAATCATGATACCATTTGTAAGAGCTATCACAACTCCGCTCATTCTATCATAAACATCATAAACTAATCAATCGCTTCAGTGGGATGGGAAGAGTTTCGTCTGCTCGCGAAGGAGCTGGAAACCTTGAGCTCTAGAAGTCCCGAGTGGCGCGGGCTTGGACATATTTTCGCCGCCGTTTTTTCAAGACCCTCCGATTCCTCAGAAAGCTTTCCTTCCCGAAAAACACCTTTCTTGCTCAAGATATTCAGAGTCAAGAAGAAGACGGATTCTGAGACCCCGGAAACGACACCACACTCGGGTAACGAGAACAGCTCTCAATCAGACGCAGCAGAGCCTACACCCGAAGGTGAATCGTCAGAAGCTGATAACTCGGATATAATGGCGGATGAAGTTCAGGTTTACGAAATGGGCGACATAGACACGACTGCTGGAGATCTTGGGCCAGCTCCGACATACTCGGAGAGCACCTCTGAATGGGCCAGCAGTGCGGGCGAGCCCCATCCCGACGAAGGGGGGTATCACACTTTCTACATAACCTTTAGCGACATGGTCAATCCTGGAGAAAACCCATGGGACTCGACGGCGAGTCTTCTAAGGGTGCGACGCAATACGCGTATCACAACGGAGTGGGACACTTGATTTGACATCCTTCCAACGACTTCTTGGACTCTATGTATTTACTGCTGGCCATCTCCCCATGGTACATATTTCTACATCAGTGCTGACCAATGTAACCATGAATTAATTATATACCTACACTATGTATTCTTATTTCTATAAATTGGTGTGCTGCGGGACAAATTATCAGCAACCACTATGAAACGGTTTGTCCGCAGCTTGCCTAGTCATTATATCTTTTGTAGGGTCAGTCTGGATTTTCGAATCTCCCGACAATCGGAAATACATTTTCTGGATGCACGATCACTCTTTTGTCAACAAACTATTATTTGATGAACGTCAAACGAACGTTCGGGGTGTTTTCGTGATGTAGCAGCCCGGTCCGTTTATACTCCGGCACGGAATTCCTATAAATAGCATTTTACCCCATATTAGGGAGTTCCAAGAGCATCCACCAGAGATCAGGCAAACCAGGGGAAGATTCATCCTTGACAACATGCTCAAATAAAGTTTGGTGATGAATAGATGTAATGTTTAAGCTGCTCGAGGGATGGCTACAATTTCTGTTATTTTCTGTCCTCCGCCCATAAGCAATTCTCTATAATATCCACTGTGTCAGCAATCCTTTCATTGACGCCCTCAATGATTGTAAGGTGTCTAGAAGGGTCGTCTTGCCAGTATACAGTACCATTCCTCCTTGATGTTCCTCTGTGGTCATGACTCCAATAACTTGTGGCTCCTATGAATGATCTCAATTTCATAGGCCTAAACAAGTTAAAGTCACATGTACCTCACCCTTGGTGCCTTCAGATCATTCCAATGCAGAAGCTTACATTTCACAATGGAGAATGTGACATTTATGTGTGTCATTCCTAATTACTACTAGAGTAAGAGAATACATGAAGCAATGGATCATGAAGTTCTCTGTCATACATTGGCATTAATTATGTGTTACCCTTTCCTTCCAGACATACCAAGAACTTCCCTCTCCGGGGGTACAACATAGCAAGGATATTGCTCGTTAAACACCAGGGTCCTCATGCGGATTATGAAGATATTTAGCTCGGAGTGCCTAGTCCGGGGAAAATTCCGTTGAATTCACAAGACTATATACGAGCAGGAGGCTAAATTTTGGTGTCTAAGGGATACCAAGAGGTTCATGATAGAATATGTGCCAGACGGAATCAAGGAAGCGCCAAAGGAAGCGCCCAAGTGTGTGAGCAGAAACCAAGCTGATGCCTGACCCTGGGAAAGTGCAAAGGCGCCCGAGCAAATCGTGGTGGAGAAATGATGCCCAAGTGGACAGTGAGTTTGGTTCCCCTGCTTATATAGCTGGATAAGAAGTGGGCAGGCATGAGGGACACAGTGTAATCCTGACACTTGTCCTGCTATATCTCTTTGACAAGGGCCAAACAATAAATGTTTTGGATGCTTGAAGAGTGGCCAAGAGGGGGATAGCAGAGGTGAGCCGGGTGAAGTGCACCAAGGAATATGCTTTCAGAATCCTAAAATAGATCATCTATCCCCAAAGAGAAAGATACGACATAAGAAAGGCGCATCAAGCGCTATGGCGGGAGGAAGGGGCTTGGGTACTATTAGGGGTCCCAAAGTTATGCATCACCCCATGGCCTTATGCATCGCCTCATGCAGGCTTGATGCTAGCATGGACAAGTTATTAAGATTATAACGAATCTTGCATCACTGGTCTATTGTAGTTACAACAATTAATGCATTAGAATGGCTATGTGGGCTGTTCTCAGTCTAATCTATTGTCTCCGCAAACATTCTTTTACATTGAATTACAACGAAAAGGGGAAATAAGTTCGTGTGAATCTGAATTGTCCCCAACGTAATGTATACTTTTGTCAGGTTTGCCGATGACCCATGACAATCCCTAACAATATCTGGCCCATTATCAACCCCACCACTATCCTGTATGTACCTATTCCATATCCCTACCCACCACCAAACACCCCACAGACAGGTTGGCCCTTGCCAGCTCATCCTCCCTCATCATCTTCCTCTAATCCTCCTCCCCAACCCCCCCATGCAGCACCACCCTAGTTTTTGGCTCTATATTGACAGTTTCTCATATAAAAACAATCTATTCAATGCTAATATATGCTATCTATGGCCCGCACATCATTTGAGAGTGAGCGAGGAAGCAAAAGGAGACGCAGTGAGTGCGAGTACAGCAGACGAAACACGAATTTTCACTAAGTCCGCGTCACGCTTAGGGGACTCCCTTAAAACCGGTTCGTTACTCCCAGTCCTTATGCGGCGTCCCTCCTTTTCGAAGTCCGATTGATATGTTGCGCTTGTTGTGGTTCATTTGGCACCTGTTTGTGATGATGACGCCGCATCGGCACTGGTAGCGAGTCTACTGATAACTAGGCCAAATTACCGAAGGTTCTTTCTTTCATTCAACTTTCTTTCATTCAACCACCATGACTCTTGCGAAAAAACCAACTCCTCAGCCTTTACCTACCAACCCATTCATACCAGAGACTCCTACTCACGACGCCTATGATCAATGCCTTAGTTTGGAGCAGCAGCCAGGGTGGTACATATTCGAAAGCGACCTCCGAGGGAAGGATTTCTCCGAGTCCATTATGCGGGACTTGTCCCCTGTCATCGTTGCTCGTGTCCTGGGTCATGCCTTGCGTCTCGCTCCTAGCGACGAGGGTCGTGAAGTCCTGACACGAGAGATTATAGGTTGCGAGGCTGACCCAGAGCTGTTGGCCGGGCTCAGTCATTTGTACGTCTATGGGATGATCCGCGTTTGTGAGTATCACTTTTGTCACCAGGTTGCACCCGAATCTAAGGCCTCTCCTTCCCGACGCAGTCTACAATCCGAAAGGGCCAACGCCTTCTATATCGGCTATCCAGAGTCCTAGGCGTTCCTTTGAAGAAGTGGTAAATGCTGGGAGCCATCTTGTGGCGGCTCCGCTGGTAACCCCCCGGAACCTGCGACAGCTTGTGAGCACATGCTCCCCCCCTTGTCTCTCAACTTGCTAATTCCTGTCTCCAGACCTTGATTCGCGACGAAAATTCCTGTGTTTTCACTGGGGACCTGGATGAAGGTATAGATCGTGCTGCGCTGGTCGCGGCGCTCGATTTAGATCCAGATCGCCCAACTGCATCGACCCATGTTGCCCACATCATCAGTCAATCTCTATCATCGGACATTGGTGGAATGACGCAAGCTGCTCGTGACAAGGTACTGTTAATGCTCCTTTTATCTCAATTCTTCCAGTACGGTTTGTTGAGATCGCTCTGATGAATCCAGTTCACGTGGGCCTCAAGTGCTGCAGCGGTTCTCGAACGTTTCGGCGGTTTCTCTGCTCACGCCATTCTGGGTGAGGCCAACCTCAACAGCGCCCTGAATGCGTTCACAGCATCGAGTACACCACATACTTGGTTCGACTGTTTGAATCTATGGTTGGTACCTGCAAAGGTATGTCCATGTAATCTGGCTTGTAATTTGTACCCTTTGATTAACCCACCTCAGGACGAGCATGGGGCTGTCATATCTGATACTTATGACGTGTGTTATCCAACATCGGAGGATCCTCGGAGGTTTCGCAATGCGCGTCTCAAGCAACGAGTCAGCTTCAGAACAGCGTCCACGACTGATGGCACAGACACTGTCATCCCACCTCCCCACCCTCGCATCCTTGCTCTCCATGCTGCATGTGCTCAGGTCGCTCATCTGTCTGGTGCTGCGGGACATGTGTCTGAGTTTTATGGTAACCCGGACCAGGACAGCATCTCGGTTATGACTGAACCAAGTGCCCCGACTAAGTTGGTGCAAAAACTGAAGATATTGCAGCTTGTTTCCTCGCCTGCTTGATGTCTGAGTGGGTTCTCATACCTAGTAACTGCATTACAAATGGGGGTGGGAGAGGGTGTTGGGCAGGGAAGTTAAGGAGTGGAGACAGGTTGGGCTTGATGAACTGGGGAGGGTGAGGGAATAGGTTGTGGACACTTTCAACTTACATACGTTTACCAAATTGATGGTTCATTTAGACTGTCAAGCAGCTAATCAGACTTCGTTCACTGCATGGTCCTTGGTTTTCACAGTGCCATGAATAAGAGTTCTGGGCCCACGAACAAACCTACGCAGAACTCAAGAAAGGGACTCTTGCATGGAGCAGCTAAGAGACATGTCAGCATCCTTACCATGGCCACTTGCTACTCTTTCTAAAACCTTTTCTGAATCTACAATGAGCTTATAGCATGCATTCAGTTCATTGGCCACCCCCATGTAAAACGCTTGAGCACGAGGACTGGGTTCAAATCTCATATGGTTTGAAATGGTCTCCTGCACGTTATATCCTAGTCTCTTGTAGGGTCAATCTTTCTACTGGGGCATATAGACCTCTTTCCGGGACACCCATACGCAGCTTCTCTCTCTTGAGGCACAAGCTGCTCAAGCTCAGGCCGCCCAAGCGCAGACTGGGTTGCTCTGGTCTACGGCTGATGGGATTTAAAATGCAAAGCTAGACATGACGCAAGAGAAATCCAGCCATATTTTTTGACTTGCAGTAGTGAACGAAAGCAACGAGCACAGTGGAAACATTTATCCGAGGGGCACTTCCAGTGTACGATACCAACAGATTCACCATGAAAAAGAGGAAGGAAAGTCAAAACTAGGACGTCAACAACACAAATAGACAGGTTGATGGTATGAAAACAGATTCTTCTCCCAGGATAAACTTCGCCACAATTGGAAGAAGTCAAGTCTATCATGTGCGGTACATCCTCTAAAGTGAAATCGAAGAGCCTCGCATGACCCAAGCTTGACGACACTTTTGAGAAGCATTTCTAGGCGTATTCGTGAATTCGAAAGAATAATTGAGTCGTCCATCTATTATTACAGGCGTAATTGAACGTTATGAAATGCCGACGGCGGAAGATGGTGATGGATGCAACGAGATGAGGAGCTCATGAGGTCTTTGGGGTCTCGGAGGAAAGTAGGGGGGTCGATAGTTGGGCCAGACGCGGACGGCCAGGCGGATGGCATCCCAATGACGAAATTCGTCCCGTTGAAGCCAGCACATGTAGAGTGAGAAGACGCGATAAGTGTTCAAAAGCCCAATGGCGAAGGATTTGGACGAAAAGAAGAGACGATAAAGGCAAAGTGAGAGCGGTAATCATGTGGGTAGCAAAGGGTAAATGGTTAGAATCGTCAAAGACCTACGCCAACGGCGAGCGGCGGCTGACAGAAGCAGCCAGATGGGAGTAGGAAGAGGCCGGCGGCGCACGATGAGAGGCGTAGATGCTGTTAGAGAAGAGGAGATGAGACGAGGTTCTCATGCGGCGAAATCCTCTCAAGAGCCTGGAGCTTCGTGACTGTGAAGCCCGCGACGGGAAAAGGGTTTGCGTGACGAGGATCCATTTCCTGAAGTCTTCGCCCCGGGCTTCAGGTGGATGCGCCAATGTTCCGAGCTGATTTCCGGTCGGATGTGTCTTTGATTTGATCTGGTGCGAAGGACGCGGGACTAGAGAAAACGAAAGAATGAGTTGCATACAAATCGAGGATATTAGAAAGGTTGGTCTCACTGTAGCGTTGGCCTCTCAATAGAAGCTTCCAGCGATGTTGGGTTTTGACAGCACCTAGATCGACGAAGTATTCACTGCACTCGAGCTGGGTCGAAACAGGGGCGAACGTAGGGTCGGTTTGGGGCGTATGTGACTGCACAAAGCCTATGATTCGAGGTTCAGAACGTGGCGTCATGAGATCAATAACTGGGACCTACGAATGGTGGGGTGGCGCTTCTCGTAGGCACCACCCCTCAGGTGAGTAGGGGTATTCGGGAATTGTGGAAGCTCTGTAACAAAATATATAATAAACTTCCAAATGAAAGATCATGCAAGATTGACACACCTTCATAAAACTCGCGCTTCTCATCCACCAACCCAGATTCCAAATCGTGGACATAAAAATAACGAGGGCAGCTCCGACCAAAAACCTCCACATGAACACGAATCCAGGTGAAGATAGCGACTAATGATTCCCACAGGTATAGCAAAAAAGATGCGAAAGCGACGTCGGATGAAAGGAAAGCCATTTGAGCGAAGAAGCAGACGCAGAGCACGACGGAGGGCGGAAAGATAGTCCTGGTCGGAAACAGAGCAGCGAGGAGGCTGGCCGGTTTCGCTTTATGGCCGCCGTCACAACCTGTGCCCATTGATCTATTCAGAACTAGACTGCTTTGCGCTGACCTGTTCCGCGAGTCTGTCGAGCAGTTCTGATCACAACGAGCTGGTTTTCACCATGCCATTAGAATAACCAAGACTTAGGTCATTGGAGATTGAAGAAAAATAACAGAAGGTAGACGGGTATCCTCTCCACAAAGGAGGCGTTGATATCATCCAGTGTTGAGACAGTCATGGTGGTTGAGACGATAGTGATCCCATCAGCAGTGTGTGAACTGTTCGGCTGCCCGGCGCGGGCTCTAAACAGGGGCTCGTCTGATGGTCGTTTCTGAGCCCTGGAAAAGTATTTCAAGGGGAGAAATATGAATCCTTATCACGCAAAATATATCTTTCTCGAATAATAAATTTCTCCTCCAGAAAAAAATACATCGCATAGAAGGTCGAATGGTAATAATAATAGATCAAAAGCACCCAAAGTCGGTGCCCATCCCTCCTCCGTCGCTAGTGCTAATGCTTGATGAAGATGGCGATAAAAAAGTGGATGGTGATCTGCTCGTCAAAGATCCCGTAAGTTATACTGAACTATAAGAAAAGAAAACGAAGAGGCATACATTAATGATGAACAAGTGTTGCTGTCGCGAGTGCTAAAAAGGCACTCAAGCGATGACGCAGTAGGCGTTGTTGCCGCTTCCACCGGTCTCCTCGTTGGTGGGGACGGAAGTGGGGAGGGAGACGTTGGAGAAGGAATCCATTTGAAGTGATTGGTTTGGTAGTTGCGAGTGAGTGCGACTAGAGAATCTCCCTCCCCCTCCCCTTTTTATACCCGCGAGGACCACCTTCGACTTCGCCCCTATTTTGGATATCCTACTAGGCCGCCGACCGCAAGATGGCCGCGAGCAGGACAGGCACGCAACGGGTGACCTCATCGTCGATCAAAAAGGCAATGTCCAAGAGCGTCTAATGTGTCGGAACAATAGGCTGTGACAATAAGACAATTGTCTTCACTTCGAGCAGAGAAGAAGGGTTGTGTCGAGGGACAATAGAAACTCTAAATTTCAAAAATTATTCGGTCTGAGCAGACGAGCCCACAAGAAGGCTCTTCCGGTGGCGACAAGGTGAGTTTGCGAGGATTGACCGCATGATATTTCTCATCGAGCGATGAAGATACGGTCTAGAGCAGAAAACAAAAGGCGCATTTTGGGCACGGGCGCCGACAAAGAAGTCGTGAAAATTATTGAGAAGCGATCTGCACTGACCACACAGAACCGCGAGATACAGTGTGGTCAACACATTGGCTCAGATTGATCTACGCTCGTCGCTCAGCCACACAACTGCGCCACAAGGGCTTGCATCATCCGATATTTCCTACATCATGATACCCCTTCGACAGAATAAACAGCTCAGGTACGCTCAACCTAACTAAATCGTCTCCGGGGACTTCAGCTCGAGTCATTTAAGTCCAAACCTTCATATAACAATAAACAGAAATCAGCCTCGAACGTTTGATCCCCTAAGCAGCCTAACCACCCTCAACCTCACCCTCTTTCATTCCAGTCGTAGTTGACTCCTGAACAAAAAACCATCCGGAAATTAAAACTACCCTCTCTAACCCTCCCCGCACTGGACCCCCGGTGTCCGGGCGATACCACAAGTCCGGTCGATCCGGATTTGCCATGACCAAGACGTCCGCATTCCAATTATCTTCAGAGCGGAAGCGCGGCACGGTACGACGGTCCAACGACCCCCTGCATTTTCTGGAGGAAGGTTAGAACGATCACGTTCCGACCATCGGGCGCCTATCACAGGATGGTAATTTCCGGAGCGGAGTTTGGAAGAATGCCGAGGAATGCCGAGCCATTCGCGATGAACATTGAACGCGTTAGCTTCAAGAGTTGTCGAGTGCGAATGTCAACCAGACTGAGAGGGCGTACATAGACGTGAGATGCGGTATGCATTAGGGCAATCCAATGGACTACTCAAAATCATCAACCCAAACACAAACCACGAACATCATGACAAGAAAAAATATGGGCGCGGAGAGAGAGAGAGAGAATGAAAATTAACGAGCGATAGGTAACCGTTCCTTCCAGGACGCACAATAATCAACGGACGCATATGGACGGCAGCCAATGAGAACCAACACAGTCACAGGAAGAAGGTAGCAATAGTCAAGCTAGAACGCGCCTGCACGCGCCCAGCGAGGTATTTTCCACAACAAAAGAAAAGAAAGGAATCAAGAACGATAAGGAGTGGGTATAGATATTATAGACACGCAAAAACACGAGGGAGGGAACAAGAGGCTGCTACTTCGTCCGGGATTTTCAGTAAGTGTAGAGCCGTACCAAGAATGTCGAAGGGCGAGTAGGTGGATGCGAGTGGAAAACAGAGGCTAGCGCGATCATCGCCTGCCGCTTCCACGACCGTAGCCAACTTGGAGGTTCTCCAGCTCTGCCTCGAGCTGCTTGATGGCGCTGTGGGCCATCTCGAGGTCCTTGTTTAAGCGGTCCCGCTCGGCAATCAGCTAAAAAGAGCACGATGTCAACACGTGTTGTTGGTCGTACGCCGCCGCAGAAGCGAAAAAGAGAAACCAGAAACACGTACATGCTGCTCCCACTGTCTGAACCTCGCCTCCTCCGCCTTGACCTGCTCGGTGAACTTCTTCCTCAGCTGCTCTTCCTCCTCCTTGAACTTGGGGTTGTCCAGCTTCTTGACCTTGGGCTCGCCGAACTTGCGTGTCTCCATTTGTGTCTGCCTGTAGTTCTCGTAGTGCAGCTCCTCCGACGTCGAGATGAGGTCGAGCATGTGCGTCCGGATGAGAAGCGAGCGAAGCTTCTTGAAGTCGCAGTGATTCTCGTTCTCAACTGTGAATAAAATGTTGGACATTGCAAGGAAATAGGAGAGGTCCGAACAGACCTTCGGCAACACCCCAGATGTACTCTCGTCCTTTCACAACACGGCCATCAGGGGTCTTGACGTCCTCGGTTGATCCAATGATGGAGAATGGGATGGCGTCGATAAGAACGCGGGCGTGCTCCGCATTCTCGTCGTCGGCATCAAGAGGGGGCGTGTAGATTCGAATGCCCTGCGCCCCAATCACCTCGCGAATCTGTACGAAGCGGTGGATAAGAGAGAAGCTAAGCTAAAGCGTAAAGCTAGATTAGAATGCCACGTACGCGCTGCTTGAACATGTGCAGGTCGTTTTGGGTGAGGGTGTCAGCCTTGGCGATGACGGGGATGAGGTTGACACGGGTGCCGAGACGCTTCATGATCTCAATGTCAAGAGGCTTCAGTCTGCGGTGAATAGTATGAGAATGGAGGGCATAGAAAGGAGTCGAAACAACCTACGTGTGACCTGTCGGGCGAATGAAGTATAGGCAAGCATGCACACGCAAGTCAGTCTTCTCGTGCCTCTGGGGTTGTTGCTCCTGGCGCATATATGCTTCATGCTGGTCGTCGATGAACTCGACAATGGGGAGCCAGGAGTCGCGGTTGTTGACGTAGTCGCCGAATCCAGGAGTATCAATGACGGTGAGCTTGACCTTGAACTGGCGTTCCTCGAGCTCGGCCTTGATAATTTCCACCTCCGTGAGCTTGTCCAGCTGCTTGAAGTGGCGCTTGGAATAGTTTTTGGGGGGTGAGAGCTCGGTCGAGAAGAGGGTGTTGATCAGCGTTGTCTTGCCCAAGCCGGATTCGCCTAGCAATATCGTTCAACCGCCAGCACAGCACCTTGTATAGAAGAGCTACGCACCGACAACCATGATGGTGAAGTGGGCCCCCCGTTTCGCGACAATCTTGTGCCTCTGTCATAGTTTGACGCGTCAGTCCGCTGGCCATATTTCCGGGGATTGAGAACATAATTACGAACCTGGTTGGGCAGATTGGCAATGCCAATGCCGTCAAAAGAAGGTGCGGGAATGGACATTGCGGAGGACGACGATGGGGAAGGCAGGAGGGGAGCAACGACAACGTTGACGAGCAAAACAACGCACCCGCAAAATCGTTTGAGAAGGAATCCTGTTTGCGCCTGTTTGCCAAGTGGCGGTCAGGGTGGTTCCTACTAATCTCTTTCCACAACACTGATTGAACTGACGATTCCCGTCAGGCTTGATTTGCAGACTCTCGATTTCGTAGTCGCAGCGGAGCCAGGGGCCACATCATCAAAACCAACGCTCAGCAAGATGCATCCGGCATTGTGCATTCAAGAGATCCTTCTCAGTGTTTTCCGGCATCATCTCATTGACGCATACGATGACAACAAAACGAAAAGAACAAAAAGAAGGACGCTCTTTAACGCGGCCTTAGTCTGTCGGTCGTTCTGGCAGCCTGCGCTTGATCAGCTCTGGTATCGTATGGTCGACATTACCCCGCTTTTCCGGATATTCTCAAGCTTTGAGGAAGTTCAGAGTAAACAAGGTTCGGATTCAGATTCAGACGAGGATGAAGAAGCAAGTGACTGCTCGATCGCCACTGCAGTTTCATCACGCTCATTTGCATTGTTAGTTCGGAGAAATCCGTGGCCTAATCTCTGCAAGGGAATGCCTTGCGTTTTTGTCATATGCCAATCGAATCTGACAGTACAAGAGAAAGGCTCGTGAAAAGATCGCCCTCTCTACTTATCTTCGCGTCCAGCAGGCGACCAACCGCGCATGCCTACTTCCTAACCTGAAGCATATCCAAGTGGATAGGAAGGGGGCAATGGGCCCAGAAGTCCTCTGTTTTCTCTCTCCAACCCTCCAGGTAGTCGACCTCTCAGATCCGACGGCGGAGCATCCCAGCCCTCATATTGACAACAGTTTAGACGCACTCGCAGCAAATGCACATGGACACCTTACCAAACTTTGTGTTAGAACATATTTAGGCGATCGTTGCCTCAAGGCTATATCTCAGATACCCCAACTACGTTCCCTTAGTGTTTCCCATGAGGACGTAGATGAGCCATACTCCCTCAACATCAATTTCTTCCTTGATCTCTCCTGTGCATCAACCCTGCAGTACCTTTCCTTGTCAGGGTCAATAGATCTTCAACCTTGCGAATCAACTCGCCCAGAGAGTCTCGCTACGTTTCCATATCTTTCAATGCTTGACCTTACCTGTGGAATCAATTCCACTGAAGAACTGATCAGCCTCCTGTGCTTTTGCAGGTTTCCTGCACTCGGTCAACTCGAGCTGTGCGTCAAAGACATGACGGTTTCAGACCTCCAAGCACGCAAGTGGGACGACTGTTTCAGACTCTTATCATGCGCGACCAATCCTAAGGTGTTCAAATCCATATTTTTCACAGACAAAAGAATCTCGGAAGAACTCAGGCCCGTTGTATCTTTAAAAGAGATACCTCACCTGTTGGACCTCGACCCGTCTTGCATCGCCCTCGGAACTCCACTCCTAAAACCTCCTTCCAAGCAGGAGCTGACGCAACTGGTGATGGCTTGGGTGAATATAGTCTACCTTTATTTTGCGCAGACGTGCACAGAGACTTTCAGTTTTTCTTGTTTGTCAACTATTGCTCAAGGTCTTCAGTGTTTGCGGGACCTTCGTCTCCCCCTCAACACTTATGCTCTTCCTCCAATTGATTCGGTCCCAATACTCGACCATCGTCTTCATATCCTCAATGTCTTCCCTTCACACCTTGAAGCAGCACAAGAACTGCACTTTGTCCGCCTGATTGACAGACTCTTTCCATACCTTGGGAGAGTCTACTTCAAGAACGATCCCTCAGCGGACCAGTTTTCAAAGCTCTTGAGGGGATTGCAGGGAGCACGAAGGGATGAAGCCACACGGCGTTCTCGTTTAGAGTACAACACAGATTCAGATTCTGACCGTTCGGAGTGTAACTCATTTATTTATTTCTTCCTCTCCTGTATTTAGGAAAGCATCAAACTCGAATACACAGCAAGAAATGCTGCACCAGCTTAACACAAGCCATCCAAGACTATACGGGCTACCCCGCACATCAACTGCCACCAGGTGGACTGGCAGACGCAAACGGCGTCTTCGGGGGCTCGGAATGCCCGACTTCAGAACCTTGGCTCCTTGAACACTTGACTACAGTCGTTGCCCCACATGAAATTCAAACCAGGAGGAATTGTTAGATTCGAGCCGAGTCTGTCTTCGACGCCGCATTGGACGCCTCACGCGCCTAACAGAAACTCTGCCGATTCTAGGACACAGTGATAGGGTAAGGAATAGAGATAAATTATGGTGTCATTGGTGGGTCCTCCTGTACATGACCGCCATCAGAAAAAAAACTTGCAAATGATGGTCAGCCGTCTATGAAGTTTCCGCCAATAGGATGTGCGCATCCATTTCCCCTTCTTTACCTACGCAGTTTGGCATCTCTTCCTTTCGTCTTGTCTCGCATCCCTTAACACCTGAAGCAACCTCGGCGCCTGGAAGAACTCGCCCTCCGGATCATTGTTGGGCGAAAACTCTGAGTCGTCGAGATAAGGGAAGATTCTGTCGATAAGGCGAACGATGTTCAATGGTTCCTCCAAATTACCATATACGAAGAGGGTATTCAGGCGATGGCCAAGAACCGGGACTGAATCAACATCGAATAACCCCTGCGCCTCGATGGTGAGCGAGAGCTCATGCAGTGTGGGGAGGGTCTGCGCGATCCGCACCAGTGCCTGGAAAGGCAATGTCTGTGTCTTGAGCGTCAGCGTTTTAAGATTCTTCCAACACAATAGAAGGGCGGTGAGTTGATCCAACGAGAATTCCAAGAAGATAGGAATATCGATGACGAGCCTAGTTAAGTCGCATGAAGATAGGCGTTCGAAATCAGCAATTGGCAAGTTGGGACTTTCCCATAAAAAAAACCTCCGAGATCCGGGCGCAAGTGTAAGGTTGAGGGTGCGGAGATGTGGAATAGCGGTGGGAAGGACATGGAAAAAATTTGCCCAATTGTTCTCTCCGCTTGATTGGAACCTGTGAATGCGAGGCCTATATCTGTGAGTTTCGGGAGATTCGCATTGCGGATAAAATCCAAAAACAACCCTATGGATGCAACATCCGACCAACTACACTTGACTAGCGCAGGAAGCGCGGTCATTTGTTGAAGAGAGGCCGTCCTGCTTGAGCGGAGTTGGAAACCCGAGATGGATAAATTTGAGAGACTCTGAGGAGGCCAGAGTTCGGAGGAAATCAAGGTCCAATTCACAACGATTCGTGATATCCACATGAAAGATATTGAGTGTCTGTAGTCGGCGCATGCTAGATATCGACCTGAAAGACGCAGTGGTAAAAGACGCGGAGATGTCGAGGTGGGTGAGGTTTCGCGCCATCCTCTGTAGTGAATGGATGGAGGCATCCACACGTACTGGCAGCACGTGTCCACGAACATGCGCCTTTTGAAGAGAAGGAGATACGAGGAAGGGAATTTCGTCTTCCGAGGCCCCATGATACACTCGGAGAGTGTTGAGCTCCGGGAGCAGGCATAAGAAGTTCGTGGCTTGTAGTACTTGGATGTAGGCGTAGAGGGCAATGCGTTCTTTGCCGAATTTTGTGTATGTTCGGATTCTGCGTGCGTATTCCCTGATCTTTATGCACTCTGAGTCGGAAATCGGACCACCGATCTCCCCCTTCTATTGAGTGTCAATGAAGAGAAGAGTATAAAACAGATGCTGTGCGTACCTTCGACTCATCTTGCGGCATCTCAAAATACGTCAACAACCGGAAAAGAGGAGTCAAATTGTCCATATGCTTCCACAGTTAATCCAAACTTGTCCTTTGAAACTGACGGCAAACCAGTACTAGTGCAGTGTTCAATAAGACCATATTCTTCTCTTGTCTTGTAATCAAGTAGCCGTCCAGAAAGAACTCCTGGATCTCGAGGACAACCTCTGGTATCTGAAGAGTACGATGCATCCTGGAACAGAAGTGAGGATAAAGGTCGACGGGTCGGAAGAGGGGAAATAGGTGGGGTTTGTCCTTTTGCACAAAGTGGTTTATGTAATCGTAGCATGTGACTTTTGGCTCCAGCCAAGCCGCATGATAAACCAAAAGCGGCCGTGAGCGGCCGTGCATAAAGCAGAAATTCGACATGATGAGAGTTGGACGAGAGGGAAGACAGGATCAAAGAAGGTGGCATTCATGAGACAAACTTTGAGTGCTTTGGGAGACGGCAGCTCTGATAGAATCTCCCAAACCACGTCCGAAAACATTTGATACGCGCGGGACACAACGATTAGCCATACATCTGTATGCAAGCCATCCGCCCAAGAAGACCTAGCCGCTAGCGAAGGCTGGAAAATGAGCAAGTAAGATACGTCGCGCTTTGTCTCCGAACAGCACGTATCAGGAGTAAGTCGAATTGAAGCTCGTCACCAGTGCATACAGCATCCCACTTTCACTTAAATACCTCTAGAGGATCGCGCCCTTTCGTCACTTCTGGAATCTCTCAACATCTTGAGCATCAGCCCTGCCTGGAGCCACATCTCGTCGTCTGGGTCTTGGTCGGCAACGAACAAGGTATGGAGGAGATTGGGGAAGATGAAGATTCTGTCGACCAATCGTGCAAACGTCAAAGGGTATTCCAACTGACCAGACATGGAGAGGGTCCCCAAGCAGCTCAAGAATGGGCATCGAGTCCGCAGTGGGTAGTTGGCATCCATCGATGTGCATGCCTAGATATCGCAACTTCGGGAGCATCTGGGCAACGGCGACAAGCATCCCGAACCCCAAAGCCGGCGTCGTCAGGGTAAGCAATTTGAGGTTCGGCCAGCATGACAGCAATTTGATAACATCATGAAGTGAAAGTGCTGAAAAAATAGGAGGCGAGACATTAAATGTCGTCAGGTCGTATTGTGATAGATGTTCAAAAGTCTTGAGTGACAGATTGAGATTTGATCCGTCACCCAGCTGGGATACGGAACTCAAGAAAAAGCACTTGAGTTTGGACGTGGTAATGGCGAGGATACGGAAAAAGTTTTCTCAGCGAGTAGCTTGGCTTTCGTTGATTCCCCTGAATGAGGAAGAGATCGCTAATCCCTCGAGGTTCGGCATACTCGCATTCTGGAGAAGGCTGCACAGGTATGGAATCAGACATAAAACGAAGGCAGCGGAGGGCAGGGAATGGCGTTACTTGTTTATGGGTCGTCGATGGGCCTGAAAAGAGATGAAAATCACGGATGACGAGAGATACAAGAGAGTCTGAGCAGGAAAGGCCCAGCAAGAAGTTGATGTCGAGCTGCGAAGATTTATATGCTGCATCGACATGAGAGACCTTGAGCTTCAGGCGGTGCATGCGAGATGCCGCACTCAGACAGGCTGCGCTCCACACCGTTGAAACGTCAATGGAGGCCAGATTTGCTGTTATCCTCTGAATGGAATAGAGGGTGGGAGCGGAGGCCATACGGTCTTCAGGATGAGTTCCACGGAGGGTGACCGTTCGGAGGGAAGGGGACAAGAAAAAAAGAGTCTGAGGCTCCCAAATATCTCCATAGATTCTGAGGGTCATCAACTTGGGTAGAAGGCCCTTGTAGTTGGAATGCTTGGATATAACCGGAGAGGGCAATCCTTGACCGTATCTTGTGTACGAGCGGACTCGACTGGCATAGGCGACGAAGGTCCTGCGCTCCGACTCCGAAATTGGGCCGCGGATGTCTCCAAGCTACACGTATCCAAATATTGGCAGTGAAGTCAAAGCCTCTGTTGAAGGACTCACTATGAGAGCATTCTCTTCGTCTCGAAACGCCAGCTCGAGATGCAACAGCAAGCAAAATAGAGGTGCTAAGTGCTCCATATTTTTCTATAGCTAATCCAACCCAGGGTTTTTGAAGGCGTGGCAAACCAGCGCAATGCTCAACATCATCATTTGTCTCTCGATTGTCTCGAAGCCCCACCAGGCGCATGACAAGTTTTCGAAAATTTCAAGAAGAATCTCTGGAACTTGGAGGGCGCGATGCATTTTAGCGATAATCGAAGGACGAAGTCCTATGCTCGAGAGTAAGAGAGAAAGAAAAATCATGACGCGTACTAAGGAACTTGCGAACAGTGTGCGACTGATTATGTCATCAGCCCGCGCCGGCTGCCACTTGATCCGACATGAAGAACTTGAAGACGACGTCGCGATCAAAGATCGAAAAGACTAGGGCATTACTGATTCTAAGAGACATAGGAACTGGCATTATCAAGCTATCAATTGAGTGGGACACCAGTGGAAGATCGCCTTCTTGATTGATCACCTCAAGCTTGCTTTAAAGCCTCTAACCCAGAGAAAATAATTTACATCCATGAGACCAGCAAGATAAATTGAACACTGACCAAATTTGTGGCAAGCGCATACAGCTCCCTATTTCACCTACCGGCGCGCATTCTTTCATCGCCTCTGGCTTCCCTCAGCATCCAGATCAACATCCCTGCTTGCACCCACAATTGATCGTCATGGGCTTGGGAAGGGGCTTGGGAAGGAGAGAATACGGGATAGCGGAGACAAGGGAAAACTCTGTCGATCATACGTGCCAAGGTCAAAGGCCGCATCAAGTGACCAGACATCATGAGAGTATTCAAGGGGTGTTCAAGAACGGGGATCGAGTCTGTAGCGGGAAGTTGGCGTCCGTCGATGTCGATGTTGAGGTATGCGAGCTTTGGGAGAGACTGCGCTATGACGACAAGTACCTCGAACCCTAGAGCCGGCGTCCTCAAGGTCAGCGACTCCAGGTTCTTCCAACATGAGAAGAGTTTCGAGATGTCGCTCAATGAAAATGTCGAAAGGATAGGAGGGAAGACGGAAAATGTGATCATATCGTACTGCGATAAGCGTTCAAAATCCTTGATCGACAGGTTGATATTTGACCAGGAAGCGTCGTTTGGCAAGATCTTGGAAGCCAGGACAAAGCGCTTGAGATTGGACGCAGTGGTCGGGAGGATGCGGAAGAAATCGGTCCAATGAGTGGCTTCACCTTCGTCGATTTGCCTGGGTGAGACGTCGACGTCCAACTCCTTGAGATTTGGCATTTTTGCGTTCTGGAACAGGTCGGCAAGTGGGCCCATAGATGTGAGACCTGAGCTGATACGCAGGTTTTAGAGGACAGGAAATGTCGTTGCTTGTTTAATACCAGAAAAGAGGCAGAAATTTACGATGGAGAGAGTCAAGAGAGACTCTGAGCAGGAAAGGCCCAGCAGAAAGTTGATGTCGAGTTGGTAGGGTTCCTGCATATTACCAGGATAAGTGATACTGAGATTCTTCAAAAAAGACATGCTGGATATTGCATTCTGCGAGGTGGCGCTCCACGGCGTTGATACGTCGATCTTGGTGAGGTTTGCTGATACTCTCTGGAGGCTATGGAGGGCCGAACCGAGGCGAAGGCGGTGTTCTGAATCGGTTTCACGAAGGGTGACTGTACGGAGAGAGGGAGAGAAGAAAAAAAGGATCTCCGGTTCCCAACATTTTGCATACACGCGAAGTGTCCTCAGATTGGGCAGCAGAGAAAGACGGTTTGTGAGCTGTAAGCCTTGGATGTAAGCGGCAAGAGCAATATTTTCTTCGCCGAATCTTCCATACGAGCGGACTCGATTGGCATAAGTGACGAAGGTCCTGCGCTCCGACTCCGAAATGGGGCCACGAATATCGCCAAGCTACAGGTATCCCAGTATCATGAGGATAGCGTTCATGAGACCGATGAAAAGATAGGCTTACTGCTCCAACCTCCTCCTCCTCCTCCTCTTGTGACGCCGGCTCGAAATGCGACAACAACCTGAAGAGAGGTGTGATATCTCCCATATTCTTCCACAGCTGATCCAAGCTAGGGTCCTTGAAGGCGCGACATACCAGGGCAACGTTCAGCATTATCGTCGGTCCGGCAGTGTCAAAGGACCACCAAGTTTGCGACAAGATTTCAAGAATCTCGAGAAGAATCTCTGGGATTTGAAGCGCGCGATGCATTTAGCGAAATTAATGGACGAGAGGCCTTGTGGTCACTGGTAGGAGTATAGCTAGCACAGGGCCTGGAACTTGAGGCCTGAGGGTTGAAAAGAAGGTTCTTTAAACTGAAAGAAGTTTCGTGGTAGAGTGACCACGTGATCTATCCGAGCTTCATTTAGTCCTACGTTTTAAGCAGCAGCCATCTCTAATGGAAGACCTGTATGCTTTCCCCTAAGATCATTGTCGAACTCCTCTGCCTGAATAATCGGTTCCGATTGGTCGTTCCATAGAAGGACGCCAACAAGTCATTCTTCCTGTGCGCAGGCAGTGTCGTTCCGCTAGGGGAGTACGGCCATGGTTATCCTGCTACTTACACAAAATAAATGAACTCTCGCCCGATATGATCACATCGAAGACGCCAAACATATTCCTATTGGCACTATGGTGGGATTCGTGCAACCAGTGGTGGGCGCACCGTCTCCGTGGACCGCGCGTTGCCCACCGCAAGACAGGGTTCTTCGCGAACATGTTCCATGCCAGGGCATTGGGGGCGGACGATCATATCCGTGGCGGGAGGAACGCCCACTATCCCCGATTCAAACCAACATAATGGTTAAACATAACCTGTCGAATACACTGTGCTGCAACCAAACCCAATAATGGAAGATGTCTACAGAAGGCACTGCCAGAAACAACTTCGACCGCTATCTGGAGAGCTCATCGCGACGAGCCTTTTGCATCTCGCGCAAGGACGACACCACCTCTTGTTCGGGGTCGTCAAGATCCCTAGGGCCCATGAAACCGAAATTATGCAGATACGGGAGCAACCTATCTAAGGATCCAGCAAGAGCCTTCAAGTCCTTGATCTCCCATTCTCCAGGGTCGATCAAAAGTTGGATCAGGTCGTGGTCCTTCAGGATCGGGACGGAATTGAGGGGGGGAAGGATGTTGAGGTTGACTTCGCCAAGGGCGAGCAGCCCGAGGTTGGGGAAAGCTTCAGCGAGTTCGATGATCGTCTGGAATGTAAATGATGTCGGTGGGCAGGTGGACAGAGAAAGAGACCGCATGTTCGGCCACGCAGATGCGAGAGCGGAAATATCTGCGTCTTTAATGGAGAAGACCGACCGCGGAGACTCGAACCCAACAAGCTTGAGCTTGAACAGGTCCGGAACATTGCGCAGCGTTAGGTTGTGGTTTTGCCATGTTATGCTGCTCATGTCGTGAATGTCCAGGAACTCGAACTCGGGTGATGTGTTCTCGACGAGCGTCCGGAAGAGATAGTTCCAATGCGGGACGTCGTCCGGCTCGCATTCTGTATTTATGGACAGGTAATTCAACTGTGGAAAACTCGCCGATGAGAGAAAATGGAGGAGGCGCTTGAACGGAATCCTTGGCCTGGGGGAGAAATGGAGGTCATTCAGAGTTGGGCAGATGGTTTTTGGTCTGGATGATGATTCGCCTGAGGCAAGGTGGATGTCTCCATCAAAATAGAGGCGTCGAAGATGTAGCATCGAGCATATGTCCAGCAGGGTATCGACGTCAGTTTGGAACGGGGTGTCGTCATTGGTGTGTCGCAGATGGAGCCATTGCAGGCCCTGCAGCCTCAGAACGGATACAAGCAGTTCCTTCGTTAAAAAGGTTTCGAGTCGCAGATGGGTAATGGTCTTGACTTGCTGCGGCAGTTGCTTCATGGATGTGTGAACGTAGTCGTCACTGTTTGGGGTTTTATTCTGCAAGATACGGAGAGTTCGAAGTTCTGCGGGGTGTGCGAGAAGGAGGGGAAGCTGTGGTATACTGTTCGTTATCGAGAGAATTCTTAAGGACGGAAGAAGGGTTTCCTGGTTGTATTCTTGCAGAACGCGCTCGTACGCAGATATATCGATACTTTCCTTGCCACATTCGTGATAGATCTGGATCCGTTTGCAAAACACCTCTAGCCGCTGCACAACCTCGTGTGCGATCGGTCCGTGGATTTTCCCAAGCTTTGAGATTCCATGTGAGCAAGAGGAAATAAATATATAATGTCAGAAGATATACGCACCGTACTAGCGTCAGTTGATGGCTGGAACCCAGGAATGAGGTCGAAGAGGGGAGTCAGATCGTCCATGTCCCACCACAGCCTATCCAGTGCAGGCTCAAGAAACGCCTTGCAGGTGAGCGCCGCGCTCAGCAACGACGATTTATCGGCAGGCTCCTCGATTACAGATTCAGCATGCCTCTTATAGTCTCCATCTGTCAGGATGGGAAGAAAATGATTGAAAATCTCGTTGAGGATTTCCGACGGGAGCTCGAGAATTGGGGTCATCTTGGAGTCTACACACGCAGCAAGGCGGTCGAAAAGCACTACGGCTTCGAGGAAAAAGAGGGGACGACCTAGAGGATATAGAAAGGAGTGCACTGCTGGATTGGAGGGCAGGATTATCGATGATAGTGAGAGTTTCTCATCAAGTTACATATTCACGGCGGTACCGAGTTCGCCGACGTCGATGATTGCTTACATAACAAGGTCACCATATTTGGGTGGGTGGACCTACACTCCAGACTCGAGAAGCTGCCATCCTGATTAGCGTCAGAAGGGGGAAAGAAAACACTGAAAAACACTCGAGAGCTGGAGAAAGTCGCATGTACATATTATCATTATCATCACGGTCGTAAAGTAGCGTCCAACACACTTTGTTACAGCAACGGTCTAGTTCTCGAATGACAGACAGCACAACGTCTTGAACGCAAGGTGGGGTGAGGCACAGCCTACATGTAAGGACCCGAATACGTCGTCTTCGTCCCACCGTACGGAGGCACTGGGTGCTGCTGTCGATGCTGCTGCTGATGGCCACCTTGCTGGTTCTGGTGGGGCGGCTGTGGCTGTTGTTGACCGTCCCTAGCGCGACTGCGCTTGGTTTCGATCTTGACGTAGTCGCTGTCCTCGCCCTTGGGCCCCGCAGCATCGTCTTTCTTGACGCCCATGTACGCCTCGCCCAGCATCTGTAGGGCTACAGCGCGAAGGATGGATTTCTCTCTTGGGATGTTCGGGTCTTCGAGCACGCGTTCGCAGACTTCGCGCAGGATGGACTCGACTTCGAGTTTCGTGCCCTAAAGTTCATTAATGAGGGTGGTTCATATATCGCGGATAGACACACAACGTACCTTGAAGAGAGCCTGGAGACCCTTTTCAGCCGCTTGCTCCTCGAGGCGTTTCTTCTCTTCCGGACTGAGGTTGCCTGCCTTCTCCGCTGCCTGGATTTGGTCGAACACCGATTTGAGCTCGATAGCAGCTCGCAGGGTCGACACCGTTTCACTGAAAACGTGGTATTTTCCTTGAACGTTGTGCAGCCATCCCCCAACGCCAAGGAATGACTGATTTGTCGCCAGGTGATGCTTGGCTTTGGACACGTAGACGAATCCGATAGTCTGCAGGAGTTCCACGCCGTAAGACTCGCGCTTGAGTTCGCTGTCGTAGTAGTGGGTGAGGGGATGGAGAAAGCACGAATGAAGGGTGTATGCTTACTCGGCTTCGAGTTCACAGATTGTTCGCCAGCTTGAGGAGACGTCTGGATCGTTCGGGCCAGTTGCTGATTCTGTGAAGATACCGAGCTTGCGTTCCAGGTTGTCGACGAGCTTCTTCACTCTCTCCGCGCGTGCGGCGGCTTTCTGTTGGAAAGATAAGAAAGTAGCCTCTGGTTAGAGCACTGATATTTACCTCTGCAGCTTTTTGTCGATCCTTCTCAGCCTTTATCCTGTCCTTCTCTTCCTTTTTCGCCCTCTCTTCCGGCGACAGGATCTCCCTTCCCTTCGCATCCTTCGGCCGTGGCTTGCCATCGTGCTCCTCAGCTTCTTCCGCATCCTCGGCCTCCTGTAGTGCTGTCTTCATATCGCGTGCCAGGCTGATGTTTCCAATGATGGGTACGAAGCGTTCGCCGCCGAATATCGCCCCGAAGACTTCCTCTGGGTCGACATACCCACCCTCAGGTGCACTCTCCTTCGGTCCAAACTCGTTGTACTTCTTTCGAAGGGCGTCATCGGATAGGGTCTGATAGGCGATTGCGATTTCCTTGAACCGCTCTTCTGCATGTGGGTCATCCGGGTTCTTGTCCGGATGGTGCTTGATAGCGAGCCGTCCTAAATTAACCCGGTTAATTGGCGAGGTTCGTAGAAGAAAACTGGGGACGCACTGTAGGCCTTCTTAATGTCATCTGTCGTCGCCGTGACCGGCACCCCAAGGATATCATAGTACCCCGTCTCTAGCGGGCGTTCTTGCGTCCCAATCTTCCTCCCCTTCCGCTGCTGCGCACCAGCTGAAGATGTTGACGACTTGTGCCCGTTGTTTGGCGTGCTTGTGCCCGATCGAGAGCTAGCAGCGACCGTCGAGGACGAAGGTATTTGTCCAGGGTAGAATGCGTGTGAGAGGATGTTCTGGCAGGCAAAACATCGTATTTGTAGGAGGGTCCCGGGGCGAGGCTGTGGGGCAGGCACCGGGAACTCTAGGGAAATACCGCATCGAGGATTAGAGCATGTCGTAGAAATATGAGGCAAAATGGGTCGCGAGGGCAGTACGGGGTATGAGGGGCTCATGTGGAAACTGGGGTATTCGTCGAGGTCGTCGTCGAGGACGGTGTCGAACGAGTCTTGCCGCTTGTGAAGGTATCATCGATTTTGGCCGTGTTTGTTCTCAAAGGCATCGCCCTCAATTCTTGTCGAGTCAGATCAGGGACCTCCGAGTCAACGATTTATCTACCACCATCAACTAGATCCCTGTCGAAATGGCCACCGCCGACGAGAAATACGAGCTCATAACGCGCAGATTGCAGGAGGTCCTTGGCGGAGACAGCGTCAAGGCGATTTTAGCAGAGGGACGGCAACCAAAATGCTACTGGGGCGCGTACGATCCAACCTTGCATTTCTACGACCGACTCAACTTGCATGTGTAGGAACGGCACCAACAGGGAGACGTACGTTTCGAAGGGTCTATTCGTGGCCTCTTTGCTGAAATTTGTCCAGCACATATCGGCTACTTCGTCCCATTAGTCAAAATCGCGGATTTTCTGAGGGCAGGCGTACACGTATGTCTGGTTTGATCTTCGCCTTTATGTCGGCCTGCTGACCCTTCAATGAAATTTAGGTCAAAATATTACTAGCAGGCGGGAAAGACTTCATTTAAATCCCTTCAGCTCGTCTAATTTCGGTGTAGATGTGCATGCATTCCTTGACAACATGAAAGCTCCCTTAGAGCTCGTCGGGCACAGAACAAAATACTACGAATACCTCCTTACGACCGTCTTTACATCCCTCGGCATTCCAACATCTGCACTCCAATTTGTGGAAGGCTCATCTTACCAACTTACAAGAGAGTACAATCTTGACAACTACAAACTCTGCGCGACGGTGTCGGAACACGACGCGAAGAAGGCAGGAGCAGAGGTCGTGAAGCAAGTAGAAAGCCCGCTGCTTAGCGGTCTGTTATACCCTGGTCTCCAAGCTCTCGATGAGCAGTACCTCGACGTGGACTTCCAGTTCGGAGGTGTTGACCAAGTGCGTCTATCGATTTTTTTAATTAGGCAATCCCTAAGACAATATCTAGCGTAAAATCTTCACTTTCGCCGAACTCTACCTGCCGAAGCTCGGTTATGCCAAGCGCGCTCACCTGATGAACGCCATGGTCCCCGGCCTCGCAGGCGGCAAGATGTCCGCCTCCGACCCCAACTCCAAGATCGACTTCCTCGACACCCCCGAGGCCATCCGCAAAAAGCTGAAATCAGCCTTCTGCGAAGAGGGCAACATCGAGGACAATGGCGTCCTCGCGTTCGTCGATGCCGTGCTCATCCCGATCTCGCAGCTGCGGCTCGAACGCCAATCTGGAGACACACTCCTCGAGGCGGGCCTTGGCGACCAACGGCCGTTCATTGCGGACGGCGCACCGCCTGGGACGGTGTTTAGTGTGGAGAGGGATGAGAAGTTTGGAGGGTCGAGCCATTATAAGGACTTCGCGGAGGTTCAGGAAGACTTTAAGAGCAAGCAGCTGCACCCGAAGGACCTGAAGGCGTCTGTGGCGAATGGAATCGTTCGGCTGCTGGAGCCCATCCGGAAAGCGTATGAGGAGAACGCGGACTGGCAAAGGGTCACCGCCCTTGCGTACCCCGACCCTAAAGCTCAGGTTGTGAAGAAACCAAAGAAGGTTCGTTTTCTTTCCGTTGGTTTTGAAATTAGTCCTCTGATGCCTTACTTGCAGGAGAAGGTCTACCATCCGCCTCCGCCTGGTAAGGGTAAGAACGCCAAACCTGTGGCAGAGAGCGCCGATGGCGCAGCACACTCCGCTGCTGAAGCCGCCAAGCAGCAGCCTGAGGCGAACTCTTAACAGTGTTTCAGACGTTGATATGACTGTTAGGATATCCCAGGAAGGTGTATGTTCTAACTCTAGAGGGATCGTTCCCATCCCGAGAAGAAATTCTAACATCAGTGCTTAAGTTTGGACTCAATTTTCACGGGAAACGGCGTGGAACTAAGAACTACTCTACCATTTGGCCAGTGACAAAGGAAGATTGTTGCCGAGCTCGAGTGTGGCGCATCGCCAATTGCCATTCCTGGAAGCTGACTTCCTCCTGCACAAGCGGCTTGTTCCGCACTCGAAATTTTATTCGGAACTCAGATTTGGCTCGGATTATCTCTTAATTCGCATATGAATGGGCAACATAAGGCTCGTAGCATATCGTAATTATAGCACATCGTTGAAGAGAATATAAAGATATCTTGGCAAAGAACTCCATAATTACACCTGGGGATTTAGGCGGGTGTCAACGAGCAGCCTCGGCGTCTCTCCCGCGTGACAGACACTGATTTTACCAGAGTGGTAAAGGAACATCAAGTAGCTGTCAACCCGGGTGTCCAAATAAACGAGAGCGGTGGTTGGTGCGACTCGCTCGACGATCTGGTGCCAGCCAACGTGCGTGCCGAGCGGATAGGTAACCTGTGGTTCGTCTTTCCCATTGAAATCGTGATTGAGATAGACACCGAACTGGATATCGCCAAGGAATCCGTACATGTGCGCAGCGTTGCGCTCGGTGAACTCGACCATCCGGGCGGTCGCTTCCGGGATGTAGATTTCGAGCTGAAGAATGGACTGGATTGCGGAGTGCTTGATGAGCTGAAGCATGGTGTGGTCGGAGAGGGTCGTGTCCCGGATGAGAAGGAGTTCGATAGACGACTGGACGGGTATAGTCCCGTCGTGCTTCGTCGGTCCGTAGAAAGTATAGTTCGCGAGGAAGCCGCTGAGGAGTTCGTAGTTCTCTGCCCACTGTGGGCTCTCAGCGGTCGCGGTGTTGATGATAAACAGAGACTTGAGGACCGGCGCGTCTATGAATGGAAGGATAGAAAAGACGTCATTCCCTGTAAGGGTGATTGTTCGTAGTTTATTGAACACGATACGCGGGCGGAGGGCGGTGACCCAGTCGACCGGCCTGGAGGTAAGGGGCCACGGGTTGATTGTGTGGCCAAGGGTCTTCGGGTCCCATTCAAGGTCTTGAAAAATGATACTGACAGTGTCCTCGTTAATTGTAGAGAGCAAGTTGAGGCACTCAAGGAGCCCAAGTTTATCTTTGATTACGAAGGATTTGTGGTCATCGTCCATTGCAAGTGTTGGTGAGGGATTGGGTGTGATTGGAGGTTGGGTTGGGAGAGGGTGCTTACGGTTGACGTCGTTTGTAGCCTGATATTTATACGTCCTGTAGTTTGTGGCCTTGTGGCTCTGGTAGCTAGGGGAGAGCCACCAGATTGTACCAAGCGTAGCCGGAAATAGTGGCCCAGGGCCACAGACCATTTTAGGCAAACGAGCGCCCGTCTAGGGAGCACGCAGCTGGCGCGTTTCCTTCCCTTCCCTTGACCCTGTGAGATGCTGTCAGGATACACGGGCCGCTTGCGAAAGGGGCGAATGCTGTTGGTATTTTGGGAATTCCGAATCCGAGGAACTACGTCCACAGCCCCAAGAACGGAGAAGGGACGTCCTTCAGGCCTCAGGGCTCATTAATGACCTATTACCTTGCTCATGTGTTATAGTATGCTTGCCAGATGCCAACCAGATGCTTCAGCCAGTTCTTTGGGACTGCACCAGCGAGTCTAGCAAGTCATTTTCTCGATCATTTTTGTGTCTCTCGAAGAGAAAGAAGGCACATGCTTACTTATCATACGTAACATAATTTTTAGCCTTTTTTCAAGTCACCAGAATGATATCATTTGCAAGAAAGGGCGTACTATAGTGACTTCAATGACAAACGGCTTCGCCAGGTGGGTAAGGCTGGAGATCACGTGCATCGTCTTTCTGGTGACGTGTGACTGTGACCGGCCTAGTAAGTTTGACTCGACAGGCGCTGGCGTTCACTGCAACTTCAACATCGACCTCAACCACGACGGCAGTAGGAACGCAACATGTCAGACTCCAAGCCGAAAGAAAACCCGTATCTTGCACATCTTCCACCATCTCAGCGCGGTGTAAGCACTCCTGGAGCGAAGGATCCACTTTATGGCTTTTTGCCACGGAGGGTCAAGGGGGAGCAAGTGAAAAATGCGATGGTAAGTACAGGATTCCGCAATTCGCAACATACCTTACATCCTCAAAGGACGGAGACGTGAATCCATTCACGAAGCAACCGCATTCGGCGCAGTACAAGAAGATCTTGGCCGCCCGCAGAAAGTTGCCCGTTTTCACTCAGATGGACGAGTTTCTGAAGATTGTAAGTAATGGTGTCCTACGCCTTTAGGAGGGGTTTGAGAATACCTCTTTAGTGATAGGCCCGTCTGGGTCGCAGATTTCACCAGCAGCTAACGCCCTATCTATGCCCTGTAGTTCAGTGAAAATCAGATCATCGTCATGGTTGGAGAGACTGGATCGGGGAAGACGACTCAGTGCGTATTTGCAGCTTTGATTGATGATATCTTTCTAACATTTCTTGACAGAATACCCCAGTTCGTGGCGTACTCAGATCTACCACACACCAAGGGCAAGCTTGTGGCATGCACACAACCGAGACGAGTTGCAGCAATGTCGGTAGCGAAACGCGTCGCAGACGAGATGGATGGTGAGTCGTCTTTTTTTCTTCTTTCAAATCTGTCGCTCACGCTCGCCCAGTCCAACTCGGAAGACATGTCGGCTACTCGATTCGTTTTGAAGATATGACAGAACCTGGCACGACTTTCCTAAAGTACATGACTGACGGTATGCTTCTTCGTGAAGCCATGAATGATCCCAAGCTTGAACGGTACTCTACCATCATCCTCGACGAAGCACACGAACGCACCCTCGCCACGGATATCCTCATGGGCCTGCTGAAGAAAATCGCGAAGACACGGTCCGACCTCAAAATCATCGTTATGTCTGCCACGCTTGACGCAGTCAAGTTCCAAAAATACTTCAGCGTCCGGTCGGGTGTTAGCGCGCCGCTGTTCAAGGTGCCCGGTAGAACACATCCCGTCGAGGTGTTCTACACGCAGGAACCTGAGCCGGACTACGTGGAGGCGGCCCTCCGGACCGTGCTCATGATCCATCGAGCCGAAGATCCTGGCGACATCCTGCTATTCCTTACGGGAGAAGAGGAGATCGAGGACGCATGCAGAAAAATCAAGATCGAGGCGGACGACTTGATCAACCAAGATCCTGATTCTGTTGGGCCCCTCGTCTGCATACCGCTTTACTCTTCCCTGCCGCCACAGCAGCAGCAGCGTATCTTCGACCAAGCACCGTCGCCACGGGTGCCAGGCGGTCCACCTGGTCGAAAAGTTGTTGTCTCGACTAACGTGGCGGAGACGTCGCTCACGATAGACGGCATCGTGTACGTCGTCGACCCCGGGTTCTCCAAGCAAAAGGTGTACAACCCCCGGATACGAGTCGAAAGCTTGCTTGTCAGCCCGATATCTAAGGCGTCTGCACAACAGCGAGCGGGTCGTGCCGGTCGTACACGTCCTGGGAAATGCTTCCGGCTTTACACGGAGAAGGACTTCATGAAGCAGCTGGAAGAGCAGACGTATCCTGAGATTCTGAGAAGTAACTTGAGTAATACGGTGCTTGAGCTGATGAAGCTTGGTATTACTGTGCGTCTTTGCGATTTAATGAGTTCCTTCTTTTTTCATTAATCTGCATTTTTTCAGGACCTCGTTTCATTCGATTACGTCGACGCACCTGCCCCAGAGACTTTGATGCGTGCTCTGGAACTCCTAAACTACCTCGCTGCTCTCGATGATGATGGCAATATCACTCCTCTTGGGAAGATGATGGCCGAGTTCCCACTCGATCCTCAAGTGTGTCCGCTCCATGTCCCACTAATCTTCCGTCAGTCTGACATAGATTTACCTAGCTTGCGAAAATGTTGATTGTCAGCCCCGAGTTCAAGTGCAGTAATGAAATATTGACAATTACTGCTATGTTGTCGGGTAAGTGTATTTTTGCATAGAATCTCTTCATCTCTCACCAACATGTTTAGTACCCAACGTCTGGATGCGCCCGAACAACCAACGACGCGAAGCAGACGCTGCAAAGGCCAAGCTCACGGTGCCGGACGGCGACCATTTGACGATGTTGAATGTCTACAACCAGTACATGCAGAGTAAGTTAGAGAGTCTACCCAGGTCACAAAGGCTAACGTCGCCGTAGATAAGCACGATAAGACCTGGTGCTGGAATAACTACCTGAACCAGCGTGTCCTTGTACAGGCCGAAAACGTTCGAGCACAGCTACAACGCAACATGGAACGTTTCGAAATCGACCTCGTTTCGTTATCGGACGAAAGGAAGCTCTTCATCCACATTCGACAAGCCCTCATCTGCGGCTTCTTCATGCAGGTTGCGCACAAGGAGGGCGAGAAAGGGAACTACCTCACCGTGAAGGACAACCAGGTAGGTTTGGGCTCCCCTTATCGATGTCGCAACGAGTCTATTAAGCTCACGATTCCCCGTCCAGGTCGTTGCTTTACATCCGTCGTGCGGTCTAGACACCCAGCCTGAATGGGTCATCTTTAACGAGTTCGTGCTGACCACCCGACCGTACATCCGGACGGTGTCCGATGTAAGAGTTGAATGGTGCGTCCTCTTTCTCTTGGTCTCGTCCTCATGTTGATTGTTTACTCACGCATGGGGTTTGGGATGTGTGATGACAGGCTTGTTGAGTTCGCGGCGAACTATTTTGATCTCGCTTCGTTCCCCGATGGAGAAACGAAGCGTGCACTGCAAAGGGCGTGGGCGAAGAGGTCGGGCAAGGATGTAAGTTGCGGCGATGGGAAGGGCGACGGGAAGAAGGTATCGAAGAAGAGGAAGATGGATGGGTCTGGCCAGGACGGACGGGGTTGAGTGGCGCATATCGCTGCCGTCACTCGCGACCTCGCCACACCGTTCTGGGATTGGGGGTGGGGTTAGCTGGAGCTCGGCAGAGAATGGACGTCAGCTTTCTGTCACGGGTGGGTATTCACCGGCTGGTCGCACTGTCCGGCACGTACCAGCAGGTTTTCACCGTTTAGATGTTGTCTTGATTGTAGATTGGCTTTCTCTTCCTTCACGCTTCGTTTCCCTCTTCTTGGTTCTTGATAGACCTGTCTGTAATGATGGTGAAGTGTCGACTGGACCTTGGATGAGTATGGTCTTTCTTGTACACTGCTTACTGCAAGCATCGGTATGCATTTTTTTGCTTCGTATTCTTCAGTACTGCGTTGCACGCCCATTTAACTTTTGGTGGAGCTGGTGAGGGGGCATCAATCGCACAACGAGCCACCGTATCGCGATATCGGGCGAAAGGGCCTCCGAGGTATTTGGTATCGTTGAAATATCCGCTCTCCATGCCCAGACGACGATGGTATTTTTATTCTGTTCGGGAGGGCGGCACGGGAATGTATTTACGGAAGGGAACACATGAACTGCGCCCAGGATGACACCGCCAAGGGCAGTTTTTCCCCCGTCCGCCTTCTCACCTCGATGAATGGGATATGCATTAAAGATAAATCCTCAGAGCAATGAGACGAAATGAATAGCACTGTCTGGAATAGCGCACCCTCACGCCCGAGCCTGTCCTTCCTCTAAGATTGTCGCCCATGAGAAGCCACAACGATATAAGAATTCAATTGATGGACGCAGAATAAAAAGAAGCGTCTGAGCCGCCGACATATCGTAATTCCAAGATTTTCGTTCTCCACAAGCGCATGATGGATCTGTATACTGAAATAGACAGTCAGTTTATCCATTCCTGCAGCCTCCAGGGTTCGTTCCAACTTGCAAGTGACGCCATTGAAAAAAATAACTAAGTGCTTGGTAAGTGCTCCAGAATGGTTTGTATTAATAGGGTAGATACTGGGCGCTCCTAGGCTATAATACTTCTCGTACGAGCAGTTATTCGGAGCACCGGGATGTGAGATTTCGGGGATGAGAGATCGCAGAGATGGTGGGGAGTTTCCTCATCCGGCTGTTTGGAGAGTTCAGCCGATATTTGGAGTCATTTGGTGCTGCAGTCCTGTGATCATGCACTCGTTCTCCCGCTTCTTCTCTCCCCGTTAGCGACGCCTCACGAGTAAGTCCTTTGTATGATCCCTTCCATTGGAGGTCCATTCTGACGCTCGGGGCGGTTCTTTATCCCAGGAATCAACAAATGGGCCAATTAGCGACCCCGCATCTCACAGGGCCATTATTTTGTGGGGACTGGCTATCAAATTTATGTGTTCCATTTGCGGTTACGACTGGTTCCACCGCGTCTTCTCCACCGCCAGTCCTCTAATCACGAAGAATCGTGAAGCTTGATGCATGTGGTACTCCAAACCTGTATGCATACAGACGAACTACTCGGAATGATGCCATGATTCATCAGGAAGCGAAGCGCTACATAAACCGGGACGGTTTCGCGTTCTGTAGTCCTTGCTCCCGGGCCCCACCTTCTTCTTCGCTTCTCACAATGTCGGCTGAAGGCAAACTGAGCGAGAACGAGAAAGATAGCTACGATGAAGAGAAGGGCGCTGTCGTCACTCACGTCGACCTGGCGAACAACGTCCAGGCAAAGTACGATTAGCTTTGCCATCGCCATTCATTCCGCCCTTGCTCATGAACGCTGAAGAATCCAGAACCCACTGTACGGTATCCCGCGCAAGACATTGCTCAAGAACGTCGAAAGGTTCGTGCAAGAGAAAGACCTAGAAGATAAAACGGATCTCTTCAAGAAGGCGGCTCTGTTAGCTCAAAACCCCAAAGAGTTTGAGGAGATCCCCGAGTTGACGGAAGACGACAAGTATCATATTCGCCGCGAGACGACTAGTATGTGTTGACTTTCATACCTGAGAGATGGCTTATCATTTGTTAATCCCTCCTAGATCGATGGAGTCAGTCAAGAGACCTCTACTTGACAGTTGTTATCTGCAGTTTGGCTGCTGCTGTCCAGTAAGCAGCGTCTAGCTTTCATGACCATCGAGCGAGGTTAATCACCGCCGAAAACAGAGGATGGGATCAGACTGGATCCAACGGCGCCAATTTGTCCTTCCCACAAGAGTTGGGTCTCGCATCGGAACCGGGCCATCCACGGGCGGAAATCAATGACTGGATTGTTGGGTTAATCAATTCTGGGTGAGTATCAGCTCACTATACATCGGGCTTGCTGAGCGATTTGCCATAGGCCATACATCGCGACGTGTCTGATTGGGTGTTGGCTCACCGATCCCCTAAACCACTTCTTCGGACGTCGAGGGACTCTGTTCTGGTGTGGCATCTTCTGTACGTTCAGCGTTATCGGTCAAGGCCTTGCCCAAACCTGGGAACAACTATTCGTACGTTCGTTCCAAGCATTCCTCCTTTCACTGTAGTTAATTATCCTTTCAGGTCTGCCGCCTGCTCCTCGGACTCGGCATGGGCCCCAAAGCGACTACCTCACCCGTCTTTGCCGCAGAAAACGTCCCCGCCAACATCCGAGGAGGTCTCGTCATGTCCTGGCAAATGTGGGTGAGTACCAGGGGATCGTCGAGCTTATGAGTTTCGTGGGTGCTGAAGCTTCGCATTTCAGACGGCATTCGGTATCTTCCTCGGCTTCTCTGCCAATCTAGCTCTGCAAGGAACAGGGGACATCGCGTGGCGCCTCGAGCTAGGTTCCGCGTTCCTGCCTGCCGTCCCTTTGACTATTGGGATCTACTTCTGCCCGGGTACGTCCCTCGATTTGAGCTAAACGGCTTCGAGCGATAAGCTCGTGTTGATCACCGCTAGTCCACACACTTATTCTCACTTGATAGAATCACCTCGTTGGTACATGAAGAAAAATCGCTACAAGGACGCCTACAAATCGTTCTGCCGCCTACGAAACAGCGAGATTCAGGCCGCGCGCGACCTTTACTACGTCCACTGTCAGCTTGTCGAGGAGTTGGCGGTCCTCAAAGGCACAAACTACTTTATGCGCTTCTACGAGCTCTTCACCATCCCCCGCAACCGTCGCGCTACGCTCGCGAGCTGGGTCGTGATGATCGCGCAGCAGATGTGCGGCATCAACATCATCGCATTCTACTCGTCCACGATCTTCGTCAACGCTGGCTATTCTTCCAGGCAGGCCTTGCTGGCTTCGTGGGGTTTCGGGTTGGTTAATTGGCTGTTTGCGTTCCCGGCAGTGTGGACGATCGATACGTTTGGACGGCGGAATTTGCTGTTGTTCACGTTCCCGAACATGGCGTGGACGCTTTTGGCGGCTGGGTTCTGCTTCTACATCCCCGAATCGAGCTCTGCGAGGGTTCCGCTCATTGCGTTCTTCATTTTCTTCTTCGCAGGTAAGTGCCATACTAGTGGACGCCTCCCTGGGAGACGAGTTGATATGTGTCCCTCAGCGTTCTACTCGCCTGGTGAAGGTCCCGTTCCATTCACTTATTCTGCGGAGGTCTTCCCGCTCACGCACCGAGAGATGGGAATGTGAGTCGATCTTCCTCTTCCGATATTCTCAAGCTAATCCTAATCCTCACATCTCCAGGTCATGGGCCGTCGCAACGTGCTTCTTCTGGGCCTCTGTCTTATCGCTAACATTCCCCCGTCTACTGAGTGCCTTCGGGAGCGTCGGGGCTTTCGGGTTCTACGCCGGTCTGAACGTCGTCGCCTTCGTCATGATCTTCTTCCTCATGCCTGGTACGCCAAGCTCATTTCTCATCTCTTTGCAGCTGCTAACCCTCTGATTTCTCTCCTCTTTTTCGTTCCCCTGTTCAGAAACGAAACAACGCACCCTCGAGGAGCTCGACTACGTCTTCGCCGTGCCCACCTCCAGGCACGCTTCCTACCAACTGAAGACCTTCCTTCCATACTGGATTCGCCGCTGGGTGCTCTTCCAGAAGGTCGAGCTCAAGCCGCTCTACAACTTTGATGAGGTCGAGTCGATTACGGTCTTCGAAAAGGGTGCTGGGCACTAGACTCCGCAGAATTTAATGTCTTGGATTTACTGCCAGTTTTACTTCAGCACCACAGCCTGCGAGCACCCCACCACCACCACCCACCTCACGCTTTTTGAATGACTCTTTTTTTCTTGTTTATCCACTCTGTATCATCTCTTGTATTTTAGAAAATGTCCGCCATGAATTATGAATGTTCTTGATAGGCCCTCTACACCTCGCACAACTACCCAGAAGAAATGTCAGCGAACAGGACGGATGGGCGGCCCGATTTTGCCGATAGCGGGTTGCCACCAAAACGCCAAAACGTACGTTTTTCATGAGCAACCACCATCCACTGTCTCATGCATTCCTCTGGCCTCTCAGAAAAGTTGAAATCATTCTTTCGATTTTCCTTCAGTCACTTTATCGAACGATTTCGCTTGCCAAATTTGATTTGACAAAAATGCAACAGAAATCGTACCACAGGCGTCAGTGATACATAACTGGGCTCACAGCGGCCTTCAACCACAATGGCGACCGTTCTCAACCCTCGCACGACGGAGTACGAGTTTCTGGGGCCAATAGGCGCTCTCCTCATCAGCGTGAGCACCCCAGTAGCGATATATGCGCTATATTTCGGGTGCTCTGAGGTGGCTGGCGGGTGCCCATCTCAAATATCCTTCGAAAGCGTTCTTCAAGCACTCTCGAGTCTCGAATGGTGGAAGGGACTGTGGGATACGGAGGCTACGCTGATTTACCTGGCGTGGTATGCGTTTTGCGTCATTTCATGGGCAGTCCTTCCTGGGGACGTTGTTGAGGGGACTCCCTTACGCACGGGCAAGAGGCTGAAGTACAAACTTAATGGTGAGTCAATTAAACCTTTTCTGACCTATCTCAAATCGTCTCTTGGATTAGCTTTCTCGACCCTCTTGTTGACAGTCGGCCTGACCACGGGATGGATCATGGCTAATGGACCAGAGTCGTTCACCTTCATCTACCACAAATGGGTTGGCCTAGTCACTGCCTTTCTCCTGCTGGCCTTCGTAGAAGCGACTTATTGCTACATTGGGTCCTTCCAACAAGGAAAGTTGTTGGCATTGGGTGGCAATACCGGAAACGTTATCTACGATGTGAGTCCTATCCTCTCATAATGAGATCCCGGGGGAAGATCCTCACCGTCGATCTTCATCTTCACAGTGGTTCATCGGACGCGAACTAAACCCTTCGATCGGCGTCTTCGATATCAAAACCTTCAATGAACTTCGACCTGGGCTCATACTTTGGCTCCTGATTGACATGAGCATGGTTTGCGAACAAGCCACGCGTCGCGGTGGTTTCGCCAATGTAACAGACTCAATGTGGTTGGTCCTCCTTTTTCAAGGAGCATATATCGTCGACTCTCTCTACAATGAGGTATGTCCATTCTGAGAAAACTTGTGCTCCTCTTATCCAATTTTTAGGCGGCGCTCTTCACTACGATGGACGTTATAACAGATGGCTTCGGATTTATGCTGGCTTTCGCCATCGGTTTTGTCCCCTTCACATACAGCCTCCAAGCACGCTACCTCGTGTTCCACCCGGTCGATCTCGGCTATCTCGGGGTCATCGGTGTGGTCCTGGTCAACTTCGTGGGATATTACATCTTCCGCACGGCCAACGCCGAAAAGAACGATTTCCGCAATGGCCAGAACCCGAAGAGTGAGCTCGACTGCTGCCTGCACTCGCGTCTTCCTTAATCCTCGGCTTATCCTTTGCCCCAGACCTTAAGTTCATGACCACCGCCAGAGGGTCGAAACTCTTGACTTCTGGATGGTGGGGTCGTTCTCGTCACCCTAATTACCTGTGAGTTGGCCCTGCTTCCCCCCCTCTTCTTCCATTTCGCTTCTCAGTATCTCATTATTATTCATTTGCAGGGGTGACCTTCTAATGGGTCTCGCCTGGTGTCTCACTACTGGCTTCGAAACACCTATCACATATTATTATATCGTGTTTTTCACCATCCTTCTTATCCACAGACAACGCCGTGATGATGAAGCCTGCTACAAAAAGTAAATGCCCAATTCTTTTAGATTACTTTTTGCTAAACGATTCATATAATTTGTAGGTATGGCGCCGATTGGGTGAAGTACACGAAACTGGTTCCCTACCGCATTATACCATATGTTTATTAGCCCAGGGTCTCAATTTCACCGATCCGACTTTTCACGATACTGTTGAAACAACATTTTGCAAGCGCCAGAAGATCGGCCCGATATTTCCGGTAACCCATTACACTGACAGAAGTCTACTGGGCGAACGTTCCTCCAATCCCTACTCCATGATACATTCCTATACTCCGCAATCATTCCACTTGTATCTCGGAAGATACTCTGATGCGGTCTTCTCGGTTGGCTTCATAATTCTCTCGGATACAAATTCAACGACCACCCACGGCCATCGACCCAGCGGGGCATCTACGAGATACATGCTTACGGTGTATTACAACAGTAGTCGACTACATTCTTTCCACTGGCTACCCAACCCCTGCTACCTATTGGAACGTCCTAAAAATACCTGGATGAGCCTTTCTTGACAACTCATGCGCGAAAATACGCCGACTTGGACGCGAAAAACGCGCATGCCATTGATCGAGGGTGATAGACTCGCCTTGCCGAGTCGATCCGTCGCAAGAACTACCTCTCGACTTGTTTCCTCGGGTTGAACCTCGAAGCTGATAGGTTGGTTGTCCTCCTTCGTCGCCGGTTCAATTACTTGCTGGTTTGAGCCCAAGGTATATATAAATGCTGAACCTTGAATGGCATTTCCATCGGCCTCTCGAGTCTCCACGTCGAGATCTTAATCCAGACTCTGAAACTTGACAAGCAATGATCCTCCTTCCACTCCTCATTTCACTCTTTTCGCTCCTGGGCGTCGCATTTGGCCATGCCGTTGTGACAAGGCCTCCACCGCGTGCCGTGAGTCGAGACTACCCCATCACCCGGCTTCGTATCACAGCCTCGATCCTGCTCGATCGCACAAACGTCGCCAAGATTCATGTAGATCCGCTAACGCGCGACTTCCGTGTCAGGTCGGACCAGCTACGCGTGCCGCGTGTGGCGCAGGGGTCTACGCTGTCCTCTCCTCCGGTAGGTCTCCCATAAAAACCACAGTGCCCAGAACGCTTATCGGACTTGTCCGTCTGGCTCGCACGGCCTGGGCGTTTAGATAATACCGCTCCTGTAAGTTCTTCCTTTTCTTGCTATCTCCAAGATGCTTTCTGACATATCTGTCCAAGATTGAATATGCTACACCGAGGATCGATTTGGGCTACAACGCGACTGCCTGCCCGATCTCGTTCTGCCGGGGTTTGAACGTACGTCTTGTCCCATTCGTCTTTGCACCCGTAAGAGTTCTCATCAGTCCCTCTCGGATTATTATTTCTGCTAGTTCGAAGACAACAGAAACAACGTCCAGACGTTCACCGCAGGTCAGACGATCCCATTCCAAGTCAGTATCCGAGTGCGCCACAATGGATTTGCGGTAAGCAGTATTACTGCCGCGAATATTCCCTTAGCCGACGATCGCTTCTTTTGTTCTAGAACGTGTCTGTGGTACGCAGCAACTTCACTCGATTGGGGAGGGAACCCCACCGCACCCATTGACTGACTGGTTATTTGTTGTCTGCTTCTTCCTATAGGTTGACACCCAAACGCGGACCACGATTGGTGCGCCTCTTTTTACGTGGCCCCTGTACACCGATACCACGCTCCAGCCGTCTCAATACCCCAAGAACGAGAGTGGGTTATATTGTCCCTGACGCCCGAATCCCGGGCTCACAGAACCACGAGCAACTGGCTGACTGTTCTTCTGTTCTTTCCTTTGCGTTTTACAGCCGACTTCAGCGTTACCCTTCCCGACCTTGGCACACGCTGCACTGCAACCGGAGCATGCGCGATTCAATGGTGGTGGATTGGTTCGAACCAGCAGACGTACATGAGTTGTGTTGACTTCGTAACGGTGTAGTGCTGCATCTCCGAAGGCTGTACTGTACGGACTTCTTTCTCCTGGGTCCTAGTCTTATGATCATGCACGGTTTTGGGTAGTTTAAAATGAATCTGCCCTCGGTACAGGGCTTAGGGTGGTGCAGATTACACATCTCGTTCGCGGCACAGCCAATAGTATTGGTACAAGTGATATAGGTGATATACAGAAAACCCCCGAAGTAGATATAAGTTACAAGATGCCCAATTCGTGTATGCCCTAGTGTCCGGAAGAAAACAAAAAGCGGAACGATGCTACAGGTAGAGATACAATGTGCGTTAAATACGATGAGTCAGTGCCATATTGTGATATACGTTGCAGTAGTATACGCCAGTATGCGTGGTGATGTCCGCGTGCCCAAGATGCATGTCCTTGACCTCCTCTTCTCTAGCCTTTGCCCTGATAATAAATGGAAATTTGCGTTTGGAGATGGGATATGAGACGTGTTTGTCTCTCAGATTTTTTTCTTTTCTCGTGATGATGGAAGGAAATGCGTGGCAGTGGTGATGACGATAACGAGTCGATTGTCAGTATCCGGAGTCGCATGGTGGGCCGACGATCTTCCAGGAATATTGGGGTCTGCGCCAGCAAAAGCGCCCCTAGCGCCTATTGGAACCCAGCGACCAATTAAGAGAGAGTACACGGTCGGCCCTGGCCATAATTGAGTAATGGTTGCGCGAAGAAGCAAGAAGCGGGAATCGCACCCTTCGCATTCGAATTTTTGACCTCACAGCGACTCATAGCTCCCGCTTCTCCTCCTTTCGCGGAACCCTTCAGGGTCCCGCGCATCGGCGTGAGGGTTGGCTTCCCTTCTTCGGACACCCACTGCATCCGGAGCCCCGACAGCCGGCGCTTGGGTGCCATGCGACTGCGACGAGCGCGCCAGAGAGACCCATCTCAGCTTCATCGGCTCCCGTGCGCCCTGCGATGTACCCGCGACCTCCGTCGGCGCGATAACGACCGGCGCCTCGAAGCCGACGACATACGGCACCGAGGATGACGGATCGCTCACGCCATCGTCGGCCGGCACCCCGAGGCCATGCGTGCGCATGTGCCGCTTTGCGTTGGAGACGACGGAGAAGGTACGCGTGCAGCCCGGAAATGTGCAGGCAAATGCTGTTTACGATGTGAGCAAGAGGGTGCCTGCGGGGCAGGGGAAGCAAGGGGAGCTGACGCTTTTCTTTGGTGTGCATGTTCATGTGAGTCCGCAGTCCGCTCGGTCTGGTGGGGTGGGTCAGCGGGTGTACGATGCACGGCAGCCTCGGTCGTACCTGGGGAAATCTTTGTGGCACTCGGGGCACTTGTGCATCTTGACCTTTTTCTTCTTGACTGTGGTCTCGACTGGCGATTCGCTCCTAGATGGGGCGGCCTCCGATACGAGGTCCTGGCACATCAAGTATTAGTATATTCCACAAATTAATTAAACGAAAACGTACATCGATTTCGGTGCGAGTGGGGGATGTGCAGAGGCTCCTTGAACCGGTCCTTGAGTCATAATCGATAGAGACGTCGTTGAGGATGTTTTCCAAGCGCATGACGTTACTTCGTGAGAAGTGGCGAGGTGGAGTGGGACTATGCTGTCTCTCCAACGCGATATCTTGGGCGTAAAACGCGCTCGAAGCAGGATCATATGGAGGCGTCATGTCGGTGCTACCATCGGACATTGCGTCGTCTTCTTCCTGTGCCGGGAACGTACGTTGGAAGGACTCTGGGAAGCCGCCTGGGTAGCGTCCGCCGTGATCCATGGCTGGTGTTGGAACTAGATCGAATCAGGATCTGTATGGAGTCGACGAGAACGGTGTACTGACCCGTCCTTGTTTCCTCGACTGCTTCACCGACAGTGCCCGATGGATAACGCATCTCTGGAGGAGATAGTATGGGCTTGGATGGCGGTGGAAGTCAAGATAGGACCGCTATCGTAGCCCGAGAAATAGCCTGCGAAGATTTGTCAGTGAGAGCGAGTCTAGAATGCGGCGTTGCTGACAATAAATGGGCACCAATGGGTTGGCGGGCTGTGGTCGTGGTAGTTGCAAGTCAAAAGGACATGGGAGTGCTGATCTCTTGTTTCCTTACTTTGGTATTCCACTGTTTATGTCTTCGCCAGTGATGATGCAACACAGATGACTGAAGATCCTCCCTTTTCTCCTTATCCCATTAGGCTCCCTCCAAGCTTGTGGGGCGGGCTCACCCACCGAGGGGTCTCTTACGCTACCGCTCCAGCAGCTATGTCTTCAACTATGATTCTAGTTCGCGAACCGCTCGCAAAAACCATGCGTGTTCGCCGTCTCAACGCTCCACCGTGGGCACGAGTATGTACGTCTCTCGGAAGCTTGAGCTTGTTTTTCTTTGCCGTCGATGATGAGCGAACTGCGTAGGCGATGATGTCATTTATCCAACGGCAGATGCGAAAAAAATCCCCGGGTTGGATGCTCTGCAAGCGGCCTTGGCACAGCGATCAGTGCCCTAGCGGCGTGGACGAGCAAAAAATAATGACAAGGCCGGGCGCTCGCACCTATTTCCAATATCTTTTGTCCGCACAGTCAGCGATACTCCTCGATACATACCCAAGAATGAGCTTGGAAGACAGACACGTGGGAGAAGGCCGACTTCCAGGTCGCTGATCTGCGCACCGCTATTTTGGACATCGCGCACGGGAGATCTGAATTGCCAAAATTGCCCACCTTCCTCGCCTTCTACAATAATTGCTGTGGAGCCCAAAATGAATGAATGAAATAATGTTCGTGCAGCCGTCACAGAAAAACGGTAGCGTACAACGGGGACTTAAGCCTTCACATCCTGTCCAGCTTTTGGCCTAGCTCCTCCGCCTCCTTTTCCGACATCCCGCATTTGCTAACGAGCTCGTCGACCGCACCTTTGGTTCTCCCCACGGCCGTCTTGATCTCTTCGGGATCCTGGCACCACCTCGACTTATACGTAACATCGTAAATTACCTCCCCAAGCCATTGGACCCTCTGCATGCGCCACGGTTGCTCTTTGTAGCACCTCTTGATCATCCGCTCGACCTTGGCCTTGGATTCGTCGTATTCTGTTTGCAGGGTGTATTCTCCCCTTCTCAGCCTCCCACGGATGGCGGTGACACACGCGTGCCCGTGTGAATGCATCCCGTATCGACGAAAAGTGTCCTCGTTGTTCTCCCACCAGTCGTCCATATTATCCTCCTGCTCGAGGCCTGTCACGACGATGGCGATAGGGACCTGCCCCCTGCACATGATCTCGTGGAAGAGGAGCCAGTTGTGCTTGGCGCTCTCCTTGATTCTCGGCGCCTTCATGCAGAAGACCAGAAGGTTCACACCTCCCTCCAGAGAACGCAATAAGGAGTAGAGTTGGGTGATTGCTTCGGATTTTGGCACCCGACCCTCTTCTCCTTCGTCGAGGCCAGCAGTATCGTGGACCCTAAAACGATTGCCTTCGATCCAGATATCGTAACCTTTGCTGTCAAATGTGCAACCTCTGGCTCCGCTGGACGTGGGCGCTGCTTCGAAGCCGAGAAGCATGTTCACCAGGGAGCTTTTCCCGCAGCCCGACTCGCCGAACAGCACGACGTTATACGGAGTCTGGAAGGAGGGTGAATTGGGGCAGGGTGAATTGGGGCAGCCGATTGTTAAGATAGCGGTAGAGACGACATACCATGGTGGGTTGGGCAAGGCGTCGACTTGTGAGGTATGGCTTTGAGGATGGAAGGTGAGTAATAAGCTGCTGCGGGAAATCCAGTCGACTTCGCCTGCTTCCACTGGCGCCGGCCAATCGGGGAGATAGCATGGGATCAGTGGTGGTGTGAAATCGTTGGCTCACACCCTTGCGTCTTCCATCCGGTATCTAGGCGTGACATGTCACTAAATAAGCGCCCATGGTGGGGACATCCCTCGATAACCCCCTTTCCCATGCCGAAAGGGTTTAATTCCGTGATATTAAACGGCACACGCAGTTTTTTTTCGTATAGACCACTATCTCTGCCCACTGATATGCCATCGATAGTGACAGCATAGGGTGTGTTCTCCGGGTGTGTTCTGCACTTCACCGCTGCAAGGAGGCACGCTGCGGCACGATCGTTTCCCGCATGCTGTAACAGGTGCAGTAATAGGAAGTCTGCGGAACAAGCTGGTTACAGTATGAAACGGGGTAGAGACTACTTTTGCACGAGGATCGATAAGAGAGGAGCGTTAGGTAGTGGTACCTATCCTCAACCTAGCCTTCTCTTCGACGAGACGAACCCCTGATTTCACAAAGGTCTGCAATTCTCTGCATTCAAACTGCGAGCGTGAGTTAGCCAGTGAGATGTCCTTCAGGCTGTACTTGACGCTTTCGAAGTAAAAAGAAATGGGACAGCGACCCACTGACCAAGAAGTAAAATCTTTTGTTGGTGTCGATGGCCTTTACCCCGAAGAACAACCTCACGCAATGGATATTCCCCCGAACATCCAAGCTGGCGCCTACAAAGATTTACCACCCACTCCAAGTGTACTACCGCCAGGGGATTCTGGCGCGCCGGTACTTTCTACGACTAGCCGACCCACGAGTACTCCGTCTACGCCCAATATCATCATTTTCGGCGAGACTGGAACGGGAAAGAGTTCCCTCATAAACATGCTTTCCGGTCGCGAAGACGCTGCTGTATCGAACCGAGCAACCGGAGGAACATTCTCGAGCGAGCCGTACGAGGTCGAGCTCCTCGATGATAAATCCTACAATATATGGGACACCGCCGGCCTGAACGAAGGCGAGCATGGGAGCGTCCCCGCCGACGTGGCCATGGAGAATCTGCGCACGCTCGTTGGAAAGATGGACGAGGGCATCAACCTCCTCGTCTACTGCGTGCGCGGGACGCGCTTTCGCGAAATCCTCAAATTCAACTACGATATGTTCTACAAGATCATTTGCGAGGAGAAAGTCCCCATAGTCATCGTCGTTACGGGCTTGGAGCACGAGTCGCCTATGGACGCGTGGTGGGAGGAGAACCGTGGGGAGTTCGATAAGTACGGGCTCGTTTTCGACGGGTCTGCGTGCATCACCACGGTGAGAGGCAAAAATGGCATGTTCGAAGAGGAGTTCGAAGAGTCTAAGAAGAAGGTTGGAGAGTTGATCGTCGGGAAATGCATGCGGGATCCGTGGAAGGTCCAAGGCGACGCATGGTGGGATGGTATTATCCAGAGGATGGACGAATACAGGAGGAGGTACAACAGGAGACTGGATAGCCCTGGCCCCCAACCGCACATTAGGAGACCCGCCATTACAGGAGGTGCATCGTTGTATGACGTGGTGATGGATCTCAAGCAGTTTGTTCAGACTGTTGGACGTTGGCTTCAAGTCCCCTTCCGTTATTAGCGATTCAATCCGCCATCTTGAAGTTGAGGAGAGGGCTGGTCGATTTGCGATTTCCTTGTATCATGCCTGTATTTTTGTATGCACATATTCTATACTTATATTTATAACGGAAATATGGAAATTCCTTTCAATTACCGTCTTCATTAGTATCCGTTTGTTCATTCCTCGGAGCACCTGCAAAAGAGTGGGGTCCGTAGAAAGACTTGCTACGTGTCAAGAAAAATGTCGCCCTCAGACCCACGCCTTCCTCCAGGGAACGCAGTGAGGAATATAGCTGAACAATCACGTCGGATTTGGGCACTCGACCTTCCTCTCCTTCGTCGAGCCCGGCGGTGTCTTGTATTTTACATCCAACCCTATCGATGCCGCTGAGGTCGACGTCACAAGCTTGCTGTTGAACTTACCTCCTCTCGCCCCGCAGGATATAGGTGCTGCGGCACGCCTTCACAGCCTGCTGAGGACAAAGTTTTTTCGTGAACCTGTCTCTCCTGGTGGAAAAAATTGATGTGAGGCGTCCTGGTCCTCTGGAAGATTACTCATAAATCGTTGCGGGAGGTGTAGCCAGTTACATCAAATACGAGATAGGCTCCCACGGATCGGCACTGGGTTTCCACTGATCAGGGGAGGTAGGAGTCGCGAGCTGCTTGGTGGTGGCCTGCCTTGACAGTGTAGCAACAAGGTAAGATGCCTCTCTACTCATGATTTTCATTTCCGAGTCTAAAATTAGGGCAATCAACTCGAGGCTTCGAAATGCATACTCGGAGAATGTATGAAACCTAAAACATCGTCGGAAGCCCATTCTTCGATTTCACAGCGGCAGTTAATAGGCAACGTTTCATTTTGTTGATTGATCGGTTAAATTTGCTGTAATTTCGACCAGTTGTGATACTGCGGAGGAGAGATACAGCAGGCTTCGGGTGGACAAGAATAACGAATATCGTCCTCGAGGCCAAAACCTAGCCTACTTATTCCCGTTTGCAGTGAAGACGACGGTGGCAGTGACAGCATGCTTCATCGCGCTGCCGTGCTCATGAGAAATCAATGCTAGGGACAAATCAAGTATTATAAGTAAAGTTAGTCTTCAAGTACTTGTAGAGTTCATCTGCTTTCCAACTTTTTCTAATTTTTTGTCCAGCTCCTCTGCTTGTTCCTTCGACATCCCACATTTTTTCACGAGCTCCTCGATCGCCGCTTGCGTTACCTGCACAGCCTTCTTGATCTCCTTCGGTTTTCTGCACAATCTCGACTTGTACGTCGTATCATATACGATCCTTCCAAACCACTCGACTCTCTCCAGGCGCCAAGGCTGCTCCATGTAGCTGCTCTTGATCATGGTCTCGACTTTGGCCTTGGACTCGTCGTACTCCTCCTGAAAGGTACGCTTCCCGCTCGGCCTTTCCTTCCCTCGGATAGCGGTGATGCAAGCATGTGCGTGAGGCATCATACCGCACCGACGGAAGTCCTCGCGATTCTGGTCCCACCATCGGTCCATATTCTCCTCGTTCTCAAGGCCGGTCACCACGATCGCGATGTCGACTCGCCGCTGACAGATGATCTCATAAAACATTGTCCAGTTGTACTTCGCATTCTTGATCCTCGGTGCGCGGATGCAGAACACGAGGAGGCTGATCCCCTCCTCGAGGGACTGTAGTGGATGCGGAAGAGCGTTCCATCGATCCATGTGTCGTACCCGGCGCTAGTGAAGGTGCAACCTGCTACTCCATTGGAGATAGCGGCTGCTGAACGTCCGAGGACCATGTTCAACACAGAGCTTTTCCCAGCGCCTGACTCGCCGAATATGACGACGTGACGAGGAGTTGGAGGGACTTCGTAGGGCGGCGCGGAGTCGGCGGGTTGGGAGTCATGGTCGGCGTGGTCGCGGCCATCTTGGATCTGGAAGAAAGGGATGTGAGTCCCGTCTTCATAAGGCTTTCGCACAGCAGAAACGCACCATGGTAGGCAGGTGGGCAGTTTGCAGACGACTGTCGTGTTTGAGGGTAGCAATAAGAGAGCGTGGGCGGGTGAAGCAGCTTTGTTCCCACCAAATATGCGATAGGCGCCTATTGATAGGGGGTGATAGGAGATCGCGTGGTCTTCTTCAGACGCACACGGAAACATAGAGGGGGAAGCCCTCGTTCGGTAGATAAGAAGGCGTTCACGGTCTAATAATGACCATGTACAGAAGGCTGTTTGGGCAAGTCATGCAACAGATGACCTTATGCCTGTACCAACGAGGGTTGCACATCAGCGTCACCTGTCACCAAATAGGCGCCCGTGGAGCGGCTCGATCGGCAAGTGGGCATCGCGGGACCATACCACACAGAGCATCCTTGCGGTCTGTAGCACATGCTGTCATACTTTATAGGAGTCACTGCCATGATCCATCGATAGCGATACCGGAGGATTCTCTGTGCTTCTAGAAGGCAAGGTGATCAACATGCGTTTGAAGAGTGACTCAGTAGAACAATCCGCAGTAGGAAGCAGTTGGGCGATGAAGCGATACTGGGACCTGGGCATGCAAGGTGCCAATTTGCGAGGAGTGTTGGGGATCATCGATCATCGCTCAGCTTTCGAAACTGCTTCAGGCCTCATGCACATGTCTGCTGCGAAATAATGCTGGCTAGCTTGCTACAGTATGAACAAATAATCTCGCGGATACATTGTATAGTTTCCACCTTTCATTCCCTCCCAATCCTACACATATCCAAGTTAGGGAGGTGTCCGAGATTCCCGCTTGCGTCTGTAATGCAACACAAGCTCCGCGCTTTGCTTCCACACGTACTGTCGGACTGCGGCGAGCGTCATCTCGAGCGACAAGAGGGTTTCGTTACAAAGGACTTCGTAGGCGTCTTCCGCTCGCGGTCTAAAGGCAGCAACTGGTTGGCCTTCGACTGAGGACCGAATCGAGCCTGCCCTGGATCCAGTGGACATTCTTTCAAGCTTATCTTGAACCTGCATGAGGGTCAGTCTACTTAAGAAGTAGCGTGAAGAGGAGGAAATCATACGTGGTTGATGATCTTGCGAACCCGCAAATAACGGCTTGCCGTTAATTTAGTTTGTGAACTGCAACAAAGATGCTCAGTGAAAAGGGTGCCTAGTAGTTCATAAAGACATACGTATTTAATAACTCGGGAAGCGGTTCCACATCCGGATCCTTATTCCAAGGAACGAGGACGAAACTAATCTTCGCCGGTGGCGCCGACGGCGGTATCTGGTTCGTGAGCAGATACTCGACAAGCCACATTGGCATGGCCTCTTCCAGGGCCTCTACGTCATTATGGGTGTTCGATACAATACCTCTGTAGATCGTTGTATAACTGGGGGGAGCTTCTACTGAAATCAAGACGGTGGTGTTGGGCGGCATGGCGTGCAGCGGTGCATCGGCAGAAGAGGGAGGGCTCAACGGTTCGGAGAGGAGCTTTTGGAGGGGGGTTTTCGTGACTTCTATCAAAGTAGTCGTTCCCTGATCATAAATAAAGTTGAGTGACGCAGACATTCAACGAGCTAGGGAATCCAGACAGACCTCGGATATGGTAGGTGTCTCGGGGGTTGGTGTCGCCAAAGCAGCCAGATTAGGGGTATCGCTAACCGGGCGCTTCGTGATCTTGCCGAAGTTCTTCAACCTACTGATCAACCCACCCGGGGTGCTGGGGGTTTGCGGTTCCGCCTTATTGGGACCAGACGATTCGTCGGGAGACACGGGAGGACCACTTTGTATTGTCGTCTGGCGCATTCTAACTGAGAAATAGTCGTCTTTGCCGGTCAGCGGCGAGACGACGGTCGACCCGTCTACTGTGCCAGAACGGCCGCGCTGGTGGGGGCCAGGGATCGGTGTAGCATCAGCAGCCACTGCTGGTGATTGGGGTATTGAAGGAAGAACGGAGAGGGTGTCGCGTGTTTGGGGGTGTAGCGGTATCATCGGGGTGAGTAATGGCGACGAGCGGACCACAGAGGGCACGTTCGGAGGTATCGCAGGGATCATGCCTGAGGAACATATGACAGTGGTGTTGCTCGGGGTTAATTTATGATGCTTGCGCCGTAGTTCAGGAGAGGACGACCGATGTGAGGGTTTCTGGAGGATATTATCGTGGCTGGATGGCCGGCTGAGGCTTCGGCCATCCTTAGACGGGTGCAGCCGCATTTCTTCACGGATGAAACCGATGAAAAGGTTCTTCAAGACCCACTTCCCGATGTTAACTGAACCCCAAAGTGAGCATCAACGGAAAGGACAAAACCAGGGAGGAGACTGCTTACGTTTCGACTCGTCATTGAAATGGGGATCGTTAACGAAACCAACCTCATCGGCATAGACTTCAGCCTCAAAGCATCGTTCGGTCAGATGTATCGTTAGGACTCCCGCTTTGGTATCAGCCGCGCACCACGTCGAGACAACAGCCTCACCCTCGATCCTCTCGCGGACTGCCTCCAGCGCCTCACGGGGGCTGCGCTCCTTCTCACCGCTCCCGCCAGTGGTGCTGCCCGCGTGGCTCGCAGCAGCGACGTCTTCCGGAAAGTACCGCCCCAAGCAAGTCCCCCTTACAATGTCCCACATAGCGACCTCGCCAGCCGTGTCCACCGTGAGCGCATTGACCCTATCGTTGAGGATGATCGACCGCACGAGCCCATGGTCACCCAGGATGACATCGTCCGGCTCGGTACAGAACGGCAACGCGTCAGCCGCGAGCTCACGTTCCTCGTAGTTGGCCCGCGCGGTATTGGTGACGAAGACGGTCTCCTCTGTCCGCGAGCTGTAGATTGGGCTCGTCATCGCAGAGGGCTGGAAGGCGCCTGGGCCGGGTGGGCGGACGCTCTGGCGGGGAACGGACATGACGGAGGCGGCGGAGTACAGCGTCGCCACCTCAGGGTCGCGCGTGTGGCTGGTGGTGAATGAGCTGAAGGGGTCGTTGGGGGAAACGAGCTTGACAAGGCTGTCGTACGGGATGCCATTGAGCTTCGTCTCCATGTCGTGGTCCCTCCAATGCTCGGAGGTTATGGACTGGACGGAAGGGGCGAAGGACAACCTTCGAGCCGGATCGTGTCCCGTCGACGGTCGCGTGCTCGCTTCTGACGACAGGTCCGGGACGCGCCGTCTAAATGGTGGGGGTGAGTTCGAGCAAGGGGGCCTTCCGGCGTCATCTTCAAGGATGGGTGGCATATGTAGACGATGGCTACGAGGTTGAGGTATATTCCACCGTCTGATGGTGGACGTCCCACTTGCAGTCCATAGCAGATTGTTGTCCATGACCACTATCTGGTTGATGCCTTCTGACGAAGGGCGAGATAGCTCTGTGGAGTCGTTGCAGAGCAGGATGCACTCGCCCTCCGAAAGGTCGGGCGAGTCTTCCACATCCACCCGACATACCAAACCTGACCTATCTCCAGAGTAGAACACTTCTAAAGAAGGATGATCTGAGAACAGAGACCAAACAGACTCTGTATGATGCGTGAAAGTATGCAAACATCGCTGCGATGTCAAAGACCAGAGCTTGATGGATGCTGGAGATTGATGAGTTGATGGTTAAGGGGTTATCATCGTACGAACCGTCCGCGGAGCCTGTCAAGAGCTGAAGCGTGGACAGTGAGAGGAGTTTCTGCGGATAGATGGTTGTCGCCTTACATATTTCGCGTCTTCTGAGACTAGAATCGCCCTGATGTTGTCGGTATGTCCAACCAGCTTTCCTGGTTGAAGTGTCAGCTAAAGCAGATAAGAAAATGAAGACACTAAGCATACCAGTTCGTTTGCCCGTACGGGGATCCCATAACCGAACAACACGTTCTGGCGATCCTGAAGCAATCATCTGACCGAACGGGTCCGCTGCTAAAGCGTACACAGATGACTTGGGTGCTGTGGCATCAGGTGGATTTAAAGTGACAAGGGGATCCGTGTTCTTGCGACTAAGATCCCATAACTTTATGGTACGATCAAATGACCCAGAAGCTATCCAGTTCTGCTCACGACTGAGTCTGCATTAAAGCCACGAAGGATAAAGAAGAGACCCTAGCGTACCAATGTGTCAAGCAGCGAACGTAGTCACTGTGCGTTCCGATAGTCGAGGGATCTGTCGGCGTCAGAGCGTGCGGGTTCCAAGCCTTCACGGTTCCATCAGACGATGCAGAGACGACTTGGAATGGTCAGCTGGGCCCAGTATCGCTCAAAGGCGCTCACCTGTTTGATTGTAGTTGCACAGCAGAATGTCGTTGACCCAGTCTGTATGCGCCTGCGCACATTGTCTAAACTGGCTAGGCTGCGGCGATATTAACATCAAGCTCACCAAATAGAGGTCTGTAACATACCGTGCCCCGTTCAAATGTAGTTAAATCCGTTTGCCATTGATGTTCGTGGGGAATGTCGGCGGCCATGCTTGCAGCGCGTCGTCGTTTGCTTAGGCTCGTGGTCACCTCGCCCAACACGTCGCCATCGCTGGCCAGTCGCTCGTCGCCATCGTCTGTCTCCTCCTCGATAGCATCGTCGCCCCAGCCAGTCAGCACCTCCCATCGCCCCTTCTTCAAGCGAGGCTTCGCGTTCTCCCTCTTCTTCATCGACACCCCGATATCCCACGACATTACCAGGCCATCTCGTCCTCCGGAATACAGGATACCCTGGGGCGAGCTTCTTCCAATGAGTTGCGTTGAACAGTCGAGGGCGAGAGATGCTACACCTAGGCGATGACGCGGCTGCTTGGGGTGCTTAGGGGTGTCCTCGTGTGTCCGATGGTGGTCTCGCTCGAAAGGAACCAAGAGTGGCCCGGTCGCGCCCAATCGTGAGATCCCATGAGGTGGAAGTTGAAGTCGGGGGACGGGTTCCGTTGGCGAAGGAATGATGTATGAAACCCGCCGTCTTGCTTGAGACATGTTACGAAGTTTAATGAGGCTTCAAAGCATGAAGAGAGTAGGCAGCCCCGTCCGTGGTCGGAATCCGTAGAATGACACCGTCGTCGTCGGTGATGATGGTGGCGGCGACGAAAGGTGCCTGATTACTGCTGGCTATTTTTGCACTTCCAAATTGGGATTCGCGACGCCAACTTGTGATGAATCCTCCCTATGGAGGGAGTTTTACGAGCCATTAGCTACAGCAAGGGGCGGGAATTGTGTGGTACAGTTACGCAATCCATATACTTAGAAATAAATGTACCGCGATGAAGTTCTTTTCAACCCACGTTTGATGTCGTAGAACTTCGAGATGATTATGGAACAAAATACTAGTAATAAAGCTGAAATCTTGAAGTCCTGCGTGAGCATCGTCTTTAGATATTTAATTCATATGTTGTGAAGCCATACCAACTCCATTTGTCTACTTGAAAAGCTTCCCAACACGATCCTGTTGCGCGGGGCCCGGGATAGTACTGGAACTGTAACTCCATGAATAATCGTGCAATTGAGTAGTTTATTGTACGAAGAAATTTTACAACTCGTGAGATCTCGAGAGCCCCTCTCTAGCCATCCAAGTCGGCGCCTCTCAAGCGATTATGAGATAGATGAATCGGTACAAGATCATAACTTTGGCGCACCTACTTCACTGGTAAGGAGGAGGCAAGTGACGCGCTTGTGGATGCGATCCGGAAGTTTGTAATTCTCTAGCACTGCGAGAGCCTTCACCGGTTACCAGCCCCTTCAGCCACATTAGAAATGCGTCCAACAATTCTCCCGGCGAGGGTACTGTGCGTCGTTCAAGTGTTGTGTATCTGGGACTTTGGCCAACTAGCACCATATCTGTGTCCTCCCTTCGGTTGTACTTGTCCTTGTATTCCTGCATCTTCTGGATAATATCCATCCACCAACGCTCGGGATCAGCCGTCCAGGGAGTCTTTGAGTGCGTCTTGATGATCAGATCTCGTACTTTCTCTTGCGACTCCTTGAACTCTTCTTCAAAAATCCCTCTCTTGCCCCTCGTAGCCGTAACGCATGCATGCCCGTCGACCTTGAGCCCATATTCCATCAACTCCTTATGGTTCTCGTTCCACCATGTCTCCATCGGCGACTCGTTCTCCAGCCCTGTGATGACAATGACGATCGGGACCTTGCCATGGCAAATGATCCTGAAGAAGGTATCGTAGTTGAACTTGAGTATGTCGCGGAAGCGCGTCCCGCGCACGCAGTAGACAAGGAGATTGATGCCATCCGACATGTTGCCCACGAGCGTGCGCAGGTTCTCCAGAGCGACGTCGGCCGGAACACTCCCGTAATCGCCTTCGTTCAGGCCTGCGGTGTCCCATATTCTGTAGAGAGCACCGTTGAGCGTCATGTCGTACGGATTACTGGAGAAGGTGCCTCCCAGCGCTTGATTCGAGACGCCCGCGATGCTTTGGCCGGCGAGCATGTTGATGAGCGAGCTTTTCCCCGTGCCAGTTTCGCCAAACACAATGATATTCGGGACGGAAACCGTGGAAGGGGTACGGACAGGCGAGACCCCTGCCTGTTTATGTGACGCCGGCAGCGTACCAGATGGGCGCGCCCCGCTCTTCTGTTTGTCGCAGCCATCGTCATGGGGGCTATGAATAGGCTGTGCATTTGCTTGCTCTTCCCTTGAGTTATTCTTCATATCCTAGTGATTAAACGGTTAAAATGCTTGCATACTGGCGGCCGCAGCTACCTACCTCGATATGTTGTTTCGTGCCCATGTTTACTTTTGACTGTCCTTTCTGATAAACCGAGTGGCGCGTTGTGCGTAAGAGCGAAGTCAAAGTGCTTGCTCTCCCTTCCTTTATCGATGCTCATTCCTGTGGAAACAATCCTAGTGTACCTCCCTTTCACTCCAATCAACACCCCTGCGAAGGCACGCTGCGGTCGTATCACATCGCCTGACCTACCAGAAGACCCCACTTCAAGTTCGCCGCGTTTCGAAGCTGCTTCACCTCAATCGATGGAACGCTATTGGAGAGAGAGGGCGCCTTATGTGATACACATGTAGGTGATTAGGAAAATTTGGAGATGAAAAGAACGAAGCTGTTACACTTTGTCACGGGCGCTTATTCGGTGATCGGAGAAACTCCGACATCAGTACCACGGAAAGGAGCCGTAACTTAGTCCAGAGTCACATCGATTAACCTTATCGCATCTTCTTAGCACGGGCGTTGACATTAACCCTTCGCAACCGCTCTTCTGGATTTCGTTGAGTGGTGACTGCACGGCGGAACACGCCGTCACGCATGGCATCACGAATTTAAAACTCGATGGTTTCATCGTGTATTATAAGAGCCATCCAACTCTAGCTTATATTCTAGATCCCCAAAACCTTCGCTCGTTATGGTACGTGTCTCCACGGAATCGACGTCTTCTGACGGGCTGAAATTACGTTTCGTCAGGATGAACAACCTCCATTCAACGTTGTCCTGTTCGGCGAGTCGGGATGTGGAAAGAGTTCCATTGTCAACATGCTCCTTGGCAGCGACGCTGCCGCCACCTCCGGCGGTGGGCGGGGCTGTACCTTTCAAAGTGCAGGTTACGACATCGTAATTGGCAAGAAAAACTTTCGTATTCACGACACCGCTGGCCTCGAGGAAGGGGAGAAAGGACGGGTACCAGCACATGATGCCATCGTCCAGCTTTACAAGCTACTTCGATCCCTAGAAGACGGGGTCAGTCTCCTTGTCTTCTGCATGAAGGCCCCGAGAGTGAAGAAAAGTGGGCAGCATAACTGGATCCTATTCCATGACATTATGTGCCAAAGCAAAGTGCCCATCGCGATCGTGGTGACAGGCCTAGAGGAAGAAGACGACATGGATGAATGGTGGGAGGACAATGAAGACGTCTTCCGCGAATATGGTATGCTCTCGCATGGCCATGCTTGCATCACCGCGATCCGAGGGAAGAAGAAGAATGGGCGCTTCATCTTTCAGGAGGAATATGACGAATCCAAGGTGAAGGTCGAGAACATGATCAGAAAGTGTTACAAGGTGGAACAACGACGATTAGACAAGGTTCAGTGGTTCCGAAGGGTGCTTTACGAGACGAGGTACGAGCATCACTGCTTTTGGACGGAGATAATAAAAGAGGAGGTCGGCGAAATTAAGGGAGCTCTAGATGACCTAGTTAGTCGTTGCGGGATGCCGGAAAAGGACGCGAAGCTGCTGGCTGAGGAGCTGAGTCGGGTTCCATAGATAGTATTGAGAATGCAGTACAGATTGTTTCGTTATATGTCGACCGCCCGGTTCACTGCCTGGGACCCATATTTGTTGACTGTGGTACTACGATTTGACACTGACTTGAGGAATTATCGCAATTGCATTCACTTAAATAAGCTTGAGAGAGTAATTTAACAGATAGGGTCCTTCAACCAAGGCCCGTGGATGTCAACATTGTTCTTGCCAGGATGGTTCTTCTGGATATGGTCACGCATCTCCCTAGGATGGAAAACGATCTTCGGGCAGTACGGGCAAAGCAGATCCCTCATCCTGAAATGACAGCGCTGGATATGTTTCGCGATGGTTGCAGATCGGCCCCTGTACTCCACCTGCTGCCCGCAGCCCGACCAGAGGCAGATCATGTAAAACTTTTGAGCATGGGCAGGAGGGACACCAGGGGGTGGTGTGGGGATACCATGGTGTACGCTCAGATGTTCCCACACCGCGGCGACGTGGTTGGGTATGAGCATGCCGCAGTTGTCCCATTTGCAGGTGCTGTGGGAATGCTTGACATGGCGGAGCTCTTCTGGCATGTAGAAGTTGCGTTGAGGGACGGAAGGTTGCCGTGGGGGCGCTGGGTATGTGAGGTGCATTTGGGTAGGGTTGATGTAGCCGTTAGTCGGCGGTACCTGAATAGGCCGTCTCAATAGGACCCCCCGGCGGTTGGCAGTATTTACGGCATCCCAAACGACAGGAGTCGAGAGGAACTGGCATCCGACTTTAAGTCCAGCGAGGACGCCCGGCTGACTGAGCTCATTGAGGAGGGCCTGCTCTTCGGGGGACATGATATATTCCTGTCGCGGAGGGTTCCTGGAAAGCTTGTCAGTAACGACGCGTTCGAGAACAACAGAACAAACCCTCACCTTTCAGCAGCCACGATGCAGTTGATCATTTCGAGCGCATAATGAAACCATTCGGTGGAAGAGAGCCCGTCGTAGGACATCGAGTGCTTGTAGTTTGTTCAATCGGTTGTTCCAAACTGGGGATCGTCTAAGCTCGCCGGAGAGCCATTTTATACGGAGACGCATCTAGCAAAGCGCCACAAGCCTCCACAAGCCAATGTGGACCAAGCGCTGACCACTAAATCCTGCCACTCCGCGTTACCATAAAAAGACAGTGGGATTTGATAAGTGGCGTCGGCGTCCCTTCAGCTTCACTTGCGGCCCTCCTAATGTGGTCAGTACAAAAAGAAATTCGTTCCGCAGAGGCCAAAGCTCCTGCTCGTCTGTCATCCTGATTATGATCCGCCACACCGGGGAAAGCAGAACGGGGCCACAATAGCCGGCATACCTCAAGGCCTCAGGCCTCAACCTTAGGCCACCCTGCCCCGCATTCTGAATTGAAAGGGGGTGCATTGCAAAATCAACTCGTCAACTCGTCCGTATCGGGCTATCAATGAACGAACTGCAGGTTCTAAGGCGTGTACATCTTACAAATTCGATTATTAGATGTAGAATCAAGTCTAGGGTAGGCAAAATACCAGTTCGACCACCGATCACAATGAACGACCTGCCATCTTATTGGTCTTTGGCCTCTTCCACCTTGGCCTCTTCTCCCTTGGGCACTTCCATGGTGTCCGGGGCGTCCTGCTCGTATCCCTCCACCTTGATATCATTCAATCCAAGCTCCTCGTTCTGCTCAAACGTTCGCTCGTATAGCTCAATTGTCATGTTCGGATCCGGATCCGGCGCGTACAGGTTTTGGATATATGAGTTGGCGAGCGGGTCGTCCAGGATGATTGTGAACGGGTGTTCAGCGTTTTTGACCTGGAGAGAAACAATGGGTATCAGTCATGAAAGGAGCGGTGGAAGCGATGGGTACGTACCGCCTTCAACCCTGACAGGAACTTCTCGAACTTGATCCTCTCCTCTGTCTCGGTGGAATCACCAGAGACAAAGGCCTTCTCTGCGAGCTCTTCGTATATTTGGTCGAGGATGCCCTCGACGGTGGTGAATCGACCGCCGAGGGTTCCGTTGGTCAGTACAAGCTCAATTTCAGGTATTGTCATGCCGGCGGTTTCACTCTACAGCGATTGTCAGTACGCAATATAGAGTAGGCGCATTAGAAAAGACATACCTTGAGGATATCTCGACTTAGGTCCTCACGATCTTCACATTTCAGTGTGATCTTCTTCCCTTTCTCCGAGATGGCGGAGCCGGACTTGACTTCGTTGTCTCTGTACCCACAGTGCTCGCAATTTGTCGACATGATCCAGATATCCTGCGAGGAGTCATTCGTAGGTAGATTCATCAAGAAGCCGGAAGATCGACTCACCTTGAAGTATGGGATGTTCACTTTCTTCATATGCGTTTCTATCGGGTGCCCACAACTCGAGCACACCCCAGGGAACACGAAGATCTCGTCATCCGTAATCGGTACATTCTCGTCTATCTCACCCGTTATCACTTGCTTCACCGCCTTCACCCTTGCCGCTTCCTCGTCGTCCCGCGCGACCAGCCCTAGAGCGACGTTCTGCTCAAGCGTCCTAGGGTACGTCCGCATATTCCACTTGGGGTCCGCCATGCTCCCCATGAACTCGATGAAGCTGTTGCCCGCCGGATCGTCGAGTCGCACAGTGAACGCCGGCATTGGGACGTCCTTGTCCGCTGCCTTGCTGGTGTTCTTCTCATGGGGATTATCAGCGTCATCTTCGTCCTCGTCGTCTCCGAGGATCGCCTTCAGCTTGTCTACGACCCTTTGGATCTTCTTATACCCCTCCTCGTTCTGGATACGTCGCAGGGGCTGGTCCAGGCTCAGATCGGCGACAACGTCGCGGATGAGACCTTCGACTGTTGTGAGCTGCCCGCGGGATGTTGGTGGGAGCGTCAGGTCAACCTCAGGGATGACGATCTCGCATGACGCGGAACGCACGATCTGACGATTGAGATCCGCGCGATCGAGGATTTTAGCTGTGTATAGGGAGCCTCCGGCTGCAGAAACTTAAGCGAAACGAGCAGGGCTCAGTAGGGGTGGCACGCACGTCGGATAGTACCAGCAGACTGTATCTCGTTATTCGACGCCCCGCAATGCTCACATTTGAAGGACATAACAATAACTTCGCGGAAGAACGGTATCGAGGTGAGCATGAGCCTCGTAGTGCCCTACTGGATGATCTGCCCTCAGCTTCTCTGTTAGAAGAAGATTCGGAAAGCCTGACCTGTTCTCCACACTTCATGCATAGCGACTCTATCTCCTGCACGACCTTTTCTTCGTTGTCTGCTTGACCGTTCTCTTTTTCTATCGTTGTCTCCTCGTTGAGATCGATTTTGTCCGCCTGATCAGCGATGTCCCCGATTTTTGGGAAGAGTTCAATTTTGTTGGTCATGGTTGTTGACAATAAAGAGACTGGAATGGAGGGAATATTGGGCTGGGACGAGGAAGGTAGTAGAAAGCTGAGGAACGAAAGAGGAGTCATGGAAATTGCTTCCTTATCTTATCTACTATTCACATGGAGCATCTTATCTTATCTCTCATCTTGTCTTCCCTCCGAGCTTCACACGGCGGACATTCAAATATCAAGTGATAACCTGACTTGTTCTGTCAAGTGAGCTGACCAGTGACATGCCAGTGACACGCTAGTGACCTGTCCAGTAGTTGGCGACTTTCCGCCCCATGCACGTGATGTCTTTTTATTATTAATTCGACACAGGCGCAAGCCGAACTCAAGCCGTCCACGGCCAGTCACAAGTCAGCCTGAGTCAGAGACCAAGCCACTCCCGTTGACCTGAAGTTTAAAAGCTCAAAGTGTTCGACTATAGCAATATGTAATAGTGTATTATAAACTCCAGTCACAAATTACCACCAGTGAAGTACTACACGAACACAAACGCGCAGACAACTCTCATAGTCGCGCCTTTACCGAGCCTTAATGGCCTCATTTGTTCCCCCCGAAATAATACAATGATGAATGCAAAGTCGATTGAGTTCCTTATGCCTAAGGGTGTCAGTGGAAGTCTTGAAGGTTGACAGCCGCAGGATCGAAGTTCTCGCCCCCCCGCTACCATTGACGATGCGAGACATTGATGGAGTGGCAATGTTTGGGACAGGGGCAAGAGCAGGCCACGGGGCGGAATTGCCAACAGTAGGAATTGAAACAAGGAGGGGATTCGTGAATCCCAGACTCGAGATGGTAGCTGGTGGGGGGTGGGGTAGTTGAGGTAGGGAGGGGAAGAGAAATGAGGGACAGCGAGATGATGGGAAGGAAAGAAGGAACGACGTGAGTGGCATATTTCGAGGCCACTATGGGCTGGCCAGCCGAAAACATGCCGAGCGGAGTTGGTTGCTCGAGCATTACATAAGAATTGACGTATCACGTGTGTGGGGCGGAAAGTCAAAACCTCTGTCCAGTACTGTTACTCATGTCATGCTGTTCAATTACCATGCGGCGTAGTTCGGTTCAGGCTCCTGTTCAGCCAAACGGAAATGGACAGAGATTAGATTCGTGGTTCTGGGCAAGAGAGGAAAGTTCGACCCTGACCAAACTCGGAACTCACTCGCTTATAAAACAATCACGAAAGAGAGGAATGCCGATTTGCTTGAGAAAGTAAAAATAATCTACAATAATCTGACCTGCGGTAGTTTGTTTCTTATGTCAAATTTCGAACTTTAGGATTCAGAAGGATTTGAACCGAGCCTGAACCAGACACGAGGTTCGAGCTCACGAATTGCTGAACCTGTGCCTGATGTTCGGTTTGAGGTTCGCTCAGAAGTGCCCGAACCGGATCCGAACCAAGGGTAATGCCTTGTCAACTCGTTTTGTTGATTTTTGTCAGCCGCCGTCCTCGCGGACAGGCCGCGTCGCTTATGGGCGAGCCTCAAACCGAACCTAACACAGAAGCGGACCTGAACCGGGGCTCAGTTAAGCTCAGTTCAAATATTTCCTAAACCTCGAAATTTGATATAAAAACAACCTAGGGCAGGACGGCAATCAATTTTTGTCTCCCAACCGAAGTCTTTTGTATTCATTACTTAGATTAGATAGATGGATGTAGATGACTTTTATCATGACCATCTCCGACGCAAAATTCAAATTGGTTGCTTGTATAAGCGAGCAGGTTCAAAGCTTGGTCAGGTTCGAACATTTCCTCTCTTTCCCCGAACCACAAATCTAACCTCTGTCCATTTCCATTTGGCTGAACGGGACGCAAGCATGAACCGAACTACTACACTGAAATTGAACAGCGTGACGTCGACATACATCACAGTACTGGACAGGTCACTAGCGTTGTCACTGGTCAGCTCACTTGACAGAACAAGTCAGGTCATCACTTGACATTTGAATGTCTGCCGTGTCAAGCTTCAAGCTTCAAGCTTCAAGCCTCATCGCTTCCTCTTCCTCCTCAGATCAGGATCCTCGGTTATGGAACATGGATGGCCCACCTCCAAGTCTCTTCGTGTCTTCAGGCCTTGATAATCATCGAGCTTGTACACGCTCAGTCGGCTTCGTCCGGCCTGAGAGCAGCGCGCTTCAAGTTCACCCAACTTCCCAGGGATTTTACGTGATAGGAATCGACTCACTCCAAGAAACGAGGAAACTTCTGAGTAAAATCAAATTCGGAAGAACCCATACTGTGCAGGGACCAGTAACAGGTCACTTAAGCGTAAATTGTAGATTGTGGAGGACAGAAGGACTCCGCCTGTATGTAAACTGGCACAGAGGTGAGAAAAATCATATCCTTTGTGTATACCAGCCTGTTTCATAATTTTAGAAGGCATATAGAGGGTCCTACGAATTTTCTACGAAGGAGGGTCAGAAACTACCAGATATGACCGAAACCATGGGAAATGAGTCACGCTACAATTAGAGCCCGGCTGTTACCAAATGATGTAATAGATCTAGATCGCCGACTGATCGGTCCAAGATTGGTCGTCTGCCTCTTGTTCTCGCGGACTCGCAACCTCCATAGTTCTTGCTCTATCTCTAAAATCCAAGATGCATTTTACTCATAGCACCTACCTCTATCTTTCTATGGTTATTATTTTTTGAAATAACCATCAAACTTGGAACTCATAATTAGATAACGGGAATTCTAGCATTTTTCCATCCTCAGAGAAGATGTATCGTTTGTAGACCTTCCTCTTGGTCAAGAAAATGAAGAAAAAATACAAACAAATACTATTTCTACTCCAAATTGCGATACATGTATTATACCAGAAGCGAGTACCGTGTACAGTATATGAGACCATAATGAAGAGTATTGATGTGAGAATGATCTGAGATCTAACTAATTCAGATGCGCCTCGTTTGCTGCAGTTTTGAGCAAGCCCACAGAGAAAAAAAATTAAATACCAAAGAAGAGGGCTACAAATAATCTGTATAGAATTTTTTGTGACCCAATGACCTCTTTCTGAGGAGGGAGAGCTTGCTCAGTTCTCTTGAGGTTAGAGTTTGAGCCAAATTTGGCAATCTCGCTCGACTGGCCTGCACTCATTGAGCAATTCTCATCTGTAAACTCAACGTGAGCACACAATTATTTGCATAGTACTTTACAAGACATATATCTATGGTTATCCAAAATTTTATGTCCCAAGGCTTCCTCAATCTTCCGCAAACCTGTGGGTGACTCGTTACTGCTGGTGACCCGTTAGGGGTCATGTGACAGTAGGTGTCAAGGGAGCGGTCAGGAGCCGAGTACCTACTCTGTCAGCATGCGGCACACTGGAGTCATGGCCAGTAGGATTCAGCAACTGGGATGGTTGAATTCTGAGACGGATACCTGGGCCTGGCTCCATTGTTCCGAACGATTCCTAGATTACGCTCAAGCGCCCGAGCAGTGCTGCCGTTGGAGACGTTCTTTCTAAACCTTGTCCTCGAGTCTCTCTGGAAACAAAAGACCTGTCCAGGTGGATCTCTTCGGAATATCAGAGGAAGTCTGTCGTCGAATTCTCCGCTGTCACTTTCATTTCATTAAGCGGACGTACCTGATCAAATGTCGAGGATCGCATGACAGAGTCAATATTTTATGGCAGAGGGTACTCATCGCAAGGAATAACGGCCAGATGCACCGACATTAATCGATGTCAAGGATTGACAGACTCACTGGGGTCTGCCGCTCTGGATTGTTTCTGGATTTAATCTCTCCAAGCCTGCCTCATGGAAAAGGTATAAAAGCCACTCTTGTCCTTGAAGTAAGATCAGCATCCGTCAAGGAGCTTTAGTAACAATTCACCCAACCGAACGATCCTTGAACAAAATCATGAAGTTCACCGCTATTCTTACTGTCATCCTCACCTCTGCCTCGTTCTCTGCGGCTGTTGCCCTCCCAGAGGCAAATGCAGAGGCTCTCATCGACAGTATGTCGTCATGCCGTCCTCCAAGTTTATAATCTGGATGTCTGATTTAATTTGTAGAACGTCAATGCAGACCTCTTGGAGCATCGTGCACCGGTGCTCTTCAATGCTGCAGCTTCCCAACGGTTGGATGCTTTGGACCAATTGGCGTTGCTGGACCCAGGACCTGCAAGGTCTCAGGCTCTGGGTAGAAGACTTGGACGAGAACGCGCTTGGTCGGAAATATATAGGTGTTTGGACAGGGAGGGTCGATAGCAATGAGCGTGGCTGAGAGGGATTTAAGAATGATGATGTTTGAAAGCATGAAATTATCCATGAGTACCTTGCATTCAAATGACCTAGATATAAGAGCAATCAAAGGCAGCTGTGCTATGCGCCCCTAATTTTCCGGCCCGCTTTGGTCCGGTGGTTCGAAAAAGTGCCATCACACCGCGTCAGTGACCTGCCTGAACATAGTTGGCGACTTTCCGCCCCATGCACGTGATGTCTTTTTATTATATAATTCGACACAGGCGCAAGCCGAACTCAAGCCGTCCACGGCCAGTCACAAGTCAGCCTGAGTCAGAGACCAAGCCACTCCCGTTGACCTGAAGTTTAAAAGCTCAAAGTGTTCGACTATAGCAATATGTAATAGTGTATTATAAACTCCAGTCACAAATTACCACCAGTGAAGTACTACACGAACACAAACGCGCAGACAACTCTCATAGTCGCGCCTTTACCGAGCCTTAATGGCCTCATTTGTTCCCCCCGAAATAATACAATGATGAATGCAAAGTCGATTGAGTTCCTTATGCCTAAGGGTGTCAGTGGAAGTCTTGAAGGTTGACAGCCGCAGGATCGAAGTTCTCGCCCCCCCGCTACCATTGACGATGCGAGACATTGATGGAGTGGCAATGTTTGGGACAGGGGCAAGAGCAGGCCACGGGGCGGAATTGCCAACAGTAGGAATTGAAACAAGGAGGGGATTCGTGAATCCCAGACTCGAGATGGTAGCTGGTGGGGGGTGGGGTAGTTGAGGTAGGGAGGGGAAGAGAAATGAGGGACAGCGAGATGATGGGAAGGAAAGAAGGAACGACGTGAGTGGCATATTTCGAGGCCACTATGGGCTGGCCAGCCGAAAACATGCCGAGCGGAGTTGGTTGCTCGAGCATTACATAAGAATTGACGTATCACGTGTGTGGGGCGGAAAGTCAAAACCTCCTGAACATCCTTCTACTCAAACCGCGTCTTCCGACTACACAAGTATTCAATATTGCGGGTTTGCTATACCGACAACTACCGAAAACCTTCTCTGTGTTAGCAAGTATGTGCCCAAGTCGAGGATCGCATCACTGGCGGAATCAACCACAGGACTCGGGCGCCCAGCGTTCGTACTTGTTGCGGAATAGAGGTGGTGAACGTAGAGCTTCTCCTACGTATGAAGATTACCCTTCCTCAGAACCTCGTTCCGAGTCGCGACGTGCAGAAGAAGAACCCCACGAGGACAAGGAGAGGCGCTCGTGGGCATCACATTCGATGTCTCAAGGCTCTCAGAGGCGTTCTTCACCCGTATACGACGACCCCGAAAGGAACAACAGGATGGAATCCAGCTCGCGAGGATATCATACAAGCAGCGCGAGTCATAGTGGATATAGCAACTACCAAAGTGGTCCAACCGATCTCGAGAACGATGACCAACCACTGCCCCGACGATCTGCACCCCCCAAAGCGAAAGAAAGCTCTTCCAGGCGATCCCCTTCACCACCTCTTGTATTCAGAGGTAGCCTTGTGCCTCCGAAATCTTCACCTCCTCCACCCTCCCGACGCACCCAACCAAGGGAGGAATACCTTGTAACATCTCTCCAACCCTCAACACCCCTACAGGATGCAACGCTATCACGAAAACTCATCGTCCTCGACCTGAATGGCTCCTTACTCCTCCGGAGCGCCCACAAGCCTCGACATCCACACCGCGGGGGGCCACAGAAAGGACAGCCAAATGGCCGCTGGGATCCCTACGCCGACACCTCCCAGCTCCGCCCACTGCGTACGGTGCACCCACGACCGTACCTAGGCGCGTTCAAGGCGTACATCCTGCACGAGGCCACGAAGAAGTGGCTTGACACGATGGTCTGGAGCTCGGCACAGCCGCATAGCGTGGCGGACATGGTGGACAAGTGTTTTCAGGACAGGAAGGATGAGTTGAGGGCTGTGTGGGCGAGGGATACACTTGGGTTGACAGGGGGTGAGTATCGTGCGTTCAATTCTAATCTTATTTTCTTGTTTGAGTAGTTTATCTGACGATTGTTCCACGCAGATCGTAAAACACAGACGCTGAAGGACCTCGAGAAGCCGTGGTCTGAACTTCCTTCGCCGCATATACCTACCCCCAATTCCCTTTCATCCGACATCGAACCCATCGCCCACAATACTTCCAATCCTAGCACTGAGCATGCAACGTCTTCATCGTCTAAGCCGTCATTACAAACCCAACACACCCATTCAGCACAAACAACACTCCTAATTGACGACTCTCCTCTCAAAGCAGCCCTACAACCATGGAACCACCTCTGCATCCGCGAATACGTGCAGGAGATGCGGCGCTGGGACCTCGGTGTCGCAGATTGGGAAGTTGCGCGTGCTAAGGCCCGTGAGGCTCGCGAAGCAAAGGAGGAAGCGGAGAAGGAGGCTGAGCGAAGGAGGGAGGCAGAAGCACAGGATCCTGAATCGTCCGTTTCGGCTCCGGCTTTAGAGCAGCAAGCGGTCGAGGGGCCATCACAAGCACATGAGGCTGAGGCCGAAGCTGAAGACGCGGCCGCCGAGGACTCTGCTGAGAAGCCGACCAAGAAGAGAAAGCTGAAGCGCTTAGTGAAGAGAGAGGCCGTGCAACGAGCGAAGGAGGAGAAAGAGCGCGAGGCACTGCTCGCGATGGCCGATATCGAGGATGGAGAAGACATAGATGTGGAAGAGGCACTTGCGAAGCTCAAGGCAAAGATGCGGTACGATGAGACGCTACTAGCTGTCGTTGGTGTGTTGGATCGGATAAAGCATGAGAGCAACGTCGCGGGCTGGATGAGAGCTGGGGGATTGTTGGACATCGAGCTGCTTGCGGATACTGGTGAGGACACGAAGGCTCCAGAACCGAAGGCTAGCAGCGAGCCTACACCTGAAACCTCACATCTTCAAGCACATGAAGCCCAAAGCAGGAGCGATTCGCCAGCGGGTACTCCCACACCCGCAAAACGACGACGCGTCGGCTCCTCCCCCCAACCTGAAGAAAAGAATGGCGAACCCGAGATGGACGTGGAACTCCGCTCCTCCTCACCACCTCCCATGCCTCCGCCATCCTCTGAGCTCACTTCATACGCCGATCGGTCTTCCTCACCGGCCCCAGAGCCGATGGACGACCAGGCAGTAGAGGAGCGGGCAGCGACAGGCGTGCCGCTCGAGTTCGATGTTCATGCATCTGGGCCAGAGCCTACACGTCTCCACACGGCGAACGGGGACGCACATAAGAGTCTGAACCCGAGTCTCTGGTACGAAAAGCCTGAGGTTATGACTTATTGGGCCGAGCGTGGACGCCGGGCGCTCAAAGAGCTTGGGATCGAGGTGGACAGTGGGGTCGTTCCTGCCCCAGGTGGACTTCAGCACTAGGCAGTGGTTATTAGGGATGCCGCTTTTTTTGGTACTCGTTATTTGCCGTCTGGACTATTCGTGCTGGACTTGCCAACTTGTTGCAGCCTTTGGCGCCTTGACGTAAAGTTTCAGGACTACCTCATGATGCTTCGATTAGTCTTCACTCCATTCCTTTTCTTCGAGATTTGCACATAATTAACGTGATTCTTGTCCGTACTTACTCACCGTTTTTGTCGCATCGACCTGCGTTTTTTGCCGCATTATCTTCTGCTGCTCTGTACAACACGTCGATTAGATTAGATCACGCCCATCAAATAGGATGTTCAGCGTTCCTCGAATTCATTCAGTGCTATGTATGACTGGAGAGTAGATACAAAAAGGTGATACAATGTTGTCTGTCCATGCAGTTAATGGATTTTATCGTGACTTTCATTTTAGTCGTCCACGGCTCCGGTCAATGCCATCAGACTGAAGTAGACACTGGCGGTGCCAGAGAGGTAGCGAGCTTTGATCAAGTTGGCAGCATCCTAAGCAAAACGAATAAATCACGGCGATCCTGGCAAACGAAAGATGGACAATTCACCTTCAGAAGATCCTTGCACTCTCCATGGTCAACCGGACCCACTCGACGCCCATCTAGCTCGATCAAACGCATCCCACTGCTGGCTTTGTCCTCCTTGTCCTCAGGTTTCAGCTCTGCGCCCTCAGCAGCCTTGCGAATGTCCGAGTCAGGAGCCTCAACGAAGCATGTAAAGTGCAGATCCGTGTCTATGACGGCGGCAGACTGGCCGGAGCTCGCTGACTCAGAGTGGATGTTCGCGAAGAGCGGTGTAGTGGCGAGGAGGTGGGCCCGTTCGTCTGGGGTCTTGTCTATGTGGGAAGGAGTGAATGTCCGATTAGCAGTGGGAGTGGGAGTGGGAAAGCGGAGAGGGAAAGGAACCTTGGCACTGGATGATGAACTTTTGGAGAGGGCCCGTTGGTGAGAGTGTTACATCGGACTGTCGTGGATCCGTCAGCAAGACTTCGATGAGCCTCGATGATCTAGATTACGTTTGCGAGGGCATGAATGAGCCCAATCGTTCCGCAAGCATTTCCTATCTATACCATCCTGATGAGTTACGAAATCTCTAAAAGTCCTGGGAACGTACTGTTTGCTTCATCCAAAAGACGGTACTGTCGATCTTTGGTTGCCCATCTCGTGCGATGCGTTCGTCCTCTTCCTTGCGCTTTGCCTCTCCCTCGGGATCCATGGGGAAGAGCAGGACGACGGCTTTCACAGGTCTTGGAACGATGGAGAGGAGCTTAAATTAGGAACATCATTAACACTTCAACTAGGACGAATGAAGCTACGCGACTGACATCTTCATCCAGTCCATAGACATCGACAAAGTGAGCTTGTGAGGTGGCCAGACCAGCCTTTCCGGCCCACTATATGACATTGAATGTTCGTTTATTCACTCGGACGACCAAGATCGCAAGGAAAGGCGACTAACGAAGTTAAAAACCTGAAGAGGATCAGAGCCTGCACCCTAAGGCCATTGATAATCCAAACCTCGGGATTGCTCTCCAAGGGAATCCAGCGGCCTCCTGTCTCATTTCCTGTGGACATAATGTCTCTGTTGTTATTTTGTGAGTACAGGCGAAGCGATCAAGGTGGCAAGGTGCAAGGAAAGCTGAAACCGATAATCATACGCAAAGTCACGGAACATACAAATCACGTGTTAGTCCTGCTCAGCCCCTATTCATAAAGGACCCTGCGAGTCCTGAAAGGCTTTCCGCACATTTACACCAGACATGTAGTCGAACGTCGTGCATTAGAATCCCAAAATACGACTTTGCGCGTTCCAGACGTCCAAGAGGATTTGGCACGCCAGAATTCCTGCCACGGACTGTAGAGCCCGGAAAGAAGGTTTGGGATAAAGATCAAGAAATCCATCTCAAGAGTTGATTTGCGACCTAGAATTGCCCGCAGATGACGAGATGACGCGATGATAATTGTCAAATCTACAAGCTATGTATATTTCCACTGAAGCACGACTCGTTCATTCCCTGGGGCCAGTCTTAGCGTTCATGAGAAAGGCTACTGAGAGCTCGCAATGATGAGAATAGAGCAATTGCTCTGGACGAAAGCTTCTCGGAACGATCCTAAAGTTAAAAGATCCTTCGACGCGAGATTGTGGTTTTTCATGTTGGCCCCGACAGCTCTTGGTGTCTATGGCATCGCTCTTCGAGTATTTAAGTCCATCCCTACCTCAAAGTCCCACAAGACGACACTCCCCTTTCACTTATATTTTTTCCCTTACTACCCTTACCAGCGTACTTCGAGTGTTGACGGAATCGTTATTGTGAACCAACTCGGGCCGAAAACAGCGCCGTCATTTTGGACTGATTGTCATCGTAAATGGAGTGAGAACACCAACAGCTCTCAAATCTGACTTAGCTAAGGACGAGATAGCCCAGTGGCGCTTTCCCACTCCTATCTTACAGCCTTTGTGGAAGCCTTACCTAAAATGCAAACCCCCACACTCTGAATGAAACTGCTGCTTTCAAGTGATCAGCGCCTCGGCAAATCTTATCTAACATAACCCTGAACCTCGAGCGAATCACCATAAAACACCCCATTCTATAGCCACCGCACCCCACTTCCTGGTTTATTTTTCGCTTCCGTATCACCATAGAGCCACACTGACTTCCATTCATGCTCGTTGGAAAGTCAACCTGTCCGTTGGACTCATGGCGTGTGCAAACAGCGGATATCTCACGAGACGGGATCGGGGCTTGATTGTCGGAGCATAGGTACGTCAGATTCTTTGTCCCTGACTGATCTCATCGACGGCGTTAACGTTTCTGCTCCAAGCTTGAAATCCGACTTGTACGACCCGTAACCGCATTTTGAACTCAGCGGCGCTGACCTCCTGTGCGCCACACAGACGATCACTTTGATCGATCACTCGGATGCGCACATACCATAAATGGACATCGGGAACCTCGCGCTACGACGCCACGATCGTCGGGATTCTTTGTTATTTCGAAAGCAACATATTTTCGCTGGGAAAATACCACAACGATCGCATTGATATTGGTCTATTCGGATCCATCGTGATCCACGAGGTACACAAGTCTTCCAGGGGTTAAGGACTCCGGAGACATGTAGGTGGCGTGGATGTGTGATGGGCGTCGCTGTTGCTTACTGGATGACAATTTTAGAACGACTCAATGCACATTCTCACTCAATGCAGGCAGTGCCAAGGAGAGATTGGGAGTCAATGATCCTAGACTTATTAGGTACGATGTCTGGTGGTATGACCTCTCAATCGCCTGTCCGCTTGGTAAAGGATAAAAATTAGTTTGATACAACATCCCCTCGAGGTTCTCATTTCCATTCTGCTCTTGGGATGAGGAGGCTTCTGAAGTCTTATCTACATAACTGCAAGAGAAAGAATAAGCCGTGTATCTAGGGTCCCACGCCGCGTTTCGAAGACACGCCGCAGACGCACTCTGTCGGCTCGTCTTTGATTGAGTGGAGACGTGACGTAGGGGGTTGTCATTGCCGTAAAAATGTTCGGCTCAACACAGTGAAAAAGGCTGCGCGAAACCAACATGGTAAGGTTCAGCGAAGGGTCCTCGGGGCCTAATCTGCTTGATTGCTGTGCTAGATAGTGAGTCCATCTGGGACTTGGGGTGTGGAGAGACGGAAAACTAGGGAGTGAGAAAGGAGGCGGTGATCTCATGAAAGGCACCGAGTTGCCTATTCCAAAGATCAGCCCAACTTTGGGTTTTATGGAGCTCGGTATAAGAGGCGTACGGTATAAGAGGCGTACGGTATAAGAGGCGTAAGAGCACCACCACTGACCAGTGCCACCCTCGCCACCTTGGACATACCACAACGATCTCGAAATTCCTCCAGCCGCGCACTATCTATCCCCGATGAATCCGCCACAACATAATCGCCTCCTCCACCGACCAGCTCAGTATGCAGCGTACAATATGCGGGTAGTACAAGAAGAGCGGCCTACGTTCGACGCATCGCATGCCCACTACGCGCAGTATAACCCACAGGCAGAGGCATATCCTCTCTACGGCGATGCTTTCACTCTCGCTACTTACGTGCAGGTCCCGACTTCCATGAGGGTAAGCGGTGTCCTCGATTTGTTCTTCTGTGATCTCCACTGCTCAATGTCTTTCAGAATTCCCACAGGCCGTCTCCCCTGCACGACGACAATGTTGTGTCACCAACACCGGCGGACGTCAACGCATCTCTGTATTCTGCCACTGTTGCCGCCGATAGCTACATTACGCCACCCTCATCCACCGAATCCCTCACACCAACTCAGAATCCAGAACCCGAGGACGATTCGACTGTTGTGGCTGTTTCGACTGCATTCCATCCTCAAGCGCACCCTCACCTGCCGCCTACCGATATAATTCTCTCCGCGTCTGACGGCGTTCTCTTTTACGCCCATTCGTCGACTATCCTCACCGCCTGCCCTAAGGCTTTCAGTACGTACATTGGTGGAAACCTGAATGATCCGAAATTCCGTGATCAGCTCATACAGCTCGACGCACCTTCCCAAGAACTCAACGTCATCCTTCACATGCTCTATGGCACTTCTTGCGCGGCTCACTCGCCTTCGCTGGAGACTCTTATCAACGCAGTCGACCGCATGCCCAGCTACTCGATGGTGCCGGAAGAACACATCGTACCGTCGTCACACCTTCACAATCTGCTTCTCTCCTACGCCCCATTGCATCCCCTCGAACTCTACACCTTGGCCGCGAGTCACAATTTGGAACCCCTGGCGGTGAAGACTTCCTCTCATCTACTCTCATACTCACTGCAGACCATCACCGATGAACAGGCCGAGCGTATCGGCGCCGTTTATCTCAAGAAGCTTATGGTACTACACTTCGGGCGGTTCACGGCCCTCAAGAATATTCTATTACAGCCTCCCCACCCCCATCCGCCCACGAAAGAGTGCGACTTTATCCAGCAACGTAAGCTCACCAGAGCGTGGGCGCTAGTCAGTGCTTACCTTGCATGGGATGCGAGACCAGGTACTCCACAACAAGGCTTCGATTGCCTTAGCTGACATCTGAGTAGATCTCTCAACTCACTCGATGCAAGCAGCACTCAACCCACTCATGGAACAGCTTTCGTGCAAGAACTGCCATCAAGCGTTGCGTGATCGCATTAAGGATGTTTTGATACAGTGGGCTTCGGTCAAGGTGAGCCCTGATACAGACCTCCCCTACCCGGCGTATTTTTGTCCAATAATTCTTACGAACGAGCAAGACGAAGGTCAGGGTGCTGTACCCTGGCCATGCGTCTACGCCCTGGCCCTTCTGGATAGATTGCCCAGGGTGATGTCGTTCTAATCGTCCACCTCCATCCGCTTCCCGACCCTCGCGACCTGCCGCTTCTCGCTGGTTTATGATCGCGTTTCTGACGTATGTATTCTTCATCTTGCTCATCGGCATCCCCATAGCGCACTATCTAAAGCCTCGCGCCTGCCGCCCCACGAACACGACGGAGGGCTCTCCCCCGATGGGCAATCAAAACCATATTGTGTACCCAACTCTTTTTCCTTGCCGCTCTAATAACTTTTCAAAATGAAACTTGACTGCAAGAACACTCTTCCAACGGTAAAATGGACGATCCGATATCATAACCTTCCTCCTCGGCCATCGTGATAACTTCCTATCGATAGAAGCCGTGTCTTGGTGCCACCGCCTCGTTATTGGACAGACGGGCGAGGTCTTCAAGCTCACTCATTTATGTCTGTGTGGTTGATGTATGGCTGAAGAAGCGGTACGGAGAGTAGTTGCAGAATGGGGTGGATCTCTTTCCTCTATTTCGCGTCACGACGACTTTACGCCATCCTTTCCGTCGCAGCATATATATCACGTCTCCGCAATCTGCTATTTTACTTCGCCTGGTCCTCTCCCCATTCTTTCTTGTATTTTTTCACGATCACCAACTTTCGTCCTTCATCTTACTTCTATTTCTTGAGATGTAAATTGTTTGTACCTTTAGATAGGCGGCGTTGTTGATCATAAACAGATGAACAGTTACAGGACGTCAAAAAGAGCTTCTGTGCTCTCGGTATCTTTTCGAGCGACTATTGCTTAACGGCTCCGAAGATCTCGCAAGTGCCCTCGAGAAGCTAGTACGGTCAGGGCCATCTTAAGTACTCGCAGTTCAAGGTGGGCTGGTGTTCCAACGGGTGGACGAGTCTAGACCGTCTTGTCGACGGAATCAACTAGGGACCGGATCACTGTCTTCACCGGAGTGCATACCAGAGGGAAGGAGACTCGTATCAAAGATGAGATGAGATAAGCGGACGATGCCCAGCAGTGGGAGCGCCGGAACCGAGGAATTCAGCGGCAAGACTGCTGAAAATAAATTTTAAATGGATAGTGGAAGGAGAAATCGTGCAAGGAAGACATCCGTGACACAAAACGTAGTCTACTTAATCTTTTCCAGAAAAAAAAAGAAATAGTACTAGAACTCTCACAAATGATCCTTAGGAAACTATAGCATGATCAGTGAAAAGCAGTGATTGGAGATCTAATCTAATCAAGATTTGTCAAGAATCCCACGATTGGCCCGCGATCAATCTCGGGGGAAAATGAATGCAGTAGTATCTTTAATCCTCGCTTTTCACCACGGGAGTGTAACGATAACTGTCGCTCCAATAAGAAATTTAAACGCTTCCTAATTGACCTTCTATTTCTTTCCTGAGATAATTCCAATAAGTACATGGATTCTGATGACTTCCGGAAGAGGTAGTTGTCTCGTTCCGCCATTCGGAGGGTCGCTTCAGCCTTCAGGCGAGCTCGGGTGAAACGCAGATCTCTATAGCTTGGGTCAGCTGCAGGGACTCGAGCTGTAGGACCCCTCTATGAACAGTAGGCCGGCATAATAGGTGGTTGCCGGCGCTATGAAATCGTCGGACAACGATCGACCACCGCACGAGTCCTACCCTCGCGTTCCAAATCACTTGCCCATCTGAGCTACAACAGAATATCGAGGTACCTTCGGAAATGCGGGCCTAGATGAACCGCTTCTTGTCTGACTTGATACCCGCAGAAATAACAATCATGCGGGTTATTGATGTCCCATCTATTTATATGTTATTGGCAGCAGTGCCTCCCGTGCTGACCGCATACGCATATCTACCGCGAAGGAACTGAAGGAGGCTAAAATGCCCCAGACATCTGGCCGAGCTCCTCAAAGAACGCCGGAAGAACGCCGCCTGACTTGTATGTAAATTTTGGCCATCTCGGAGCGCGAATGTTTTTGGAAAGGCCAAGACTTAGGCGATCCAAAACAAGCCTCAAGGCGCTTAAATCCTCGGAAAAGACTATTCAAGTCCGAGGAACGACTAAACAGTCACCAAAATTTGAGGGACTTGACGATTGTCATCACCGGCCCTCTCTGCCCCAGGCGACTCCTGAGTCTTGGCAAGCAGAATGGCCGCTAAACTACTGCCATGTCGGACCTGTAGGCCTCGTTCCACCAATCAGACGACCTTGAGTCCCCAAAATTACATATTGCGATCCTTTCGCTTCGTCTATCACCAGCGTCGTATCCCCTGATATTCGAAAACTGATTGCGTGGTTTCTCCTTACAGGTTCGATCTTGTCGCTTGAAATTCTTGGCCGTTAGGAAAGGTACCCATGTGTAGCAGCCTCAGGGTCTGTTTGGGGTCCGTAGAATGCCTAAGAAGCCTTTATACAGGAATAAATAGTCCTTAGAGTTTTTGAACCACAAATCAAGATCAATGCTCCAATATTCTTGGAAATAGACCGATTACGGACCCAAAAAGCTATGCATTACGAAGCTATAAAGCCCTTCAGTCGTCGATCTTCGTCGATCCCCTCCCTCCTTCTGCTCTCGCCGAGCTTAATACGTCTCGCGTATTATTCAAAACTCTGCTCTCACGGCCATTCGATAATCTGCCATGATACCCGGTCGACGACAAATTTCCTGTCTTCCGGACGACGTTCTGCGACAGCTATTCGAAACAGCCTCACGAGGTGACCGCAAGACTGCGCTAGCCTTGGCACTCGCCTCCCGCGCATCACAACATTGGTGAGTCGAGTAAGCAGACTCAATTCGCTGGTGTTAAGTTAACTATGTTGCGTTAGGATAGACGAAGTTCTGTACTCAGAAGTTGTCCTTCGCAGCAAGAATGCAACACGCCTGTTCCTGCGGACCATTCAAACATCACATTTGAAGCCACCGACATTCTTCAGCACTGTTGTTAAAACTCTCGTCATCTGCCCGGACCTGGGCCCTTCGAGCATTTCGATACTCCTTTCAACCTGTCGAAGCATCGTCAATTTGTCATATTGGCCACTTCGACCCTCATCAACCGCGCTCCCGGAATACCACTTCGGCGATTCTACAGTTAGTTCTACCTTAGGCTTGTCCGCGGTTTTGGGGCCGCCCTTTGCGCCTCACCAAAATATAAATACCTCCAGTCCCAATCCTCAAAATGTAACCTTCGAACAAGCTCTTCTCCCTAGTCCTCGGAGGCTCTCCGTCATCTTTCAAGAAGAGCACAGCCTCCCCTATTTCAGACCGCCGCTTTTCCGGTCCCCGTTCCTCTCCAACGTGACGCATCTATCTGTAGTCAATCCATGGGAGGAATGGACGTTGTGGGTCCAGGCGGGGATGCTCACATCGGCGATGCCTTCTCTCACACACGTCAAGTTCGAGCTCTGTGTCGGTCAAGAACCATCTGGTGCGACGTCTCCTTGCTCGCGCTGGATAAGAACCGTGATCAACGAGACTTCGCTTCGCGATTTAGGCCCACAAGACCTGCCGTCCCCGTGGAGCAACAAGATAACAAAGGTGGCCGACGCGCTCACTGACGTTCTACAATGGGGACTCGCGCTTCGAGTGTGCGTTCTCGTGCTCCGATTCGATATCGAGCCAACGAAGACGGCGAAGTTCATTTCTCATCTCACATTCCCTAAACCTCCCATCAGTGAAGAAGATGCAGCAGACATGACACGTGAGGAAAGGCAGAAACCTGGGTTTGACGCGCGGCTGGTGTTCGCATGGGAGAAAGAGCCGTTTCGATATAATTATGCACATTCCGTGCAAGAAAGGAAGCTGTGGAAGGCAGCCGAGATGGTCGTAAATGCTCAGAGAATTACTTCGGGTGGGTCAATGTCTACTTCCGAAATGGCTGAATTACTTACTCAGGCTTTAGGGTATGGCATGTTGAACTGTGACCGCCTTCCTTAACTTTTGGATGAAGCTTTAAACTTGCCAAGGACGGCCGCGTCCGACTCTGCCGTGGATCACTGATCAGCATTTCTGATGAACTTTACGAACACCTCGGGAATCGATTTTTATTTTGATTCTTAATTCACCAAGGTCCTTAGTGCGTGTACACAGAGGTAGTTCAACACCTTTCCTCGTGTTTTCACATCTTTGGTTTGGTGGGAGTAATAATAGCCCCTAACGCCACTCAACTGACAAGCAGTGCCAAACAACGCAAGATTTGGCTCCGATTTTCTTCTATATCTTTTATCCCCCTTCTCCGTGCTTGAAGCAGCTACGCCCCGTTTCCTACATCTGTATTCTCATATCACTATTATGAAGCCCCAGTAGCGTGCGTTTACCTGACACTTTAAGCGCGCAGATCGTACACTAACTCGACACGCCGCTTTCACAGCTTCGCGGGTATGTCTTGCTGCTGTGCCACTTGATCCGTCGATGGTATGCGCACAGTGTCTCCGAGTCGTATTCCCGAGTCAAATGCTTGCATAACACCCGCGAAATACGCTTTAAACGTGCCATGTAGATCTCCAAAAGAAGATGAGAATGAGGCTAATCTCGAACGCGTACAACTACCATCCTGGGTCTAAGCAACTCGGTCCCGGGGACTGTATGCCGAACTATATCCTTTCTCTGATTCCATCAGCTTGGAAACACAGCGGACAATGGGATATATGCGGTGGATACCTTTGATAGAAGCTCTGCGAGGCCACCCGCAGTCTGCACAACACAGCAAACATGCCGTCAAACACCTCGTTGTTTTATCTCTTTTGGCTATTTTTTCCTTTTAACACCTCTACTCCATCCGTGCCCGACGCGTTCTCAATGGCCCATCTCCTCGTGTTGAACACGACTCTGTGGACACAGCGACGCGTAGACCACTTATTGGGGAAACTCGTGCGTGTACGGGTGGCTCTGTGCCACATCGAGTCAGTGTAGGTTGTGGTATTTAAAAGCCAACTGGAGTCGAAGCACTTTCTTCATCTCAACCTCTTTCATCCGTCATGTCCTCGAAGGACTCTGCTATCTACCCGTCTTCTCATCCCTCCAGCAAGCGCAGAGGGTCGAATGCTGCACATCACCCCTCCAATTCAACGATTGGCACCGATGCTGGTACCCAGTGCCACCCCCTACCACCCGACTCTTACACTACGAAGCGACGAAAGTCTGTGACCTTCAGCGCTGTGTCATTGGCCTCCGAGAATCAAACGATACCTCTGGGACCAACCACCTCCCGGAATCGACGGGAATCTACGTCATCTCCTGACGGCGCTGTGCGCTCTGTTGCCCCTCCTCAGATCCCTGTTTTGAACATAACCGCGAACCATCAACATACTCGCGGCAGACGCATTTCCGTCAAAACAACCGATCACGTTCATGCTGTTCCAGACGCTTTTGAAAGCAGTCCAGACTCCCCTTCTCCTAGAAAACGAAGATTCTCGAATGTGGCTCCCCCTTCCGAATATTCGAATCCCCCTCGAGACGGAAATGTACACCACTCTCCTCGCAAACGCAGGATTTCCGTTCAGCCCGACAACGAACGTGCCACCGATCATATTCGTTACGCTCACCTCCCACATGAGTCCAAGGCAATATCGAGCGCTAAGCTGAATTCGCAAGCGCCGAAGGGGCACAAACCATCTGTCGTGTACCCACCCGATCAAGTTCCGCCTCCTGATCTTTGCGCCAAAGTTAACGATCGTTTACGGACTGCCACGGATAACTCGTTTGACTTTGCTGAACACGTAAGGCACCGAACCTACGTCGTTCGCTCTCTTCCTCTTGCCTACGGGCACGAGTGTGTTGTGATGCTTGATGCTGGTGTTGATGCTCTGCTCCCTTCCGAATTCCCCTCGATATCTGGCGTCAACGGGGCGGACTTCGACGTCAATAAAGCACCGGGAAAAGGATTGGGACTGTTCGCTCGGCGCCTTTTCCAGTGCAATGAGATCATCCTTGTCGAGCATCCTGTGGTGATCACGCCGTATCTCGTCGGACCATGTGTTCCTCTACTGGACGTATATGCCGACATGTTCGGGCGTTTGTCTGCTGAAGTAGTCCAAGCGATAAGCGGTCTTTCTTCTCCTGGCTCCTGGGAAGACTTGGAAGACTCGTATGAAACCATTTTGCGTGCCAACTCCGTCGCAATCTCCCTTCCTATTCCGAAAGAAACCTTTGCAGAGTTGGCAACGCACAAGGCATTGTTTTTACTGGCCAGCAGGTGCAACCACAGGTACGGAACATGTTATGACCATCTATTCGACGTTGTACTAAAGGATTCTTCTGTATGTTATAGTTGTGGACCCAACTCAAAATGGGAATGGGACGAAAAGAGGTTCTCTCTTGTGCTCACGGCCGTTCGCCAAATCAATCCTGGAGACGAGATCACCATTGCATACGTTTCTCCACATATTCCATTCGACCGCCGCCGGCAAGCGCTACTCGATGTCTTTGCCTTTGAATGTCTCTGCCTTCACTGCATAAAACCAAAGATGGAAATACAACAAAGTGACGCCGACCGCCATGCGGTGTCCACCTTCTGGAACGTCGAAAACGTTTCTTCTGGCCCATTTGCGAGGCTGCCTGCGTTCGACAAATGGTGCCTCGAGCCCTCTATCCCCTCCTACATCTTGATAGACGCCCACCGCCATGCCTTGGATATTATCCGCGACGAAGGACTAGAAATTCTGGATACACACCCCGGTTCAGGTCCTGGGCACCGTGGGCACCCGCACAGGGACGTCGCGAGACATATTGACGCGATCGCTATGTGCTACGGGGCCTTGGAGGATGCAGATAACTTTCTGATCTGGATCAAGAGGGCGGCGGCGGCCCGAGAAATGGGCGATCCAGAGCAGAAGTTGGTCTTCAGCAAGTGGATGTCGAACCCTATGTCCTTCCCTGTGTGGGGGTGGAGGAAGGCGTTTTGCGCTGGTGACGCTGAGGAAGTGAAGCGCCTTTCGAAGGATATGGACAGTGGAGCCGAGAAGGATGATTCCACCGTTGGTCTCGCTGCTTGTATCCAGATGGGTATGTTCGGTTTCATTGGAAAGTAGATCGCATATAGTGCCGAGAGCACGTCTTATTTACGCCTGAGCAGGTCTCTCTCTTAAATTATTCCTAATACCTCCGGATTTATGTAGTATTGTAATATGTATGTCTTATCATGTCATCTTCAAGACGGAGACTTGCAGAGATCTGCAGTATCTGCAGTATCTACCCCGGAACTGTTGACCCGCCGCCGATTATCATATCATTGGACTTTCGACAGGAACTGGAGAGCTCTGATGCTAATCCGAACAAATTTTGGTGATTTTTGCGAAAATACCAGACCCGTCTAGCATTGCAATGTTTACTTTCAACATCTTCCTTCGCCTAAAATCGGAAAGTCCTTGTCCTAATATGGGCTGTCTTAGTGTCATCCTAGTCGGACTTTCATTTTCGTAACGTCGGCCCTTCCCTTTGGCCCTCGACGACGAACCTGACTGACCTGCTACAACTAGGACAGCACGATGCTTTCACTCTCTCCTCATAAGCTGCGCTCTTCTCCACAATCGTAACTGCATGTACCGCGGTACAGATGAGCAAGAAATTGAACATGTCAGTCCGTGAAAACTTGTCCCACAGTCGACCAAGTTTCTATATACCGTCCAGAGTATAATAAGGGTGTAATATCTCTACTTATGGTGGAACTTATTCACTGGAAATGTATCGGCATCGTTATGCGCCGTCAGCAGCAACTTCATGAGTCGACTTTAGCCTGGAATCATGGGAAGGGACATTACAGACATTGCAACAGGTTTTCGTACACATAATGATATCTAGAGTAAATGGTTGGATATAATCTAAGCGATAGAAATAGAGATCCTGAGCAGTGGGGAATAGTTACAATACGTCGTCGTAGTAGGACAAGGTGTCGTTTATGACACCCGAAGAAAAGCACAGCATCGGAAAAAACCATACCAAATTCCATAAGATATCGAAAGGTCCAAAGGAAGAGGAACACTAAAGGACGAGCCCGAGAACGGCGCCCAGTGCAAGGCCCATGATCAGTTTCTCTGATCTCACATTTATGGCAGTGTTTGCGCCCTTCGACCCGTCTTGCACCCATTCCCTCCACGCCGCGTGCATCTGCACGACGAACGCCTGGCCCTCCGCACTCTCGCTCCCTTCTTGCCCATAGGAATGAGGATTCACAACAGGCCGTAGCCACCCGTCGCTAGTGAAGTGCTCGTAGCTGTCAAAGGTCGAGGTTTCGTTCGATGGGGGAGAGGAAGTGGAGTTGGACAGCGTGCTCCGCGAGCGTTCGGCGTATGGGAGGTATGTGTACTGTTCGAGCATCAGGGCAGCTCGGTAGACCGTAGCGGCGAGCAGCGCCGTCGACGCTGCATCGTAGAAGTTTCCACTCGCGGTTGGAGGCTGGTCGGCGTAATTGGTGAAGACATTCGTTTCGTCCTAAACATAGTCAACATCGGGTGCTCATGACGTCAACTCGTAAAAGAAAAGGTATTTACCAAATGCCGATAGATGCTCGAATGGATCTCGCGCACCCAGTTGCCCAGATCCCTCTGTTCATTCCTGAACGTGTTGGCGTATTCGGACTGCCGGATCGTGGCCAGAACACGAAGCATTCCCGCAGCAGCCCAGCCGTTCCCTATCATTCTTGAGCTCTTGGGTCCAAGAGATATGTGTATAGACAAGGCAAGACGTACCCGTAGACCAGAACCCCGGGTCGTTCCCGCTAGAGCCCAGAAGGATATGCTGCCACATACCCTGCCTGTCGTCGCGTAGGTAGTTTCTGTATAGTTTGATCTGGTTGTACGACTCTGCGACTAGCGTTCGATTTCGTGTCATGACGCCGTAGTAGGCCAGGAAGGGTGGCACCATGTACACAAAATCGTTCCTTTAGAAAGACATTAGATGAGAACGCGCTGGAGGACGTTGACACGCACCAAAGTTGAACTTGGGACACCCGGTGCGAGATCGCACCGTCTCCCGTCTTAGGCACCCTCGTCAACAAGTAATCCAGCTGGTCCCTCGCCGCCCCTTCATAGTCCAACTCTCCCGCGTCCTGCCCCGTCCAATTCGCTATCAGCACGCAGACACCGTTGGACGCCGGGTCTGCCGCACTCCCGTCGGGCATCAATGGTTGCGGCCCAACGGTATTGTTGTTCAGCCTGGTGCGGTTCGACACGATTTGGCGTGCAATGGAGAAGAAGGGTGCCATGGCATTGTCATCGGCGAGCTCTGAAGGGATGACCTCTGGAGGAGGGAGGAAGGTGTTCGAGAATACTGAATATGCGGTGGCGTTCAATTCGAGAATGGTTTGGGAGCGTGTTCCCAGTTCCCAGCTGAGAAGGTTGACCTACGTCGACACTCGTACCTCTGGGGCCATACAACGAGGACTCACCTTTGCAATGCAGCTTCTTCTAAACGTGCACTGACGGTGTTGATTTGGCCGTCGGTAAGATTTTGGGCGCCCGCAACAGTCGAAAAGAAACCCAAAGTCGTCAACAACATGCTTCTCCACCACCCTGCACTTCGTTTCGACATCACCTAATCTTTTCGACCTTGTCGGTTTCGTGAGTGGTGGTGGTGTATTCCAAGTTCGAATTGTTGATTCGCCCAAAGGCGACAGCTGTCTAGGCTGCGGTGCGAGCGGTCGGAGCGAGGCGGGAAAGGGTAACTGGGTCAACTGCCACGAAGGCATCTTGAACAACGTCTAAACTTTAAAATAGCGACAAGACCCTTGAGCAAGCCGCCAATGTCACTACTGCCGTCATTGCTTGACACCCATTTATCCAAACTCCACTTTATTCTTGGACCCACGTTTTTTCTGGGCGAGGCTGATGCTGCGGGTTTATCGTGTCTCGAAGCCTGGGCAGATAACAGCCCTATTTGTGATAAGACTAATGATGATGCATAGTGAGGGAGGTTTTTGAACGGTATGAGGCGTTTGCGACTGCCTTGAAGATCATTAGAAGGGAACAGGGGAGGATCCTAAGAAAGGGCCGTCGGCAGTGGGTCTAGACCCTTGGCAATCGCTTGCTATCAGATAAGATAAGAAGAAGGTTTTTTTTTTTTTTTTTTTTTTTTTTGCGTTTTTACTTTAGTCTTCAATCGCTGCATACAAAATTGTACTCACACCTTCAGAGTTCGGGCGCTCCGACACTGAAACGGATACCAGGCGACTTGTAACCCCTGATAAACTTTCTATGTCAAGACTCAACAGCACTGGATGGAAGACCAAATAGTATACAGCGAAGCCAAGTAGTGTGGAAAAGCGCAAACGATCGGACGAACGTCCGCATGTACTGCAGTCTCGGAGCGAAACTAGTCACGGTGAGAAGTGCAATTTCAGGAAAGGTGAGTTTGAGATAGCTTGAAGAAGTACCTGTGTGCTTGGGCATCGCAGTGATTTTATTTACAACCGAAACTGGTTGCTGAACGTTTTCTTTTCGGTTGGTCTTTGTACCAGATGCGCTGCTGCTGGACTGCATGAAGTATATCGAAGCTCATTTGTTCCGTTACCATATCGATTCGCGGGCAATCGCGTAGATAATATCTGCAACCCATTCCCAAAAATCACAATTCCCTGAGTCCGCGGCTGCGGCTTCTCCTGCGCGGAGAATCGGACTTCTATCTACACTATCGTTGTGCCCTGGACGCCCACACAAAACAACACTACCAAATACCATCGGTCAACAGGATGGCCGAATAGGCTTTCTGGGAAAAGTTGCCGTGTACGGCAATTTGATCATGGTTCAGCGAGGCACCCAAGGAGGTCCTCGAGGAGGACGTCAATAACCAATTGTGCTCTGCAAGGAAAGCCCAAGACGGTGAACATCGATCTACTTTGTCCTGGTCAAGAGACGGAAGGTACCATCGTGACCATGGCCTCTGCAGTCGACCAATCGGCACCTATAAAAGACGTGCTATCCGAGAGTAACAAAGGTCAGTCTTTCTCAGACGACCTGCTTCTGACAAGAGCCTCGTGGGGGGTCATCGTACCGCACTAACCACCATCAATTTAGCTTCAAAGGACAGAGACGGAAGAACCAGGGCCCCGGGAATACTTACCAAACTCTGGTTCATTGCGCAGCCGACATGTTCTTCATTCCTCGAAATATAACGAGACTGGAGGATCTGTCGAAGTGGAGCTGACATTGGGGCAGCTTCACGGTAGGCTTGTTGAACCTCGTCGAACATTGGTCCTTCAGCGCCGTGAGGCACCCTATTATTAGTGGGATCGCGGGAATCTCGGAGGGGGAGGCAGGCTGTCAAATGTGCGGAACAGGAGGGGCCGTGAGGGATTTGTGAAGAGCCGGTGAATTTCAAAAGAGAGGGAGTAAAAAGCAGGGTTGGATAACTGCGATGATCTACAGGATGTCCAGATGCAATGTTCAAATAACCTCAAGAGAGTCGCGGATAAGCGGCCTTCTAAATAATAATCTGAGTGGAGCTCATACTTACTGTCTCGAAGAAGTAAAGCACTGTAGGATAAACAATCCCATCTAGAACAAGACCGTCTCGCCAATGTCACACACAGTGAAGGCGTCCTCGTCAATCCCGATCTTCTTGCACTCCTCTGCAAGGCGTTTAGGAGGATCGAGCACGTCCTCTGACGTGAGAATCCAAGTGCTATGTGCTGCTGTTAGAAACGAACTGGAAAGCGAAGATGAATCACGGGAAAGACTCACCCCCAATGCATGCCTAGAGCCCTCTTCGCCTTGACGTCCTTGAACAGCCTCACGCTGTCCTGAGGTGCACAGTGTATCCGAGACATGAAGTTACGGGGAAGGTACGCTCTGCACGCAAATCAAAAACGAATACGCAGTCAAAAGGGATGCAGGAACTCACCCAATGGGAATGAACGCGCAGTCGAACCCTCCAAACGTATTCCCGACCATCTCAAACGCTGGGCACACCGGTACATTGTCCTCGTCCTGTCCGTCCAACACTGTCCGGTACGCCGTGTCGCCAGCAAAGTACACTTTGAGCGGGGCCCGTTCCGACGGTCCCTCTGGCAATACCTCTTCTGCGACCCAGCCCGCCCATAGAGACTTGAAGTTGTCGATAATGGTCCGGCCCGTGAAGTGCTGTCCAGGCGTGCACGTTATCTCCACTACACGCGCGGTGCTGTCGTCCACGCCCCCTCGACGGACCTCGACACGCTTCGAGTCCCACCAGTCCATGATATGCGTGTTCGACTCCGGCACACCGATGGACTTGAAGTACGCGCCGTTCCCTAGAGGCGCAAAGAAGTGCGGAACATGCTTTGATCGCTTGAGGAGCGTCTTGATGGTGTGCGTGTCGAGGCTAAGCATCAAACGGTTAGAAGCTAGCCGTGCGAGGGACGTAATAAAACCTACTGGTCATAGTGGTTATGCTGCAGAGCTTGGGTGAATACCCCGAAGGCAAAGGTGGTGTAAAAAGAACTCACTGAAATGACCACTGCGTCGATTTCTGGAATATCCTCAATCTTACAGGGTGGTGCTATGAAAGAAAAGCATGTAAGGCGATACTTGGGTTTAGAAGGGCGGGGATAGTGCTATGCTCACGAGTAAACCGCTTAGGACCTATCCACTGGCTCGGAGAGCAGCGATCGCTGAACACGGGGTCGAAGAGGACTCGAACGCCCCTGTCGTCCTCCGCCAAGTTGCGTCGGGGAAACTCGACGAGGAAACATGCATGCCCCAGCCAGGTAGCCTTCAGCTTATTGTTTCCGCCTTCCGTTTGAGACTTCCCTTCGTTGCCCCACGTTGGTTGGCGTATCGGAAGGCGTTGCGCGATGTCCTTCGGAGGAGAGGGGAATTGTAGAGTAGTAGGGAGAAACTGGTACATGTTATCAGACGAAATGGATCCAAGAGACTGTAGCACGTACCCGCATCTGCTCTGTAAACTTGTGAGGAACCCAACTCTTCCAGGGATTCACGAAAGAGCGGCCATCCTTGTCTACCCAGTGATCTGGCTTCTGGCCCTCAGGAATGGGGTTTGGGTGCTTGCTCAGTAGCGAAGAGACGCCGATTGAGTATGAACTTTCGGTCATGGTGGTGGTAAGATGGAAAGTGCAACAACTGAGCAGAGTATCATACTGGCTAAATATAAGAAAGTCCGCCGCCGCCGTCGTCGGCATCAGTGACGCATTCGCCGTGCGCACTGGTCGCCGTGTACGCGTGGACGTACACTTAAGCATAATCTTGCAGGGTGAGCAGGTCAGCCGAGGCTGCGCATCACCTCGTGTAGTCGGACCTGTTTCTCAATGGAAATAGTGGCACAGCGTCGATAAGTAGGAGATCAGGAGTGCATTCGGGAGTTGGAATTTACGGCGATCAATTACGGCGATCGTTTACGGCGGCAACTTCCGTCCCCTCGCTGCCTCAGCTGTGAACGTTTGAGCAGGGAACATCAGGTTCTCTGGCTCCTACAGACCTATATGAGACCTATGAAGACGGCCCGTTCCAATGGCGAGAAAGTGACAAGTGACGACTAAGGTTCTCTGACCGATGCAAGAGGGAATCGACGCAGGGCTGACAACCCCCTCGAAGCCTTTAATCAACGCGTGTCCCTTTGGTAGATGGCTGAACCTGAACGAATGATGGCGGGGCAATTTGTCTAGTAACGGGGTAATTATGGAAATATGTTGTTTACATGGGTGGCGAGACGACACAAGAACCGAGACGAGGCGAACAGGAGGGCAGCCACCTGACAGCGAAAGCGACGAGGAGACACCAGCGAGACAACTCCTATAAGTAGGGAGGTTGCGGACGGTGAGAGAGAAGAAATATATGGCAAGACAAGCGAAGCAGCATGGCGAGGGGAGGGAACCAGCAGCGACGGAAAAGGGAAGGCAGCGGCGTCGTCCACAACGACAAGGACAACAAGATCGTTGACCACCATGCAACCATCCTGAGATGGGTGTTGAACGTTGAACGTTTGAACGTTCAACAGAGTTTTATATGTTGGATGCGTGAAAGCTTCCCCGTGTAAGTACATGCAATTCTATGCAATTCCTACATATTGATACCTGATATTGGCAAATTGCTACCTCCAACACCAATTCCACTAGTACTATGAGATGCATATCCCCATGACTTAGACACAAGACGTGGATTTTTTACTTGCAATTTCCAGGTAGATATACCTGTTTTGAAGGAGCAATCGCGTCTTATGGACGCGTCGAGAGGACGCGTCGTGCCAGTCACATGCCCTTATCCGGAAATGCCCGCCGTAATGATCACCGTAGTCCACGCCGTAATCCACGCCGTAAATTCCAATTCCCAAATTCATTGGAGATCAGTTCAACTGTCGATTGTTAACGATTTCGGAGAGGCGGTCAGCCCCTTAAAATCTTCCAATACAGTATATCAAAGACCAAGAATGGTAGCCTCAGATGGAACGGACACCTCCCATTGCAGCACGAGATTCACTTTCTGCTGCGCCGGGACCGAGCATACCCACTTCAACTTCCCATCCTTGCCCAGCGCCGCAATGTTCCCCGAGTCCTCCGCATCGTACCAGCATGCACTAACACCTTCCTCGACCCTCACAATGGGCTCAATCTGGTTGACTGGGTCTTGACTGGGAAGGGCGAGGGCAGGTTTCTTCAAGGTTACTGCTATTTGACTGTCTTCGGCCACAGGGATTTGGTCGATGATATTCAGCTCTGGAACGGAGCGCAGACGGGTGTTGTGGACAGTAACACGCTGAGAGACCAGGGTGTTGGACGTCTTCGTATAGAAACCTGACTTGGAAGCTTTGGATTCGCGAGGGTGGTACACGATCCGGATGGCTTGGTCCAACCTTGAAGGTGGGTAAGCATTGGGTAAGTTAGGTGTAAGAAGTAAGAAGATGTATACCCAAGAGGACAATTGAAGGTCTCGTCCGGGCTTACCAGGAACATATTCATGGTGGATGTGAAGGTGCCATCGACATAGACGCTTGCTTTGCCGGGGAGGAGGGTGTACTCCGAAGCGTTCACGATCTTGGCCTGTAGAACATCAGTAAAATGGAAAAATGACGGAGGAATTTAAGTCGATGCACACACCGTCATATGAGTCCGTGTGTCCACGCGAGGAATTGCGAAACGAGTAAGCTTCGAAGGTAACTCGAGCTCCTTGATGGTAAAAGTACGAGTTTCACCGTCGGAAGGAATAGAAACTAGCCCTGGAAGGCGGTACGCCATGCCCAGGTCACCTCTCCATGACACTTCGGCAGACGGGTACGATGAGTCTGCACGTCGGTCTTCGCAGAACTCGTCCTGTTCCGGTACCTCTTCGCGCTCTTCGTCGTCGGTGTCGCTTATCTCCGCCTCCACATCCAGGAATCGGCTGTGCCGTTTTCTCTTGGAAGGTCGTTCCACGGGCACAGCCGGAGGAGCCTTCCACAATTCAGCCGCCAGGGGCTGATGGTGGGTAAGGTGACACCAGATGACGGCGACGCCGTTTCGAGAGTCAAAGGTACATCCAACCAGGACTATAAACAGGCATGAGAGAAACTAAGATCGTCAACAGGCAAGAGCTTACCTCGCCGGTTGTTTGCGTGACAGCGGCTTTGTAGAAAACACGAATTGAGTTGTCCGCTTCAGACTCAGTTGAAACTCGGATATCATATTTAGCATTCCATGCAGCAGCGCGGACTTTAACGACTATCAACCGTTAGTAGATAGTTCGAAAAATATACCAAGGCGACTCACAGTAAGTGAGGCTAAGCTGCACACTTCCTGATGTTTCGGAGTGAAAGCCAATGTAAGCGATCTTGCGAAGGTCGGACCAGGTGTCGTTGTCTTCAACGAGACGATTCTCCTCGTCGGAAATTTGTGTACGAAATAAACCCAGGCTCTTCTGCAGGTCGACGAGCTGGTCATCATATTTCTTTGTAGCGGCCTCGTAGGTCTCGAGCGCAGCCACCAACTCGGCGACGTTGACGTGTTCAGTAGTAAGCCCGGACGCGTAGCGTTCAATGCTCGATTGGCACTTCCGGCAGCGAGCAACGGCCCTCTGGAGGTCTGCCTCCTGGTTCCTCAAAGATATCAGCAGCTCGGAAGTGGCGGCCTCTGACCACGGCGCTCGCACAACTGAAATATCGTGAATGGTTCCGGAACCACGCCTTTCAACGCTGGGAGGCGCGTCAGAAGCGAAACACCACAATATTGTCGCGAGCACTTACCGAATGGTGTCATTTTCCAATACATCGGGCAATTTGGAGACAACGAGGTTGTTGGCTCCGGCGCTCGCAGCAAATTGAAAAAGGCGGGTCACTTCGGCGCGATTAAAGAAAAGGCTAACGTGAGATATTCTACCATCTTCCTGAGCATTGAGCTCGACGATATTGACAGTGGGGAGCAACGGCGTGTCTGTGGTCATGGCGGTTGGAGGAAAAGAGGTTCAGAGCGGACATAAATCACGTCCTGGTTTATATAGTGAGTCCTAGTCATAGTTTGACGTGTTTTCGTGTGTAAGACGGGTGAGCGGTGTCTCCCAGTATGTTGTTGACCGTAAAGTATGAGAGCAAGATGCAATTGAATCCGTTCTGATGCATAGGCAGTTCGGAAAATACCGAATCGGAGATCCAATGTGATGACTCAGTCCGGTCCGACCACCGCCAACCACCCGTGCTTCGCAAACCTTGAGCTCGAGACCGCGAAAGTTCATGTTGAAGCAAAACTACGGATATGTTAGAGTTACTGGAGCATAATATTATTGCTTTACGTCATACGTGTACTTGACGATTTTTACATATTTTTATTTGATACGTTTTGCTATCGAAGCCCCCCCGGTGGATCTCCTGGTCGCGGGAATACAAATCGAACGCGGACAAATGTTCTATGGTGCAGGCACCCTAGTATGCGAATCTGAGGCTTCCGCCTCAGTTGATACACTAATGTCGGCCTGTAGTGTGTTGATCTGTTCCAAGGGCCGGGATGTATAGAACTCAGGAAGACTTTGCGTAGTATTTAGGTCATGTCGCTATCTCACTGATCAGCTCAGAAAGCGGCGCATAAAATGAGGGCTGACCGTTTGAGAAATTGCGATGTCCGGAACAGTTGGCTGCAGAAGTCTTCTCGCAGCGACTTCCGCGAATTTAGAGTCTGTGCTCCAACATCGGAAACCGAAAGCCTTCATAAATTGTGTAGAACCTACCATCAATAGAGTATTCCTGTCCCCGCGTCGCTTGTCGGAAGGGCTCATGAATGGATGGAATGGGAGAACTTACGTATATATTCTACCCAGCGGCTAATCTCAAAGTCAGCAGGAGGATGAAGCGAATGAAGAGGACGAACGAAAGCAAATATGACGTGAAAGTTCGTCCCTTGCCATACAATCTTCAAACCTTGTTAAGCCAGGCGATCAGAGAGTCGAGTAGTCTGCTGCTCACGAAAGTGACCAAGTCCATGATCTATGAAGTGAATAGTTTGACGTGGTGGCCAAGAAGCACGAAACCGGTACTCACGCAGAAGAAGGCGACGAAGGCGGCTGTTTCGATGGAAGACCGAATTACTCGAGTTATCACGCTATCGCTTCCTATTTCGATGGGCAAGGTGAGGAAACATTATTGCAGATACCAGGAAAGCGTCTTACGTCTCGAGCCTATTCTGCTCTTCGTTAAGCACCACCACAGCAAAACTCTAGAAATGGTGTAAGGGCGATGTAGAACGTGAACAGGGAATTGACACTCACGTTATGCTTCCATCGGCCGCAACAGCTAGCACTTGCCATGAAACGACGTACGGAATAAGATTGTGATACAACGCAATGCTTTTCCGACATGAATTCGTGAGCAATGGCGGCAACTATTCGTTCGCTCACTTTGGTACCATGAACGCCGCGATCGAGCAAGCCAAACCAAGGCTCGTCTGAGCGGCGGCCAAAACGAGGAGGCCGAAAAAGATCTTTGTTGAGCGCGAAAACAATTTGATGCGCCAAGCGAGATAAAACTCGATCGGAAATGACGTCCTAAATTCTTGCTCGAATTCAGGGCATTAACGCAAGAGGAGAACCTACAGAGTTGTTATGATGGGAGTTGCAGAAAACGGCCACAGAACAGTTGAGAGGAATTCACGATTATTGAATTCAACGACTGTGTAAACCCATAACATGTATAGCAGCGCGCAGGTGTGGAAAGTATCGAGGAAGAACGTCCAGCCAACCAGAAGGCTAAAATTGCGAAGAGCGCTTAGGCGCGCCGAGATCACAGCATAGTGCGCGAGAGAGACGTACTGAATTATAGTCGTATCATTTGATTTGCCGTACTCCCAATACGAGAGAAACTGCAGAAAGCAGATGCCGTAAAGAAACGCGTTGAAGATAGTGCCAATAACCACGGGCCCAAGGACGAGATTAGTGGAGATGTCGTGCATGACTGATCCAGTCGTCAGTTCTGTGCGAGAACCCAACGCAGCAGCGGGCGGGAAAGAAGGGGAGGAGGGCGTTAGATCTACCCCGGCCAAACGTTCTTATCATCACAAACCTCGCCACGCAGTTCATTTGTGTGCGTCAATTATTGTCGTTCTCTCCTCCGCCGAAAGGAGTGATGTCGCCCATTTCTTGCAGGAAGGTCGTACTTGAGGCCTGTACTTGAGGCACTGACACGACCACTATCTTTCAATATGGATTGGACAGGGCACCTAGGGACGGGTGGCCCGAAGATCTGCACTTGCCCAAACGGTGTCGAAGGTTCCGAAGGCGGAAAGTCGGCGTCCATAGAAACTCGGACCTCGGCGCTCATGATCTTCTTCAGATCCACGCATACAACGGGGTCTTGGTCAGGAAGGAAGAGAGGTCGAGAGGTCGAGAGGCCAACGATTCGCCGTCGTTTCCGAGACCTTTGGCGAAAACAGTCATGTTCTCTGCTTGTTGGGATAAGTCGAACATAGGAAGCGGGACGGACATCAAGCGGGAATGAGCAGTAGTTGAGGGAAGCTTGCTGCATCCGGGTTGACAGCTTATGGTTAAATTGGACACATTCCTGCAACTGGGGGCGTGGCGAAGGCGTGTTGGTGATGAAGAGTGGAGTGAGTGTCTGGACTTCTCCGAGGTTTTATACCGATTATCTTTCTGTGCAGAGGGATCATATCGGCGTCGGCAACGAGTCATAACTTTTGCGGACTTATGAATGACTGATAGACGTTTTGAGTGAATAAAAACCAGCGGATACCGGACATGATTGACACTGCAATTTGAAATTAAACCCAGCCCTGCGGACGCCGGCGTGTGGTGTGAACGTCGAGGGTCACAAACTTTCATACAAATCACACCTGTAGAAAAGAAAACGACCAAGTGTCGAGCCTAGAATCATTACTTAGTCAGGTGTGATCATTGACATATGTACGAGTTCGAACCTTGACTAGGGTTGACCGATATCCCGCCTGTCAATGAGCCTGATAACCGAACCCCGCACGGGCATTTTACGTGTGGATGAAAGTGTCGCAACAAAGTCGCCGAACGAACGCGCGACAGATCTCGGAGCACAAGACAACTCATCGACGCGAAGGGCTTGTTGCAAACTCGAGCATCTCGATCGGAGGCCCTTCCGGTCATATTTCCCAGGTGTAAGGCTTCAATGTACATGCCCCTGCTCGTAGTAGAGTATCAATAATATTGTGTAAGAGCTTCGATTTCAAGGATATGGAACTTACCTTGGGTGATGACATAGTCTGATCATTGTCGTTATTGGTGATAAATGGTCGAGCCCATGATGAACATGTTGTAGTATTCCGGTGGACATGGCTCTCAATACTCGAGAAATCAGGTATTATTCGTTTATTAGCTTGACAGGACGAGATGTCGCTTGACAAAACGCAAGGTCAATGTGATGCACAGATAACATCGATGGATTACACCTGATCAACCACGAATCAATGTAAAGAGGCGATCTCGACAAATAGGACCCTAAAAGCGCACCTTACAACATTTGTACCCCCTCGTTGGATGCCACACCCTGCTCCGGGTCAGAGGTATCCCCAGCAGGTTGGCCATTCAGTCTCCCTAATTTCCAATCCGCTCCATCAAACCTACATACATCCCGCCGAGTCACCGGACATCTACGAGATAAACATGAAGGTGTAGTGCTGACGCGAGAGGTTCATGACCTTCGTCGCCGTCGTCGAGGTCGCTGAGGATGATGGTGGTTTGGAGAAAAAATGGCCGTGAGAATGCCTAGGCGCCGTCCGGCGTTGATGAGTCGTCCTTGATTCCAAACTTCCTCGTACCCCCTGGCGATGTCGATACCCTATTTCTGCCTTCTACTAGGGGTACTACGCGCCTGATATGAAGAAAGGACTGACTGACCATGAAATACGGTGTCTGGGCTCCAAGTTCGACCTCAACATTCGTGAAGAAGCGTCCTACGTGTTGTGGTACATCTGGCGCGAAAAGCGGGCAGCCTACGCGAATCTGCAGGCCTGTATCGCAGTGTTGCTCGAAGACGAGGACCTCTATCTTGCTTTGAAGGCCGCGCACGCGAAGGGGACGTACGAGAGCATCAGGCAATGGAAAAGTGCGTCACTGCTCTCCTATTTTCGCGGCGTACCTGACGCGTTGACCACTAGGAATTGCTGCTGAATCTTGCGTTACTCGAGGCAGTGGTATGGACATTGGCATTAAAGGACTCCTCGCGGAACTCGAGCCTGCCGTAATGAAGCTAGTGGCCGGCGAGATCACCTTGCCAGCATGGACACCTATCGACGACAAATTGGACCCTGAGATCATCTCCCATCTCACCTCTCTCCGAATACCATGTTTGAAGGGCAAACCCAATCTCCTCCTTCACGATCTTGGAAGCTTTACGCGGGAACCCTTGCTAGAAAGGCGGCTGAAGAATATCTTCATGCCGAACAACCACACGTTCGTGTCCGGTGACGTCTTCCAAGCCATTCATTGACAGAAACCCCTAGATTCCTGGTTAATACGTCTGGGTCTGGGAAAACACGCCTCCTTCTCGAGGGTCTATGCGAGAACTGGGGTTTCTATTTCACATCTCTCGTCGACTCAAGTCTTCTGGGCTCCAGCGATATCCAAAATAGCATTCAAACCCATGTTCCCGACTCCGATAAATTTCGGCGCATACTACCACCCGCGGGCTCAGCCGGTTATGGTTCTGCCTTGAAGGCGAATCGCGATATTGCCAGTCGAATATTTCGACAGACGTTCCTTGCCCGTCTAATGGTTTTTAATCTTTTTGCCGAGATTATGAACCGTCATGCTGAAAGCAATAAAAAAGTTGTTGTGGATTCGCGCGTCTACAAGACGCGTTGGCTTTTACTACAACTTCGACCGTCTCTAGTCCACCCTCAAGTATGGGATATTTTTGACGAACTCTCCTCCAAGCTCTCCTCCGCCTCTGATGCCTTCATCAACACCATGACGAAGACTCTATTGATCGAAGTCCGAAGCATATGTTCACGCGTCGATAACTTAAACGACGTTCAAATGCCAACCAGCGACGTGGTACAGACACCCTTATTCTGTGTACTTGATGAAGCACAACACGCAGCCACTCAGCACAATTCTTCGTTTCGCTCTGACCATAATGGTGCTCACCGTCCAATACTCCGCGAAATCGTGAAGGCTTGGGAGGGGCAATCTTTTGGTCAGGGCGTCTTCATGGTCGTTGCTGGAACGGGCATATCAAAAGACGTTGTCGACCAAGCCATGGCGTCAGCAATCATGAAGGATTCTCGTTACCGGTGGTGCTCGGATACAGGGGCTTTCGATCGCAAGGAGGTGCAAGATCGGTATTTGTGTAAATACCTGCCTCAAAGTCTCCTGTGTTCCAATACAGGGCGGCGACTTTTGGAGAGAGTCTGGTATTGGTTACACGGAAGGTACACTTTTTTGTCTGTCCTCCTAAGTGTGCTACTAACATCCGTGTTTGAAGGTATCGATTCACGAGCGGATTCGTAGCCGAACTTCTGCAAAACGGGTTCAAGAGACCGCATGGGTTGCTCAATGCCTATGTTGAACACTTCACGAACTTCAAGATCACGGATGCTGTGTCCTTGGTTGCATCAGAAAGCCTAGATGCTTTGCCCGTTTTATCACAATACAAGCTCGATTTTTCCAAACTGAAGAAGAGTCAGTCGCACAGTTCCACTTGCTCCGTAAAGCCTTCTTATGGAAGCCATAGACGGCGACATGCTCACGACGATCCATCAATTAACCTCCCACTATCTCATGCGCTCCGTCCTTCCTATTACACTCGGAAAAGACGAAGCCACCTACGTCGAATACGGGTTCGCCCGCTTCGTCGACTCCGAAACGAAAACTGTGGCCGTTGACGAACCTCTTGTCCTCCTCGCCGCTACGCACTGGATAAACGCCAACGTTCGAACGACTTACAAGTCCTTCGCCAAACAAATCCAGGTCCACGAGCCCGCCTCGAACGGTTTCGAGAACTACGTAGGTTTCTGCCTCGACATGATATTCTCCTACCGTAGACGGCTGAGCGACATCTTCACCTTCCACGGAGATGTTCCAGCTTGGGGCAACCTCGACGCTGAGCTCGTTGGGCTACACAGGACGAGCCTCGATCGAATCGAGACGAGCACCGTCCGGCATTTCCTCTTCTCGGGACCGTCAGTCACCCTCGGTGCGAATGCCAAGTCGCCTGAAGAGACCTCAGAGTGGCTTCACCACCAATCACCCACCCCGATGTGCTTCCCCCATATTTCAATGGGCCCTGATCTCATCTTCGTCCTCCGGCTCTCCGACGGCACCATGATCTGGGTCGTTCTGCAAGCGAAGTATTCATTAGGCAAGAATGGCAAGCTCTCTCGGCTGTCCCTGCGACAAGCAATGCGCAGCATAACGCCTTCGACATTCTTCCTCGATAAGGTATTCATGCCTCCTTTGCGGCTCCGCTATCGATTTGCTGATATGATTATGATCATGCAGGATGACAGACCCTTCTCACCGGCCAGTCATCCCAACCTCGTGAAGGAGACAAACCAGAAGCTCCTTTCTTTGCCTTATCGGCGGAATGACGCAGGTCGCTACAGCCTCCTCCGTGTCGTGGCCTCCTTCCCTGCGGAGACACACCTGAAGCGGTGTCTGGAAGAAGACCCAGATAACGAAGGACATCCCATTGCCAGCTTGAACATGACGCTGGTCAAGCAGGTCACTCGGAAGCTTTCGCCTATAGACTTCTTACAAGGCCTAGAAGACCCGTTACAGAACACGGGTAAACGGAAACGAGGATGTTCGGAGCCTCTCCGGAGACGTTCAAAGAAGATCAAGCTAAACTAATCTACAGACTCGTCTGCGTACAGTACGCTATTTATGTTTGTTGTCATCTACATACGCCCTTGCTAAATCTATCAAGAGTGCTTTGGATAACGAAACAACGGGGCGAGCTTCAAGACTGGAAATACGTCTTGAGATGAATTTGAAGAGCCAGTACCTCCATCTTCGTCAACTTTTCGCCCTCAGGCCCAGGCGGCAGGCTCTCCAGGAAATTTTGGATAGTGTTGGCAGGCCATCGAGAGGCGCCGAACAAAAACTCCTCGTTGACGCATCCAAATTCTGTGAAGCGGTCCAAAAGATGACCCATAGAAGGAATGCATGCCTCAAGGAAGGCCAACACCGATGGAATCTGCGTTGTTCCTGTCACCGTGATGGCCGTCGATTCTGAACTACGAGCAGAGGTTTGGGAGGCCGAGACAATCTTTGCTGAGAAACCCCTCGTCGACTTGGATGTGCTTTGCAACGAAAAGGAGGCTTGAGAGGTGTGCGTCTGAGACGACAAATTAGCTGCTTTCATGTCGGACAATGTGGTTGACTTCTGAGAGCTTTCATCGTCCATCTGAGGCTCTTGGCTCGTTGGCTCTCTTTCGTTTGTGTTCTCCTGTTCGGAAGGAAGTGTTAAGTCGTCAGGTTCGCGGAGCGAAGCACTCAAGACACTGACTTCTGGGGTGTTTTCCTTTTCATCCCTGCTCCGACCCTTTTCGACGGCATTTTTAACGAAATGAGACTTCTTGGACGTCGCCTTTTTCTGGGCAAGGGACAGCAGCAAATGAGCAACAGCGGTCCACCTTAACACTTGAATCGAATATTTACTGACTTTCCTGCCACTGGTTCGACGTCCTTTGTTCTTTCTGATTTGGGTAGATCGAGCATTTCTGTGGCTCTCAAGGAGAATTTGAAGAATGTAGTATGCACGTCTATCCCTCTCCTCTCCAGAGAAAATGCCAGGAAAATCCTTCTTGACCTGTTCAGAGTACGTTAAATTTAGAGACCACAGCTCGAATGCTAAAGCTGAAGCCTGAGGGATACTCACCGTCCGGATAACTGCCTCCATCTTGTCCCTCTGGGCCGAACCCGTTTTCCCGGCGTCCAAATGCTTGCGTCGCAGCTCGTTGAGAGTGGTCTATGGGAAATCCAGGCCTCAAGAAAAAGACAGGAAATGCAAGGGATGCTGGCTCACGCGCAGAACTTTGAATCCTTCGTCGTCTAATTCTTGTGCCGGAAGAATACCTCTGAGCTGGGCGGCGCCGGCCTAGGTGTTTCCTAAGATCAGTAGCTCGCAGGTAATCCAATAAGCGTACTTTATGGTTCCTGGAGTGGTCAAACCCATGAGGGTTCGCGAGGCCTCGTCGCGGCATGGGGAAGAAAGATAGATTCTAGGGGATGAAGTAAGCCCTAGCGATCACTGACTGAAGGCAAACTTGACTTGACACGCGCTGCTGGTGTTTATGTTCTGCGATTGCGAATTTGGGGTGCAAAATTAGGGAAATCTCTGAACTTTTTGTATTTTACTCAGGAGTAAAATTCTGCGTCTATCGTCAGAGATAGATGTTCTTTTCGAATGGATTTTGGGCGTTCCTGATGGCTCCCACCAACCGAATTTAGGATATCGCACGAGACTCCGGAAAGTACAAACCCAGGGAACTGATGTCCCTTAATAATCTGCAGGTCGCTTGAGTTTTCGCAGACCGAGAAGATTAATACTTTTCTATAGGAGACCTCAATTCGAGTCTGCAAGTTTGAGAACGTATTTTGGACTTTTTGCCGACAATGCTTAAATGCCAAGAGCACGCGACGCGATTCCTATTTCCACGTGACTCTTGCAGCTTGCAGACTGTGACCGCGAACAATCTCGAACAGAAACATGTCAAGATTCCAAACATACCAAGTCATCGAGAGAGAAATAGTAGACACTTGTATACAAGATGCTCATAAGTAAGATAGCTAACCAGGAAAAGATACTAGTGAGAAGGAATGACCAGGAGGTAAAATGCAAGCCAAACTGCAGCTGAAAGGCCAACCAAACCGAATCCTCGTACATATGGGGGCAACATGAAGGGAAGGATGAGAACGGCTCGACGAGCCTGAGTCAAGGACAGTTCCGGAAGGTAATCGATATGCAATAACAATCCGGTGAGAAGGGGCAGAATCAACCACCGCATCGCCACCTTCACGGGCAAATCGAATGAAGGGAGGCTGGGAAACGAAGCATGAAGAAAGAAAAAGGCCAGTCGTCCAAGGATGCACAAAACATGGTTTCGAGACTTCTTTCTTCTTGCTTTTCGGGTTGTGCTCCAAGGTCCTGAAACTGGTCTTGCGACCAGGCAGGCACAGCAGCCCTTGCCTGCATCATGAATCCATTGCGTGGGTGCGTCATGAGGCCAGAAGTCATGTCTAGAGTACTAACAAGTCAGTCTCGTAGCCACAATCATACGATATCCAAGTTTACCAACCTTCATCGACGTTATAGATGGCTCAGAAGCAGCAATGATCACGGGTCTAGCTTCTCGCCACGGGCCAAAACGCGGACGACCTTGCTGGGCTGCGAGATCATCTCCATCATCGCCATCACCGCTGGAGGCCGCTCGACGAGGCCTGCCCTGCCGCCGTTGTTATCGCTGGCAGACGGACGACGACCCCTCGACCCATGGGATCGTTTGGGCCGCTCTTCGTCCTCTGGACGGCCAGGAAGGGCCGGGTCGACATCGAACAGCTTGATTCCCGCCTTGGCCGCCCAGGGGGAGACAAGTGCTCCGGTTGACCGAACTTCGTATCGGTTGGCGTAGGTGTTCGGTGCGGGAAGAGGAACCGGGGTCAGTGGAGCATCGGTGGCAGTAATCGACATGTCAGCGAGCTTGAGCGAGACGATTTGTGGCGACGTGTTCGGCGGCGATGAGAGCACTGCAAGCACAACCTTGGGGGCGGTGGCAGTGGGGTTAAGCTCCTCTTCGGGGTGATCCGTTTCCCAGCGTGCACAGCAGACGACACGGCGGACCCACTCAGGGCAGTTCGTGCTGGCCTCGCCGGAATCGAAGGAGATTTTGTCCCAGAGGACGAAGGCGTCGTCTCGCTGGACACGGATGCGGGGGTTGGTCCCGACTTGAGCTTCGAGGATCCGGGAGGCAGCACGGGCCTTCTGGGCGAGTGACGACGTCCCCTTCTTAAGCAGATCGAGGGTGTTCAGAGCTGGAAATCTCCGTCAGTTGACAATGACAGACCATGGGTTGAAACGCACCTTCCAGAGGGACAATAACGATCTCCTCTCGTCCATCCCTGCACCACTTCTTCACCTGATACAAGGCGTGGATGAGCACACTGGCGTCAACGACGACAATGTCTGCATCCTTGTCCTTCCGGTTCTCCTCAGCTGACCTGCGCCTCGCCACGGGGCTAGAAGTAATGCTTCGGTCGAAATCCCTGTCCTTCGGTGGGCCACGATCCTTCTGCGCCGGTGCTTGGCCGTCTGCTCCACCCTTCTTCTTCTGGACCATCTTTACGCCTGGGGAGTTTGGACCCCGCTTCCCAGCGCCTGGAGAGTTGGGCCCATACTGCCCCTTCCTATCTCTCCAGTTGCCCGAGCCTGGTCCGTTGGATGAAACCGTCTTCTCGAGCTGTTCGACCTGATGGTTCAGGAAGGCGGCGCCAAGCGCGCGAGACATAGCGAGTTTGTTGGTGGTGATATTGGGCTACAGGTAATGTTAGCACTTAGAACAACTTCTGGATAGTGCCACTCACCTTGATTTCTGCAGCCATCGTGGTCAGTGTATAACGAGGCTGACTGGTGAATTTCGAGTTGAAGTGTGGAACCGGCTTAGTCATCCGCGTGTTGGGAGCCCACTTCCTTTTTTGGGTGAGGCACCGCCTCGCACACACTCAACACATGTGACACACTGGCAAGGCATGCTGTGGTAATTACCAGAGAAATGTAAACTTTGACATGTAGGAGGAGTGCTGAAGACTTTCTGCAATGAGTCATTTGGTGCGGTAAATTTATTTTTACAAACCCCTCCACAGCGCCTCCGAGTCCTTGGCCGTCGAATCACAGCCGCCGAACCCCGTCATAGCCATGATACTAGGCCGTACACCGTCTCGACGTAGCGGAGCAACGCGGAAAAAGTCAAAGATTCATGCGCGCACGCTATAATCAGTGTATTTAACACGCACTTGACATTCGCAGTGGTACTTAGATTGCGTTTTTGCTGTCCGACATCACTCCTGCACTCCCGGTCTGTGAAGAAAGTAGACGGCTTGCAGAGTACATGTAAATTTCGTCGTACGTACACCAGAACTTTTGATCTGGCTAGTAGTTGCCTCTGATTGCCTAACTGGAGGGAGACGTGGAGGGAGACAGCAAGACAGAAGAACGTTGATCCTCCAGAATGCTTACATTAAAAAACTTGCATCAATGTACAGGTCTTTGCATCTGATGCTAGTTCCTCACTGAAAATTGACTGAAAATCTCAAGTACTACAGGTTTCACTCGACTTCTTTCATGATGCTAACTTCTGCTAAGCATCCACAGGAAGCCGAACGAGATCAGGAATCCTTCGTCGATGCCGAAGGATCCATTCACGAGCGCAAGACAGGAAAGTGCTGGTAGCTCGGCATGTAATCGGATGCAATGGAAATTGTAAGCTTGTGGTACGGCGAAGGCCTCGAAAATCTCACAGCCTCTGCGAAGGACGTCTGAGTGGTAAGGTGAAGGAGGCGTGAGATTCAGAGACGGTGAGAGTCCGGAGTCGGTGTGGTTGTCAATTGGATGAAGGAATATACACCACCCATATTACAGAGGAAAGAATAAAAATGCCACGAAATTCCGTTGAAAAATTGCACTGTTCACACCGGATCGGGGCTCGCCTAATGACTTCGACTTTATCCCGATCTTATCCAAAGAATTCTAACTAAGACTGGCATAAAAGTCGATGCTCTGATACGAAATATATCTTGAAGTTGGTTGATTTTGGACCTTCATGCGTACCAAAGCAATTTTAGTTAACTGCCCCTGAGATAGAGTACAAAGAAGTTATTTAAAGGACTGCCTTTGTGATTTCGGGATAATCCCGACCCTGTGTCAAGTTGCTAAGTGCTGGATTGCCGTTCCAACGTTCAACGTTCAGAGTCTGTGCGCCACTGACTCGTCGGAGTATAAAAGGTCCCATAGCACAGCTTCGCAACTTGCCCTTGTATTTATTTTCGTAATTCACGACGAGACAACTATGCTACGTAAGGTTCTTGTCTCTTCGAACGCTCTTTCATTAAATCGTCTAGATTTAGTCGTCTCTTCCCCATAGGCATTGGCTTGTTCATCCTCGGTGTTACTGATAACCCGAGAAACGCGAACCCTGCGAAGAGCTCTCGAAGAGATCGAATAAGCGCCCAACGGTGCTTCGAAATGTCAACTGACTCAATAGAACCGGTACATGCTTCCCAATTGAGGAGAATGCACCCGAGTTTCAGGCAATGCAACTCCCGGATGACGGCTGCCGCCCCATTGGTTTGATAACACTTAAGGTTCGCGTCTGCACCCAGCAACCATTTGTGAATCCCAGTGGGCGTTTCATCACCTTCTATCACAGCGTGTCCTGTCACGAACTCTCTTGTCTCGTTATTTAAGGCCTGCGCATCGGCCACCCTTCCGCACCCCACTTTGAGAGTACTTCTTTTCATCATGAGCTCCATGTCATTCTTTCGCCGTAGCCGCAACAACGACCGCCAGAGGACCACTTCAACTACGTCTACTAGTAATTTACCGCCTCCTCCGCCCGGCGGCCAATCGTCTTCTTCCGACAGTCTTCCGGACGGCGGAGATGGGAGGAACGACACGATCAACGCATCTGACTACGCTCGCAAATGCGCAAGGCTCATGGAGCTATATCGAAGCTTGCGCTCACTCGGGTATGTTCTTCGAGACGATCGTAGTATTTCCTAACACGGATCTAATATGTGTAGTATTACCACATTTCTACCAGACTTACCACGCGTCGTCGTCATCGGTGCACAATCTAGTATGTATACTTGCCCTCACCGATGTTGTACCTTCCTGACGAGTAGCTTTCAGGCGGCAAGAGCTCTCTAGTCGAGGCGGTCAGCGGGGTATGTAGGCCGACTGTGATCACGACGCCGGCGCTTATCTTGGATTGTAAAGATCAAGGTTCCTCGAGACGCTGGTACCTGCACAAGGTGTGCCTTCCTACCATCCTGGTATCTGTATATCACGATTGACGCTCTCAACCAGATGCCCCATGGAGTGCATCATGTCCAGCGATGCCAGCTCCTGGTCGTGCACAATCAGCCTCCGTACGGAGTACGACACCCAAGGGAGGCCCCAGATCCACCAAACAGAGGACTTCGTGCGTGAAATTTTGAATGAATCCTCAGTCGAGCTCTGGGTCCGCAGAGCGCAAGCAGCCATTCTTAACCCCCACCGCCCTCGCTCCGATTTCTTGACCATGAGTGAAGAAGAATTGAAACGCCTGAATAGCGCCAACTCGCAGAATCCCGATTCACAGACCCTCAAATTCTCCAAGAACGTAGTCGTGGTTCACGTGAAGGATCCAGGGGCAACAGACCTCTCATTCGTCGACCTTCCTGGCAAGTGTCTGTGTCTTCAGTGGGACATATTACTTATGACGATTTTCCTCAATGGTTGCAGGTCTAATCCAGAATGCTGAAGAAAACCTCATCGACACCGTCCGTTCTCTCGTTGAGAATTATATTAAGCAGAAGAATACTGTCATAGTTATTGCAATGCCCATGAGCGGTGAGAAAACCTCAGCTATTGACAGGAATTATCATGCTGACGTTATTTTGCCTGGACTTCTAAATGACTATGAGAACATGCAGGCTGTAAGGCTTGCTGGGCAATTAGGTGCAGATCCGGACGGCGAGAGGACGATAGGTGATATCCTGCCCCATTTATCATGCCATTCAATGAATTTAAATTATTTGCCTCACTTTCAGGAGTACTTACGAAACCAGACACTCTTCAACCCACAGCAAGAGCCTCTCTCGAGAAGTGGAAGGCCGTTCTTGAGGGCACAGAACATGCTACCACCCATGGGTATTATTGCGTCCGCCTCCCGGACGAAGACGAACGGACGCATGGAATCAGCAAAGCAGAGGCCCAACGCACCGCCGACAATTTCTTCAGCACTAGGTTCCCATGGAGCGACATGGCTGATCGCCGTCGTTTCGGTATTCCCAATTTCGTAACGAACGTCAGCGCGCTGCTCGTGCTCCTCATCGAGGCAAAGTACGTCATTTATTCTTCAATGCAGAGTCGAATTAGAACTGATGTGGATGGTTACCTCGACTCCAGCCTCCCATCCTTGCGAGAGAGAATTGCCGTAGAGCTCGAGAAGTGTATACGCGAGATAGAAGAGTTGCCTCCCGTCTCGCATGTGCATCCGTCGACCGAAGTTATGCTTCGCGTAACGGAGTTCTGTAAAGGGATGCAAGACGCGGTGCTCGGCGAGAGATACAAGGAATTTGTCCAGGCGAACAAGAGGCGGTACGCACTATTCGAACAAGACATCAGGATGACGACGCCGGACTTTCGACCGTTCGAGAATGTCACCTATTCTTCCAGTCTCGTCGAAACTCGCACGGAAGCTCGCTCGCTCGTAGATGTCCGGAATGTCATCAAAGCGTAAGTAGCCTGATTCAACCATGCAAATGCTGTCTTATTGTTATGCAGGTCAATCACTTGGGAGCTTCCGAGGCACATCCCATTCGAAGCGACAAAGGTCCTCGTGTCGCAATACACGGCCCTATGGACGGCCCCGTCCATAACCTGTTTCGAAAGTGTCGTCAGTGGAATGTCGAAGTTCCTCGACGAGCAACTCCACGGCCACTTCGGACAGTACACCGAACTGGAGAAATATCTTTCGTAAGTGTTCCTTCCCCGTCTCTCACCCTCTGAAATGACATTCTGCTTCAGCGCAATCGCGCACCACGAAAGAGATATTTGCCGAAACGATGCTCTAAATATGCTTCAGAAGATCTTGCGACTGGAAAACAATCCCCTGTTCTCCCAGAATTCAGAAGCTTTGCGTCAGGAAGAAGAAAAGTGGTACAAGAAGTACAACGATTTGCGACTGCCTCAACCAGTGCGACCAGCGTCAGCCAGGCAGTACCCCGCGGGCCCTCCTTCGATTTCATACAGCGACGATGATGACAACCCATCAGAGGCTTCAGTCTCACCAATCATCCACAATTTCTCCTCCACGTTCGGTCGGGTCGTTAGAAATAGCCCTCGAACTTGGGGGGATGACGCTGAGATCAAAGTGATGGCAAACGTCATGGGGTATTTCCAGGTTGCCTACAAGGTAAGTTTCAAACGCTCGAGTCAGCGTTGACGATTTCACGTACTGATCACCCTACCGACATTCTGGTAGCGCATCATCGATTACGTACCCCTCATCGTCGAGCACGAATTAAACCAGACGTTCGCCTCCAAACTGAGCAACGTCCTCATCGACAGGATCTTCCAGGACTCCAGAGAAGGCAGGATCGATCTCGAAAGCCTCCTGCAGGAAGACCCAGAGCTGGCAGCGAGGCGGAGGGAGTTGGCGGAGAGGAAGATATGCCTCACGCAGATCAAGAACAAACTTGACGAATTCGAGATGTCTTCCGGGTTGTAAGTTGATTGAAGTCTTTGGAACTCAACGGCGTTGGTATACTTTTTTATCTTGCGAGGTCTTGCATTATGTTTCGTATTTGATGTGAATATACCTCTGCTATGCACTAAAGGCGACTGCCTTGTCGAGTCTGATATTAGATCCACATCCCTCGCAAAAAAATGCCACGTACCCGATTTGAACGAATGACCTTCCCATTGCAATTACAAGTGGGATGCGATAACCATTACGCTAACGCGGCTTGTCCCGAATTGCTCACATTTCCACGCACGGGCGGGCAGGCACAGACATTTTGTCAAAGAGCTTCAGAGTAACGAACGCGGCGCAAATACACTGTATTGCTTTGCGGCGAAAGTTGAAGGCATCAAGCGATCTTGAGAATGTTACATGCCTATGCAGCCTCGGAAATAGGGGATAGAGCGGTAGCACGCCTGGTTGCATGCATAATCCATCGCTATTATTCTGACTGGTCTAAGACGCGATTTTATACTGTACAGGCCCTCTCTCCCTGCGAGTTATGCGGTCCAAGCCTTGGCGATGAGTTCGGTGAGACCTAAAGGCGTGTTGAGATGTGAACAGTCACGAAGAGTGAACGGGGCGTACCAATGTCGTTCGTATTAAACTGGTAGACGCCGACCAGGGTGGCCACGGTCGCCACCCGCAGAGTCCACGTCGTGATGGGCCCAAGAATGGGGAACTTGCGGGGGTGAAGGTAGTCGACGACGATGGAGTCGAACTGCACGTCGGGTTAGCTCGGTAAGTAGCGATAAGGGTGCCGCGACGTACTCCGAGGTGACTGTGCATGACCAAGCTAACTCCAAGCAGACCGTCAACGATGGGGTAGTTGCTCCCAGATGTAACGAAGGCGGCGGCGGTCAAAGGAACGAGACCTGCCGACAGAAGGCGCTCGAAAGCCCAGTGGTACGAGCCGTGGATCGGTGAGGGCTTTGGGAAGGTGGTGGGGTCGTTCACGGTTCCTCTGAGGATGGCTAAGACGAAGTATAAGCATAGCTCATCGCTGTTCAGCGCAAGGGCCACGTACGACCGCCGGGGACGTAGTTGAAGGTGGTGTTATATCGAGCTGTTCCTATTGGTCAATGCATGTTTCAGGTGTGTTTGGGGTTTGGAACGCACATTGAATGGAAGATCTCTGCACCACTCTACGCGTGAGTGCCCTGGGCAGCGTTGAGTGAAGAACAAGGCTCGAAGACATCGTCGACGACGGCGAGGACAACGAAGGAAGAGAGAAAGTTGTGAAGGAGCCCGCCGTTCCGGGACTTTCACGAGACTTGTGATACCGGTTATTTCCGAGTCCGGTACTTGCACTAATTGTTATCACAAAATTCATTCATTAAGACTAGAAGTATTTCCAGTATCAATTCAACTCAAATACATGTTTCTCATATTTCTTCTGGTCCACCAGACGGATACAGGTTTGGCCAACGAGTGTGACGTCTAAGTCACGAGCCACTTGCCGCCGGTGGCGGCATATCACCTGACCTCAAATTAGGAACTGCAACTGAACATTATTCCAGGACTTTTTCAGGAAAAAAAACCCAGATAAGTTGAGCGAAATACTTTGAGAGTTATTCACACACGAAATATACTATTATCTTGCGAGACATCGCCTCCTTCAGAGAATCGGGCTGAATGTCCGACTAATTCCCTGACCAAAGTTTCAATCTCCTACTCAAAAGTTCCGATGAGTAACGACGTTGACGTCGTTCGGCAAACTTGACCTTGAACGACGAGGACGACCTCGAAGCTTACGTTTCCCATGACACGAACATTGACATGAACCCTTTAAAGCTTGCTGTTGTGGGTGGTGGACCATCTGCGTTCTATGTCGCGTCCAGGATCCTCAAAGTACTACCTGAAGCTACTGCACCAAATGTTCGTGTGCATCTCTACGACCGCCTTTGGGCACCTCATGGCCTAGTACGCTATGGTGTAGCGCCAGACCATCCCGAAGTCAAGGTGAGCTTCTCTTCTTTTTCTTGAAGCATTTATTTTTGTCCATTGCCGACCCATCTGCGCAAAGACACGACTCGATGCGAGAAATACAAAGCCATCGTTTCGTCAACGATATAGCTCTTCGGGAATACAAGAGCTATATTTCACATAGTTCCTCAGGCTTCTGGCAAGATGAAGAGATGAGACTCCATGAGGGCCCTCGAGAAGCGCTTTGTGTCTCTCATCAAGGAATCTGCTTTCGCCAATGGTGGGCTGTATAGACAGTCGGATATGCCGTCGAAGATGAGGCGAAGAACCTCTCTTAGACCCTTTTTATTGCGATATTCTCTCGAGCGTACTTTGCTTTTATGTTATTCTCGCAATTCGGTGGACAACGGATGCGTTCCTACGCACCTGCCTGTGCTCTTCCATGCTCTCCTTCATCGCATTCATCAGACTGACACCAATGATCTTTCACAGAACTGTACGCACAAATTTGACCAGACCGCCGAGGACAATCGTTTCCGTTTCTTTGGGAATGTAGACATCGGCAATACCGCTCCTTCAATACCTGAAGCACTCTCACTACCACTCAGCTCGATATTTCGAAACTATACGCACGTCTTGTTTGCGACAGGGTGCACTCTCCCCACACTTCATGCTGCTCTGCCGCCCTCTCCGTACTGCATACCGGCCCTTTCTATGGTGCATTGGTACACGCAGCATCCAAACGTGCCATCTTCACCCCCGCCTCTTGACAAAATATCCCACGTATCTCTCATTGGCAATGGGAACGTCTCCCTCGATGTAGCTCGCATGCTGCTCACTAACGTAGATATCCTGGCAAAATACGACGTTCCCTTGCCCGTCCTCGAAGTTCTGTCGCGTTCAACAGTCAAGCACGTCTCCATAATCGGGCGACGAGGACCCCTCGAAGCCGCTTTTACCATGAAAGAGCTTCGGGAGATGATAAATCTTCCGGAAGCGTCCATGGTACCGCTCGATACATCCTTATTCAGTCCAGCGAAAGACGTTTCGTCGTTAACGCGTCAACAAACCCGTTCTCTAACACTTCTCCAACATGGATCGAAGAACCGCCCAGGGAGCACAGAGAAAACCTGGTCGCTCGACTTCTTCCGGTCGCCGATCGGACTCGTCCCTCCCACACCCTCCTCCTCTTCACCTGCGTCCTCCGCCCGGCTCACGCTCTCACATACCATGCTCGACCCCACAACCCAACGTGCGGTCGACACTGGCGCGACGTCCACGATATCTACCGACCTCGTCGTCACCTCCCTCGGATTCCAGGGCGAGCCAACGGCGCGGTTCTACGATCCAGGTTTAAGACACCTTCGCACGGTCGGCGGGCGAGTGGTCAGCTCAACAGGCACAACTCTCAGGAACGTGTACGCGTCTGGATGGGCGGCGACTGGTGCAAAGGGTGTTTTGGTATCGACTATGATCAATGCGTATGGGGTAGCGGATACGATCGTGGCGGATTGGCAGAAGGGTCAGGAAGTGGCGGAGAGTGAGGTGAAGGCGGAAGAGCAGGGTATAGGATTGGCGGAGGACCCTCAAGTGCATGATTTGCCGCCTTTATGCGTGGATCCGGATCTGGAGTCGTTGCCGGAGGAAGTGGAAAAGGGCCTGAGGGAGAAGCAGGTTACGCGGTACACGGATTGGCGGAAGATTGACGCAGAGGAGGTTAGACGGGGCGAGGCGCTGGGCAAGGAACGAGAGAGGATGAAGTGGTCGGAGGCCCATCGGCTGCTGGCCCAGTGATTTTGTGTAGAACTCTAGAATAATACCAACCACTGCTCTTGGAGAACTCCACAACTCGGACGTTGATCTCCCGACTGAAACGGGAAAGGAAGACTTTCGAAGAGACAATGCGTTGGACAAGAACGAATATCCTGAATTCTGGTAGTAAATAGTGAGGCGAGCAACCTTACGAAGAATGGTACGAAGATTGTCATATTGAGGCTTCTTCGGATTTCCAGCTTGGTGTCGGGATATGGCGACTCGTTCCAGACTCTCATAACGCGTGAGCGTGAAACCCAAACTGAGCGTGCTGATCGTTGAAGAGAGAACTCTGGGGGGCCTTAGCGTCGTTGTGAAGATATTAGCCCATGGATTGCGACCCCGTGTATATAGAAATCAAACTAAGATGCTGGTGGGATTGCTGCAGTCATAGTTCGAGCCAACGTATGTGGGAGTTACACATTGCCATATCAAACAAGATAGGTGAGGGGATGAGGTAGTACGGTCGATGGATTAAATACGGACATCATAATTTTCATTTTAATTGTCAAAACGAGAGGGACGTTACATGAGGAGATCGACACCTTATTTGGTTGACTCTTTCTCTCGAAGAAAAGCAAGGAGGCCCCCTGCTGCACTTGTCGGACGCATCTCCATTAGGGACTCATGATTGCGAGCGAAGCGAGCATTCCTCGGCTAAATGGGAGGCCCGGACAAACAAAGCCAAACACTTGTTGCAGAAACTGGGACGGGTCGATATTGGTAAGCCGTATTTCGTGGGATCTAGGTCATAATATACCCTGTAAAGCTCCATGTATACTATTTATATGCCATAGAATATGTTTCTCCAAGAAAACTCACCTTTGGAGCCCTGGTTCTGGTGTTCTAGCAACCTTGGCACTCCTCATGCTATCACAGGTCAGGTTTTTCCCACAGTCCGTGTTATACTCTGCGTGCACAGAACACATTCCTCAGGCTCAGAAAAAATACAAGGTAATTACACTGGCCCAGGGGCACTTCAGTGAGAAATGTTCTGTCTTGAGATGAACTGGAAAACTAGGATGGCGCAGCGAGCCCCTCCGCTTCCAGTGGTTACTTAATACTAAATACACTGGGAGTGCCATCACTTTCTTGAATGCAACAGGTCATGCAGGCTCATATGCAACATCCTAGCAAGAGCGATGCTATCAATCAGTGATATCAGCCTTACATGGCATATACTTTCCCCCTTTCCGAGTGGGGTTCAGAGCAAAGATATCTGTTATTTGAGTATGAGGATTGCATCTGAACCTTGCTTTAGAAGAGCTCTTGGCTTGAATATATCTTATTAGAAGCATAGAAAAAGATACCCCCGGATGCAGCATCAATACAATGGTTATTAAGCTTCGCATCTAGTCCTGGGATCTTATTTTGGGTACGGTGCTCGATAGGTGTCGATAAATTAAACAGGTAAAAATTGAGGGAAATAAATGAGACCATTACAGTGGAGATGAATAATTTAAGTCGTGGCTCATAGTAATAGATATACCGTGGTACTTAAAGCAGAAAATAAAGTACTGGTGTAATGAAATGGACCCTTGGGGTGGAGTTGAAGGACCTTCCTAAGGATAGTTACCAAGGCATGTCTCTGGAACCACAGAGACGGCTTTGTGACTGGAACTGCAAGATCAATGATGGGCGGTGTCGTCCCGGCCATCCAAAGTGTTTTCCCCCTTCTAAAACTGACTCCGTGGCTGACAGGAACCTCACGATATCATCAGTGATGTGGTCTGGCATTGGGGAATTGAACATTGTGTGCCGCTGCAAATCCGTGTCTTTGGCTTCAACCTCCACTCTTCATTGGGAACAGGGCTGCTGTGTTACCATGTCATCCTCTTCCTCAACCGGCCCCCGTTTCATAGATGATGAGCCTTGCTCGAACTCAGGAAGGTTCTGCTTGAATTCAGAAAGAGGTGTGTGCAGCAGGAAATTGGACATTGCCAGGAATGAGGGTGGCGACTCTGAGAAGTAAAACACGCTTGATGAGGTCAAGGGTCGCATCGACATTTGCCAGGAGGGGCTACTATAGGATGGGAGTGAGAAGGGGAGAAGAATAGAACAAAAGAAGTAGCCTACACCACTATTGCTGGCGTTATTTCACATAGAGGAGTGCCGGCCATCTGATATTCCCGTACGTTGTCACAGAAAACTGTCGCATATGTCCCGTATCGACAGTCGGGGCAGTTGTAGACTCCCCCAGCCCTATGCAGGTGCTGGCCTCATGACGGCACTGCAGAACCTTCTGCAGAACACTGAGAACAGTCACGATCAAGTATTGAGCAAACCGCTTCCACAATTTTGCTGCGGCCTGCGTAAGGGTGTCCAGAGGGGGGAGTGTCTGGTATTCCACCTGCATCAACTTGATGAACTCCCTCCTATGTCGGGACGAGCGAGTGAGCTTCTACAAAACACTTCTAGGAGAAGACTAGTATAAAAGAATACGTACACAGTTATTAACTCTTTGGGGAGGGTTGGTACGATGCAAGGGACTTTGTGCTCGACGACAGACTATCAACGCCAGACGGAGATTGAATGGGATGCAGACACTGGAACCGGATCGGACGTTGAGGACCTGAAGACAAGGACATGGCTTGCCAATGCGCCAAATAAGGGTTAGGGTGGCAGTAGCGCTCATAAAGGGTGATGAGAGAGGATTTGTTCCCTTCATTTGTGTATACACTGCTAGCTTGTCCTAGGTGGTGTTGGTGGATGGTGGGGGTAGGATAACAAGAGGCCATGTCTTGGAAGGTGTCATTCTGGATACACCTCAATCGTCTGAATGGCACTCAACGGTATGTCCCAGTGCACGGAACCATGGCCGATGAGATCTGATGGTCAAGAGACTTGCAGAGTTTGGGGCAAATTCAGAGTACATAATGAAGGGGCTGCTGCTGAAAGAGATCCTTGATGCTGACGGACCAGTCTGGTGCATTAGGTGTGGTCAGACGAATGTCATTAGGATCGTCTTCGAGTTGTAGTGCATAGTAGGGATCGATGTGCCGTGAAGTACGACTGCACCATGACAAATGTGGCTGAGGGGTGGGCTTTCAATGCATTATTCAAAGCACATATCCTTGAAGAGCAGTGGAAAGGCGATCATCTGTATGGGCTCACAGCCATGCCACTTGATCAGCTCTGAGCAGAGCTTGCAACTTGGAGGAGGACAGGTGGCAGCACAGTTCGTCCACAGCTTGGGATGGTTCAGAGAGACTCGACTCTCCTATTCCATACATATTGCAGCTACCTCTTCTTTTGTGTGCAGAGTACCATCTCGCGCCACCAACAGACGGCGCAACAGAGAAGCTGGACTGCATTGGGTTCTAATAGGAAACAATGTCTAAAATTAATGGATTGTGTGAATGATGAACAGAGGACTTACAGCTGAGATGAAGTCTGGAAAAAATTCCATATAGGCGGCATATCAGGAGTGGCACAAGAACCAAGGGCTTAAAAACGAGTAGCAAAGGTCGCTTGCTGAATCACCTTAACCACCCCATTAAATAGAGTACCGGCTGGTGGCATGCGCAAAGAACCTCTAGGCAAGGATGAAAAAGCAAAGAAGACTGTGTGAGCCTTCTCGTCTCATGGACAAATAAATTGAACATTGGAATATGACTTGCACAAGGAGTTCCTTTGTTTTGTAGCCATTCATGTCCTTGTGCTGGTCAGTCACAACTTGTGGAACAAAGGAATAGGGCGGCAAACGTTCACAATCAGGTCAGGGATCTGTTCACAGAATCTGGGAAAAAGAACTCAACCATTGATATTGAGGTAGTTAAGACTCCTATGATACGTTTCATTGCGCCGTGTTTACGAGGCTTATTTGTGACACTGGTTTGGCATCTAGTATGAAGCAGACACAAGACTACAAATGAGTGAAGCTGTCGAAATTGGAGCAAACAGAACCTTGTCTGAGAGAGAAATTAAACTTAAATTACAGAAGTGAACAGGCGATGGTCGTACAGGATGTATCCAAAGAGGTTGTGAAATGTTGTTACAGATGCGACTATGGATGTCCACCGACTGCGAGTTGAAGATGACGGGTGCAATGGCACCTTCACTCCTCCTTCCGTGGTCAGCGACTCCGAGGTAGGCAGACGTCAATCCAAGGATTGCTCTGTGCCACGCCCACTCAAGTGGCAGCCCTTCCACGCGCAGCGAACTTTGGTCTTTCTGCTGAAGATTTCAACACCATGCGCTTCCTTCAGGTGGGTGAGTAGTTTCCCGTTTTCTCTGGTGATGTTGATCCATGCGCCACACGAGCCGTTCCATCGACAACGCCCAAGTTCGGTATTGAGGTGCTGGAGGGTGGGAACAGTGGCTGGTGTGGGTGGCCTAAAGATATATTTAGCAATATAGCTTTTGAGGGTTTGAAGCAAACACATATGTAAGATAGCACTGAGTTGTTGGCTGTTGGGAGACTCGCAAAATGTAACTGTCATTCAACAGTCCTCATGTCATGTCCATATGGAATCCAACACGAGAAAGAAGTCTGAGTTTGAGATGCGGAGAAAGGGGAATTGAACACCCTCGAGTTGCATCATTTGGAGTAATCTCATCAAAGACGGGGTTCAGAAGACTCCAGGTATCCAAAATTGTAATAGTATCCACAGAATATTTGATACAGAGATAGAGTAGTGCAGTTGCTACAATTTAAATTAGAAACCAAAGTCGAATGTGGTGTCATAAAACTCTCTGGAACCTATTTCCAAAAGTGATTGTCTGCCCCCTCAAAGTGCTTCTCCTTCCTCATAGACTTCTTCCCAGAGGTCTCCTGCGCTGGGATCTGGTACCACTCCCTTCCAACACTTCATGAGATGGTTACTCAGGACAGTGTTGTCATCCTGAGGCACGTCCCAGGTAGTACACTTCTTGCACTTGACCACAATGCCAAGTGCTCTGCAAAGATGCCTGAAGAGCTCTTGGTCGGGAACATCAGGAAAAATCCCTTTATGGAAAGTGTTGATTAATCGCTGAACACTGATCCAATGTGATCTGATGTGACTCCAAGCTATCCAAACCACTCTAAGGAGAGCAGAGAAAAGAATTAAAGCCATATGAGTACATGAAAGTATTCATTGCAGTATATTTAATACTCTAGTGGTTTGTACAGGTCAGATTTACAATGTAGTATCTTCTTTGTGGTTCCCAGTTCAAACTGGGCCTTCCTGTGCTATTTTTCTTCTCAGACACAAAGGGTGATTGGATGGATACTGCATTAATATCACAGAATTGCAGTTGTATAAAACATTTGGGCTGCACCAAGACAAAAATGTCAAATACCTTGTACTGGCCGCTTTTTTCAACAGTAAAGATGAAATATCTCAACAACCGCTCATTTAATTCCTCTCAATTTTTGTACATCGCTACACGTATAGTATTCGTACACAATCTGAAATTTTTGTGGTTTTAGGTGCAAAATCCATTGACATATAATGGTTGTGCATGTGTGAAAACCCGCATTTGAATATCTCAACAAATAAAAAAGATGAAACCACACAAGTCGAGATCCATTAACAAGGATACTATATGTACATGCCCACCGAATTTCAGCATCATAGCTTCAGTGGTTGCTGAGATATTGCACCAACACTGTAAATGAGTGCACTGTTTTCAAGCTCTAAGTCATTTCAAACTCAGACAGGCTGGACGCTCATACCAGAGGTGGAAGCTAAATATCTTGGGAACCGCTACAGCTACCACCTTGAAAATTTACAGGCGACTAGATTACATATTGTTGATAATGGATGACTGTCTGTAAGCATTTATTTGCCGCAATAGATTATATTTGTGCTCCTTGGCAGTGATGCCGCGATGCCGCTGCCAACATGTCAATGCGGATTATCCGTCGTGCCTGGTTGGGCCCCTCAATAAACCTTAATCTATTCAGAGGGTCCTACCCCCTCGAATAGACTTTTTTCGGTCAAATAAACTGTTTGTCCCATGATGCACAACCAAACAACTCCCTGTTTGCTTACGCTGTGCTCTTATCTTAACCTTCATCATCGTCCATCGTCGTTGTCCATTGTTGCCCATCGAGCTTGCCAAAGCCCCCTTCATGTGTGAGAGTGAGTCATTACATGCTACTACTTCCTTGTACTATGCTAATCACATCCAATCATGAGCAGGGTCTGCAATTAGGTCCTTTATTGGCTGCAGCCCGCATTGCCAGGGGCTTAATTGCGCTCGCTAGCGGTCTCGAGACAGTCTTGAATGGCTTGAGGAACATTATCAAAGGCTTAGAAGGGGAAATGAGGAGCGGAAGATGGCTGAAATGCATGGAGAGATAGGTATAAAAGTGGTGAGTCGTTGCTGCTACCTCCCAGGCTTCGTGTCACCAAAACTCAGCTCATTCTACCTCTTCATCAACCGCTATGGACCCCAACCAACTTACCCCTGTTCCTGGCAACTCTAACATCCAATATGACAGGTTTGGGCAGCCATATGTCCAAGATGTCTCTGGTCATTGGGTTCAGTTATACACGCCAACCATGGTGACTTCTCAGGTAGGTACCCTACCCTATATGGTGTCTCTACATGTCTCAATCCCTCTTTCCTTCTCTTTCAGTCTGTCCCTACTGCAACTCATGGATTTCCTGCTGTGTCCCAGAATGAAACTGCCCTGGTACGTTTTGTTATATCTTATTGTTGTCTACACCAGTCCTGACTTGTTTTTGTCAGACTCGCCCCCATAATAACATGGAGGATGGTCCAAACCAACCGCTTTCTGAGGCTCTTGTGGTATGTAGCCTCCTAGATCATATATCTCCTTTGTTCTAATGCTGTGTTAGATTGTTACATCCACTCGAGCCCCGACAGCCGGCCCTTCTACTGCAGTGATCGATCCAGCGCTTTTACCTCTTCCTGAGGTCTCGGACGACGACCTCTCTGACCCGGTCACAATTGCGAAGTCCCGGGGCCATGCCGCTGCAAAGAAGGTTGCTGGATCACGTCAGAAGGGCAAGGGCAAACAGCGCGCTGTACTAACCGAGTCTCGCGATAAGGGAAAGGAGAAGGCCACTGCTCACAAGCACAGGCATGCCTCGGATGATGAAGAAGTTGAGGTAGTAGCCAAGCATGGCCATCCCAAGGGTGCTGGCAACTACACTGCAGACGAGGTTGATGCCCTCCTTGACAAAGTCAAGGAGGAGCTCCCTCTTGGCCAACGCGGGTGGCAGTCCATCCACTGTGGTTTCACTCGCTGGGCTCATCATAACGATGCTGCTGAACGCACGTTAAAGTCTCTGGAGACCAAGTTCAAACAGGTCAGCCATTTTTGGTTATATGTAAGAAACATCATTACTTACAACATATCTTAGCTTGTTAAGACCACAAAGCCCACTGGTGATGCCTATTGTCCCCCAGACATCAAACGAGCACACAAGATTGACGGGTGTATCAACAAGAGGGCTGCCACCCGCGATCTCAACGACTCTGACTTCAATGATGCTGCTCAGTTGACTGGTGGATCTGAAGATGACAATGCCGACAACATCCCAGAGGCGCTGAAGAAATCGAGGAAGGCGGCATCCGCTGGCAACCGTGATATCCAGAATGCTATCATCCGTTGACCTGACCCCACTGTCCAGCGCCGCTCTCGGTCAAACAACGTCAACCTCATCGGAAAGCTTGCCAATGCCTTTGATCCGAGTGTCCAACAAGCTCGTGATGAGGAACGTGCCCAGCGTTCCTTCCAAGCCTTGCAGATGTTCACCCTTTCCCAGCAACTTCGAGACACCAACCTTACCATTGAGTCGCTCCACTCCCAGCTCTCTACTCTCCAGACCCAGGTTCATGAGGCCCAGCGAGCCCACAATTGTGCTGAGTTGCAGTTGCAGCTCATTGAAGAGGGTAGCTGCCAGTCTCGACCTTTCAGGAGGAGCCGCCACAATGGGTATGTCAAGCGCTCGAAGTCCACAAAGCGTTCAGTCCAGCGTGTCCAGGGAAAGATGCGTCGTGAGGAGAGGTACCCGGAGGGAGGTATACACATGTACTGGGTCACGGATCCCTCCTCTACCTCAGGTGAGAGTGATAAGGAGAACGAGGACCCCAATTTCTTCCATCGCCGCTGTGACATTGACTATAGAGACCAGCCTTCGTCGTCATCGTCATCAGGCCATCACTTTGGCATAGAGTTGCAAGCTTTGACTACTTCCCAGCCCAATGCTGCCACTGCCACAGCTGGCAAGGACCAAGATGGTGAGGAGGGTGACGATGACAATATATACGTCAAGGATGCTGATGGGCCCAAGGACGAGTAGAGTAGTGCAACATCTACTTCTGTCAATACTTATGTTCTGTTACTTGTTGTGTTCCGTTACAATTACCATACACCTGCTTGTAATACAAACCTGTTTATGTGTATTCTGTGTAAGTATGGAAGCGAGCAACTCTATCGTTCTTTTGTTGATCTGAGAAGAGCATATTCTCAAAGTTCTGCCAGATATCAATGTCCTCAGCTGTGTCCTGCCAGTATCGCATGTATACAGTCCAGATCTGATTGATTCCCACTTGTCTTGTGCGCAGATTATTGAGGCGATTGCAGATCTCAAGGAGATTTCCTCGACGTTCTGCATTGTCAATGGGAAGTGGAACACGGAGACGACCAAATGCGCCTTGAAGACCTCGATTTCCCCACTCGGCTGTTTGCCAATATGAGAGAAGCTCACAGTCATAGGCCATTTGCTCCGCAATCTCATCTGGTGTACCTCGCACAGCCTGGCCAGCCTTGAGCAGGGCGCGAATGCACTTCTATAAGCCACGAAAATATATCAGACACTGTATTTTAACAAGGTATGCTTATATGTCAGGACTGTGATTTTACAGTCCACCTACAGAGAGGGCCTTGCCGTGTGTGCCGGGGCTCGCAGCTGTGGGTGGGGCATGTCAATACATGCAAACAATGCAGGAAACAGTGCTCGGAACTGTTCCTCGTCATTTGGGGTGCTCCCACCCCTGTTTTCAATGGGGAAAAGCCGCCAATGATGAGGAAACATATTTCCTCGTCGTTGTGCACCGTTTCCCCCATTGTCAGGGGGCGGGAATGGGTGGATTGGGCCAGGTGCGTTTGGATGACACAGCCTTTTTTCGGGCCCTTGTACTATTTTTAGATTATGGAATGACACATCTCTTGTAAAGCTCTTGCCGTCGTCTGTCACGATGTCCGGCGAGCTCGGGGTACACCAAAAAAATAGCAAAAAATCATATTAAACTGAAATAAAATAAATGCATGGTGCAGGTGGCTCTACCAGCCACCCACTATGTGATAAGGAGAAAATGAGCAGAAACGACACGTTGCGACACGTCGTTTCCACTCTGGTCTTGGTCCATGCCCTTTTGCAGCGAAAAAATGCAAAAAAAAAATCATATTAAATTGTACAGGATGTGGGTGGCTCTACTAGCCACCTGCTATGGAATATAGGTAAAACGAGCAGAAACGGTGGGCTATGACAGCACCGTTTCTGCTCAGGGAGGCGGGTAAGGGTCCCTTGTTGGTGACACGGACCATCTTGACATCATGCAACAGCTGCAGCTTGAGCCGAATATCATCCAGAACATGTTCTGGGAGGGTGGCAGAGGCGATGAGGAAGGGAACATTCTTTGGAAGGTGACCACGAAGGATTCCAAGTGATGAGAAGTCTGGTCAAAAACTCCCTCCCCAGATGTTGATACAGTGGGCCACTTCTACTGTAGATGACCGGCATCTCAGTCATTCTACACTCGCCTAAGATTTGCGTGCTTGGTTTTGGGGTATCAGAAAAAATAACAGTACTACTCAATAGGCAAGCATCTGAAGTGCCTGTGCACCAATTACCAGAAATTTAAGGGACGGTTTGAGACCTCCATGAATATTTTATTTCGACAAGTCAAAATCGGTCGAAATCAGGAAGTCGGCCAGGCCCTGAGACTAGACCGATTTGTATTGGTCCCGTACACCAGCTGTAACTAGGGTCAGTTATGCTTAGTAAGCTGATGATAAGATAACCTTGGAATACAAGAACAACACTTGGCCACCTTGAATTACTCTTCGAAGTTGGTCTGACCTCAACGAAAAAATGTTTCCAGTGAAATTTAGACACCTCTATCATATTCTGGTCTTCTTATTTCATGATTTCTGATGTTTTCCTTTCAGTTATTCAATTTGACATTTCTCATCACTCAAAACAAGATTTTTCAATTGCTTGGTGTCTTATGTTCAGAAGAAATTTGTAAAAATTAAGGGGTCTTCTGTCATGCACAGATATTTGCCTCACAATTCATTCCACCTCTTTTTTAGGCAATAGGTGCTTTGTACTAAGAGAAATCAGCAGGAACAGTCCAATTCACCTCCAAAATGACACACTCTCCAATTTTCAAGGTTGGAAGTGCAGTAATCCTTCAACATCAGAGGAACTTGCTTAATTATACAGTAATCACTATGAAATTCTTAAGTCCAAAGTATCTTCCTGGCAATGTGTCATGTCATCGAGAAAAGCCCTCCGGGACCACCAGAAACACGATATCAAATAAGGAAATTGGCCATCACGCATCACCAGACACAAAGGGAGGCTCATTTCTCCGTGAGGAATGGTGTTCTGTCTGCCAAAAAATGTAGTTAGATTGCTCTGATACTATTATACATGAAAGCACAAAAAGAATGGAGTGAAACGAGCAACTGTGCCACCCACAAAGGCAATGACCGAGTAGCTGGTGTGACCGAGTAACCGGTTATGTACAGTATAAGCTAGGTACATATATCAAACCCTGTGTTTAGCCAGTGTGACCTCACATGTCCAGACTGTGTTTGAGCAGTCAGGTTTTCCAAGGCTGCTGGGGTGAGTTTGCCGGGGATGCCAGGGCCATAGAGATTTGTTTGGGGATGGGAGAGGGTAAATAAATGACCAAACA